GCGGTGGGCAGAAACTCCCTCCCCCCACCGCCTTATCCTCTCCCCGATTATGATGCGCTTTCTTGCAATCCAACCACTTAACCCCCCCCCCCTCCCTCTTCGCTTGCTGGCTGGACTGAACAATATGAAAGCTCTTTGTGCCACTCTGGTCATGTTGTGACCATTGCTTTGAGCTTGTCTTGCTAATTGAAAGGCTTTCATACAAAATAGCCCTTACCGTTCTTACTCTACGCTGGAAAGACTTGATGGGTGCGGTCTGCTCGCTCGGCCTACTCTCCTCTCCCTCCAAACTTGCCCTCCGCTCTCCGATGCGACTTTCCGCTCGACCCCACGGACTAAGGCGTCCGTTGCAGCATTACGGTTTATTTTGTGGGCTTTGAGTCGCGGGAAAGAAACGCACCATCCATTCCCTACCAGCCTATATCCAATCTTTTCGTTAAGGAGGAGAGGGTCCGGGATGGTTCGTTCGTGAGTACTTCCCCGTGCAGCTTGCATACAACCAACCAACCCACCCACATATGTCTTTATGATGTACCCGCACATGACGGACAATGGCTAATGCCGCACATGAAAATAACCAGACCCGACGAGAAACCACCCCGCCCACCTAAATTACTTTCAACTCTCGAAGACGAACGAAGATTATTTCCTAGCAATTCCCGGTACGCTCAACATCCAAAAAAAACCCCCATGTGTGGAAAGGTCTTAGGGCTCGTATTCATGCTTGCGATTCTAGACTGAATGATCCCAATGGAGTACGCATAATTCCCGGACAAATCATGCCGAAGAGGAAGAAGATTGGGGTGAGTCCCATTCCTTTTGTTGCGGTATATAGCATTGTCGTGTCTCCCGCTGATTAGTTCCGTCTCCGGACGCTCAGGAATCCCCTTTCAAGGTCGTGGATCGGATATCAGGCAAGGCTCGACAAAGTGGACCCGTCCGTGCAAGCAAGAAGGAAACCCGCCCCCATGATCCCTTCATACAAGAAAGGCCTGCCAAACGTTCCCGTCACCGCGCCCCGGAGCCCTCGAATGGCAAGCTTCTCAGCCTCGTCGATAAGGACGCAGACGCGCAATCCGCGCTGACTACATCTCCCACTGCCACACACGCGTCACGTATGTCTCCCACCTCGAGCCAACGATCAGGAAAGACGAAGAGAAAGCGGAATAACTTATTTCCCCTGGAAGAATTTTGCGACATCGAGAGCTATATCAAACCCCCGCTGCAGCACAAGAAAGGTCCTAAGCACGGCAAGAAGCAGTCCGTCCCGACAATGCCCGACGATGACCACGAGGAACGGTTTACGAGGAATACGGCAAAAGACAGGCGTCGTCGAGCTTCCTCGGAGGACGATGGCAACTCTTGGAAGACAGGCGGGGCGGATCGTCCGTCCAAACCTCAAGTACTCCAAGGTGTGGAGATCACGTCCTCAAAGGATCATCATGTTGGCAACCACGCGGTGGTTATTTCGCCCAGACGAAACAACATGACTTCTCCTACGATGACAAGAGGTCATTCTGAGTCACCGGAGAGCCCTGACGAATTGCAAGTTACAGACCAGAAGCGCCGGAGTAAGGAAATGATGAAGAAGGGTGAGAATGAAAAGCCGTTCTCCCCCGTCAGAGAACAGCGACGATCATCCCCGGCCGATATCCAGCCCACTGTCTTTACGCCATCCAAAACTAAGCGCGGATTGAAGGCGAAGAAACAAAAAGCCACTGCTAATCCAGTGGCTCTCAGTCCATCATCATTTGGAGTTGTCTATGCCCGTTTTGGGTTGATTGAGCAGCAGGCGCCTCATGGCAAGGAGGTTGAGCTTGTGCTGGACAGTGTGCGCGGGGGCATCTTGCTGCGCAACAAGACGGACCCGGCAGGTTGCTTCGATTTACCCTTGCATAAAGTCACCAAAGCCATCGAGGGAGCTCCCCCGAGTTGTAAGGTCAGACTTGTTTTGTCTAAGATGGAAGGGTCCGATCAGAAGATTGATCTAGAATTGTCTTCAGTCGAAGAGAGAGAGCAGTTCTGCAATGGACTAAAGAGACAGAATATCGACCCAGTACAGCGGCCAGTGTATGCATACTGTCCTTCCTTGTTCGTTCATTGAGTATTACGGCGAGTGCTGACTGTATAAAGGGACTGGATGGAGAGAGCCTTTCGTACTCACGATAGGGAATTAAAGCACCATCCCAATGGGCTTAAAAGACCGTCGGCTGTCAGTCCGGAGAAAGGGGCTGAGAAGAAGCCCGCGTCATCGCCGGTCAAAAGAATGCGCCTGGCAGACTCGCTGCGAGACGAAAAAGGAAACCCCACAGTCACCGCCCCCCGGGAATCTGCCCGCCCCTCCAATTCTGCAGCCAAGTCCTCCCCATCTTCACCCGACGTCAGCCCTCGTGCATCCAAACTATCCTCCGGTCTCAGTGTGCAGATCCCAGTCAAACTCTATACTCCCCACTCGTATCCTGTGTCCGATCGCCAGACTAGAGCCATGTTGCGTCGTCGTCCATCAACCACTATTTTAAGGTTAGACTCACTTCACCCCTGTTCCTGAACGCCAACAAACAGCCTACTAACCACGACTAGTGATGATGATGAAGAGGATCTTTCTACTCAGTCACAGTCGGATGGCCCTGTGAAAAAATGGCATAAGTAGGAAATCCTCCGCTATTAGCATGAGATGAATCTGACTGTTGGCTAGACCTCTTGTGTACCCACGATTCGGAAAGAAAAAGGCCGAGGTCAATATGCATGATCGCGACCGACTCCGCCGAAACGATGAGTTTTTGAACGACAATCTCATCGAGTTCTACATTCGTTTCCTGCAAGAACACCTCAATCGGACGCGCGAAGAGGTGTCTAAAAGAGTATATTTCTTCAACTCATTCTTCTTTGACACCCTTGTGAATGTGCCGCGAGGAAAGAAGGGCATCAACTATGACGGCGTGCAGAAGTGGACAAGAAACGTCGACATTTTCAGCCACGACTATGTTGTAGTGCCCATTAACGAACATGCACATTGGTATCTTGCAATTATCTGCAATTTGCCAAACCTGCAGGACCTCGCCGAGTCGCAGGTCGTGGATGAGCCACTGGCCAGCATGGTGCAGTCCTCAGCTCTGTTGGATAGCCAGGTCCAAGAGATACTAGAAACTCCTCCGCCCGAGGTTCGCCGTGTTAGCGAGGGGCCTTTGACATCAAGCGGCGCAGAGCCTGCGCAAGAAGAACAGACTCGTCACTCACTGGCTTCGATGAGTCTGGCTGACGAGCCACCCGAAGATGCTTCCAAGGTGGGAACTCCGGCGGACGAGTGGCCCGAACGCGAGGAAATACCGTCTAATCCGGCGCAGATCTTCCCTCAAGCCAGAGTGGAGCTATCGTCATCGCAAGGAATGGCTTCCCAGGACCCCGCCAGGCCAACGGAGTCTGCAAAGTCACCGCGAAAACAATCGACAAAGCGGACGAGTAAAATTGACGTCACTCAGCCCACCATCGTCACATTCGACTCTTTGGGCATCGCCCGCAGCCCTACCTCCAGAATATTACGCGAATACCTGTACGAGGAGGCAAAATTTAAGAAAGGCGTCGAGATCGATGCCAAGTCCATCCGCGGGATGACGGCTCAGAAAATTCCGCTGCAGCCCAATTTTTCCGACTGCGGGTTGTACCTTCTAGCGTACCTGGAGAAATTTGTTCAAGACCCGGACATGTTCATCCGCAAGATACTCCAGAAGGAAGACGTTGAATGGCCGCCGCTCAAGTCCGGACATCTTCGCAAACGGCTGCGCAAGTTCCTCGACGCGTTGTATGATGAACAGGAGCAGTTGAGTCGGCAGGAAACGAGTGCGAAGGAGACGATGGCGGATCGCCAGCCGATCTGTTATCTGTTAGGATCGCCTATCTCATCACCGGCAGCGCACCGAGAGGAAAAGGCGGTGGAATCGCCAAAGAAAGCTCCTCGGGATCAGCATCTGAAGTCGCCGTTCAAAGCGCCTGAATCACAGCCTTCACAACCCGATCCACATTCGCCATCTAAAGCCCCTGAGATCCAACCGCCGCCGAAGGGTGGCATTGAGGCCAGCGAACTCAAGGACGAAGCGGACGCTTGCGCAAAGGAGAATGAAGATCGGGATGAGATAGACGAGGTCCGTTTGGTGGCCTCCACGCACGATGAGAAAGAGCCCTCTAGTTCGCACACGGGACCTGGAGAAATGGCTTGTCGGAGTCATCCTCCTGAAGAAGTAATCGAGGTTCCAGACAGCCAAGAGCCGACTGCATCTTCGTTGATGGTCAAGCCGGAGTCTGCTCGACCAGACACGCCCATCTCATCTCCGTCCGAAGTCAAGTCGGAGGCCAACAAGCCGTATACGCCGCTGCACTTGTCCGTATTGGCCCTCGACGCCGAAAGCAAGGCACACAAGAAGGGCAGCGGAGATGTGGCAGACCTACCTGAAACCCAAGTCCCAGGGACTCCTTCGAAGCCATCAATGGTCAAGGATAGTCCCACCAAGCATCGTTAGGACTGCAGATAGTTGCCCCTTATCTTGCATTGTCTTTGCGTTGTCTTACAGGTGTTTTAAAGGTGTCTTTTTTGTTTCTTTCTTACTTTTGACATTGCATTTCCAACTCGCTGGCGTTCAGGACATTGTGGGATGCACTTAGCCGTAGCATAGATACCAGATACCAAGCTTCCTTGCATTTGTAGGCGATGATTATGGGGGGTAGGGTGTTTGTGAGGGGTCTTCGTTCCAACTAGAAGATCGCTTAGAGTTCGTTGTGATTGTACGGAATTATGGCAATAATCTCGAAGAAAGATATACGAGTTCAAATTTCACCACCTTTTTATCCACTATGACACGTCGAGGTTTATATATTAAGTTTATATTATATTCAGAACAATAAGATGAATCACCAATCTCTCTCGTCAGCCTCTACCCACCAAGCCAACTTATCCCTCTTGAACGCCTCAAAATCCCATTCGAGGTCCTCCAGCCGATCCCTCCCCGCCGTCCAAACATACGTCAACGCCTCGACCTCATCTCTGAATACCTCGTGACTCGGGATTAGGCTACTTTCAAGTCCATCCCGCACGCCCTTCTCCTCCGTAAGCGCACTCGTCACCCCATCAGCAGCAGTCCCCTTCGCTCTGACCTTCACCCGCACTTTGACTTTGGCATACTCGTCCCCCTCAAACAAATCTAACCGATACACATCCCCGTCCGTCAGACCGGTGACTAGCGTACCCAGAACCGAGGCGGGAGCGCGACTTTCGGCATTGAAAGCGTCTTCTTGGGGAGAAACTGCTGTTGCTGCTGCTGCTGCTGGTCCAACTACCTCCCCGTTCTTCCCCACAGTCCCCTGACTTCCCGGATGGGCGGGGTTTGCTATAATTCCGGGATAATCCGCCCCCCGTACCCGATGACGCCGGTAGCCTGGTAGCAGGGCGGGCTGGATGGTCAGGTAGGCTTTTTGCCAGGGTTCGGGGTCAGGGCGGCCGTGGATGACCCGGTGGAGAATTTGGGGGGACATTAGGGTTCCTTTTGCTGTAAGTTGCAGGGTTGTGGGTAAGGGTGGGAGGTATGGGGGGGCGGGTGGGTGGGGTGGTGAAGGGACAGAGGGATTGGGATTGGGATTAGGTAGGGGTGGGTAGAGAGGTCAATAGCTGGAAAGGGCGAATAGACATACCGTAGAAGAAGAGGACGTGGTCGCCCATTCTGCTTGAGTCCGAGCCTGAGCTTGGGCTCGGGGTGTTGGGATATGTACTTCGTATGGTGGTGTCAATGAGATTGTTATCGGCTCTGCTGGTGGGTGTATACGGCTTATCGATAAGCCACCGACAGGCACAGGCCCCGGAGCTCCAGACTCAGTCCGCAACACACTAAACCCCATTCAGTCCCCCCTCACCAGCCACAATCCCGTGGAGAAAAGGCCCAGGTGGCTTCATCCGTTAACTTGTTTACTTCGAGTCGAGTCTTTGATACTCCGTCTGCAGACATACAACTAAATCCCTCTAGTGTATCTGGATCTCTCTGCTCCCTCTTCCCATGGTTTCCTACTCAGCCCGATAATCCCGCCCAAGCATGCACTCCACCCTCAACCGTGCACAAGCCGTCTTCGGCTTCTTCACGACCGTCGCCCTGTTTGTTGCTGGGCTGGCCGCGCTGTCCGTCTTACTATATCCGACCGACGGGGTGACGTCGCAGGTCAAGCTGAAGGATGTGAAGGTGTATGTTTTCTCTCTCTTTTTTCTTGTCTGTATCTGTGTGTGTGTGTGTGTGTGTGTGTGTGTGTGTGTGTGTGTGTGTGCTCGTTCTTTGTTCATTAACCACTAACGACCACCTCTCGACATGATACAGAATCAAAGGCCGCCCGCACTACTACTCCACCCGCAAAGAAGAGTACGCGCAGATGCGCTTCGACCTGGACGCCGGTGCGTTTTTCCCTCTCCTCTCCTCTCCTCTTCTGTTCTGTTCTCCCTTGTTTGCTTCCCCAAACTCCCCCCGACGATAGCAGCGAGAGACCGCAATGCACTGCACCACGCACCACCGGAAAAAAAGAGAATGACACCCACCTAACTAACTAACGCATGGACAGACCTAACCCCCCTCTTCAACTGGAACACCAAACAACTCTTCGTCTACGTCTACGCAACCTACCCCTCCCACCCCTCCAACGCCTCCTCTACCGCCCTCTCCCACTCCATCCTCTGGGACACTATCATCCCCGCCCCGGAATCGCCGTACACGTTTGACGCCCTGCGCGAGCGGTTCTTCGGGTCGAAGACGCAAGCGGGAAAGAAGAAGGTGTCCACGCGCAAATCCGCGAAGCCGAGCAACTCTCAGACTCGCAGCAAGGCGACCGCTCCGCCGGGCGTTCTCCGTCTCCGCGACCAGAAAGCCAAGTACCAGATCGGGGATGTCTCTGGGAAGATGGCTGAGCGGGAGAATGTCACGTTGAGTGTTGGGTGGAATGTGCAGCCGTGGGTTGGGGCCTTGTGGTGGAGTCCCGGGTCGGGGAGTGTGCCGCGTACGAATGGCGCGGTGGGTACGAGTAAGGCGTTTGATTTGCCGGTGTTGAAGGGGAAGGGTGCTGCGCAGCAACAGCAGCAGAGTAAGGTTGTTGTTTAAGGGACCCGTGGGGGGGGGGGGGCGGTTGTTTTGTTATTGGAATTATGCGGGTTTTACCTAGATGGATTGGGTTGAGTTGTGTGGATTAATGAAACTTATAGGGAAGTTCACATTACGCATCAAGTCATATTGGGTGTTTGTGTCGTAAGGAAGGAGGAGAGGAGGTATTATAAAGATACACAGCCAGGAAGAAATAAGCATTAAGGGTAGGTAGGTATACCCCAAGGAAGTGTGGGAATCACATCATCCTCAGTCTCAGTCATTCTCAAAAGTCCATCCAAACCAGTCTCGCTCACCGCGCGCACAAACAACATAATCAACTTAAACAATCAAAGGGGGAAATCACACCACGATCCGAAACATAAAGCCCACAGACAGACGAAAGTCAACACCTAAGTAGCAACGGTCCACCACAAGTGCCGAACCACACATCTCCGTTTAAATAGTTCCATAATTCGTAGTCTGCTGATGCCGGTGATGCGCCCCTCGCTGGATCCGCTCCGAGTACACTCCCGGCGCCCGCTTGGGAGCGACCGCCGCGTCGGCGTTGCGATAGTAGATGTACTCGAGGTAGAAGGCGTGGATGTGGCCGGGCAGGTACCTTTGCGCACACATTAATATCGATTCTTGAAGGGCTGGGAAGAAAAGGGGGGGGGGGGCTCACCCTAGAATTGTGAGGAGGAGATTGATCCAAAAGTCGGGGCTGCAGCCGGAGATGAGGAATACGCCGAGAGGGGGGACTATTTGCAGGGTGGTGTGTTAGTATGGATGGGAAATTTGTCCAATTTTTTTTGTTAGGGTGGTGGGTGAGGCGTACTGAAGAGGGTGACTAGGATGAGGCAAATCATGGAGCATGTTCCGGCCATTTTGATGATGTTGGATATTCAAAGGTGATGTTGTGGATGATGATGTTGTGGGTAGCGGTGAGGGTGGAGAGAGGTTGTTTGCAGTCAAGTTGCGTTGTTGTTGTTGTTGTTGTTGTTGATAAAATGTACCGAGTTAAGGTAAAGTAACTACTCAGTCAATGTTGAGTCGAAGCTAAGCTCGAAACCGCACAGTAGATTTTCTGCATTTGCCACTAGCAAAGTTGACGGTGTCGAGATAAGTGCCCAGAAAACTCAGCCCAAGAATCAGGAACAAGAGCAGGAATATATAGATGGGCACGTTGTCGTCCTGAGAGGAATTGATGCGCTTCATGATTTTCCCTCAAAGTCTTGTTGTAAGGCGAGAACGATGCCTTCCCCGATATCGACGTCACTGGGACGGGAAACCCCTAAATCACAGTACTAGTATTGGTACAGGGAATGTGATGGACAAGACCTGAATACAGCTAAATAAGGCGGGATGGTATACATGCAGCCATTGCTGGCTTTGACGTCATGGTATACGCACCGTGTGGCTTGATTGGATGCCACTCCCGGGGATATCGCAAGTGTAGCTGCAGGTGGGGCCAGCCAGCCACCGTGGCTGATGCTCAAGTTCATTTCCGAACACTTCAGTATTCCGTAAGTTTAACATTAATTGGACTCGGACTAAGTTTTGCCCTATGCCTAACTACCTAGACGAACGCAGCTAAATCTACACTCTTGTATACCATGTATCACCCTGCAGGGGTTACACCATGCCCCCAGAAACTCCGCGCATATTATTCATACAGCATCGATCGATGCCCGGGTTGTTACCTGCTCGTTCTGATTGCCCAGCTTCGAAATCTGCAAAAATGCATCTACCCCGTATCCTTCCAGGCTATGCAGCTCCAGGCTGCCCGCCCAGTACTCCGCATATACCCGGCTCATCGGCAATCCAATCCCTAGGCGTAGATCAGGCCGCCGCGAGGTCAACGTGTCCAAGGAACTCTCTCGGAAGGTCTCCTTGTCCGCATGCTTCCTCTCCGTCGGCACGCTGAGTTCCTGCAGGGTCGCGGCCATCGCGGGAACCTTACCCAGATTGCGGAGATGGGATTTGCTGTGGGGTCCTTTGTTGAAAGACCACAGGTACGGCAGCACCTCGCGAGGAATACCTCCCCCTTGGTCGGAGACCCGCATGATCACATGCTGCGGTGCCTCGCAGATGAGCACTTCAATCGGCGGTGGCTGCTCCGTCCGTCCCTGCCACTTTTCACTCACGGCCTGCATCGAATTGCGCAGTAGTTCGCCGATAATGTACTCCAGATGGCTGAGCATGTACGGAAAGGTGGCCTCCAGATGCCCCTGAACCGTCACCTCGGGGATCTTGTCTGATCCCGAGGTCTCCCGCATCATATCCTGCACCAGCTTCCCGCAGCGCTCCACCACCTCCTGAGCATTGCATTTAAGGAACACCTCGCCCACAAAGTCGGCACTGGGGTCGGAGCGATCATGGGAGTCTGGGAAGTGCCACGGAGAGTTGAACGTTTCGGTCAACGCGAGATGCTGCTCCGCGATGACTCGACGAGAGATTCTCTGTCGCAGCGCTTAGCGTAGTCCATAAAGCAGATTATTGGAGGCCTACCGCTCTGAGAAGGGTGTTCATGAAATGGTCCAAGACTTCCGATGTCACAAGCTCGCGACATTCCAGCACCCCCATAGCCAATTTTGGGATCACCACCAGATGCTCCTGGAGGGTCTTGCGGAGTATCTCGCAGAAGCGATCGTTGTCATCGAGGGTCTTGATTTCTGGGATAGCCCGAAATCGTTCAAAGGCTTTATAGTAGAGTTCGTATACAAGCGTAAGATGTGGGTTCGCAACTACCACATAGGGGAGTCTTTGAATGTCTCGCAGACGATGTGCAAGCCTAAGGGCGGTCCAGTCGTCAGTCGAATGCCCATCCGCAGACAGAAAGCTTGTACTACTCACCGAGTGGGAAGCTCCGTCCGCACATAGTTGGCCGAGCTGATGAGGCGGGACTCGGTCAGTGTCCGCCCAAAAAAGGTCAATTGTCGTAAACTAATGGGACGAATGTCCCGCTCAACCCAGCTGTCGGAAGACGAATTAGCCCGGGACAGAGACGGAATGCTCTCAGAGAACATGACTCACTTGTCCAATGCGGTGACAGGTCTCCACGGAGGGGGACTGTAGGTCTGATAACTAGAGTAGAATCGCGGAGCTGACAAGCAGCTCCGGCGGAGGGCACGCCAGCATCGAGCTGGATGGCTCGGTGCCATGCTGCGGCTGCGAAAGACGGATTGCACAGAGTCAATTGAGGGAGTGGCATTGAGTTACTCGTCGTGATACAACAACAGTAGCGGTGATCTGGAGTCAGACAATCCACGGGAATAATTCAGCAGCGGACAAAACAGCTCATACATGGCGTGTCAGAGGCGATCACGACGGGACCCACAATGAACGGCCCAGCTCACCATGGCATGATGATCAGGTCATTTATATAACAGCAGGAGTGTATGATTGTCCTTTAAGGAATGGCGAACACGAGCGAGTCCCGGGGAGGGAGGGGGCGGGCGGTGAGAGCAGCCAAAAAAAAGAAAAAGAAGAGAATAGAGGGAGGAAAAGAGAAGCTTGCAGCTTGGCTGGCATGTGACGTGCCTCGCTCGACGCTCCAGTTTTCCCATTCAGTGCACTCACAGACCATCGGGTCAAGTTGTATGGAACTTTGGGTTGAGAATAGGTGAAAATCCGGTTGACCATGACGCTAACTAGTAGATGATTGTCCTAAAGAATTTCCCCCAGCAGGCCAGGAGGCAAATCGTCTATCGTCATACTTGGCCGCGGTAACTATCAGGAACACAGAGTCGGCCGAAGGGAAGATGCCGACACAGTAGAATATCTGAAGAAATGGGTTCGGCTTGCAAGACAGACTTCAAAGAGTGCAAGAATGGACATCTTATATCTCACAACCTATCTGTATCTAGCCGAGTTGGCCATTGAAATCCAATGCTCTCAGCCTCACACCGGAGACCTTGCAGCCAACTACAAGCGAGATAGCGAGGAGGAAAAGGCGGTGGTGATATCACCGTTCGGTATGCGTCCACCACGTTGTGTCCCTCGAACTACTTATACTGTACTTTGCCTGTCCAGACGGAACCGACAATACGGCAGAAGTGGGAGAAATTTAGTAACCTACTGGTAGTCCCTACTGCTGCCTGCCATACTAGTTACTCAGTAGTGTAACTAATTACAACCAAGCTCAAGGATTATTAAGTGAACAGTGAGGCCGGCTGCTTGAGGTACCGTCATTATGCATCTCTAGCACCAAATTACTGTGTACTAGCATGAAATGAACAGAACAAACTGCTCAAGTAGCAAGCAAGGAAAATTGGCGCCTGCGACCGTAGTGAGTGATGTTTGAAGGTAACTTCAGGTCTTCATCGAACATGCAACTTATTCTCCATTCTCCCCCTCGAGACAAGGGATAACTACAGAATAAAAATATTTATAACTAAGGAAAAGATTTTAATAATAAAGACTGGGTGCAGTGTTCCCGCATTGCCGTTATTATTGGGTTTTGGCAACTCCGCCACTAACTTCAAATCCCAATTCCCTGTGGACAGCCTCCAAACGACGGCTCCAGACCTGATCTTCTTCCGGTCTCCTTCTCTCACTTCCCCGTCAATCTTTATTCATTCAATTCTTCCCCCCCCCCCCCCCCCCCCCCCCCCCAGTTGTGGACTGGTTTGCCCTACTATCCTAACCCTCCCTGGCTTCTTTCTTCAATTCCCCTTTCATTCTTCTTGAAGATTCTCTCGGTCTATTTCCTTCCTCTCGTGTAATCTCCGTGAAGAAAGAGTGAAACCCGCCCATCTCAGTGCGTGGAGCGCACCTTTTTCTCCCTCACATGGACAACGTAAGTTCCTGCCAGTCTCAACTCGCTTTCGTCGCGGAGATCTTAGCCACCGTTCCATCCCATCTCCATCGATATATCTCTAGTGCTGATCCTGTAACGTTTTTGTCCGATACCTCCAGGCCGCCGATAGTGATATGCTCGTCGACGAATATGAGCAGTATCACCAAGACCGCACCGACGATGTCGTCGTCTCCCGCTCCGGATCGGACGAACCGGAGTCGGAGCCCTCCGCAGATGACCGTAAGATCCATATAATACCTTCCCATTGTTCTTCTGCGCATCCTGCCGTTTTGCGATGGACCTGGCCCGGCTTCCCATTAAGTCCCCGCCGGGGGCCGCCCTCGACTCGGCATCAACTGCAGCCCTCCTCTTCAGGTCCGAAAAACTGATTCCCTTCTCCGCACCAGATGCAGCAATGATGGCTCGGGTCCTTCCGAAAGACCCTGATTTGGAAACCGAAGATGAGACGTATCACACATGGCATATCCAGGATTGGCGGAAGCTGAAAAAGAAGGAGCACGGCCCCGTCTTTCAATGCGCTGGCTTCCCTTGGTGGGTGCACCAGAAATACCTCCTCGGCTCAAACCTGCCGCCCTTGCTAGCAACTCTGACATTTGGTACCCAGGCGGATCCTGTTCTTCCCGTACGGCAACCATGTTGAGCATGCCTCATTTTATCTGGAGCATGCTTGGGAGGGCGAACCCCCGGCAAATTGGTACGCCTGTGTGCAGTTCGCACTCGTTTTGTCGAATGTGAATGATCCCTCCATCTACGTTCATCACGGTACGTCTGTTCTTTTCCCTTCGCCGAGCAGGACCCTCCGACTAATTGAGTTATAGTCGCAACCCACCGATTCCATGCGGAGGAGGGAGATTGGGGTTTCACCCGATTCTGCGAGCTGCACCGGCTCTTCAGCCGACCCTGGGAGGGCCGTGGTGTGCCTCTCGTGCAGAACGACGAAGCTAAGATTACGGCCTACGTGCGCGTGGTCAAGGATCCGACGGGTGTCTTATGGCATAACTTCCAGAAGTATGCATCCGACGGCAAGCTGTGGGGTCAGAGTCGCTAATCTTTTCTCTAGTTACGATTCGAAGAAGGAGACCGGCATGGTCGGTCTGAAGAACCAAGGTGCGACCTGCTACCTTAATTCGCTTCTCCAGTCGCTATATTTCACCAATCGGTTCCGCAAGGTACGTTTGTCATCGCCGTTTGTTGTTGCCATCGCCTCAAACTGACGGGTTGGCAGGCCGTCTACCAAATCCCAACCGAGGCAGAAGCCTCGCGCGACAACAGCGCGTGGACACTGCAGAGGTTGTTCTTCAACCTCCAGACGAGCGAGAACTCAGTGTCCACCACGGAACTGACTGCATCTTTCGGGTGGGAATCGAGGCAGATCTTCGAACAGCAGGACGTCCAAGAACTGTCGCGAAAGCTTATGGAGAGACTCGAGGAGAAGATGAAAGGCACTCCGGCCGAGAAGGCGCTTCCGGAACTTTTCGTCGGAAAAACGAAAACCTACATCTCCTGTATCAACGTCGACTACGAGTCTTCACGCGTGGAAGACTTCTGGGATATCCAGCTGAATGTCCGCGGCAACAAGACGCTTGATGACAGCTTCAAAGATTACATTCAGGTAGAGACCCTCGAGGGTGAAAACAAGTACGACGCTGGCCAGCCCTACGGTCTGCAAGATGCCAAGAAGGGTGTCATCTTCGAGAGCTTTCCCCCAGTCCTGCACCTTCACCTCAAGCGCTTCGAATACGATATCAACCGCGATGCTATGATGAAGATTAATGACCGTCACGCCTTCCCTATGGAGTTCGATGCCACTCCATACCTCTCGAACGATGCCGACAAATCTGAGCCCTGGATCTACGAGCTGCACGGTGTACTGGTCCACAGTGGTGACCTCAACGCCGGCCACTACTACGCTTTCCTCAAGCCTACCAAGGATGGATTCTGGTACAAATTCGACGATGACCGCGTGACGCGGGCTACAGACAAGGAGGTGCTCGAGGAGAACTATGGAGGGGAATATGAGCTAGCCAACGGTGCTGCCGGAGTCAGACAACCGTACACTCGCGGCCTCTCCACCAAACGCTCGATGAACGCCTACATGTTGGTCTACATCCGTAAGACTAGACTGGATGATGTGCTTTTGCCCATCACCAAGGAGGATGTCCCTTCCCACATTGGTATGTTACACACATTGCTTTAACGTGATTGCAGCAACTAACATAGTGACAGAAAAGCGTCTCGTAGAGGACCGGGCCGAACAAATTCGGCGAAAGAAGGAGCGGGAAGAGGCCCACTTGTACATCAACGTCGGAGTGTTGACACAGGAATCTTTCCAGTCTCATCACGGGTTCGATTTGACAAGCAATGATTTACCCGCCGGCGATCCTGCTGTTCCGACGCAGTACAAGGTACTGCGGGCGAAAAAGGTTTCTGAATTTGCAGAGCAGCTTGCCGAAGAGAGGGGCCTCAACCCTAGTCACATTCGATTCTGGGTCATGGTGAACCGTCAGAACAAGACTACCCGCCCTGACCAAGTCATCTCTGAGCCTACCATGACCCTCGAGGAAGCCTACAATCGGCTTAGCACTAAAGGGAACCCGTTCAAGGTGTACATGGAGGTTGGCAAGCCTTCCGCCGACGGAACCGTGTCCTGGCCCGATAAAGACAATTGGATCCTGGTTTTCCTGAAGCACTTTGACGCTCCGTCGCAAACACTGAGCGGCGTGGGTCCCGTGTATGTTCGCAAGACGCAAAGAGTGAGCGAGCTCGCACCCGTCATTCTCGAACGGATGGGCTGGCCCGCCGGTACCGAGTTTATGCTATATGAGGAGATCAAGCATAACATGATTGATACGATGAAGCCCAAGCAGACCTTCCAGCAGTCTGAGATTCAGGACGGTGACATTATTACCTTCCAGAAGCAGATCAAAGAATCTGAGCTGCCTGCGACAGCTCTATATACCGATGCGAAGCAATTTTATGATTACCTGCTCAACAAGATCACTATCACCTTTGCTCCGCTCAAGTCGGAGGAAGGCGAGGAGTTCAATCTCACCCTGAGCCGGAAAATGACTTATGACCAGTTTTCGAAGAAGGTTGGCGAACATCTGAATGTGGAACCCACCCACATTCGCTTTGCTCCGGTCCTCGCAAGCACCGGCAAGCCTAAGCAGTTCATCAAGCGCAACCCCAACCAGAACAACCAAACTCTGTACCACATCTTAAGCGGGCAAATGTCGACTTATGGGTACAGCATGCACCGTCAGGATGCCCTGTATTACGAGGTGCTGGAAACAAGCTTGAGCGATTACGAATCCAAGACTTGCCTGAAGGTCACTTGGCTGCCTGAAGGTATCACGAAAGAGGTAAGTCGGGACAAACTGATTCAACGTTGGATGCAGGGGCTCACCATATCCACAGCAAGTCGTGGAGGTTCTCGTTCCCCGTGATGGTACCATCGCCGATGTCATTGCCGGTGTGCAGAAGAAAGCCAACCTGGAAGACGATGCCGATATTCATGTTTATGAGACCCATGGCGGCAAGATCTACCGGGATTTCCAACCGGACTCGAAGATCGCGGGAATCAACGAATTTGTGACCCTCTATGCCGAGAAATACCCCGAAGAGGAGCTCAATATGCAGGAGGGTGAGCGGACTATAAATGCCTTCAACTTCGATCGCGAAGCTAGCCGACCACACGGCGTACCCTTTAAGTTTGTTGTGAAGCCTGTAAGTGTCCTTTGCTCTTCCTGCCATCACCTCATGTGCTCACAATATCCAGGGTGAAATTTTCAAACAGACCAAGGAGCGCCTGTCCCGACGAACCGGGATCAAGGGAAAGCAGTTTGAGAAGATCAAATTTGCCGTTGTGCCTCGGAACATGTATACCAACCTACGATACCTTGAAGACGGTGAGTGCAATTCCTGCGAGATGAGACGGTGCCGTGACTGATCAATTGCTTGCAGATGATATCCTTTCCGACATCATTGGTGACTCGGACGACCTGCTGGGTCTCGAGCATGTAAATAAGAACCGCAGCTTTTGGAGCCGGAGCGAGTCATTCTTCATTCGATAGACACCAGGCCTTGTTTTTCCGGTTGTTTGTATTGGCTTGACATTGCTGGACAGACCCCTCTTACGGTCGGCCGGGGGCGTATAGCTGGTCATGTCATTCCGAACCAGCTCGCAAACCTGGTTGCGCAGAGAATAGGAACCCTTATATTATATTCCTCAGGACAGTGTGGATGTTTCATGTTCTTGCGATGGCAGTTTTGTTGTCTATTACCTCGTGTAGAAGAGGGAGCTATAGCCTTAACAAGGTGACCCTTTGCTAGCATGATAACCTCAATTTATGACGTAAGTAAGTTGCGTATGCACTCTTGGGAGGGACTCTATAAAAATGATAGTTTTGTACTGTGCTTGCAGTGCACTACCAGTAACTACTACGGAGTACTCAGTATGTAGGGTTAGGTTAAGGGTCCGTCCGCTGTTGGGAAGCTAATTACTCCCGTAGTTTTAGGGGGGGGGAAATGGGGTGCAAACACAACAAACAACGCGGGCCAAAGTCACAGCTGGCCAGAACTTCCGCCGAGTGTTTGTCGTCGTGTATTCTGTCGTTCTCTTCGCGACAACCAGTCAACCTCCTTGTGATACGGGGCATTTCTCTTGTTTGCTTGCTCGGCTCACCATGCGCTTCGCCGCTCTCGTCATAGGCCTGCTGGCCACCTTTGTTTCCTCGGTGGCCGCCACCGCGTTGACTTACCGACTCGAGGCCAACGAGAAGGCCTGTTTCTATAGCTATGTCGACCAGAAGAACGTCAAAGTTGCTTTCTACTTTGCGGTGCGAATCTCTTCCTCCTCGAGCTATTTTCTCTGTTCTGTGGAAGTGCGTACTGATGGCGTCCTTGTGAATAGGTTCAATCCGGCGGTTCCTTCGATGTCGACTACTCCGTGATCGGGCCCGGCGACAAGGTGATCTTGGATGGTACCAAAGAGCGCCAGGGTGACTTTGTTTTCACGGCCCAGAGTATCGGCGAGTACCGGTTCTGTTTCAACAACGAGATGTCGACATTCGCGGAGAAGATGGTTGATTTCGAGATTGCGGTACGTACTGTCCAAGAGATGATGCGAAGTGGTAGGGGATGGTAAACACGGGGATGGGGTTACATGATGACTATGACCGCCACGCACAATACCCACACGCACGACAAGTCAATGGCACTCCCTCCACCTACGCAAGCACACGACGGTTCCAAGCACACAAGACTAGATTCTAACTACGTGGTGGGGGGTGTATTCCAGGTCGAAAACGAGGAGCGCGCCCAACTCCCCTCCCGACAAGGCGCCAGCCCCGAACAGGCTTCGGCGCTGGAGGAGTCGATCTTCAAACTCTCGGCCCAGCTGTCGACCATCTCGCGCAACCAGAAATATTTCCGCACGCGCGAGAATCGGAATTTCAGCACGGTGCGCAGCACGGAACGCCGCATCTTCAACTTCAGCGTGATCGAGGGCTTGATGATGGTGTCGATGGCGGCGTTGCAGGTCTTTGTGGTGCGCTTCTTCTTCCAGGGAGCTAGAAAGGGTGAGTTGTCTTTCCATTTTTTTGGGGGGCGTAAAAGGCCTTTACCTGGCTGGGAGAGGGACTTGATTGATTTGGAGTTTTTATTGTTTGCTAACCTATGATTGACTCGGGGGGTAGGTTACGTGTGATCTTGATGATGATGTCAAAACATATATTCGATTCTTTTCGTGCCGTGGACAGCAGATAGGAACAACAATTCATATACCTTCCTTTTTTGATGTCAGCGGCTTTTGCTTCTCCTTTTTTTTAGATTGTATTGTGTGGCGTTTCTCCCTTAGGTATGGACTGGTGTCTGTAATGCCTTTGCCCTTTCATTTGACAGATTCCAGGTACCGGGCTGGGGACATAACCTTGTATCTAACTTAAAAAAAGTTTCAAGTCCGAATTCCGGACATTGAAGCTTCGCCAACTAGTACTCGGGTAAGTGGACGATCCAGGTCATTCTTTCGTCGGTGTTTCCCTCCGGTCATAAGTATGTATACTTGGAATTTGAGATGTTGAAGTGATACTAGTATGGATCCTACCATTTCAATCAAGGTTTGTGCTTTCCAAGAAGCAACCAAAAAAAAAAAAATAAAAAAAAATAAGGGACGGTGGACTTCGCAACCCTGCTTCCTTTCCAGATGGATTGAAGTGAGGGGAGGGGAAGGGTGGTGGGAGGCAAAAGAACGCCATCCATGCCTACTGTCCGCCTCATGTGGGACTGCACTCTGAACTACAGCTGGTTGACCGCGATTCTCCTCCGACTCGCCAATCCTGTTTCTTCGGCTCTTCGGGCGTTTCCTGCAGTGTGTGTCAGTGTTGTGTGGGGGCATCCTGTCCTTCTCACGAGAGGACAGAAAAGCAGGGTCAGGGTGCTTGGGAAGCTGGAGTGGGTGGGAATGTGCTTTTTCGCCATCCGGTTACGGGAGTATGCATGTCATTTGCCATCTTCGTTTCGTCATGGGCTGATGGTGTCGTGGTGTGGTTTGTGCTTTGGCTTGATGAGAGAGGGTTTGGCTAGTGGGTTTGGGGGATGGGGCCCGGGGGGGAGCAGTTATCCTTTTCTTGGATGATGCTGCTAGGTACAGTAAGATAGGGGTGGGTGATTTACAGTAAGTACTCTATCTCGACACCCTACTACGGTTCGTACTGGCTGCCCAGGAGGCGCTCAGTACTCGGTGGCCACTTTCTATATGCTGTGAAGTATATGTGTGGTACGTGGTATTCTGGGGACGTAAGAGGTACTTACGTTTCTTCTGTGGTTTTTTCAAGCATATTGTGGTATATGCGCCAATACTAGTAGTCAAAGTATATTGCAGAGCTCGTAGTAAGAAGGTATCAAGAGGAGTGGGACGGAGGGACGGAGTATGAGTGAGGAGGCAATACTGAGGAGCATATAGGCAGGCAGACCACCCCGGTTTCATCTCACCTCCCCGGGCTTCCACGCGTGGCTCAATGCGATGTGCTGGGGAGTGGTATAAAGAATTAATGACGGGATCAGATACTAGAAGCCCTTGTGAGTGGACAGGGCACAATATCACAGAGGAGAATTGATGATGTTATTCGCCATCTTCGTCATATGAAGGCGGCCTGATCGATGGGACGGTCTCTGCTCTTGGCTTACAGTACCTCTGGTTGGCAGGCTGGTTGCTAGAATGCTACTGGAAGATGAAAGAAAGCCATCCATCCATCCATCCTTCTCTTGATCCTCGCCATCTCGTCATGATACGAGGGATAGCAGTTTGAGGGTATAGTAGATGGCTCTATGAGTATGCAAGAGATTATAAAATGGCAAAATCGACTGCTTCGATCTGATTGGGAGTGGAAAGAGGAGTATATGTTCCCAAATATCAAGGGATCAATCAATATAACTACAAATGTGACTTCGGAGATGATACGCGTGGCGTCAGGGCTGACACAGAATATCTATTGGTCGGCCGAGATTAACATCCCGCAAAGAACATTAAAATTGAGAGCTTCAGCCTCAAGAAAGGATTCACACTGCGCAAGTCGCAGCATGGGGGCGGGGGGGAGGCGCTGGAGGGTGACGGTTCCACGAGTTTGAAAGAGGGCTTTGGGGTATGACGTTTGTTTTCATGGGACGAGGATGGATAGAGAGTGCACGACCAGGGATCACTCGGTCGCTGGAAGAAATTGTGTCTCTTCCATTGTAGTAGAAGAAGAAGAAGAAGAAGAAGAAGAAGAAGAAGAAGGGAAAACGATGCTGACGACGATGATGATGATAATAATGATGATGATGACCTAGATTGAGTCGGGGGGAGGCGAAGGTGATATCATCTTGACTGAGAGGCCCTGCGCGGCCCTGCCAGCCACGCCTTCGTCTTGCCCTCTCTTCGATTTCTCACCCCCCAACTAAGGAATACCCGGTGGTTATTGTCATTATTGTTCTTGAGAACAAGAGAGATTATTGTATGTTGTATGAGATTGAGGCAAACCAGATCGTTGGAATGTAACTTGGAATATGCCCGTCGGTTTCCGCTGACTTCATAGGACAATGACAGCACATTTCAGTTTCCCTGCGGCGCGCAACCGTTAATGGGTTCTAGAACATGCCAATCGTGCGAGGATTTCGGGTTGTACGTGGTGATCAACGGTTTGAGGTCCCTCCCTGGAAGTTTCGCTATTTCTGCAGTAGCTATGGTTGAGCGTATCAATGCGCGGACTCCTGTACTCTAGACATGCTCTACGCCATTCAGCGGGTTTGTTATGGCACGATGCGACTTCGAGATGGGACTGGACTGAGGGCAGGCAGGGGTTTCGATCCACAGTAGAGAGCCAATGGTGTGTATATTGTGTAGAATCTCAGATCTCGGTAGCCATTGGCTCCTCGTTCACCTTCACCGAGGTGTTACGGAACAAGAGAGAACCAGGAGAGGTTAGTTGGCTTCTTCTGCTGGATTGTGTGTGGGAGGTCGTGGAGGCGGAGAGAAGAGGCTCATCGATCCACCTCGGTTCTGGACGCCGATCGACGGTGTGTGGGTTGTGGATTCTCAGGCGGATAACTCATGCGCAGTCGTGTTATCGCGATAGTCGACTGCGATTGTGCAGTGTAGATGAGGAGGCTTGTGTGTAGAGAATCTGTGGGAGGAATGGTGGTGGTGATGGTGGTGTATTGTTGTTTTAATTAACTACGAGGTAGTGGCAGACTAGGAACAGGCCGGAAAAGTAGTTCCATGCATGACCTCCAACCCTTCTTGACTACATGGTTGTTCGTTCTCCTGGGGTCTGTTTTGGGTTCTTTCTCTTTTTCCTGGCCTCACGATCTCATCTCAATCACAGACTCAATGCGCGTCTTTGTTTTCTAGTTTCTGCAGCAACTGGGGGGAGTATTAAAGGTACAGGGAGTGCGGTATGCGACTCCATCCATGACTCGGTGGCACTCGCCCGTGACGTCAGTGCGCCGGGCCTCAGGCACTGGCGCCGGCAATTTTCCGAATCCACCATCATCCACTAGCCATCACCAACCACCACTAATCATCTCTCTAGTTAACTACAAGCTCCAAAAACACTGTGACCACAACGTGAAAGCATCCACGGACCCTTCGCTGGGCCCCGAATCCGCTCTGGCGACGAATCAGAAGCTCTCGAACCTTTCGATTCCTCGTTCATGAGTTCACTTGCCATCATCACCCTCTGCTCAGATAAGACGATCCCTCCCCAAATCGATGCTTCCCCAGCACTATCCCCCTCCCCGATCGGTGGCATCTTCTGCCTGCAGGAAAATGGACAGCGCTTTGTCTGTTCGGGGAATGGCTTCACACCTGGGCCACTTGGGGAACTTTGGGAGGATCTCTTCCAGACCTCCAGTTCCCCTTCCCCCTCTCCACTGCATAGACTAGTGAATTCTGATCGCCCCCATCTTCTGTGTTAGCTCCGGCTATGACACATCGTGTCCCAAGTTCCATCCTCATGCCCCCTGTTCATGCCAGCCCGCTGTCAAACAATCCGAAGTAGCTTCTAGCAACGAGCTCAACTTAATGCTCATGTCGCTAAAGTCCTGCCACCCTTCCCGCGCCCCCTCCCCCTCCCGTTGCAGCGTCGATCTGCAGGGACGGGGCGCCGCAGCAGTGACCATAAGCACAAAAGGCCGCCTGTCGATCTCACAATGCCATGTATCGCAGATGAACCAGTTGCAATTCACCGGTGACCTCATTCTGCTCTGAGGGTTGGTGGACCGTGGTCCGTCTGGGGGAACACTGACCCTTGAGAGCCAGTGGAGTGCGGTTATTTCCGATCATCCCTCTGATGAATGTACACGACCGGACGCCCCCCATGTCGCCGCCGCCGCCGCTGCAGCCCGTACCGATGAATTAAGGGACTTTACTGGGGCTGGGCAGGACCGAGTTTTGGTTCTGCGAAATTGGTCCCCTCTTGTAAGTAAAATGCCGGACAGACGCCTCTCATTGGTGGCTGTGATGTCATCCGCCGCCTCCAGGTCGAAAGCATAACCTCATCCGTGGGCATGGGTTTGTGGGTATTTCCGTTTTGATGTGGGCCATCATGCAGACGACAGTTTGGAACCTACTGTCACAGCGTGCACAGGCGACCACCGTCATTATTGTTGTTGTGATCTCATGTCGGAGCCGACAAGCAGATCCAATTGACGGGTGTGTCCGTCCCAAAGCCTATATTATGCTCTTTCCAGACGTCTTCTCATTCATTTCCTTTCTCCAGCCTCCTGTTCTATCAAGACGAAGCTAGTCCTACCGTGGGCATTTACGAATCTTCTTTGTTCAACTGTTCTGCGTATCTTTTCTAATCTTCGATTTTCCGCTACCAATCTGTGCCAAAGGTGAGCCTCAGAATATCCGGTTCTACCATTCGCGATATGCCCTTCCTGTATGTTTGCTCCTTAGCGTGGTCGTTGACCTAAGAGACCTTCTCCATCTCGATGGGCTCTTGGACCACGACACGCACGCTGCATCCCATTGTGCTACTTGGGACAAATAGCTAATGTTTCGGTTGATAGACAAGATATGATGGCAACCTCGGTGCATGAAGACCAATATCGCTCAATGCCTCCCTCTGGAAGGGAGGGCTGCCGTGCTTCCGGTGACTACCACATCAACAGCAACCGCACCATGGACCCTAACACATCGGTGGAGGATTACAACCGGGTTATGCTGGAGTACACCCAACGTCGGATGGCTGATTTCGCCGAGTTCGACGACGACAAGGGCTCGTTCCCGAGCCGCAGCAGCCGCAGCAGTCAGACCAGCGGCGACAGTGGCGCCTCGACCAGCGGCGTGCTGGCCAGTCAAGCGGCTGGACCGACTTCTACTTCCGCCGGGTTTCCTAGTGTCTCCGACGGAGGGCGCCGCAGGGTCGGCGCAGACTCGTTCTAAGTCGGGACTCGCATGGATGGTCGAAGCTGCGCTTTGACCCGGAAGTGTTCATGTGCGGGTGTGACCAGTACATATGAGTTAATGTTTACGAAAAAGGAGTTTGTGTTGTGCTGTGGGAGGACTGGTGGCTGATCCTTTCGAGAAAAGGTGTGTAGGGCCACTGGGGTCTCAGGTGTTTGTGAATTTATGGATTAGCGAGAACGCCTTGATATAGAAAGCGAAGCGGAACCCAGCGACAAGCGGTTACGCGATAGAAGGGCGATGTCTCGAGCTTGAGGCTTGACGATTCTACCCGTGTGATTTGTGATGCTTCTGCTGATGTTATTGATACCTCGAATGGCATGGATTTAATGAGTCAGTCTGTTTCTCTGTACAGTCAGGCTTTCCACTGCAAAGATGGTCTGCTCCGAGGTTTTATACTCGTTTACATACAATCCCCGAATATGTTATTTTCAGGGTGTATTTCGTTCCTACTACTGTCACTCTTTGGTACTTAAGATGCTGCACAGGTTGTACTGCCAGGCAAGACGGTCGATTATCCACATAATATATAGCTGGCTTCCATCAGCATGAGATCGTAGTTCTATATTCTTGCATATTGTTCAGTGTAACTGACACAGTACTGGTTTCTTTTTGGTGTCAACTGGTGTGTGTCTGGGTTCAATCCTTGCTTCAGTCAACCTCCTCGGGTGTCCACCCCGACCAACTGCAACACCGCAGAACGTACTATTTGTTTACAGCCCGTTCATCTTCGCGGTTTCTGGCCAAGTACAAATTCATCACTTCCAAGAGATACACCAACATTCCATCTTGTTCACCACATTCCAAAACCAATGTTCTGGCGCGTCCTTGCCGGGAAAGTCGATCCCATCAAGGGAGGAATTTTGTCTTGTCTACACGAATGAGACATACCATATAACGCCTTCCAGCCCCTTGAAAGGAGCCTGGCAGAGGGAACTCAGCACGACAGCCGACACGCCTCCACCCACTCCATTCAATCGTTCAGCTGGCGATTCATGCGAATCTGACCTTATACACTCTTTGTCTTCGTGGATATCGACTTACCACTACCAACGAAAAAACGAAAAAAACGAGAAAAAAAATAGAAATAAAGATGAAACTCCTGCCCACGCTGTTCTTGCTCACTCCCCTCGCCTTGTCCATTCCCTTTGCACCGGTCCCGGCGCAGCCTCATGATGATAGCCCGGATGGAGTCGCCCAGCGCCCTCAAGGTGACGACCCAGGCGCAGCCCTGAAGAACTATATGCTGGAGAACTTCCCTACCAAAGCCAGCAGCTCCAAGTCCCGCGGCCATACCGCGTCCACAACCACAGAGGCAGACCCAGCCATCGCCACGGTGACTGCTACCGTGACAGTCGCCGCCACGACAGCCGCAGACCACGATCCCACCCCCAAGACCACCAGTGTGTCCAAACCTACGGCGACGACCACGGTGACGGTCACTGCGACGGCGACCGCAGCTGCCGCAGACCACAAATCCACCTCCACCTCCACCTCCACCAGCGTGTCTAAACCTACAGCAACAACCACGGTGACGGTCACTGCGACGGCGACCGCAGCTGCCGCAGACCACAAATCCACCTCCACCTCCACCTCCACCAGCGTGTCTAAACCTACAGCAACAACCACAGTGACGGTCACAGCGACAGCAACCGCAGCTGCCGCAGACCACAAATCCACCTCCACCTCCACCTCCACCAGCGTGTCTAAACCTACAGCAACAACCACAGTGACAGTGACAGCGACAGCAACCGCAACAGCAGCCGCCGCAACCTCAGACCCTAACCCAGACCCCGAACCCGAAGTCGAACCCGAAGTCGAACCCGAACCCAAGCCTACAACCACACCCAAACCCACCACCACCACAACCACAGTAACAATCACAGTGCCAGCAACAGCAACAGCCGCAAACAACCCCACTCCTACCTCGGATCCCCAATCCAAACCCAGCAAAACCCGCAGCACCGGCGACAACGACGTCGACACGGACACGGACACGGACACCGACCCGGCAGACGACAGCGGCCTCAGCAACGCCCTCGGCCTCGTTCCCAACCCCAACGCCAACCAGAACCCAGATAACAGTCAGACGTGCCCGACCAACCGACCCTCGAAGCAATGCTGTCAGAGTATCGAGAACGTTGCCGATCAGGTGTTGCAGCCGTTGGGGCAGTTGGTACCGTATCTTTCTGGGGTGGATGTGTCGAGTTTGCTTGCATTGGAGTGTATGTTCCTCCCTCCTCCCCTTTCCCTTTCCCTTTCTCTTTCACTCTGTGTTTTTATGTAAATGTGATGGGCAGTGTGTATATGCGCTGGGTTTAGGTTTTTTACTGACCTGTGTTTATCATTTGTTTTCATTGGGGGTTACTGACTAACTATTGTTTTTGCTGGGGAATACTATTAGGTGAGGGAATGGCCGACTCTGATCCCAACGCTGGTTGTTTCAGTTCCGTGATGTGTTGTGAGGGGACGCCGGGGGTATGTTCCATCTTCCTGCTTCTTCGGGTGAGAGAGGGTTGTATGTGCTAATGACCTGCTAGAAAACCGGTAAGCAGCAAACGCTGAAGACGGCGTGCGCGAACTGGGACCAGGCGCAGCAGGATAAGGCGGAGGACGCGGCTGCGCAGCGCCTGGCCTCGGCGTCGGCCACGCCCGTTGCGTCGGCGGCGCCGGTGGCTACGCCGGCGAAGAGGCAGTTGCCTGCGCTGCCGTTGCCGGGGCTGGAGGAGTTGGGGAAGTTGTTGAGTGGAGATGGGGTGGTAGGACATCAGGGGAGTGTGCTGGGGCTGGGAGGGGCCCCTGCGGAGTAGATCCATCCACACTCCAGTGGAGTCGGGATGCGGGGGCGCTGGGAAGTTTGAAAAGAAGGGGGGTCCGGGGGTTCTCCCCCGGAACGCATCTCTTGATGGATGAATGGATGTTATAATATACATGTCTGGTGGAATGGGATTGGATTAGAACGTTTGTCTTATTCAAGTCATGTATTGTGAGTCGATAGCGTAGAGTTCATTGATTCTCTGTTTACCAGTAGTTCTCTATCTGTCTTTCTATCTGTTCATCTACGATGCACCACCACCACCACCACCATTATCTCCCCCGCGGATACCCCTGCCAGCCTTGTCCATGGGAGCCATGAGGAGGCGGAAAGTGGTAGGATCCTGGGGGCATCTGCTGGGCATACTGGCCCGGTGGGTGGTACTGGCTGCCTCCCGGGGGCGGGGGTGCCTGCTGGTAGGGGGGTGGGAAGTGGGAGGTTTGTTGCGGAGGAGGGAAAGGCATGGGGGGCGGTGGTGGAGGCCATGGGCCCTGGTAATTCGGGGGCGGCGGGGGAGGGGGAGCATGCGGGAGACCCGGTGGGAAGCCGCCCTGGAAAGATGACGGCGGTGGATAGCCCATAGACGCAGGAAGTGGAGGAGGAGGAGCTGGCGGGAGCGCATGTTGTGGTGGTGGTGGTGGTGGTGCACGTGGAGGGATTGAGGGAGGCAGATGAGAAGGAGGCGGAAGCGGAGGGGCCGCATTGGCGTAAGGTTGACGATATTCCTGCTGGAACCCAGCCGGACGGGGAGAATACGACCGAGATCGTTCTTTGGATTTGGACGGGGGCGGCCACGGTCCTCCGCGCGGAGGCGATCTCGACCTCGACCTCGATCTCGACGGGGACCTCGAATCATAGCGTCGTCGGCGCGGCGAGCGACTGTCGCCCCGCCATCGACCGCCAGCCTCGCTCTCACTCTCACTCTCACTGTACCGGCGCTTGGGATACGCACCCCGACTTCGACTGCGGGTACTCCTGCTCCGGCTCCTGCTCCGGCTTCTGCTGCGACTGCCCTCCCGCCCCCTCGCCGCCCGCTTCTTCATCTGCTGACAGAACCCCCTCGACCAGCCATAGTACGTCTCCCCCTTGACGACCTCCCCGCTCAACGACTCGCGGACCACCACCTGGCCCAACTCATCCAAATCCACCATTTCATCCTCGGCATGGTCGACCGCATCCTCCTCGGCGACAGCCACCCCAGCATAAATGCCCTCGACCTCGCCCAGAAACCTCTTCAACGCCCCGACCAGCTTATCGTCCGCCGGCCCCGCCAGGAACTGCAACGGCTTGATCGCGTCCCCGCGCAGCGGCACCGCCTCATCGGGGATAATGTGCGGGATCAGGTTGCCCGCCGGCAGGTCATACCAGGGGGTGGCGGGGTCCCCATGCGTGGCCGGCATGACAAACGGCAGATCCTTCTGCTGCTGCTGCTGCACGGAGGAGAGCTCCTTCTCCGCGACGGCGATGCTCTCCTCGACGATCAGCGAGGTCTTAACGGGGCCGGATAGCGCGGCATTCTTGACGACCTCGCGGAGCTTGTGCACGTAGTCGGTTGCGTAGTAGTTGTTCTCGGCCCAGATCGACAGCAAGTCGTCCAGCCGGCGGTGGTGTTTGGGGTGGTGCTCGCGGTCGTAGCTGGCGGCGTAGCCGATCAGTTCCACCAGGTACGGTTGGAGGGCGCCGGTCAGCGTCGCGAAGGCGGCGGTCGTCGGGAGATGGTATTTGGTGTGGTGAAAAAGGTCATTGAGGAGGTAGAGGATGTGTAGGCGTTTGCGCTTGGCCGAGGTCTTTTTGGAAGTGGGCGGAGGCGCTTCCGGGTTGTTGGTGTTGGTGTTGTTGGTGTTGTTATCTTCGAGTGAGGCGGACAAGGCGACCAGGTATTTGGCCCAGACGCCGACACGATTGGACGAGGAGACTACTTGGTGGTCGATGAGCCAGTCTTTGCAGGTCTAGATGGTCCGATTGTAGGCTTTAGTATGAGAAGGGTCTCGGGAAGGCCACAGGCGACGGCGGCTCAAACCTGGATGTTTGCTGGGGTGCATTGCGACAGCGCCCGGTCGAGCGCGGTGTGGAAGGTGGTGATCTCGTCGCGGGGCACAGAGGTTGGGTCCGGTCGCAGTAGACCCGCGGAGAAGGAGGCCTTTGCGATGGCAAGTTGATGGGATGCCATCGCTTCGGATTGAGGGGTGGGGTTGTGTTGATGATGAGGAGAAGTTAGGTTGGAGTGAGAGAGACTCGGGAGAGGGTCACCTCGGCGGTTGCGGGCGGGAGCTTATGGCGCCACGTGATCCCGTCCGCCCTATTATGTAGAAATGTAGTAGAAGAGAGGAAGTAGAGCTACGTAACATTCAACCGACTTGAGATTAGGGACCCCGAATTACTCCAATCACTCGTATGTAGAACATGCATCATCCATAAGCCAAGATTGTACATGCCACTAGGTGGCGAGAAGCGAACTTATTATCATCACATAAGCAGAAACAACCAGCACTCAATCACTACTAACTCGTCTCGATCAACCGCCTTAGTACTTGCGGCGGCCGTGGCCTCCCATAATATTGCGGCGTGACTTGTGCGAAGGGGACGGGGTAATGGTGACAGAGTGGGAGGAGGTGTGGGTGGAGGTCGTGTAAGCGGTCGAGGTGGAAGTAGCATGCGCCGCGGCACTGCTGGGGTGCGCCTTGGAAGTAGCCGAATTCGCGGCGTGGGAGGAAGAAGCCTGCTTGGAGCTGCTCGCCTTGGAGCTGCTCGCCTTGGAGCTGCTCGCCTTGGAGCTGCTCGCCTTGGAGCTGCTCGCCTTGGAGCTGGTCGTCTGGGAGCTGCTCGCTTTGGAGCTGGTCGTCTGGGAGCTGCTCGCTTTGGAGCTGGTCGTCTGGGAGCTGGTCTCCGAGGTCTTGGTCGTGGTCGTGCTGGTTGAAGTGGAAGTAACCTTGTCAAAACCAAAGCACTTCTCAGACAGCGTGGTAGCGATGGACTGAACAAGTTAGTACACATGCTCTCGGTGTGTCACGAGCGTTGAAAACCTACCGCAATGTCCCAGGAAGTGATAGGATTAGCTTCGTCACTTGCACTCGCGACATCAGCGACCAGGTTGACGCCCGCAGAAGGTGTGACTTCGACGGCGTAGTGGTAGTCAGCCGAGTCAGCCGAGCAAACACCCTGGCTGGCTACATCCAGTTAGCAGCAGTACGACAAGCACCAAAAGAAGACCACTCACAAGCCTCAAGAGCCAAGTCAGCTCCCACATAGGGCTGAAGGTAAATACCACCCTCCCAGCCGTAACCTATCTCCTGTTAGCTTTGAGCCACCCTCCGGGCAACGGGGGCTTACCGAGGATGTCGAACTCAATCTCCACAGACACCTTGCCGTAGATCTCGACATTGGCCTCCAGCTTGGCATCGAGCGTAAAGTCCTTGGTGGTGACGGTAGGAGACCATCCGCTCTGGTCGAAGCTGAATTCATTCTTCGCGCTTTGGTCGAAACTCAGCTCCGCCTTGGCCGAGTCACTGACATCGATCTCGACACCCATGCCAATGGTGGCTTCGCCGTCGAGAGGACCGACCGACCACCCCAGGGCAATCTTGACCATGGGACCAATCGTGGCGATTTTCGCAATGCTGATGCCGTCAATCGGGATGGTGACCAGGTCGACTTCGTCAGCCTCCGACTTGGTCAGGTTTCCAGACAGCTGGAGCTGGGGTTCGAGATAGGCAGAGACATTACTAGGCGTCAATGTGACAGACGCCTTCTCGCTACCGAGGAGACTCAAGACACTAGTCGAGTATTCAAAGACCATGTCGAATTTTCCCGACGTCTTGCAGGTGGAGCAACCGGCAGACAGCGAAGCGCTGTCCTTGTCGAACAGAGATTTGTCACTGAAGGAAAAGTCCTTGGCGATGTCAATGGTACTGTCCTTGGTACCCGTTCCTCTCTTCTTGGTGGTACCCCGTTTGGCGATGGCGATCTGGTCATCGGTCTCGGCCTTAGCAATCCTGAGAGAAAATTCGCTCACGGAGTTCTGCCACTCAGTCACATTTCCGGTGAACCTGGCAGTATTGACGTTGTCTCGGAAGCTGGCTCCCGTCATGATGAAGGGCTGTCTGGCGGTATTCCAGCCACACTGACCAGCACCGGCCACCAGCAGGACATAATGAGGATCTGCCTCATTAAGCCAGCTCCAAGCACTCTTGGCATAAGTGTACGAGGCTGAGTCCGAGAATGCAACAGTTACACTAGCACTAGTGCCGTTGGTGCAAGTGACATTCTGGACCAAGTCTTTGAACGCCTCCATGGCAAGAACAGTCTCATAACTCTCCAGCATGGCAACTGTGAAGTTTCCCAGGACGTCGGTCTCGCCACCTACGATAATCGCTTTAGCTTGGATACAGGTATCAGAAGGCGTTCGGGAAGCTTACCACCCCAGTAGAACGAGTGCTGGTTCTGCAGATCCAAGGAGGAGGTTGAAGTCGACGTAGTGGATCCGGACACAGCTACCTTCTCCAGAGTGTTGGTCGCTGTTTCATACGAGTCGATCTCAGCAAGCTCCACAGACAGAGCTTGTTGATAGAAAGCATAGGCCATGAGGCCTGATGCCAGACCATTCTGAAAAAGTCTGACCATTTCGACTATATGACAACCGGGTCACAAAGTCGAAGTAAATGAATGAAATGGGATAACCCTGAAAGAGAGTGTATCACGATAGTGATGAAAAGAATGGCTGTCACTATGGACCAGAAAGAGTGACTGAGAGAGAATGTGATGATTGTGTGAAGATCTCATAGACTCGCCGACATCGTCTGGTCTTTTAAACAGGCCATACTGTTGGCCCCCAAGCTGGTCCGTTCAGGATGTCTTAGCGATCTCATCTCAGACCGGTTCACTTGCTCCTTTCATTAGAGAATTGAGATTCCGCAAAGAGTAAACTTCTAGAGCCGAGCTTCCACTTGAACACTTGAGAGGCGCAGCAAGGAAGACAGTACGGGTAAATCCTAGTGTAGTTGGGGGCGGCTGCATAGGGCTTCGTTGAGATCCATAATAGCAGCCTCTGCCCATACTTCTCCCCGGGGCTGGCCCCAATGCGGACTAAAGTCTTTGAACTCTCATGTTGCTTTGATTTGAGAGGTGAAGCAGCTTCCTGCTATGAAGGATGTCATGGCAGGTGGTGAACCTTTCTTGGCGTTAGATCTGTTCCTGGTCTAGACAGAGTGAGACGGCCGACCTGTCCAGCTAGGAGGAGAGGGTCATTCCCACAACAATAAGAAAATTGACTTGAGGTCCCTGCTTGCCGGTTGAGAGGCTCAACCTGGTAAACCAACACAGGTCAAGCATTCTGATCTATGGGATAGGTTCAGAAATTGCTTGGCTCGGATCCATGTAGGCCCCCACTATCATTTTCGCTCTCTCCGACAGCATTCATTGCTCAGAGCTTCCCGGGATGGGCTTGAGTATAAGCCGGCACATGCATCGAGAGTCGTTTGAGTATGGTTAGGATGCTCAATGCGAGACGAATGTACATAGAGATGGAGAGTCGATGAAGACGTGCTCGGCGAAGTGTCTCACGGGCTAGAGATGACATTTGTCTTGGTCCGGACGAAGCCCCGACACTAACATAGGCGATAGAAGGCTGGGCAGTACCTCAGCTGGCGAGACGGCTGAGTTCCTGCTTATGCATAGCTGGGGTAATGGCAAGGAGTGGTACCGTTCCGAGGGTCGATGCATCTTCGTGATCCCTCCTAGTCAAGCTCAACTGCTCAGCCGCAGCAGGAACCTGAAAGCAGAATAGAACTTGCAAGAATAAGTGTTTAATGCGGGTCAGTCAAGTCTTGTTCACCCCATTCCCCTGCATCAGGAGGTGGCCCCCACGCGGAAACGGTGCCTTTCGACTAGAGTGGCTCATGTTGAACCAGTGTTTGAGTCTCTGGGGGCCAAACCGGGGGTTCTTGCGTGGGGTCAGCACTGAACTGCTAAGGATTTGACACATTGACTGAATAAAAGAAAGTGAAATGTGTAAGTAGCAGTCAATTGTTGTAGTTGAGGTGTAGGAGTAACTGAAGGAAGTACCGGGCCAAGGCCGACCTGGCCGGCGTCAAGTAGTAGCCGCCACTATGAAAATTCCCGTGACTCGGAATGACCATTACTAGTATTAGTATATGATCCCTATGTCCACTTGTGTATTCACTATTGAGATACTTACTACATAATGCAAGTATACCAAGTGGCAGTATCCCTCAAAGGCAAAAGAGAATGCATTGGGAGACTCGGCAAACTCGACAGGACATCCATCCACTCTTCGCCCCTTGCCTCCATAATCGCTATTTTCAAATGTCCAAGAGAATGTGATGGCCCTTAAGTTGTATATTGGGATCTCCAACACGGACGAATAATATCTCCTTTCTTCTCACCGATGCCAGAGCCTGCGAAGTCGCACAGTCCGATGGATAGATCATCCGCAACAAGACAGTTGCGGGCTGGATAGTCCTTGGAGATCAGTTATGCGAACCGATGACGGGCCATGGAAATTATCGGTAAGGTTGCGCTGGGTGCAAAGATGGGTCCAGTGAAGCCCCAGCTGTGAACACGAGGGAATCAGAGAACAAGAGGAAATGGTAGCGCACGGCCTGCTGCTCGACCATCTCAACTGCAAACATATGCAGCAACCTCGCAACAACTTGATCCCAGCCTACAGCATGACCATATTATGACAGGTCTCTCGAAACAGTACAGCCAGCTGTGACGGGTTATATCCAATCAGGTCAAGAGACGAATGTATATGTATATGTATACTGGCTGATGCTGGCGGTAACATCTACTATATCACGAAGGCCAACCGTCCTATACACCCCTCTCTGATGTTTCCTGCACGATATAGCTGCGGTCCAAAAGCAACTCGTTTAGTCCTCGATCCCGACCTGCAGCCACTAACTTGTTTCTGATCTCATGAAGCTGCTTGCCCCCTTCCAGAGGAAGTGTGCCAGACATGATATCTACAAAGATCGACCGGCTCGCCACGAACAGATCACAAATAGAGTCCGTCAACATCGGCCAACCAAAACTGTGAGTATACCCGGCCGCTCCAGCTACGTAGAGCAGATATGAGAGATAACCGAGTTCAAAGTATTTGTGGCGATTGGTTGCGACTTGCTGCAAAGAGTCTAGAGTGCCCTGGCCTCGCATTAACTCTACCAGATTGATCGCTTTCCGAAGGCCCAGCACCTTCCGGACCTCGGATTCATATTTCGAAAATCGTTTCAGAAGTCCGGAGCATGCTTTCTCTTCCAGGTCGGTCTTCCAGAGCTTGTGGTCTCGCAATTGCACAGCCTGCGGTGTGTCTAACTCCTCCCTCAAATGGTCTATCACAATCAGGAGCATTTGAATCATGGCTTGACCGGAAGAAGTCAGGACACCAAGAACCCATGATTGAAGTAGTTGGAAGCTTTCTCTTGTCAACCGTACGCTTTCCAGCTGATGTACGCTGAGAGAAGAATAATCCCCAGCAACCACCCATTTGAAAGCGAGCAGGCTCAGCATAAGCCGATCCACAGTTGCGAGGTCCTCAGCAAATAGGGAGTATGACGGGGAGATTTCGCCGTTCGGTAGACGACCGTGTTTGACTGGCTGTTGGGGTTGAACAGCCAGCTCTGTTTCGCGTAATAGAGTAACTTCGCTCTCGAATTCGCTATGAAACATTTGAATCGCATGAGAGTCAGTCAGAAACTTGAGGTCTCCTCGAAGGATAATCTCCGACAATGAGTTTTCGACATATAATCTGGTGGATCGCCATTCGAATATCTGCTTCACCACTTCATCATGCTGGTAATCGGCTGCTATGGAGATTGGTGTTCGACCTGCTTGATTCCGCACTCGATAGTCGGCGCCTCGTTTATACAACACCTGCAATATGGAGGAATGTCCGCTGCGAGCTGCTAGCCAGAGGGGTGTGGCCTGGGTCCGAGACTTGCTATTGACGTCTATCCCCTTCACTTTGAGAAGGGTTTCCACGATAGCTAAGTGACCCTTCTCAGCCGCGTGATGTAGCGCCGTGTATCCTTCGAGGTCGGGCAAGTTGATTTCACAAACATTCAGCAAGCGTTGTACAATTGAAAGAAATCCGAATTTTGAGGCAAGATGAAGAGCTGGGAGATCTTCTCCAACAAGCGGAAGGTTGCATATCCTCGCGAGCTCCTGCTTATAACGCATGACAATGGACAGGAGAGGAATGTGTTGTGCCTTAACAGCCCAACCGAAGAGACCATGGAGAAAGGAGTGGCGTGAACGCCCTCCTGCCACCCAGGGATGAAAGTTCCAGGTTTCGTTGAAGGATGTTGCAAGGTGTGTGAACCTGTCCCAAACCGGAGATCTAGGCGTTATGTTGCTTGTCTGCAATGCCCAGTTGGAAACAGCGTAATTGAGAAACCTGTACTGTCCTCCCGGCGACTCTGTACGTATCGGACGAATCGGTAGTTTGACAGAAACCTTTTGAGATTTATGCGCACGAAAAAGAGAGGCTAGAGAGGACTTGAAGGCTTCACCTGCGAGCAAAGCTGGCATGACGAATGGTGAGCCTGTTGAGGAACGATCCTGTTCTTGCGACTTGACCTGCAAGCTGAAGTTCGAAAAAGAAAGATAAGCAACGCAAAATTCTCCGCATTCTAGTCGGCCGACAGCTTCACTAGTGGGATAATTCAAATCATGGTGGCCTTGGTCCAGAAGGAATGGTTTGACTGAGGAGTGTGCGAAGCGAACACAGTGATCAGTAGGGTCTAGAACCACAAGATTAGCACAGCTGCCAAGAACAAATTCATCTTGGGGAACTTTTTCATGATCCCAAAGAGTGTCATTGGTGTCAAATGCTACCGCTTCTTTCAATTCCTCGATGTGGAGAGGTCTGATAGCAAAACCGACCCATTTCAGAACCTTTAAAGCTCTGGGATCGGACGCCACTCGCCTAATGCAGAGTCTGTACGTCTCTTCCAGATCTCTAGGAAGCTGACTCAAAGCAGAGCGCAGCTCGGAATCTGTAAAGCATGTCGACCACAAGATCTCAAGAATGAGGTAAGGCCATAGAAACCCACTCGGGTCAGTCAACGAGCGTCAAACTGTAGGAGTATTCCAACCTACATTCCTGAGGCTTCAGTGATGAGTATGTGCTTGATCTCATTGAGCAAAGCACGGTTACTGGTAAGCTTCCGAAGCATAGATTTATCGTCGATACTGACGTTGATGTAGAATTCGATATCCTGCGTAACGTTTTCGAATGTTGAGATTCGAAGGGCCCATGGCATGAAGGTAGAGATGTTTACGTAGCCCGGTAGTTGATCCCGGCTCAACATGAATATCTTTGATCCATTGGGTGGTCTGACAGTACTGAAGGTTGCTTGGATTAGTAGCAGAATTTTTTGGCATTCGCTTTGTTCCAGCGCATCGAGTCCATCAAGCACGTAGACTGTGTTCGGCATGTATGAAAATAGATGACTGAAGATATCCTTCAGATCCTCATAGTCTGGTACAGTTCTATCTCCCCCGAAAAAGCGCTCCAATTCGCGAGCCACATTTGGTGGAAAGACGTGGCTCGACTCGTGTAAAAGGTGAGTCAACTGCCTTATATAACTAGAGAGAATATAGGAAGCCTGCAGCGAACCATAGTTCTCACTCTCACAGTAGAAGACCACCGTAGGACAGTGGCAACGAGTATCATCATGTGCGCGATACTTGATGGCCTCTACGGCAGTGGCCGCGATGATCGTCTTGCCTGAACCGATCTTACCCGAGCACCAGAGACTTGAATGGTCATCTCCCGTGAGCCACGATCTGAACAATGCATGGTTCAAGAACCATTCGATCGTTCCCGAAAGTCGCTTTTGAGCCAGTCTTCGATGAACCTTGTCATGATCATAGTCTGAGATCCGGTCGAGAAGCTGTCCGATGTCAACTTGCTGGTTTCGCTTTCTTATTTCGCCTGCAAAGCTTTCCGTACATGTCCGGACCTTGAGACCATATTGCGACAGCTCTGAAGTTATGTTAGATGGTGGTATGTCGCCCACTTGCTTTAGGTGAATCACGGAAAGAAGCTCCTTGGTATATGCTGCCGCTGTGGCAGCCGCATATTCCTGCCACTGCTTGCATTTATGGGAGTCTACGTAGTCGCAGATACCTCTGATTACCAAGCAAGGAAAAGTGTCCATCAAACCAGCTGCTTCCATCTCAAAGCAGAGAACACCAATCTCTTCAGCTAGTTGATCTCTGGTACGGGCATTTTTCATGACCTGATTTGCTGAGGCAATAAGCCCGTAGTGGACCATGGGGGTATCATCGCTTCGGCTGGGGCGAATCCTTCGTCTCTTCGTATCGCAATCTGCGCACGTACTATTAGAGTCACCATGATCATACTCGGACTCGAACAGAAGGTCATGCTCTGCACCCCGGTAGGTGAATTTGTCTTTCATTTTCGGGTACCTGCATATCATATCTGATAATATGGCAGGGATGTTGCTTGGCCTCACCATATGCTCTGCTTGCAATCTGGAGATTGCAGTCAAAAGCACTGACGGAGGCTTGTTGAGCATGCCGATTCTCTCAAAGCGGTTGCCGCTCAGAGACTTCCCATAATCGTACTGCACGATGCCACCATAGTCCCTCGTTGGCTTGCTGACCACCACATCGCCGAGTCGAATGTCGGCTTGCGATGGGACTCCACCTCCGATACCAACCATCAAGCCGAATCGTATCGATCTGAAGGTAAACAGGACCTGACTGGCGATGGTTGCGGCTGATACTGTGCCATAAACTCCGGCGGGTAGGCATGCGATGACAATATTATGCCCGTGTATGCTGCCAAAGATATAGCTGTTATTATCACTCGGGTCGATTGTCAGGTCCGGATGCCTTTCGTCGAGCATTGCGGCGGCGGCAGCCATCTCCAAGGGGAGCGCAGAGATCCACGCGATAGTATAATCATGATGATGATAATTGCCATTTACCATCGCCATTGTGGTAGCCTTGAGGAAGGCTTATCCTTGGAATAGACTGCGGTCTGTTGACTCGAGTGAGCACGCTTTACTGGCCATTTCAACACTGTCAATGCATCGACATGTTTCACTGGCTTTGAACTATGCTGGCAATGGTTGGTAATCGAGAAAAGTATTGCTGGGCTCGAGAGAGGTGTAGTCCACAGCGAAGCCCCTGTGTGTCATAATTGGCAGTATCAAATAGATCACTAAGAAGTGAAGTTGCTATTAAGATAAGTTGTTACATGAGATGAGTGCGGCTGAAGCAGGCGAGCCTGAGGGGCCAGCCCAATTAGGCTATGTGCCTGAGGTGTCAATTTGCAGCGCAATGCGGGGAAAGCTTGCTTAGTATTTATTGTAAGTGGGAGAATCAGTCTGTACCTTGAAGTGTCACGCGCACGTGTTTAAGAACTCGTCTCCCAGCCAAAGAATTGAGCAAACAAGATTATGTTCGCAAGTACCTAGTATCTTTTCACGTTTTGAGTATGCTTGATTGGGCTTTCAACCAGAAAAGTGTCCTTTGCACATTGCACAGCACTAACTACGTATGTACAAGATGCGGGCGAGAGCCACATGATGCGGGCGTGTTGTACATTCTCCAGTCCACCTCTGCATTATTCTGTCGTCATCAATCGAACCACTTACTGTTCCCTTCGGGTCTCTCTGTAACCTTGAATATGGATCAATCTCCCGTTTGGAGGCGTTAGGCAGTCATTGAAACTCAAAAGTAGGGAAAGTGTCGTGTCCGGATGGCCAACTCCCGCCATCAGACAAGCAGTGATCAGACCGCAATTGCCACGGGCCGGGCAGATCAAACCTCCGCGGTCACCGTCTCCCCTGGCCGGATCTTGCCTCGCCGGACCCCACAGCTGAAAGTCTGACTTTGCTGGATTGCGTCGGTTTCCTCTCCTCTCCTCTCCTCTTCTCCTCTCCTCTCAAAACCTCTTCGGCCGGGACTTGTTGATCATCTGCCCCTCTTTTGTGGATGGCGTGAGCATGGAAATTCGCATTCCTGCGCTGCACCCGCGCCTTGGTTGGGTCGACAGCAAGGTCCTCGTTAAGTATTCTACTGATGGATGTAGAGAGGGTTCAATCATTGCCAGCGCTGGAGTGAGTACCTTTTAAGACATCTGAATGCTTTGATTCGTCCCAGGCTGGGGCCAGAAGCACCCTGACCTAAATAGGGTACCTGCTTAGGGGGTTCTGACCTGCAGGAAGGAGTGATGGTGGCTTGACAATCACAAAAAAAAAAAATGCAGAGCGCACCGCAGATGACTCTCGACTTTCCACCAAGTGCCAACTGCCTATGCTGCAAGCCGATCGTCGTGTTTCGGCAGCTGCAGGAGCCATGGAGCCATGACGAGTCAGGACCGTTTTTCCGCGTGCGCGCTATTTCTTTTTCCCTGTGTACGGAGTAGATTCATACGGTTACGGAGTACCGGTAGAGACCTAATAATTAGTGACGGAGTGAGTGGGTGGGCCTCACTCTCTGACCCTCCCTCCTCTTGGACCCTCCCCGCAGCTCCTCCCGGAATATGCTCAAGGCTCATGCTCATGATCTGATCTCGGGACTTCTGGGTGACTCCTCTTGATCACCACATCTCCCCCAGGTATAAATACCTCAGGATTACCACCTTGCATGGAGGTTTGTGATTTTCACTTAAAGTTAGACTTGATTGATTTTGTTTTGTACTTCAATCCCAGTCCCCACTACCTGCTCTCTCCAGCGCATCCCGCCTTTCCACAAACTCGCTAGACCAGACACTATACACAACTTACCATCCCCATCCTCACCTCGAACTCGCCCTCAATCGCATCGCATTGCATCGCATCGATCCTACATACTAAGCCACCTGCTTCGCAATACCACCATCACAATGATTGCTATTCAAATCGCTCGCCCAACCATCCGCCATTTCTCTGTGCACCGTCCGCGGCCCGACACTCGCACCTCCCGCTTCATCACCAGCTCCTGTCTCTTCTCCGCCGTTGTTCTTCCTTTTGTACCTCCTGCGCTGGAGAGCTCTCGGGAAAAGAGCAAGGGCTATCCCAACCACAATAAGTGAGTCCCCTCTCTGGCGGTGTGTTACCTTTACCATTGCGACCTCGACTAATGGATGTGTACTTTCTATCAGGCCACACCCCCCACTCTGCTTCCACGCCCGCTAAAGCGGTTCTATCCGTTCGGAAATAAGCCCACGAGTGGGGCCATACTTGCATGCTGAGGGATCACCTCTTTCATGTTATCACGCCATCCTTCGATTTTCCCACACTGTCGGATTGCCGAAATTTTCGTCTCTTCTTGGCCTATTCCGGCGTATCGGTGCTGGCATACACTTTTTTTTCTTTTCTTTTTTTTTTCTGTTTTTTCCATCTTTCCAAACGACACATTTCGAGGAAATTGCATCAACGAAAACCCCACATGGATTTTCAGGGGGACGGGAGCTGTCTGGCATTTGGCTTACAACTTTAATAATTTCTTTTGTTGGCACCTGGTGAGATTCTTGCTTGAGGGGGAAACTCCAGGACTGGTTCCAGGACATGATGCCGTCAGGGCGATTTCATTTTCGTTTCCCCGCGGTCTCGCTTTCCTACCTACCGCTACTTGAGGTGGAATAACCTGGGTAGTGGGTAATGATGATTATGACTATGAGATAGCTGTTTACCAGAAGTTCAATCTGCTACCAAAAAATAGACGTCCCCGGCGCTAAACCGATGGAGATCCTAGATTTGATTCATCGATTCAGTCTGAAATCAGAAGTAAAGCCGATCAGGGTAACTCTGAATCTCGCATTCCCCGGATTTTCCCTAGATCCAAGGCATGAATAGATCAAGTAGGGCACGGGGAGTCAAAACTTCCCCACGAGCCAAGACATGCTACCTACTACCGAATGCAAGACACCCAGCCAACGCTCTTCTGGAGAGAGCATGCCTATACACAATCAGATTATGGTACAACGAAACATGTCACACTTTTTTGCCTCCAACCCGCATTCTTCCCTCAGCCCACCTTTCCTCTCGTTATATAGCCTGTCCTCCCTCTAACTCAACAGATACCTTCCTTCCCCCGCTCACAGCCGGTTCCCCTTAGGCGGCCGGAACGGCTGCGCGGCCTCGTACTTCCCCTTCTCCAGCACGCGGTCGGCCTCGGTCTCGGGCTCGTGGCGGGTCGCGGCCGGGTCGTGACTGGCCTCGGCGCTGGGCGAGGCGACATCGTCGGCGGCGTTCTGCGACCGGGCCAGCTGGGCAGCGCGCTTCCAACTCGGGTCTTCCGAGGCGGCGGCGACGACGGGGACGGGCACGGCGGGGTTGGTGAGCGAGGCGGTCGTCTGGCGTCGGTGTTCCGCTTCCATGGCAGCCAGCTGCGCTTTGCGTTTCATTTCGCTCTCGAACCGGGATTGGCGATCGGCGTTGATGGACTTTTTAGCAAAGTAGTAGGCTCCGCCGCCAGCTTTGGGGGGATTTGTTCGTGTTAGTATTTTTTTGGGTGAATGGATTTGTGGGTTGGGAATTGTGAGGAAGAGGGTCTGCTTACCGACGCAGAGGGTACCCCATCCGATCCTGTTGATCCAATTCGTGTTAGTTGGAGGCGCATAGTCTAGGGTCGGGGGGTATAGGTGTGTTGATGTGTGCGGTTGAAGTGGGCGAGGCGCGCTTTGTGTCATGGGCTGCACCTTACCAGGTGGATTTGATCTAGGTGTTGAGCAGAGGTAAAGGTCAGCGAGGTCTGAACCTTGAACACTATGAGAAACTCCCAGCACATACTGTGTTCATCTTGAAAATGCCTTGACCACTTCTTCCCGCGCAGTGTGTCAATTGCAAGGGATCTGAAGATAAGAAGAATTGAAGGTTGAAAGTGAGATCGTGAAACTACGTCAATCACTGCCGAAGGCCTTTCGGCCGAAGCGGTGACCAATCGCCGGCAGTGGATGGAAGGCTCAGGCTGAGCTGAGCAATCTCCATTGCTGCCTCAGGCTGAACAACTACTCTTATCCAGGCCGGGGCCTCGCCTCGCCTCGCCTCGCCTCTTCGGTCCGCAGTCCTCCATCCCGAGTCATTCTTTCATATCCTCCTCCTGCGCCTCCTCCTCCTCCTCGCTCTTTAATCTTCTGTCCCCTCTCCGACCACCGCTTTATATACCAGCAGTAACTTAGACAAAAGCTGGTAGGTGCTTTTTTTTGTCTGATCGGAATATGGTCATCCTCATTTGAACGGCTCACTAAAGGCGCCGGTAGCCTTGTCCGGAGCAATCGATACTTGAGACCTTCTTTCCGCCACCGCGCGGATCCGCTGCGCCAACCGTATAGAATCTATAGAGCTCATATAACCAGGAATCCTTTCCTGGAAGTTCTTGCACATCATGCCGCCGCTCAAACGCAAAGCTTTAGATAGTATGCATGCCCAGCTCCCCGCGCACGGCGGCGTTTCGTCAGAGCCTGTTATTCTAACTCTATAGGTGGTCGGTCTAGTCGAGCCTCGAAACGCGCCACTCCCGTGCCCGACATCAGTAGCGGCGATGAGTACTCAGACTATGAGGAGGACGTCAAGGAAGATAACCTGAAAGGTACGCGTAAGAGAGAAAGACGGGATATCAGACGGCGACGGTTGCGGAGACCGTTGCAGAAACGAAATCGTCACTGACAAAATACACCTTGGCGGTTGTCACAGATGTCGTGGAGAATTTCAACTTGGAGTCTTTCAGCAAAAAGGGCGACACCGCCATTCAGAGGCAGGACCCCAATTTCGGATACAAGGACTTCTCGTCCCTGGCATTGAAGCCGGACCATGCGAACCGACCCCTCTGGATCGATCCACTCAAAGGCACCATCACCCTGGAGAGTTTCTCCCCGCTCGCTCCCCAGGCCCAAGACTTCCTGACCACCATCGCCGAACCGCTCTCCCGGCCGACGCATCTGCACGAGTATCGGTTGACCGGAAACAGTCTATATGCTGCGGTGTCGGTCGGATTGCAGCCGCAGGATATCATCAACTTCCTCGATCGACTGTCGAAGACGCCGCTCCCCGAGACCATTAAGTCGTTCATTATCGATTTCACCAAGTCGTATGGCAAGATCAAGGTGGTGCTGAAACATAACCGGTTCTTCGTGGAAAGTACCGACCCGGCGATGCTGCAGATGCTGCTGCAAGATGAGGTGATCGGGCCGCAGCGCTTGCAAGGGTCGGAAGGCATCATTCAGCAGGCGGCGCCGAAGATGGGCGGCTTGGTTATCCCCGGTACCAAGGACGCTGCAGGCGTGAAGCAGACCACGGACCAGAAGCCGGCCGAGGAGACAGCAGCAGAGGCTCGACGCGAGGACGATATTCTTCTCGCTATCCGTGATGATGACGACGATGAGGAACAAGCGCAGGTGCACAGTTTTGAAATCCCCAACGAAGCTGTTGAACCTGTCAAGGCGCGCTGTCAGGCCATGGGCTGTCCGGCATTGGAAGAGTACGATTTTCGGAATGACGAGATCAACCCTACCCTCGATATCGACCTGAAACCCAATGCACGCATTCGAAGTTACCAGGAGAAGAGCTTGAGTAAGATGTTTGGTAATGGACGTGCCAAGAGTGGAATCATCGTCCTGCCCTGTGGTGCCGGTAAGACATTGGTGGGTATCACGGCAGCGTGCACGATCAAAAAGGGCACCATCATCCTGTGTACCAGTTCCATGTCCGTCGTGCAATGGAGAAACGAATTCCTGCGGTGGTCTAACATCGACCCGGGCGACATCGCCGTTTTTACCTCGGACAACAAGGAGAAATTCCGCCGATCGACCGGTATCATTGTTTCCACGTACTCCATGGTATCTCAGACGCGGGCGCGATCCCACGATGCGCAAAAGATGATGGACTGGATCCAGGGGCGCGAATGGGGGTTGATGATTCTTGACGAGGTGCACGTCGTCCCTGCATCCATGTTCCGGAAGGTCACATCCGCCATCGCTTGTCAGAGCAAGCTTGGATTGACGGCTACCCTACTGCGTGAGGATGACAAGATCAAGGATCTGAACTTCCTGATTGGGCCCAAGCTGTACGAAGCCAACTGGATGGAGCTGGCTGAGCAAGGGCACATTGCCAAGGTGCAATGCGCTGAAGTGTGGTGCCCGATGACAACCGAGTTCTATTCGGAGTACATGCGGGAGAAGTCTCGCAAAGCCGCTCTCCTCTACATCATGAACCCTCGCAAATTCCAGGCGTGTCAGTTCCTGATTGACTACCACGAGAAGCGCGGTGACAAGGTGATTGTCTTCTCGGACAACGTCTACGCTCTCGAGCGGTATGCGCTCAAGCTGAACAAGGCCTATATCTACGGGGGCACCCCCCAGAATGAGCGCATGCGGATTCTCGAGAATTTCCAACACAACGAGCAGGTCAATACGATCTTCCTGTCCAAGATTGGCGATACGTCTCTTGATCTGCCGGAAGCTACGTGCCTGATCCAGATTTCGTCGCATTATGGGTCGCGTCGTCAGGAGGCGCAACGGCTTGGCCGCATTCTCCGGGCCAAGCGTCGTAACGACGAGGGCTTCAACGCGTTCTTCTACTCGTTGGTGTCGAAAGACACGGACGAGATGTTCTATTCTTCGAAACGACAAGCCTTCCTGGTCGACCAGGGCTATGCCTTCAAGGTCATTACTCATCTGCAAGGTATCGAGAACCTGGAAGGGCTTGCCTACGCGACCCCCGCCGAGCGCCGCGAGTTGTTGCAGGAGGTGATGCTGCAGAACGAGACCTCTGCGGAAGTCGAACACGTCAACGACGACCTGTTCTCCGAGCGCTCGGGCGGCGCCCGGGCTCGCAAGGGGGCGGTCAAGCGCAGCGCTGCGACCCTCAGTGGGTTGGCGGGTGGCGAGGACATGGCCTACATCGAGTACAACAGGAGCCGGAATAAGCAGCTCAAGGATAAGGCGGGTCACCATCCGCTGTTCCGGAAGATGGAACGGGAGCGGTTGAAACGGAAGAAGGAACTGGAGGACTTTATGCGTTAGCTGTTCGAGTTTCCCGACTGCTATAGTCTGGCGATAGTTTCCTGGCAGAATGCAAGTTGAGATCATGACCAACATTTGGAAAGCATAAAAAGGTGTACACTGCCGGCGTAAGGTTCTAGCCACTCTTTCAATTGTGCAGTGCTTTGAACCCGGGTTTTCTACCAGTTTTTCTTCAACCTGCGTCAGGCTTTCTCCCCTCCGATCTACGCAGCGCGTTCCCCACTACGCTATCAGCCTGCTAGTAGTTACCGAGTACGGAGTAGTGAGGGTTCAATATGAAGAATCTAACCCCACCGGAGGGCAATCCAAGTATGGCTCGGACCCAATCTCAGCTTTCCTCCAGTAGTATGAAGATATCTGTGGGTAAATTTTCCTCACATACATACATAATTTCCTCAGCTATGTGATTCCCCATCATAGACTCACTTCCTTCCCCTTCTCTCCATACAACCACCTACTGCAACCCAGCATCTCCCACCCGTTGTACTGTAATCACTGTAATCACTGGAATCGGCATCGCTACCCCAAACCCGAACCCCGATCATTGTTTGTAAGCATCACTAATTCGACCCAGCTAGACGTTCACTTTCCATTGTCACCCCTCGTTTTCCGGGGGTCAGCTCGTTCGCCAAAAGGTAAGCTATGGCAAAACAAAGCTTTCTTATTGGGCACTGGGCGTTTACCCCGGCAAGATGACGTTTCCCCGACGGAAGCTCCGGTTCGCTTGAATTTGATTGAAGTTATTCTCCAAATATGACTAGTCACGAGTACTAGGTAGGTGGGGGATTATCATTTCCTCCGGTTTTATGCGCGTTAGACCGATCCGCTAGGCTTGCAGCTTACTTACTGTGCAGTACCTACCTACCTACCTACCCACCCCCCCAAGGCATTTATTTTTGGGCGCTGAGGTAAGAAGTGGTGGTGGCCGTCCAGACTCTGGGGATTTCTAATTCCAAGCACAGGGATTGGGAGGGGCGACTCGGAGGGGTCTAGATGGACCGGATGACTATTGCACGGATTGGGTGCTGGGGCGAGTTCGTGTATAAGTATCAGAGTCGAGTGGGGTTGTCTCTTTCACCCTTGCTGGTGTTGCGCAGGGAGTGCAGATCGGGAATTGGGAGTTCTTCATTGGTAACAAGGATACGGACGGAGAGTTCAACGCGACTATATACTAGCAGCACCAGATATCATACAACAAGCCGCAGCACAAAACCTCTTGCTCGGTTGGCGACAGATCGACTACGAATAGCTGCGACGATGGCTGCTACTGCTACTGCCCGGAGTGTTCATCTCGTTCCTGGGGAGCACACTGGGATCTTCTCCGTTCCTGCTGCTGCTGCTGCTGCTGCTGCAGACTCGAAGACTGCATCAGTGGGGATCACGGAGGCCTCGGCGCGCATGGCGAGTGAGGTCTTGCAGGAGGATCTGGAGAAGCACCATGTTATCTTTAACGAGTCTGGGTTTCATAGTATGTTCCTGTCCCCCCTATTCGAATTTAAGAACCCATCGTTCATCTTATCCTTGTGTCCGCTGTTACACGTTTGAATCACGCTTTGACACAATGCTAACCACCAAATCTAGATCACATCGTCCATCATATCTTGAGCATGTACGCCCTCGGTGCGTCGGCGGATGAGATCCGCGCGGCCTACGAGCGGGATAAAGCCTACCAACGCAAGGCAATCCCCGTCGACGAGGCGGTCGTGGCCTCGCTCTCGGATCCCAGCCGGTTCTTGGAGTTGTTGGGCAAGGGGAAGCAGTACTCCAATTTCCTGAGTTTCTTCCAGCGGGAGATTGAGCAGGTAGGGGTGGAGGGGGTGCTGAAGGAGTATCTGTTCAAGAATGGAGATGATCAAGTAGCCAAGGAGATGTTGGGGCGGTTGTTTGGGGGTCAGCTTCTCCCTCTCCCTCTATCTTTTGGGTTATGCTGACTGATGTGCAGGCCTCGTTCATCCTTTTATTCATTTCGGGTTCGGAATTGAGTTTGAACAACCGGCGATTGTCGCCGAGGCGTTGGCCCAGACCGCCGTGCATGAGGACTGGACGGGCCCCCGGTTCTTCTGGCCGGCCGAGGAGCGCGCGGGCGGGGTGGGTCACCGTGGGGAGAAGAGTATGTTGGAGATTCTAGAGGAGATGCGCCGGGACGAGAAGCTGGCGCGGTCGGCCCACTGGGAGGATGGGAATAAGATGCGCGATGGCGTGTTGGCCCGCGCGGGAGAGGAGATGCTCAAGTATGCGGCCGAGTATACGGTCTCGGCTGAACAATTGGAGGAGAAGGTCGCGGAGATGATCAATACGGTCGGTGAGTTATTTCGGGCCTGGTCTTGCTCACATCAGATGGATTCGATCAAGACGCTCAGACTGATTGCTCTGGTGCTGGCGATAGTGTACTATACTAGCGCCGCCCAACGCCCCTCCAAGCAGATCAAGTTCGATTTCTTCTTCCTCCACAGCCTCAATTCGTCCATCTTCTTCTCCAAGATCATCGCCCTTCCTTTCCTGGATACCAGAACCAAGCTGCGTCTGCTGGAATGGAAGGGCCGGCTGGACCTTATGCTCTACATCTCGCGCGGCACGCCGGACCTCTACCTCGACGAGCTCCGGACCTACCCAACCGCACATAGCTGGGAAGAGATCTTCGCCTACTGCACCCAGCAGGTGGAAGATGACGGCCACCTGGTGAAGCTGGTCCGTGCTCTAGCGAACGGGGAACGGGCGTGTCGTCCGTTCGAGAATCAGCACAAGTGGCCGATCACCGGGGATATGTGGCTGCGGATTGCCAATATGGGTAGGTCATTCTCTTCGCCGTTGCCATCTGACAGATTGGAGCTAACGGGATCCACTGTAGCCATGGACTCAACGTCCAACCTCGATCAAGCCATGTGGGTCCGATCCACCGGGTTTGACCAAGCCTGGCGCGAGTTCGAGGGACGAACCAAGCTATAGGAGAATGCGATGGTGTGTGTGTTGATTAGGGGTGGGGTATATTAAATTGTGAAGCGCATGCATTCGTGGTCATCGAGTCAATAATAAGTAGCAGTAGCAGCATCAACTGACTTGTTGAATCGCTTGTTGGGGAGAGCCTGGCACAAGTGGTGTCACGTGGCTTTGGTTCATCCAGCCACTCCAGCTTCTACAATTGAATAGTTTTCTTAACGAGTTTTCTTAACGCATGGGAGGTGGCCATCTTAGGCTACAGTCCGTCTTCACTAAATCGTCTTCGAGGTGTCCTTTCCAGTTGTCTCGGATCTTCGCCTGAAAATCAACCGGCAGTATCCATCCATCGTATGATATCCTTACTGGTGCCGATCATCTGATCCTCGCGGGGAACATTATTGGACGCTTAGCCGACGACGAGGATATCGCGATTTCTTCCAGAAACAACCCGACCGGTTCAAGCTGGAACTTCTGGGACTTGGCATGACCTCTACAATGGATCATTCGCCGCGGGCTGGACAAGGCGAGGCAGCTCGAGTAGGAACTGTCGCTGACTGGACCACTCGTCGTTCTTCATCATAAGCTACGAATTGATATCCCGGAACTGGGGTCAGTGTTATAGGCTGCACGCTGTGCTTGTTCAGTAAGAGTCAAGAGTTCTGCAGAATCACGGGATGGACGGTTGAGACGATCATAGGTTCGCGTTTGGAGGGAGGTTCTCCTGCAGGTTGCCAAGGGGGTGAAGGTCTGGGGTTATCTTTGTATGTGATAAAATCTACTACAGTATACGGAGTAGTAACGAAGAATATACTCTAGAAGATTGAAGAAGGATCCGCCGGGGGTCGAACCAAGTGGGGCGATCGCCCCAACAAATGCCTCGAGGCGCCCGCCCGCCTTCATTTTAAATCCCGTCCGCCATCCGCCCATTCGCCATTCTTCAGCTTTCACTCTCTCTTGCTCTTCTTCCTCGCAACCTTTGGCTTCCAACGCTTCAACCACTTCAACAATATGACTGGGGACGACAAGCAAAACTATCATCCAGACTCCTCCTCCTCCTCCAACCCCCAGAACTACCATCACCACCACCATCATTATCACGGCTGGCCCGAAGATGACAACCCGTTCGTCGCCATCCGCCGCTTCGCCGACGAACACATCTCCTCTGTGCTGCAGTCCGTGACTGGCCTCCCTTCCTCCTTCACGCCTCCCTCTGAGCGCTGGTCCATTATCGATGATGATGTCCATTATCGCCAGCGAGCGGCGCAAGACGGCAAAGACAGCAACAGCACCAGCAGCAACAATAACTTGGAAGATCCAACCCACACCTCCCAAGCTCGGAATCCCAGCGACGGGAGTTACAACAATAGCGCCCACCATCACCACCACTTCCATCCGCGCAATTACCGCAGCGACCCCGACTTTTTCTCCAATTCCTTCTTCGATCGATTCTGGCTCGATGACCACTTCCCTTCGCGGGTTTTCCAACCTTTCCACCGTCCGATCTTCCACAACCTCGTCAGCGACGCCTCCCCCGCCTGGCCCGTACCCTACCTCATGTTCAGCCCCTACTCGCCCCTCCACCTGGAACGCCAGGCCCAGTACCGTCACGCCCATCGCGACCGCGGCGTGTTCTCGTCCCTGATGTCTACACTGAGTCTCGCCTCGGAGGAAGAAGGAGACTCAGATCCCACCGAGCCGCGGTGGCGCGAGGCGTTTGAGGATCTCCTGCGGTTGGAGAACGGGAAGCCCATGCTGGAGCGGGACGACAAGGCAGTAGTGGCCAGGGAGTCCGGCCAAGATTGGTTGCAGGGATTGGTGAAGAGGGGTAGTCTGGGCGATCGGTGGAAGTTTGTCTCGGCGGGCACGGACAATCAGCCGTGGTCGACCATTACCTTCGATAGCTCCGACCTGCGAGACGCATTGAAGGCGCAGTCGACCGACGCAGAAGGCTTCGCTCAGAGTGAGACGGACATTCTCACGGATCAGGATCTGTACGACCGGTTCCTGGACGACCTTCAAGCCCGGGAGCGGGAATTCGCCCGCGAGGTTCACGAGAGTCCCGTGCTGCGCTTCTTGCTCGATGACCGTCGCCGCTTGAGCGAGTGGCCGTTGCGTATCATGCGCGATGAAGATGGCGACTTCTATCCACCGCAGCAGCGACAGGCCCCGGGCGCCGAGTCCGCCCTTCCGCAGACTGAAGACCCGGCCGTGTCCTCGGAGACCCCTTCCGCTTCCCTTGAATCAACTACAGTCAACAAACCGTACGTAATCTCCACCCAAACCCGAACCGAACGCATCCGCCTCTCCGACGGCTCCATCCAAACCAAGACCGTCCGCACCCAGCGCTTCTCTGACGGTCGCGAAGAAACCAACGAGTCGGTCGACGTTGTGAAACCTCGGCCGATGGTCCAGGGCGAGCAGAATCAACCCTCGGATGAATCCGGCCAGAACAAGGATGGCTGGTTCTGGAAGGGATAATCAGAATGAATGAATCATTTCTGCAGCCTTGATCCTTTCTTGGGTTCCGTTTGTACAAGTGCATTATTCCCAATCTTTTTTTTTTCTTTTTGTCACAGTCTTAGCGTCCTTATTCTTTTTGTACTATTATACTATCATGGCACATTCTTTATCCTTCATCTCGGCAGTTGGCGGGTGGGGATGTGAATGAGTGTCGGCTCAAAAATGTTGATCATGAATGAGTTTTCTTTCTTCCTCTTGTCTTCTGAAGAAGTTCTTTTTCTTTTCTTTTTTTTTTTCTTGAAAATCATGACACCCTTGAATGGAACAAGGTTGTGTTTCACAATATGGTGTGTGCTGATGCTATGCTTCAGATAATTCTTGCTGCAAAGCGTGTCAACCCTGTATTGACCAGATCCCGTCTTCCCATTTCTTATGACATGTAGATGAAAAGCAACGCATCTAGTCTCACATATCATCTTAGTAGTCAGTACGTCTACACCTCGCTGCTCAAGCAGCAAAATACAAGGTCCCACGCCCATGTATCAAAAACAAATCAATCCGCCTTGACGCTCTTCTTCTGCGCCTTGCCCGTCGTCCACCCCTTTTCTTCCCAGTACTTGACGCTCTCCTCCATTTTCTTATATGCCCATGTGAAAGGGGGATCTATACGTACGATCAATCATCAGCCCCGATCCCAGTCATCATCACAACCCACATTAGGGCCGAAAGAAAGAAGGGGCAACGGGCAACGGGCAACGGGCAAGGGGCAACGTACAAAGAAACTGCCGCAAATCATGCCGATTATCCTCCGGCGAGTAGCCCTCGGCGTGGTAACTCGGCGTGAGCACGGTCATCTTGTGCCGATTGATGCTGTAGGTGTAGAAGAAATGGCGGGTCTTCTCATACACCTCGCGCGGGCTGAGCTCGTGGCCCCAGACGTGCAGCAGGCGCTCGTACATGGACCACGGCCCCAGCTTGGCCACCTTGCGCAGCTGGCCGAACACCGACAGCTCGGCGTAGGTGACTCCCATGTCGGCCTCGTCCGACTGCACGTAGGTCTGCGTGATGGGCTCCAGCTCGGCGGTGGGCGTGGCGTGCAGAAACTCGTGCAGGATCGGAAGCGAAAAGGCCGTTTGCGCCCAGTGGATGAATTTCTTGAGGTCGACTTTGCTGATCGAGCCGATGGGGTTGAGCTGTGCGTGTGTGGGGGTTTGTTTAGAGATTGATGAATACAGAATCAAAGAAAAAAAAAAAAGGATGGGACGTACATCTGCGCTGCTTGCGTCGTATTTGGTGAGGTAACCCCGCAGACTGGTCATGTTTTGTTAGTGATTGATCGCACTGGGAAAGCAATACGTCCCGGGAATCTTGTGATACACACCATTCTGTCTCACATCCATTAGCCTCACCTGTCAACAGAGACAAAAAGCAGAGAAAAAACGTACCGTCCACATTGGATGATCCCAGCACAAGCAGTCCCCCACCGCCCGGCCGCTGGCGGACAGTCGGAAGCATCTGCGCAAACAAATACGCAAGAACCATTCGCAGGCGGGCCTGGATGTTCTGCAAAGCCTGGTTCTCCGCGAAACTGCCTCCATGCACCTTGAACTTGGGTTGGAAGTTGGTCACCACCGTAAACAGATTCGTGATGGCCGTCACGACGGTGTCAAAGTTGAAGTCGATGTGGTAGGAGCCGATGTCCGTGGCGAGGGTCTTGGCCCGCTCCCGGGTCTCCTTGCTGGAGTTTTGCGTTCCCATGTAGTTGGTGTGGAAGATGCGGCTGGAGGACGGAATTAACGTCTTTTGTTCGCGGGGAAATGAGAAAACATCACTTACTTGCAGACTTCCTGGCTGGTGGACGGTAGCCAGGCAGATCCCTCAGGCTCGGCGCACAGACGTCGCACGTCCTTGATCACCTGCTCATTGCCCTGCTGCACGGCTTTGACAACCTCTCGGCACATGGAATGCACAATGATCGCAGTCGCACAGCTGTCAATGCCGCCGCTCAGGGGCACAAAGTATCCTGCTGCACCGCTTCTGCGCAGGTAGTCCCACAGCCAGCAGGCTGGACCAAGGGCGATCTCTTCCTCCGGCGCATGGTATCGTGGTTCGAGGATCTCCGACGGGGCAAGCCCGGGATCTGCCTCCTCGCCGGTACGCGACAACCTGAAATCCAGATCAAGACGGACAAAAGGCGTTTGTCTGCTGGCCTGCAAGCTACGACTCACGCTGGAACGGTAGGTCCGAACCTGCGGGGTCAGCATCCTGGTAGCATGAGAGCAGCGAACAGAACAAATACCTCTTCGATGTCAACAGTGGCAGTGACAACTTCGACGTCGTTCAGCGAGAATTGGGACCCTTGGGCCACGATGTTTCCGTTGACGACAATCATCGCGCAACCATCGTAGTACAGGCGATCCCCGTCACAGCCTTGCTGGTTGGCATACAGGTAAATCCCTCCGCTCTGCCTGCCCATTAGCATACCGGGGACGCCCAATCTGCGTGTTTATCCTACCAACTTGGTGGCCTGCGTGATCAGGTTGATCCGAGTATCGAGCTTCCGGAGTTCGTGGTGACTTCCGGACGAGTTCGAGATAATCTCCACACCAGCCAGACCATAGGGAATATGGGGTCTTCAGACATCAGCAACAACCCGTGTGACCCAGCAAGGAGGATAAGTCATACCCATTGGGAGTGAACAGCTCTTCGCAGGTCTCCAACCCCAGACACGTATCTCGGGTGCTAATGACCGCATCACCAAACGGTACCTTGTACTGGCCCGTGATCTTGCCAACAATCTGCTCGAGGTAGTAGTCCTCAATCTCCCGAGGACGCTGCCACGGCGTAAAATGTCTCATCTCACGGTAGTTTCCATCTGCATATCACACACGTCAGCGATCGGCCTGGAGCCGCGCGGCAGCTTCCGGGTGTCCCACCATTGGCCAGCCACATCTTGGGCCGGATCAAAATAATCTTCCGGTTGAAGAAGATCACACTAGGGCTGTCAGAATCCTAGGGTCTCTCCCCTTGGGGGGGGGGGGATCTGGAGGGCGCAGGAAGCTTACCGGCAGTTGTACCGCACGTTGCGGTGACGGACGGGCATTCTACCATCTGGTCAGCCGCCCGTCGCACCAACCACAAGAGTCTCAAACTCACCCCACGTCCACCACAATGTCCTGACAGTCAGGATGGTCGATGATCTTGGCGAGCATCTCCCAGGAGTGCAGGAACGTATCGCCCTCGATAAACGCATCCAAGCAGCCATATCCTGATCATCTCCAATCAGCGGACAGACCCAAGCCCAAGCGACGGAAGTCTCTCGCGTAGGTGGGTTACTATACCAGTAATCTCCAGCTCGGGGCCGACTCGCAGGGTCGCTCCCGCCGCCTTGGCCTGGCGAATACTCTCGATGATGCGCTCACAATTGCCCTCGAAATCGAGAGCCCATTGGTTGAGCGAGCTGCGTGGACGAACCATCAGCCATGATGCGCACGAACCCCACAGCAGTAAGAATAGGAGGCGTACCATGTTGCAAGAGTTACCAGATGCCCCATTGTTGAACAGCGACTGGCAATTGGACCGATTGGAGGGGATGAGATTGACGACAGGTTGTAGTGGAATCAACTCGATAAGTAAGAGTTGGAGAATCCCCGGTTGGGTCAACTTGATGCCAGGTCACGTGTGTGGGGTGTTCCCAGAGATGCCCCTCAGTGTATCGGTAATACCACATTACATTCCAAACCCACTTCTCTTGCTGCCGGGAAACCTCGTATCAATCTTACCAGAGACGTAAATCCTCGGCTTGGAAGCCCGCTGATTAATCCATCGTTATCGGAGAAGAGGAAAGAAGAAGAAGAACAAATGCCTCCCATTTTCCTCTTTTTTTTGGAGCCACAAGCTTCAATTCCCATGCTCTCTAAAGTCTGGAATTTTTCTTTTCTTTGTGCTCTTTGGCTAGATTAATGAACCTCATCACCACGAGAACTCACTACCACAATCCACAATGACCAGCAGTGCCTCCCTCATCCCCAACCCCGCGCATATACAAGCCGAGACGATGCTTGCCCGCCAATTCGGACGAGAAACCGTCAACTACTTCTCCAGTGAGTGACTGGACTGGGGGGGGGGGGGACCTGATTCCCTGTCCTGCCACTAACACTACTTCCAGGCTCCCCCTTGAACCGCCTCTCTTTCTTGCGCTCCGACCACCCCTTCCTGTCCGCCGCCCTGAAGCACCCCTCCACCCGTTTCGTCATTCTGAAAGACCTCGCCCCGCTCACCAAAGCCCCCGCCGAGCCCTACTACGCGCGCTACGACGAGATCCGCACCCTCGTGCCAGACACCATCTACGACAAATCCGAGGAGGAGATCCTCAAGGCGTACGACTCGCGCAAGACCGTCGCCGCGCCCATCTTTTTGGGGTTGGACGAGTCCGCGTCGTCGTCGTCGCAGCAACCACCAAATGGCGGGGAGGACGGCGAGGGCCGGCTTGCCTGGAAGAACTACGCCGGCCGGCCGTACTTTGCTCTGGACATCACGCCTCGAGGCTCGGAGGAGCAGCAGACGCTGTCGAAGAAGGTGATGGAGGAGTTGGAGGCCAAGGGGTTGAAGTTTCTGCAGGCGCGGGTGGTGATGAGTTTCCCCGCTAATGAGGGTATGTCACTCCCCTCTCTTCCCTTGCCTCTTTTTCTTTCGTTTCCCCGGATGGAAAAACCCCTGGTTCGCGTTATCCAGCGGATGGCTGACTTTTTGTTTCGACTCCCGAGTGTAGCGGCCATCTACGCCCAAGCCCGCGCGCTGATCGACTGGAACACGCGCAACACCTTCTGCGGCACCTGCGGCCACCGCACGATTGCGGTGCACTCGGGGACGAAGCGCGCGTGTCCGCCCACGGACCAGGCCCGCGTGGCCGAGGGCCTGCCGGCGGAGCGGCCGGCGTGCAACACGCGCACAACCATCTCCAACCTCTCCTTCCCGCGGACCGATCCCACCATCATCGTGGCCGTCATCTCCGCCGACGCCCGGCGCATCCTGCTCGGCCGGTCCAAGCGGTTCCCGCCCAACTGGTACTCCACGCTGGCCGGGTTCATCGAGCCCGCCGAGTCGGTCGAGGACGCCGTCCGCCGCGAAGTCTGGGAGGAGGCGGGCGTCACCCTGTCGCGCGTCGTCATCCACTCCTCCCAGCCCTGGCCCTACCCGGCCAACCTGATGATCGGCGCCATCGCCCAGGTCAGCGACGTCGAGCACGAGAAGATCAACCTGGAACATGATCCCGAGCTGGAGGATGCCAAGTGGTTCGACGTCGCCGAGGTGGAGGAGGCCCTCCAGAACGGGGTGAGCGCGCTGGAGGGGGGGCCTGGCCCCGATTACAAAGAGGGAGGGCTGCGGTTGCCGCCACCCACGGCCATTGCCAACCAGCTCATCCGAGCCGCCATCAGCATCGACCTTCTCGGCGGGGATAAGAGTTCCAAGATGTAGATGATGACTAGAATTTCTTGCCAAGACCATGTGTGCCTAGATTCTTCTTCTTTCTGGGTCCGGGGTTTGTTTCCCATGTTGTGTGGTTTTTGGGGTGTTTTTTTTCTAGAAGCGAAATGTTGTCTGAGTCTATATATACAAGGTAGTAAGTAACATTTCATTCACCCCCGAGGCGTGTGGCACACCGAGTATGATGTCGGAATGTCGCGTAAGTATGTTACTGTATGTCTCACACTGCCCATTGAGCAGGCGTCCCGACGGATAGCCCAGAAACGGAGTCCGCTGCTCCTCCAAGCTTCCCCCTCAGATATCATCGCTGTCCCCTGTGGAAAAAGACGCTTTAGTCAAGAAGGGACTAGGGCTAACTGAGAGGGTTGGCGTACACAGTACCATCGCGCAGTTCATGGATACTATCCCGACTCGTGGGCGAGCCCACCTCGGCGTAGCGCCGGCCATCGCGCAGCTCGTGGATCGTGATGCGACGGTGCGACTTCCTGCGCCGCGAGGAGCCGCCGCGGGGGTTGTTCGCAGCCGTCGAGACCGAGCCTGAGGCTTCTCGCGGCTCGCCGTCCCCCGTCGCCTCGGAGTGGACGCTCCCTGCATCGCTGGGCGGGGTGGTGCCGCGGCTCTCGCGCTCGATCGACGTCTGCAGCTGATGGTCCGCGACCATCGCCATCCCGGTCTCCTGGAACCATTGGCGCAGATCCGTGGCGTAGGTCTGTTCTTCGGCGCCGTATTCGACCGGCGGGCCCGCGATCTGGGCCTCGGCGGCGGTGGCGCTGAACACGACCCAGGCGCTGGTGTCGACGCTGGCGAGCATCATGGCGTGGTTGAAGCTCTTGACCTGGAAGTCCCGGAGGAGAATCGCGTCGCCTTCGGTGACGGTCGGGAGGGCGGTCTTGTTCGGCCGGAAGATCTGGGCGTAGAGCACGGTGCCCGCCAACGACGGGTCGGTCAGCCCCAGGGTCAAGATGTAGTCTTTTCGGCCGGACGAGGCCCGAATCACGGGTCGGAGGTCGGCCACAGTGGAGATCGTATCGACGAGCCCCCTGAAGTGGTCGACCAGGGTGGCGAGCGGGGCGAAGTAGGATAGTTTGCTCCGGAGGCCCGGGTAGTTGCGGTTCATGGCCAGGATGCGAGGGGTGTCTCCCCGGACCAGCATGACTTCATCTTCGCTGTGCGTGGCAGGGTGGTCGGTATCTTCGCCGACGTGGCCACCTTCGCCTGGCTCAGACTCTCGGTGTGAGGGTGCGGAGGCATAGCTTTCGGCTTCCGAGCCTTCACCGACGGAGACAAAGTCCTCGCTCTCAACCTCCTGCATATCTGCATCAACCTGTGTAGGCTCCGGAGTAGGGAGTTTCTCCTCGTCGGCGGTGGTGGTCATGGCGGGGAGCTTGTCCGCACTCAGTAGCTGCGAAGGAGGCTCTGGGGTGATGAGCTGGTGGCCCAGTTGGAATTCCGGGCTTGGGCGACTCAGATCAGTGGAAACAGGCACACTTTCTGAGGCACCGTCAAGCTTCAGGCCTGCGTCAGCTGGCGGCTGGTCTGCCAACGCTGCCTCCTCGTCTCCTGTGGGCGCCACTGACTCGACCGGACTGTGTTGCAATTCAGCAGTGGTGAATTCCGCCGAGAAATGAGCTGACTCGAGGAGTGCAGGGTCAATTGGGAATTCGGCGGCATGCGACAACGGACCGGTACTGTGATCGATATGCTCGAAATTAGGTGCGCTTGACGAGAAGTACTCCAGAGTCTCATAACCAGGACCATGGATTCGTGTCGTCGCCTGGATTTCTTGGATGCCACTGGGGGGACTGCCTTCATGCTCATCCATGTGCACGTCGTAATCCTGCACAGGCGCAGATTCTGCTTCCTGGTCCAGGTTGTGCAGTTGGACAGCCTGATCTGCCTGTTCTGCAACGCGCCCCTGGTCGTACGTTTCCTCCCGCTGAACAACCTCAGCCTCACTGGCTTGTCTTCGCTCAGCCTCGGGTTCTCCTGTCTCGGTCTGTGGTGGCTCGATGCTTTCCTCGGCAACGCTTTCTTCACGGTGCTGTTCATCATTCTTCGCCCGCTCGTCCACCATTCCTCCAACAGTTGCGTCTTCTGATTCTGATTGGACTTCTGCCGTGTCCTCGCGCACAGCAAGCTGCTCACCCGCCTGCTGTTCATGGCTTGCTTCGGATCCTCGTCCAATGATTTCGTCGGGATCCGACCAGTCGTCGGCCTCCGATACGACATCTCCTTCAGCATAGTCGTCCTCATAATCCACAGCATCGATGATGTCTTGATCTTCATCCTCGTCATAGACCGCTTCCGCATCTTCGTCTATGACTTCAGAGTCCGACTCCTCATCAGCCGAGGATGCTGATCGTTCAGATGTCCATGGCTGAGCAGCTGTTGGTCTTGAGTGGTCCACGGGCTCCGGCGGTGGAGGAGCAGGTTCGTCCTCGCTGTCGCTGTCCAGAACGATGATCTCCGGGGAGTTCCTCTTCATTGGAGGCGCTTCATTCCTGACCTGCTCTTGATCGGACTCGGATTCCATCTGGTCATCATACCCTTCGGCATCCTCGTCGTCATACATGTCCTCTTCGTGTAGGCCATCTTCGTCCTCGTCGACTTCTTCCAAGTCCCCTTCCTCGGACATATCTTCCTCGTAATCTTCGGGTTCATCGTCGTAGGCGTAGTGGCCTGTAGCTGCCTCCTCGTCTTCGAGATTCTCCGCATTCGATTCTACCTCGTCATCAGAGGCCATCGGAGCATCAGTCCTTGACTCGACTCTGGATTTAGCTGTGTCTGCTGCATCTTGTTCCATATCGTCGATCGAGTCTGCTGAGCGGGGTTCAGAGTCTTGACTAGCAAGCTCGTCGTCATGCTCCTCGCTCTCCAAACCCTCGTCGCTCGCCTGCTCTGCTTCGGAATAGTCTTCGTCCTCCTCAGAGATGGGGTGTGTCTCCACTCGGCTGGCCTCTTTTTCGCTCTCGGGCGTCTCTTGACTACCTTCTGTCTCTCTCTGTTCCGATCGCCGCGGTTCTTCATCTCTCATCTCCACATCGGATTCTCTCTCGCGTGAAGCAGCAATAAAAGATGACTCCGAGTCTTCTTCCATCACGGTTTCCCTGAAGGTTGAGTGATCCAAATCCTCCTCCAGGCTCTCAGAGGCAGGGCTGGGCTCATCTATTTCATTACTAACAGCATCGATAACGATTCCAGGGGAACCTTCTGATGGCTCCTGAGCTTGACCATCCATAGAGTCGAGTTCGGTGCCCCGTCCCACCCCACTTGCTACTTGCGAAAGTTCTGGCGTAAAGTCTGACCCAGGAGCCGTTAGCTGAGCCGGTTCCGATGTGACTGAAACCGATTCAAAGTACCCATGCGGGCTATTGGATGAGCTAATCAGTGGCGAGGGGATGGGAAGACCTGGGGAAGGAATCGGATCCAGCCGCGGAGTGTCTGTAGGAAGATGACCAGCAAGACCCGAAATAGTTTGATGCATATAGCGCGAGAACTCCTGTGGTTGGAAGCGTTGTGGCCGGAGGAATTGCGCATCCGACTTGGGTTCGGACTTCTCCGGGAAATCGTCTCCATGGGTTCCGTGCGCATCTGGGGTTTGCTCCGCACCTGTTATTGCGCTTGCCGACTCTTGTTCGTCCGGGGGAGCGGGAGACAACGTATTGGTCTTGTTTGATTGAGGCGACGCAGGTTTTGTCGAATCTTGCGGGGAAACGTTCGTCTCCGGGGCAGCCTCTTCGAATTCAGCCGCCGCTTCGTTAAGCCAAGCCTCGTCGTCAAACATCGCCGTCCAATCTCCAGGTATCTCTAGATCCTCCGGACTGGCGGGCTCGTCGACGAGTCGCCAGTCGTTGCGCATACTGAACCTCGGCCGTTTTCGTCCCTTTCCCGGGATGAAACCATCTTCCTCCGCGAAGGAATCCAAGGCCGGGTTCAACGTCGAGCCCGCCACATGATCTCCGACATATGTCCTTGATGAGCCGAGAAAGGCAGGCGATTTCCAGGTGGCCGAATCGAGACCGCGGAGGTGAGCCACGCCGGTTGGTTCGGGTGTGGTCGGTGTAGGAGTGGTTTTTTCGGCGGAGCGCCGGGGAGAGGTTGGGGGATCAATCTTGACGGTCGACAGATGCTTATCTGAGCGCCATACCTGGAATGCAATGAGCCACTTCCCCTTCACACGTATCATATCTTCCGGCCTGTGGGAATCACTCACCTCGACTAGAACCGTGCTCTCGAAATACACATCCCACGCAACGCTTTTGCCCGGGGTCAAGACGTTCGGGTCATTCTCCTCCAACCTGGATCCGGCCAAGCTGAGATACACACTGTCGCCAATTCCGACCTGTGTCTTTGCGACCTCTTCCGCGACGGGACCATGAAAGACCACTCTGACTTGCCCGCCAGACCGCCGAAGCCGAAAGTCAGGCTCCGCCAACAGCAAACTGATTGACCGTGTCGACGAGGAGAAGGGCCAGAGTAGGGCTACCACGCCGCGTATCGAGGTTTCCGAAAGGCCTTCGAGTGTGGGGGCGAGCTGCGCAATGGGGACCGTGTTCGACTGAAGGAGTTGGGACGCCGGGGGTTGAGCTTGATCGTGGGCGTCCATCGTTGCGACGGCTTAGTTGTCATGCGGTTTCGACATTGCCTTTGACCATGAGGCCCTATCTTGCGTTTGGGTCGTCGTCCGGTGAAGGGGGATTGAGGGCAATGGGATGTTGTAGGAAGAAGACAATAAACAAGACGCGGCGGGAAATTCGAAGAATGCGGAGGAGGAGGTTGCGTCACAAAACCCGGGTGGTGGTGTACCGACAGTGTAATCTTACAATCTGGTTCTTTGTTCTTGCGGGTTTCCCGCACCGAGTGGAGTCGGTAATGGTATGTTAGCAACCATGACTTTTTTTTATGTATAACTTACGGAGCACAGAAGAGGTGGACAATGAGATAATAATAATTTTGTTGCTGAGAGGAAGACCCCATGATTGACGATCAATGTCAATCTTCAGCATGCCAGTCATGTAGTCCGAGTTATTTGGAAATCCCATGAAGACCAAAGTACTTGATCAGCCCATTCCGATGACGGAGGGAGCACGAGATCCCCCGCCATAATGGAATCATCGCCCATGGGAGATTGTCTGGAGACTATAACAAACATCCCATTATCCCCATCTCCTCCTGCTTGAAGGGTCGAATATCTTGTGCACAATACATCCCCTCCCCTCCCCTCCCAGAGTTTCTCATATTGAGCCCTGTAGAAGAACCATGACACGATCAAAACAGATCAGCCGCATCGCTGTCATTGGTGCTGGTCCTACGGGTCTTGCTGCAGCCAAGTATGATTTCGTCCCCTTCCCCCGATACCTCGGCGGATTTGATAACTAACAGAGAACCCCACCCATCAGGTACTTGCTCGCTGAAAAGTACTTTGAGAAGATCGATGTCTTTGAGCAGAGGGCTGTCGCCGGTGGGGTCTGGAATTACTCTCCACCTTCCTTGAAGGACCAGGTCCCCAGGACTGTGCCTCAGCTTGACCCCCACCAGCCCCTGCAAGGACCAATATGGCATACGGTCAAAGGAGGGGAAGAGCCGGTATTCGTCTCGCCAATCTACCGAGACTTGGAGACGAATCTTCCCAAAGAGATCATGCGGTACAGCGACAAGCTCTTCAAGGCGAAGACCCAAGTACTACCTAAGCATGCCACGGTGAAGGAATACCTCCAAGAGTATGCGGAAGAAATCCGCCACCTGATCCAATTCGAGACCCAGGTCTCCGATGTCAGGAAGGAAGTTCTTGGAGAAGGCAGTTGGTCGGTCACTACGAGGAGTCTGCGTACGGGAGACACCAAGACCAACTCGTACGATGCCGTGGTGGTCGCTAGCGGCCACTATGATCTTCCGTTCACCCCGGACATCCCCGGGATCACGCACTGGAATGAGACATATCCCGGAGTCATCTCACACTCCAAGCTCTACGACTGTGCCGAACAGTTTCGTGACAAAAAGGTTGTGGTGGTGGGGAGCTCGGCGTCAGGCCTCGATATCAGCAACCAGATCCTCCCCGTCAGCAAGGGAAAGGTCATCGTCTCCGAGAGAAACCAGTCGCTGCTTGCTTCCGCGGCGGGGGATACCAGCAAAGTCTATCGACCTCAGATCGTGGAGTTTCTGCCGTCAGATTCCCACAGCCGAGCCGTCCGCTTTGAAGATGGGCATGTGGAGGAGAACATTGATGCCATTGTGTTCTGCACCGGATACTTGTATACATTTCCGTTCTTGTCCTCGCTGGATCCACCTCTCATCACGAACGGCCGGCGAGTGGTGAACACATATCAGCATCTCTTCTACATCCATGACCCCACCCTGGTGCTCACTGCCCTTCCGCAAAGAGTCGTGCCATTCCCCTTGTCTGAGAATCAGGCCGCTGTGTTTGCGCGTGTGTTCTCCGGACGCCTCAGCCTCCCATCTCCAGATGCGATGAACGAGTGGGAGCAGTCCACCGTTCGTGAAAAGGGGGAGGGGACGCCGTTTCACCTGCTACCGTTTCCTCAAGATGCTGATATGATGAATTTCTTGCATGACTGGGCCAAGCAAGCCGAGCCTCGACCAGGACTTGACCACGGCGGTCATGGCAAACCGTGCAATGATTGGGGAGAGCGCGAGAGATGGATCCGAGCACAGATTGCGGATATCAAACGAGCGTTTGGACAGAAAGGCGCCGAGCGTGGTTTGATTACCTCTCTTGCGCAACTCGGTTTCGACTATGATAGACGGGATGAGGAAGAGAAGAATCCCTCCAGTATACATTTGGGCTAGAACTGATCAAGACCCCCCTGTTAGAGACATACAATCATGTTTTTATGCCATTCGTCATTAGCTTAGCCGTTGGAGTCGAGATAGAGACCCGAATCGACCATCGACACTAAAGAATTCTCCAAGAGAGACGACAGGCATCACATTAATTGCCCATACACTCCCAGGAAATAACAAGCTGGCCACATGATCCATTATTAGCTCATTCGATGCTACTGTACTAGGCTTCTGGCTCGAACAAGGCAGCCTCCTCATCCCACCATTTGCTGAAAAGCACCAGTCGCTCCGTCCGTTCCTTCGCCATCTTCAGCCCGGCTTCGGTCTACCATTACATGTCCCGTCAGCCTGGGTCCATTGGAACGCTGTCGGAAAGAAAGTAAAGTGAGCATGACGGTCAGTCCATACCTTCATCATCCCCTCCAGCTTGACCAACTTCTCATCGATATGAGCCCTCGATCGCTGCATGCTAGCATCCGGGACCCTCGCGCCCCCATAGGTAAACATTCTGCCCACCCCAATGGCGCCCAGAGCATCCAAGCGATCGGCATCTTGCACCACGGCGAGGTCCGGATAGTCCTCGAGAACCTCCGTCACCTTCTCCGGGTTCTGGACTTCCGTCGAGTAGGAGACATGGTTCACCACCTCCTCGACGTGGGCAATGTCTTCTTCCGCGATTCCGGCTTTTTGCAGCACCAGAGCCACTTTGGACAACTGCGTCCCGGAGGGGGACGCGGGTGGTGCGTATTTCTTGTCGTTGACGTCGTGAAGAAGGCTTGGTGTTTCGTGTGAGACGGTCCATCGCTTTGGGGCAAAAGAAAGGAGTACTCACGCGCTCAAAAGGATCATGTCCGGCCTATACCATTCGTGTCGCTCGGACTCGCACTCGAATTCGGCGGCGAGGATCTTCTGGGATAGGGCTACGACGCGCAGGATGTGGTGGAAGTCGTGGGAGGCATCGTACTGGCTCATGTGTTGCAGGACAGCCTCCGCCACGGATTCAAAGACCGCATCTTCTTGCGCAATGTACCGCCCAAAGTTGGATTGGCGGGCTGATTGCAAAATCTGGCGAAAGGTGTCCATAGCGCACTACGTCGTTGTACGGTGGAACTAGGAGTTTTGTGTATAGCTTAGATGGGCACAGTTGAAATTCTTCGGTCTTTCAGGATTTCGTATCTTATCGCCCGCTGCCCGATCAGTCCCTCCTGCCTGAGGCTTCCATGAGGGGCAGCCAGACAGACAGCCAGCCTAAACTACGGAGTACTCATCACTAGTTGCCAGCGACAAGTTCTCTTGCAGATTATGCATATCCTATGCTGAATCTAAATGTAGCTTCACGGTCCAACCCTCATTGATTCTCCAGAGTACGATATGTTGCCGTACCAGGCTCGTTGAGCTTAGGGTTACTACTACTACTGTAACTACTAGAGGATTGGTTTGACCTTCGCTATTCGTTCCCTTCCTGGATGTACGATGCAACAGTCCGAGGTCACCTTCATGTCTGAAACGTATGATCTGATCGTCGGGATTCAATTGGGCGAGGGAGTTCCCTTCGTCCTGAGCCCTAAGGAGGATACATGATCCACACACCCGAGGGCCATCGCTGCATCTTCCGCGGCCCTTCATTTCAAGTGCCAGTCTGTGAGGAGCGTTTGGTGTTGTGAAACCAAGCAGCAACCAAGAGACGAGGTGTAAGCTCTCTCGAGGAAAGTAGTATCTTTCTCGATGATTTTACCAACTTCTGAATGATTGTGGTTAGCAAGACCGAAGGCGTCTTCCCCAGGTTTCCGGACGAGCGACTGATAAGGACCATCACGTGCCGAGGATCGCCCACCCTTTCGTTTTGTTCCCGTCGACCTCAGCTCCAACTCACTTTCCCTCCCTCTTCATCTCCCCCCCATTTCCCCCCTCTTACACTCGCACTCTTCCAGCCATCTCCCTGAAACCCGTCGCTATAAATCCCCACAGCATTCCCTCGCTCTTTCGCATTGTAGGTTTTCTTGACACCTTTTCGCCCGCACTTCCTTTCACCAACAACAAGCGTTCATTGTTCGTCTGTCACACCACCATGGATTGTCGCACCTCGTCCATGCTTCCGGTTCGCGCATAATGTGGCCTAAGCGCAAACTACTGTCTTCCAACACAACCACCTGTCAGCTTGAATCACGGAGGAAACCTCGGAAGGAGCGCTACACCGTTCAATCGACCGACGACTCGGACAATTCGAAACACACAGAGCAGCACCTTGGACGACGACGAATACTATACCAAAAGTATCCTCGACGAGACCGAGGTCTCAATACTTGATTGACTGGGAAGGTCCGTGGGACCCCTCTTGGGTAAATAGTATCTTCTATCTGTAATGGGAGATGGTTCTAACTGCTCAATTTGTGTGGTCAGGAGCCGAAGGAGATCGCTAGCGTACTCGCTGTAGAAACTGGGGAGAAGAAGCAGCAGCAGCAGCAGCAGCAGCGTTGCGCGCGAGGCGGAGGAATTCAATCACGTAATACTCCATCAATGCAATTGTCTTCCTCCAGCTCACCAACGAACAGCCCGGAGCAGCGATTGCTCGAGCCCGCGGCGTCTGAAACCTCCCCGGAACGTTCGATCGACGCCCCGGATTCTCCTTTGTGTGTTCCCCTCGACGATACATCGGAGGTGCAGAACATTCATCGGGTCAATTTACTTCGAGTCCATTGGACCCGCATTGTACAGATCCGGCTGGGGATACGCAGGCGCTACCATTATACCAGTCGCTGGTGTTCGAAGAAGTGCCCGCGATACCGATTGCTGCCGGGCTCCGTATATCTGGGGAGTCTCCGGAAGCACGGCGCGTAGATTGCCTGCCCATTACAACCCCTAATCGGGATTGTCAAATTCAGGAAAGTGTCCTTAGTGTGGGTTTCATCCGGGGAGAGGGACTCTATCAAAGCAACATTTCCGGCCCCTCTGAGTCCCAACAGCCAGTACACTTGGTGCGCTGCGACCATCTGAGAACTTTAAAAGAGATACCGGAGACACCATTTGGTCCATTCAGTGTCTCAGAAAGTCAAGTACCGTGTACCGCCCCCACAGATAAGAACGCCCAGTCGCAGTACTCTACAGTCTTCCAAACCATTTCTCTGGCATCCAAGTCGCTGGCTTCTCGACCGGATTCGTCAGCCCATCACTTGTCGCAAGGTGATACTCATTAACTCCGGGTCAATGTACCCGCTAACTGTTGCATAGGTAGCACCAGCGCTGGTCGCGTGAGTGTGATCGCGGAGTCAGTCACTGCGCGTAATTCGCAAGACACGGAGGGCTCGCTAATAGATAAACGAGGATTGTTTGTCGCGAAGACAATGGACGGACAGGAGAAGAAAGGTATGTCTTTGGCGGAGACGATGGAGAAATACAGCCAATTTGAGGGGAGCACTCCAAGGGAGAAGCTCCGGAATGCGTACGCCCAGCTTCAAGCACAGAGCTTTATCCCCCCAGAGCCCAGCGCTACGCCATCATCGGTGGGAGAAGCTGGTGACATCGAACCATCGCCTGTCGCCTTGCCCGAAACAGCGGCCCCACTCAGCGTGCGGATCGACAGAGACTCCTCCGCCTTTCATCATCATCCTCCTCCTGAACTTCATCCTCCCGTGGATCCCCCCGCTGTCATCCCATCGTCACCCCTGGACCCTGCACAAATGGATCCCTCCCAGCTTCACCATGTACAGACCATTCAACCGCATGCTTTATCAGTCGACCACACTGAAGAAGCTATTCCAGGCTCGATTCTCCTGGGTCCGTCCGAGTTCGCCATTCCGCTCCCGATGGACTCGAGGGTCCGGGACGATTACGAGCGAGTCCTAGCAAGTGAGAGCGATTCGGTCCAAGAATTCCTTGACGCTACTGGCACACAACCAGATCAGGTACTAGTATGCAGCCCCTACTGCGCTGGGTGGAAAACTGATGTGTACACAGCGCGTGCGCTTGCTGCCAAAGATACGGGAGGTGTTAGAACGTCTGAGTAATGTCGCTACGCATCCAGACCTCAACGTCGCGAAGCACATCAGCGGCTCGCAAGCCGACTTGCGGCAAGAGTCCTCTTGGGCGGAGTACTCTAGCGCGAAGTTCTTACTTCTCTCTTATCTGGTCGGGTCCACGAGTGATCGCGAGATACATCTAGTCATCATGGTCAACGGCGAAAAGACGCAGAACCTCGTCGAACGGTTTTTGCTGGGCAAAGGTCTGGTATATACCCGCCCGCGGGAGGAGATGGGTCCCGGGACGAATGTTGAGGTCTCCCTGGCTAAGGGGTCTTTGAGCTTTGGGGTTCAATCCACACGCAATGATGGCATCGTGGAGACCTTCAAAGCGCCCTCGGCAATCATCGCCCTGGATTCGTCATTCAACACCAAGCTCCCCTCGGTCGAACACATGCGAACCACATTTGCTCGTCATGGGCATTTGCTTCCCGTGGTGCGCCTGATCGTTGCCAACTCAAGCGAACACATCGATCTCTGCTTCTCTAATCTACCAGAACTTCAGCGGGTGCGGCTGCTGCTGCAATATACTCTGCGACTGAAAAGTTCCGTCGGCGACCTTCAGGATGATGCGCTCGGGGTCTCTGAAGATGCAGACGAGCTCATCTCGTACCTTTTGTCGGACAACTTCACCGCACATTGGTCATTGCCGCACATTGAGCCGCTGCAGATTATGAATCTCGAGGAGCTCCAACCTGTTCCCGAAGAGCCACCAAGCGGACCTGCGGTTGATTCCTCAGCACGGGCCACTCCTCTGTCACAAAAGCGAGCCTTCGTAAGTCTACGCTCACCTCCCCGCGAGATCCTTGGATCTAAGGCAGCGACCCCACAGACGGAAGAATATAGCGAGCAACCCTCCAAGCGTCCACGAATGGAAGATCCCCAAGATGCCAGCCAACGCACCGAATCAAGCACATTCCCTAGCCAAACCCTGGACGGCGAGCTGCGCTGGCTCGAAAGCAATCTGGTTAAACTTCGCAGTTCGCATGCAAGTGAAATTTCAAAACTTCAGAAGACGCTCGCCGAGACCCAGGCCCGCCTTCGCGAACGAGACCATGTCCTCGAGCAACTGCAGCACCGCTACGAGACGCGCACGCGAGACTTCCACAAACTCCGCCGCGAGCGCGACAAGCTCATTGAAGCCAAGACCGCCGCCGAACAGCGCAGTGAGAAGAGCAAGGAAGAGCTCGTCAAGATCAAAGACGAACGGACACAGTTACGGCACGAGCTCGAGCAGGCTCGCGCCGCCCTCAAGAGCGACGCGGGCAGCATGGCGGCGGAGCTCGAAACCGCGCGCGAGGAGATCCGCCGCCTCACCAAGGAGAACAGCGGGCTGGAGCGCAAAGCCGATTACGAAGCCAAGCAAACCGAGTATACGCGCGAGCAGTACCAGACCGCCTCCAACGTCGCCGCGCAATCTGGCAACGAGAACCGCCAGCTGCGCGACGAGAACGAAACCCTCAAACGCAAGGTGGCCGGCGACGCCAGCCGGCTCCGCGAACTCAATCTTAAGCAAGACGAGGCCCGCCACCTCGCCCGCGCGCAGGAGTTGGAAGCCGCCCTCGCCTCGCGCGAGGACCTTCTCCGCAGGAAGGAGGAGGAGCTGCGCGAGATTCGCAAGAACCGACCCTCCACCCGCTCGACCAGCACCCAGCCGCGGAGTCCCAAGTGGAACGCCAGTCGTCCCACCAGCCCTGGCGTCAACAACCACGGCGGCAACGGATCGTCGCTGACCACGGGGCGTGGGAGTGCGCTCCGGTTCAGTTCGGAGATGACCTTTTAGGTGTCGGTACCTGCTGCATGCACGTACAGATCACACCACTCAAGTCCGTAGGATCGAAAGGGTGAAAAGCAGTTATCAAAAGGCCAAGCCTCCGCCCTTTTCACACCGCTACCTTGCGATCATCTGCCTCATATATCTATCCTATTTATGCAATCATCCTCTCTGCAAGATGCACTACCACCTAAACACCCCACGACCAGCCTCCCCCTCCTTTCTTCCCCTCCCTTTCTTCCTGACCTCAATCCCCACACAAACCGACCCCACCCTTGCATGGCCCCCGCATCGCATCGACATTTCCAATCAAAGATCTTGCAGATCAATCGATCAACGCAACGCATACCTCCTCTGTCTATCGTCTCCGCCTTACCTTCCTCTTCTCCTGTCTAGCCTCCTCCCACCCTTTCCAAACCCCAACCCCCACATCTTTTTCCCGCATGACGGGACAGAAGACATGTTATCTAATTGGGCCTGGCCTCAAAGAAAGTCCATCCATCGTACATGGCGAGACACACACAGACACACACAAAGCAGAAGCAAGCATAGACCAAACACCGGATCCCTCGGGTCTGCATACCCAACCAAATCTCGCTCACCAATGTAACCCAAAGTCTCCGTCGATTGAGTAAAGCAGAGGAGAAACAAAGTAGTCAAGTCCGTCAAGTAAAGAAGAGGAGAAACAAAGTAGTCCAGTCCGTCATTCATCCGGAGTACGTATGAGTACCAACACAATACAACCCGCCCAGTCGAGGAGCTAGTCACATCCGGGAAAGAGGGAATGAATAAATAGTAATGGCAGTACTTCGTGTACAGTTAGTTCTAGGACCGCGGCATAGTACTACATCTCCCACTGGGTGGCTGCTACTTGGCGCCTGCTCCCTCCGTAGGCAACACGACCAGTCTGGAAACGGGAGTTGATCTCGTTTATACAATCATCATTGTCAAACTAGTTGTGGCTACCATGCCTTCAGCAAACAGCATCAGATACAATTCTCAACTCCTCCCTAGATCCTTCTGAGTGAGAAATCATGTACTTTCCATTGAGGATATAAACCAACAAAAAACCGGATTATCAATCAACAAGGGGTTTTCTCATCAGAACTGTCTAGGGTAACCCCCCCCCAAAAAAAAAGAAAAAAAAATCACAAGGTATGACTTTCGTAAGTAAAAAAGAGTGCAATCATCGTGGAGGCAAATTTAATGACCCAACGCTTGGCCAATGAAGTTCGACAACTCCTTGGCCTTGCTGCCCAGGGTCATGGTGAAATGGTTGGCGTCTTCCATGATAGTGATCCCGCCGACGTTCCCGGGCCCGACCAGCGTGTCCCACTTGTTGGGGCCCAGGTCCGTACGGTTGTTCAAGAGCCAGACCATCTCGCGGGGATCGGGGCTCCCGTCGGCCGCGGGGGGCGGACGTGGGTCGTCGGGTTTGCTACACACGCCATCCTTGGCCCAAATAAGGAAGACCTTGGGCATCTTGCTGGCCCACTGCGGGTCGTCGAAGGGAAGCGGTACCGCGCGATAGGCGTCAAGGGAGTCAATGAACGCGAGGAAGTGAGGAAGCAGCCAGGCGGGAGGGGCGGATCGTCCTTCGCCAAAGAACCCGATCCCGTCGAAGAACTGGTACAGTCGCGGAGGAAGCTTCTGCAGTCCGATAGGGAACGGGGAGTCGAGAAGGAGGAGTCGGTCAACGCGCTCCCCTTCCTCGAGGATCATGTGCCGCGCAGCATCATAGGCGCAAATACCACCGGCCGACCACCCTCCAAAATTGTAAGGACCCTTAGGCTGTCTGCGCCGGACTTCGGCGAGGTAGGGAAATGTGAGTTCCTGGAGAGGGAACTTCAGCTTCTCGGGTGTCTTCATATAAGGACAGTTGAGCCCGTAAACGCAGACGTCGGGGCCAACCCGGGGAATTGTCGCGTAAGATGTAGCCGAGCCGGACCCATCCGGGAACAGGAACAATGACTGTGTAGCTGTCTTGGGATTGCCTTGCAAGACAATGGAGGTGGCTGGAGGGTGCTGAGCGGCTCGCGCACTAATAGTCGAATTGATGGCCGGAAGAGCCTCGGGCAGCCTGATTGGGGCGGGGAGAGGCGCGGCCTTGGGCTTCAGGTCCAGAGCGACTTCGACTTCCTCCAGAGTCTGATGTTCGATGAAGAACTCACCAGGGAGATCCAGGTCCAGGGTTTCGCGGATGCGGCCGAGGACATTCAGAGAAAGAAGAGAATCCATTCCCATTTCACCCAAGTTCTCGTCTGACTTCAGCTCATCCTCGGTCACTCCAACTTCATCAGCAATGATCGCGCGGATCTCCTTCATGGTGGCATGCTGTTCAACAGCCAACACGGCGACCTTCTCATTCGGCGGAGATATATCCATGGGCGAGCTGAGACCCGACTCATCTGAACCATCATTGAAGGAGAAGCTCGACTCAGGGTCGCTGGTGGACCCATCGCTGCTTTCCGAAGGGCTGATTTGAGCGATCAACCGCTTGAAATCCTTGACCGTTGGTTGATCGATGAATACGGACGAGTCCAGATCGATGTTCAGCTCCTCGCGATACCGGCCAGTGATGTTAAGAGAGAGCAAGGAATCTACTCCATAATCGGCGAAAACCAGATCATCCGAGATTTCCGCTTCAGAGAGGCCGACTTCCGATGCAAGGATGCTCAGTGCGCGCACAATCACACTGGGTCCGCTCGACTTCAAGAGGGACTTTGTGGGCGTGGGAGCTTTAGCGCGGGGTTTGCTACCGGCAGCTGGCACTGGCTTCTGGATCACGCTCGCAGAAGGACGAACAGGAGCGGGGGCTTTAGCCGCGCCGGCGGGGGGAAGTACAGCGTCGAGGATCTTGCGCGGCAGGGCTTGGAACTGTTACAGTAAGAGTTAGCTTTGCACGGACTGAAGTACGAGCTGAGGAGACTTACCTGAACTGATCCGTAGATAGCGATAATGTCATCACCTTCGAAGACGTAGACGTCTCCGGCCCAGATAGCATCCTTCAAGGGTTGCATCCTGACGTATGTCCTGTAGGTAGCATCTTGAGAGAACTTCTTCACACAGCGCATTGAATCCCAACCGTGGTTAACGAAGACCTGTGATTTTGAGTCGGTGCCGTCACTGGCGTTCATGATAAATCCGGACAAGTGCCCGAAACTATCAATCCAGAACGGATTGCGATGGAAGTCGCCCGGTGGAGCTTGAAACTTGACACGTGCAGTCGCTTCGTGATTGTCGCTATCGAGGATGACCTCGCGGATGGACTTGTAGTTGTCATCGTAATCAACCAGGGTAGCGAACAACTTGTACACCATGCCCCTCTGCAGTTTGTGCGCTTCTCCATTATCGGCGAGTTCCTGCAGGCGGTCGATACTCCTTTTGATAAGATACGACATGCGCTTCCACTCCCTCTCAGTGGCAGCGCAGTCAAAGAACTTGACGTTGCACGTTGCATGCTCAGCGGTCTTTTTCCCTTCCGGCGTGACCGAGTAAATCTGTACTGATATACGTTGCTCTGCCCAGGTTGCGGTTGCAGAGACCCTGAACAGCTGCGGACCACCTTTGGCAATAAGTGTTTTAGGAACGGCGACATCACACACGTCAAGTCCTACATCCTTGAATTCGGGCTTGTACTTATTGATTAAGTACTCTGCAAGCGTTTGAGCAATATCGGCATAGAGAGACTACCAGTATGGTCAGTATGGTTAACTCGGAAGCGATGCTTGAGGTGCAGGGAGGGCTTACCGATGGACAAAGGTTGGCACCGTTCACTTTGTGGCCTTGAATTACACGGCGAAGCTCGGGATGGTCAAGATCATTCTCAACAACCACGGTGGCAGTGGCCCCCTCATCTCGAGTCTCTATGACCTTCTGCGCAGCGGTAGTAAGATACTCATAAGTGGGTGCAGCTTCGATGGCAGCAACAGGAGCTCCCTTTGTCAGGCAAAAGTTATTGGAATACGGGATCCAATAGTTTTTGAGGTCCCAGTTGTAGGCAGGGAGACGCAGGACTTGGTGCGAAGAAATGAAGTCCTGGTGATATTGCTTCCAGTTGAGGTCAATTCCAGACAAGTGCAACGCTGACATGCTGTTCGAAAGAACCTTCCATGTATCTTCCTCACGGCGCAGCGAGGCGACTGTGGTTACCTGGGGGCCCAGTATAGCTTTGATCATGCCCGAACAAATGGTGTGAGACCCGATTTCCACCCACAGAGTCTTGTCATCGGCTAGTTTCGCATGTCTGATAGCTTCGAGAGCGCCGAGGAAGTTGACAGTTCCGCGACAGTGGTCCCTGAGGTATTTGGCACCAAGGACTTGTGCATTGGCTTCTGTGATAACCTCACCGAGGAGAGCTGAGACGAACGGGGTAGTAGGCTTGTGAAACGTCACACCTTGCGCAAGTGCCTCGAAGGTATCCAGGATAGGATCAACTTGCGGGGAATGGAATGCATACGGGACGCGCAACCTGGTTGCCTTCACATTTTGGGTGGAGCACTGCTGGGCCAAGTCTTCGATGTCCGAAGCCAGACCACTAATGACGGTCTCGGCGGGGGCATTGACACAGGCGATAGTATGAACGTCATCCCTGAGGAAATGCTTGATCTCGGCAAGGGATGCTCTGATAGCTAGCATGGAGTGTGTTCCAACCTCGCATTGCTCCGTCAGCAATTGAGCTCGCCGTCCACAAAGATAGATTGCGTCACTCGTTGACAGAATCCCAGCCGCATTGAGTGCAGCATAGTCCCCAAGACTGTGACCGAGGACAAAGGCCGGCTTCACACCCAGAGAGCTCCAGTAGCTGGTTAAAGCCATCTGGACACAACAAGTACCGAGCTGGACAATCACCGGGCTCAACTGTTCAACGGCAGTAGTGCCGTCGACAAGAGGCAAAATTGAAGGCAAGCCTTGACTCTGTGCAATACAATCGAAGTGCTCAATAGTGTCCCGGAACAGCGAGCAATTGTTGTAAAGCTCTTTGCCCATTCCGGTGTATTGAGCTCCCTGACCGGTGAAGACAAAGCCAATTCCAGGGGTCTTGGCCGGCACAGCCGTGTAAGCATCACGTTGAGAGGCAGCGTGCAAAGAATCGCGCAAGCTTTGCAAGCTGGAGCCGACAGCCGTGACTCTGAAGGGATGATGAATTCGGCGCGCAGTGGTAGTGTAAGCCAAGTTGGGGACGAGATCTGACTCCTTGACGCCAAAGGAGTTCCCGTACGAGTCCATGTACTTGATTAGAGAGCTGATGTTGTTTTTCAAAGCGCTCTGAGTTCGAGCCGAAACTGCAACCACATGGAAAGGCCGAGTATCCTGACCAACGGTCTCCGAGAGAGGTGCATCCTCCACAAGAAGAGCAGTATTGCCACCAGCTGCAGAGAAGTTATTAACAAAGGCGCGGCGCTTTCCAGAAGCTGGCCGGTTCCATGGAGTGGGCTGGAATGCAATATGAACATTACGCTTGGCAAAATCGGTCGGGAAGTTGTGATTGATCTTGGTCTTGATACCGCAGTGCGGAGGAATTTGGTTCTCTCTCATCATCATGAGCACCTTCACAAGTGCTGTCACACCGGAGGCGGACTCTCCATGTCCAATATTCGCCTTGGCAGATCCCAGATGAAGCGATTGCGTGGGCCCGCGGCGATAGTCAGGAGCAAATACATTGAGGACGGATTGCATCTCCACCGCATCTCCGGCCTGCGTACCGGTGCCATGCATTTCAATGTAGCTGACATCCTTCGGATCAATGTTCGCCTCGTTGAGCAATTTGTTGAAAATGAAGGCTTGCGCTCCAACGTGGGGACGAGTTATAGATACAGACTCCGCAGAATGATTGGTGTATGCCCCGTTGATGACGCCGATAATCGGGTCGTTATCTGCCTCCGCATCCTCGAGTCGCTTAAGTACTATGGTACCAACGCCATCGGCTCTGCAGTACCCATCGGCACCGTCATCGAACGTGTTGCAATTACCCTTGGTGGAGAGAAAATGACCTCGGTCCAACCCAGCATGGTTGTCCGGGTTAGTCAAGATATTGACACCACCCGCGATAGCGGTGTCACAGTCATTTCTCCAAATGGAATTGCAAGCCATATGGATAGCCGCGAGACTGGACGAGCATGCTGTATCCACGCTCACGCTCGGACCACTGAACTTGAAGTAATAGTTGATACGACCAGGAGTGAACGCACGGTTGCCACCGGGAATGAAGTAGGTATCGATATCTTGCCCGCTGTTGATCTCACGGTAGTCATCACTGGTCATGCCATAGAAGATTCCGACGCGATCTCTCTGGGTTGAGGGCGAGCTATCTGGGATGAAACCCGCCATCTCGAGCGCTTCGTAGGCTGTGAGGAGGGCAAGGCGCTGGGCTGGGTCGGCCTGAAGCGCTTCTCGAGGGGACATGTTGAAGAATCGTGGGTCGAATAGTCCCGGTTCATTGATCCAGCAACCGTATTGTACTCTGCTTGTATTTCTTCGGGTTCCCGTCTCGTCATAGTGCGCATCAACATCCCAGCGGTCCGCTGGAACCTTTCGGTGAACATCAAGGCCCTTTTGAAGAATATCCCAGAACTTCTCAGGACTTTCAGCGTCGGGAAACCGACCTGACATACCAATGATCGCAATCTTGGAGCACTCCGTTTTCCCCGTCGAGTTGGGTTTGTCTGCAGTCGTCGAGACATCTCCGATTCCGGTTTCCAGCGAGATGTTGGCGACTCCTGCTTTCTTCAGAGCGGTGTAAAGACTCTGGGTTGCGCTGGTGGAGATCGGCATTAGTCTACACGCCTGGCTGTCGGCTGATTCGATGATCGAGATGCAAGACTCCGTCACCTTGTCCCAGCAGAGTTGACGCAAGAGGATTTCTTCAATCGCCACCCTGAGAACCTCCTTAATCTTACTAGCCTCGATGGGCGCCCCGGTGTTACTGGATAAAACCGGGATGTTTGTGGTGTAGTGCGCAATACTTTCTTGCGGAGATGATTCTAGAATCCGGTCAACGTCTCTGCTGTCGTATAGATGCGGGGCATGGTAAGGCCCATGAATCGGCACTCTCGTGGGCTTGTAGTTTCCTGCAAGACCATTCTTGATGAACCCGTCCAGGACGATCGGCGGCGCGCTGATGGTGACTCCATTGAAGCTCACTGCGCTGATATAAGGTTTTGATGACGGGGGGATCGCCTACAGCGGTCAGTACTCGATTGAAGCTCTATGCTGTTTGGCTTACAGTTTTGCTGCTATATTGTTCGATCAAGCTAGAAGCACTTTCTCCGTTCAACCCTGAGACTAGAACGGACCACGAGGAGGCACTCGATTCGGAGTCGACGAGCTCTCTGACCCGCAAGACACATAGTCCAAGTCGCAAGGCCACAACCACTGCTTCGACTGCGGCGGGGAGGAGCTCTCCGACATTTCTCGATGCACTAACAGCGGCACAGCTGAGGAGTCCTGTACACAATCCGACGAGCTGGCAGCTCTGTGATGGGTAGGCATTCCCCAAATCCCCATAATAGCTTGAGAACAATCAGAGTGAGCTCTGTCGTTTCTCGCGGGAACAGGACTTACTGAATGAAAGATCCCAGTTGGTAAATGCATGTGAAGGCACTCTCGAACACGGGGCTCGGTTGCGACTCTCGGTACCTAGCAAGCAAGTCTACAAGACTTGTGCATCGGGGGAAGATCTTGCGTTGCGCGGGTGGAAGCTTCGAAATTTCCTGGCGTAGAGCATAAAAGGATTGTTGGAAGAAGGATTGGACAATAGTATTATTTTTCGCTTGAATTAGACGACGCAGACCAGGTTCAAAGTCGCTGGTCTGATCTCCGAAAAGGTAAACACGGTATGGGCCCTCCATTTTTCGGACAGGCGTATCCTTCAACAACAAGATCTGGTTGTTGAGGTAGAATTCACCTCTCTTGCTCTGGCCATGCTCACGGGCGGCAAGCTTTATACAGATATCGAACTACCCAACATCGCACAGTGGGGGGGGGAATAAAAGTTGTCTCATCTGCGGCATGTTCAGAACTGGTTAAAATGCATTCCCTGCGCATCTAGGGGGCCGACTGCTGGGGGAGGATGCAATGGCATCGACCCTCGTGCGTAGCATTGCCACATAACCAGCAAATCATGAGGTCAGCAACAAGTGACAGGATTGTTCTCGAATCCCGTGCAATTCACCGTTCCCCCTCAGAGTCAGGATCCTATCGATATCATCGCCAAGTGAAAGGCGTCGCAGGCTGATTCCCTCGGTACTGTGGGTCGGGTTAGCATCCCTATCTGAGACTGGGCAGGTGGGCACTCCATACTTTCAAGCATAGAGAATTCTAGACTTGCTCATTTGCCTTTGGAAGGGAAGTGTATGTGCAGCATGATCGTCAAGGGGTGAGGTACCATTGCTTTAACCCCTGCTTCCACCGCTTCCATGGCTGGTCAATCCACCTAGGCAGCCATATATTTCTCCTTTGTTTGGTGCAGCACAGAAGATTTTCAGGGTCCAATGATACCATCGTGACCGTTTAGAAAGGAGAGTTTATTCTTCTTTGCGCGGGGGTTAAGGAAGGACAAAGGAAAGAGAAGATGGTAAGCAAGTATGAGGATGTTTCCGACAGAGGAAAGTCGTTGGTAACCAAATGGGGCGACGATCAACCCTTACACCATAGGGAGTACTAGGTACTTCGTACTACTAGTACTATAGTACTGTGTACTGTGTACTGTGTACTGTGTACAGAGTACTTACCATCAAACCACCACCAACTGGCAGAATCTACAAACAAGAACAAAAACAACAAACCGGCTTCCCGAACACCTGCATGCATCACGTGTCAAATTCCTTCCCTTCATCCTCTTTTTCTCCTTCTTCTTCTTCTTCTTCTTCTTATTCTTTTTCTTTTTCTTCTTATTCTTCTTCTTCCTCCACCTATACCTGCTTCCGGTTGTTTACTTTTCCCAGTCTTCCCGCTGCTGCTGCTGCTGCTGCTGCTGCTCTCCTCGCTTCACCTCCTCGTACAGAGAGTATGAGACACAACATTCCACGGCACAGGCCGTAGGATTTCTGGCTTGGCGGAATCTGTGGAGCTTACCGGGAAACATGCCTGAAACCCAGGATGCGTGCCTTGGTCCTGCACTCTCGAGCCTTGCTTTTTTGACGCCGCCAAAGAAAGTAACCGATCGATTGACTGAGTCGGTGGACAGGAATGTTACTAGTAGAGCTTATTGATGTCATGACCAAGAACCATGCTCAAATCACGATCACAAATCTCAGCGACCTGCCCGTCATGAGCTTACCCCAGACAGCCACCATCAAGACACCCAATCGAACGAATCACCTGCCCCAGAGTCAATGCTTGATCTTTGTGTGCCTTTCTTCATGATCATGATCTCATTATCATGAGGAACGCAACCCTGCTCCGTGAGAGGACCTGCCTTGGTGAGGTTTCCACAATGCCATCACCAGTACAAAGGAAATACCATTCTTGAAAAGGATGTGATCAGGTATTCTAGCCTCTAGGCACCCAAGTTTCTTCTGTCTTTAGTGGCCGGATAGACTGGAATTGCTCATTGAGGATTCCTCCGCACACTATCCCGCTGGGAACCTATGGAAGTGATCTCCGAAGTATTTATAGCACAATCAGCCCCGACTCCCAAGTACTGTGGTTCCCCTCAACCCACGAGGACGGATGTGGGCAACAGAGAGGTTGGCAAGAGCCTAAGCGATTTTCAGAGGACTATGGGTTATTGATGGGGACACCTAGTGAATGCACTTGTTGATCTGCGCTTCTTTGTCGAGACACCATAGCTTTTTTGTACATGTAGTCTATTCACCTCATGCCGTTACGCTAACCCGACGCTGTCTAACATGTTGCCGAGGAACCGTAAATTTCATGGTGTAGACAAAGTAGTCTTCTCCGGGTCAAAAGTCTGGCTCAAGCAATTATGCAATTACCGGTCTGAGTGTTAGAAGCAAGCATAACTGATGCTGGAAGACGTAGTTTGTGCATTCGATGGGATTTGGTATCAAGCGAGTTGATCGGCCAATTGCCCAATGGCTCCGTGTCTTGAATTAAGCCTCTATAGCTGGCACAGCATTGTGCAACCTCCGATGTTCCTGGCAAGTCATGAGGAAGAGTCTGGCCTGAATGGTTACACTTCGTCCTACCATGGAGTAATCGTTTGCATCTCTGAATTCTAGACTCTTTCGGGGAGATATTCCGTCTCCTCGGAAGCGATGAATCCTATAGGTTCTGTTTGATTACGGCCGAGTGAAGCCAGTGTGGCTTGCATCAGCCCTGACCGTGACTCTCAAATGCAATTATATATAATGGCTTGTCAATGACATAGTAGGGCCAACCCATTTCACCAGTGATCATGAAATTAACTAAATTCTGGTGGTTATGAAACTTATGAGCTCAACACATGCTCCAAGTCGAGCTTTTAAGACTACATGACCCAGCAATGAACCTACTCCGAAGCTTTACGACTCGTGTCTTCTGACATGAGTCGTATAGATCAGGGGCTCAGCGGGATGATCTGCGCCGGCATTGAAGCATATTGGCAGCATTCCTGCCTGGCAAGGCATGCACAACGGTTGGCAGATGAGCTCAGCGGCTGTGACGCGAAACCACTTTTTTTTTTCACGTCACACATCTACTTCTACCGATAGCATAACATTAGTGAATTTAACCTGGGTCAAAGACCAAATTGACAGGGTAGTTGCGTCTTTTCAGGCTGTATTCGAATGTCGAACCCCTGAGGGTATTTTAGGGTGATATTTGGGGAGCTAGTAAGTAAGTAACTAAGGTACAGTCAGTAACTAAGCTTAGTGGAGCAGCCAGAGGAACCATGGGTCGTCGATAAGGGATTTGAAGGACCAGGGAAGAAAAAGGGGAGTGCAGTGGCGAGGAAATGAATTGAACCACGGGGGGGGAAGAAGAGGAGGAAAAGAAAAAGGGACTGTGCGCAATAAGCTTATCGATAAAGCCTGACTACTTACTCAATAACTTACCACTAATCCCAATGCGGATCCCACGTAAACACCAACCAAAACATCCCATTTCCTCCCCCCCCAATCCATCTTCCCCCATCGGGCCTCACCGTCCATTCGTTCTTCCACTTCCACTTCTTCAGCTTCAGCTTCAGCTTCAGCTTCCCGCCTCCACCACCACCACCTCCTCCTCCTCCTCCATTCAACCAAACAACCAAACAACCACTCTCGCTTCTTTGCTCCCCCCCCCAGTCTTTTCACATCTGACTTTGTGTCTTCTTTGACTCGCTCTTTTTGCTCTGGAAATCGGTTCCCCACCTCTTTCCTCTCCCCCCAACGGCCTTCTCTCTCCCTCTCTCTCTCTCTCTCTCTGTTATGACCGCGGCGTCTTCCTTACCCATCGCTGCTGCATGAGAGCAGTCTTCTGCTTTTGCTTCTTTCTCTCCCCACCGTCGCATCCCCTCCGCCCGGAAATATCCACTGTGCCTGGCATCTGATACATCATTCCATCCCGCCCGCTTGCAGTCTATCATGCTTGGGTTTGCAGCTCCACCTCTGTGTTCTTGATGTTCTCGTTATGCTTGTTGCTTCTTTGACCCACAGCGCGTTGTGCATTAGACTCGTGTCGTTACTCCATCTTTTCTCAACCGAGGGATTAATTCTCCTCGATTGACGTGATACCAAGACTAGGTTAATCTTTAATTGACTCTCACCAGTCGCTCGAATCCAGAGATTCGTGGTCAACCGCTGTCGCAGCAATGGCGCCCGCCGCCCCCCAACTCCCCGCCCGGTTTCCATGCTGGTGTCGAGCCATATACTCATGGGGAGGAGAGACAAAGCGTGATCTAGGGTTTGTGGAAGGGGACCTAATCGAGTGTCTAAATGCAGGCGATGGGCAATGGTGGATGGGTCGATTGCGGCGCGACCGGCGCATGATGGGTCTATTCCCATCCAATTTCGTTGAAGTCCTCGGGGAGGACTTTGTGCCTGTCACTAGATCGACCAGTCCCATGATTTCCGCCACCGTGTCTCCGATCACAAATCCTACCTCCGCCCCCAAAAAGCAGAAGACCGTCTTTCGGAAACCCTTCCAGGCTCACAAGGAAGCGCTTGCGCCGACAGGCGAGTTGGCCCGAGGCGGCCTGTCCTCGTCGCCCGTGATGGCAAGCTCGATACCCCAGACACCCCCCCGAGAGGGCAGTCTTCCGCAAAAGGTCCAACCCTTGCGGACACCGACCACGGCCGTGAAGCATCAGGGCTCGGTTTCAAGGCCCCCCTCGCGGTCGCGGCCTCCATCGCGTGCAGCGTCGCCTCGTCCGCCCGCTGAACCTGACCCGCTGCTCTCATCAAGCGCCCCGGCTCCGTATAATCCCCGCCACAGACCTCCGTCTCGAGCAGTGTCACCTTACCCGTCAGACAGTCCCCGCAATAGACCTCCATCTCGTGCCGTATCGCCGTACCCGTCGGATAACCCAGAACTTCATATGCCATTGGTACCTCCGGTGCGAACCACAATGCATCCCACTCCTCCATCTTATGCCGCCTCCCCCCGGATTCAGGCCGACTACGACTTCATCTCCTCCTCGTACCCGGATAGGCACGGTATATCGATACCGGGACGATCCTCACGCGAGATCTCACCACTGCAGCTGCAAGAACGGGAAGAATCGCCACCTCCACCACCGCCTCCGCATCGCGTGGCCGTACATCGACAGCCCTCTCCTGGGCCCCTGGTTCCGTCCCGAATGGAGATAAATGACCGCTATGCCACCATGCCAAGGACCCCATCCCCTGCGGCGCACTCCGAAGGCCGCGGTCATACGCCCTCTCCCCTTCGGGATGCGATGGAGGATGTAATGACTTCTTTGGAGGACATGGGGCTGTCCCGAAGCACGCACTCGCCATCACCGCAGCCACAGCCACAGCCGCTGTTCAATAATCCCTGGTCACCGGATGCGTACGAAGGACTCAGTCAACGTCGACCCTTGCGGACTTCCAACCGACCTGTAACGTCCATGGGATTCGACGGGTACAAGGAATATCAGCAGCATGGGAGTCAAAAGCACAGGAACAACAGTGTCTGGACGCATGACCCTTATCTGGAAGGCCCGCCGCAGTTGAACAATTACGTACAGAGAATGGAGAGCCGCCTCCGGCAGATGCAGGAACAGAACCGACAGGACTCGGAGGAGATCCAGCCCGAGGAAGATGAAGAGCCTCCACCGCCGCCGTCGAGAGGCGTTCCCTACCACGCCCGACATAATTCGACTCCGGCACAGTACCCGCCCCTTCGAGGACGGCGGTCCGGACAGGATCTCCGTGAGGATGTACTCAACCGTAGCTACACCACTAAGTCCAGCACGACAACGTCCTCGAGTGGCGTACAAAGCATCAGCACAAACCTCACGGCGAGCACCGAGCGGACGAATTTCAGTGTAATGAGCGGTCCGTCGGCCGGGGGATTCAGCGCAACGAGCGCGGGAAGCTACGCGAGGAGAATGACTCCCGCCGACCGGCCAAACACGGCTTCCGATACGTTCCGTTCCAGAGGGTTTAGCGATGTATCTCGGGTGTCGAGACCCGAAACACCCCTCACAGGCATCTCTTATCACTCGAGCCACAATACCTCCCGACAGGGGGCGTCTTCGGCCATCCCCTGGTCGGCTCCTCACGCCCCGCCGGAAGAGACCGCCGGGGTGCTGGGAGGATTGTCTACGCCAAAGGCCAAAAAGCCCGGATTCTTCAAGAAGATCTTCGAATCGGCCAAGACCGGAGCGGCGAATGCGAGGAGCAGTATTGCAGTCGGCCAGAGTGGTGGCACCTTCTCCCCCTCAAAGGGACGGGGGATCTCGCCGATGCGTGCTCTGCATTCTAGCCGAGACTCTGGTCGGGAGTCGGGCAGCGCCTCAGCGATTGACTGGGTACAGGTGCGGCGTGATGTCAACCGTGCCAGCTCGCCCAGTCACAATGAGCGCATTGAGAGAGCGGAGCGATGCCAGATGATGGATCACCCCGTCATCTACGCGGTGGAGGAACTCCAGGAGACGGCGGAAGGGGACGAAAGCATCGATGGTTTACCGATCAGCGAACCCAACAACTTCGGGTCGTTCAACCTGAGTCTGGTTGATAAGAGTGCGCGCTTCGTCAATAGTCTTCCCCCGATGACCAACCCGGCCAGCTTGGCTCATGGGTATGTGTGCCGTCCTTACAAGAGTGATATTCAACGGTTGCGGGCCATTTTCACGTGGGTCAGCGAGAAGATTGCATGGGACGAGCCGGTTGAGGAGGTTGGCATCGACCTCAAGCGCGTGCTGCAGACGAAACGGGGAAGCCCTCAGGAGGTTGCGTTCCTGGTCAAAGAAATGTGTGCTGCCGTGGGGCTTCATGCTGAAGTCATCCGCGGTTTCTTGAAAACCCCGGGAGAGTTGCACGAATATGACGGCCTTGCACGCGCGAACCACTGGTGGAACTCGGTGCTCGTGGATGGTGAATGGCGCATCATGGATTGTTCTCTAGCCAGCCCCACGAATCCGCAGAGGAATCAATTCGTCACCAACAACACCTCTGCGGCCGAGAGTTGGTATTTCCTCACGCGTCCCTTGGAGATCTGCTACACGCACATTCCCCTCTCACCTCACGAGCAGCATATTTGCCCACCCATCTCGCCGGATGTCTTAATGGCACTTCCGACGGCCTGCCCGCCCTACTTCAAGCTCAACATGCAATTTCCCGATTACGATACTAGCGTTTTTCGGATTGAGGGCCTTGAGGTCATGCAGATCCGTCTTCTTGTGCCTGCCGACGTCGAGTGTGCAGCGGAGGTCGAGGCTCCTGGCTTCGCCTGCGATGCGGACGGCGACTGTTTCGAGAACGGGGAGATCGTGCGCAAACGAGCTCTCGTCCAGCCTGACTGGATCAATGGGCAGAAACGCATCACCGTCAAGGCCGTCTTACCCGGTGATGAAGGACAGGGCATGGTCAAGATCTACGCCGGCAAGAAAGGACTCATGCATTCCAGTCGAGACATTCCCCACCCATTGGCTCTGGCACTTCCGCTTATCCACACGGGAGACAATCCGCCGTATGACTTTGTGCTCCGCCATCCGACCCCTCATGCCCAACGGCACGACTTATACATCATCCAGCCTCAGTGCGCCAAGTTAGCGGTGAGCAACACTTTCGTGTTTGCCGTCCGCCAACACCCCGCTTCCGCCCCTTACCAGCCGGGAGGCAGCGATCTCGGGCCCAGCGGCCGTGTGTCGCCGTCCGTCTACTCCCGGCCGGCCAGTGCCTTGAGCATGGTGTCCAGCTCCGCGGGGGGATCTTCTGTTTCCGGCGTCTCGAATGAATTCTCGGCCTCCACCTCTGCCATCTCATCCGGCCGCTCCTTGTCGGGGCGGGAGAAGCCCGCCAAGCTGGCCATTCAATCTCCTTCTGGCAAAATTCTCCGACTCACGCGCAAGGCCGACCACATGATCAGCGCCAACAGCCTGGCAGACTCGGCCACGGATGCCACCGCCGACGGTAGCGTGTGGGAGACGGTGATCAAGATCGGGGAGCGTGGCATCTGGCGCGGACTAGTGCTGGCGGACCGCGTTGCGCGGTGGTGTGTTTTCTGCGAATGGGAATGCTACTGATGCAGGAGCACGCATTGTGGTATGGTCATGACCAGCCGTTTTCGCTTTGGCGTCTTGTCGTATGCCTTGACCATTTCTCGTCAGTGGCCTGATGGAGAGAACACCCCTCGCAACCCAGCACATCCGTCACTTTCTCCTTCCCTCGATGGTTACAATCCGCATCGATCGTTGATCAAGCCCTTGCATCTATTTCACTGCACTTGCACCTTCACACTCTGCAGCATTTGCGTTTACATGCTGCAGGCTGTACAGTATTCGCGCAGATCTGGAGAGCCACTACCTTGTTTACTCTGTTGCAGTCTGCCTTGCCCCCTGGCTGGCCTCTTTACATTCAGCTGAACGTAAGAGAGGCTTTGGCATTATTCTCTCCAATCGGAATTATATATCATTTCGAAGCGGATTCCGAGTTCCCCTTTTCATGTGCGGCGTTTCCTTCCGGCGCGTTGATTTCTTGTTTCCTGTCGTCGTTGTTCCGTTCTCCTAGCAAGCAAATGGTTTGCATGCATATCAGACCCGACTACCTGTATGCCCCGTCCCTCTGTCGTTGTGTTGTATTGTATGATGTCTGAATGATCTACGGCTGGTCACATAGATAAATATGAAACTGAAACTGAATTTTCAAGTTGTTCGAACTCGGCACAAGGACCGATTACTAGGATTCTATACAAACCCCCATGATAGTACTTCTTATATACATATATGTACAATGTCTGGTCTAGTACCGGGGAGATGATATCTATATACAGCGGCAACTCCCTTTAGTCACGGAAGAAGAAGCAAACACACACACACACGAAGAAAAAGAAAGAAAGATTTAAACCGCAACAACCGCCTCTCGAACCAAGGGAGCCACCTGCTTCCGACTCTTGGTCACGTCCCCCTGCACCCAGACTCCCTTCCACATGGCACTACTACCGGCGTGGTCATCCCCGTCCGCCTGCTCCAGCGTCTCCAACCACATCTGCCCGACCGCCTCGTCCTCCTCGAGCTGGACATGCCACTTCTCCAGCCCCAACTCCGTCCGGCCGCGCTCGACGAACTTTTGCATCGCCGCGACAGCCATGTCCTTGTGATGCGAACCGGGGACACAGACGAGGAGCTCGCGGTAGAAGGCTGCTTCTTTGTGTTTCTCGTTCTCGTTCTTCTTGTTGCTGGTATGTAAGTTCCCCGACTCGGCTGGGGTTTGGGAGGGTGGTGAGGAAGGTTGCGCCGCCGCAGCAGTAGCAGCAGGACGAGGACGAGGACGACCCGAAAACGCCGTCATGACCACCACGATATCCACCCCGCGTCCACGCGCAAACGTCTCCACCTCCTCCAGGAAGCGCGTCGACGAGCCATCGGCCTTCCGGATCACCCAGGCCAGAGACTGGACGACCGAACAGATTCCGATCGTGAGGCGGTCGCCCTCATCACCATCACCGAACGAGGAAGAAGAAGAAGAAGAAGGAGGAACCTCCTCCACCCATTCCTTATAATCCCGCCCCAGCACCTCCTGCACCGTCAGCCGCTCCAGACTGGTCTCCTTCGCCGCCGCGATGCGCGCGTAGAACGCGGCATGACTCCACGGCTGCTCCGCGCCCGAGCAGATCCCCACGGCGAGCGAGCCGTGCGGCGGCTGCGAGGCGCACCTGGTGCTGTGGACTTTGGCGCGCAGGAAGCTGTACGAGAGGGTGTCGACCTCGGTCACCTTCTCCTGGGCGGTGAAGTTGGCGGTGTCGATGAGGATGGGCGCGAGGGCGAGTTTGGAGAGTTGGTTCTCGTGGGCGGCGGCTTCGGCTGCCGTCACGGGGGCTGTTTCTGCGGGGTTCGGGCTGTCTTGGTCGGGTCCGGCAGAAGAGGAGAAGGAGGAGGGTGTCCACCAACCCATCCGTTCCAACATGCTCACTACCAAGGAGGCGCAGGATCCCGTGGGCTGGATCAGATATGGTTGGTCGGCGGCGATGGGGGGAAGGAAGTTCTCGTCGACGTGGTGGTCGATGCAGCCGACGACATTGAAGGTGATCTGGTCTGGTAGCCCGGGGAGACTGCCTTGGCCCTTCTGGGAGGGGGAGCGGAGGGGGAGCGCGTTCCAGTCGACGAGGACGGCGTCGATGACCGGGAGCGACGACGTCTCGGTCTTGTTCTCGGTGAGGTGGGCGGCGAAGTCGGCGACAGTGAGAAGGTGGGTGCGGAGGAGGTCCGCAACTTGGGTCTCGGCGTCAGCATCCCATGGTTGCTCGCTTGGTGCCGGCGGGTGCGTGGCCAGGTGCAGGGCTTCAATGAATTCGGGGCGCAGACGACGGAGTTCGGGGCCGGAGGGAACGTCAGGGAGGTTAATCAGAGGGACGTGAGGTCGCGGGTGGGCGAAGTAGGCGTAGACCAGCGCCGAAATGATCGAATCCACGTCCGCCGACGGGTTGCCGATGACGTATATTGGGGTTTCCTCGGGGCGGGAGATGCGCCCGGTGATAAAGCGGTGATGGATTCGAAGGGATTGAGCCAGGAATTGAAAGAGGCTGCGGTCGAGGGCTCGCATGATCATGACGGGGTGATCTTGTGGTGGGATGATGTGGAGATCAAGGCAGGGGAAGGAGGAGAAATGGAGATGAAGAAGAGATGCAGCGATGAAGAAAAGACATCATCCCGGCAGAATCCCACCGCCATCGTCTCATGGTTTAAGAAAAGAGTAGAGCTTCATATGTACACCTTAAGTGACATACAACTGACAACCACTGCACAGTAACATAATAGACGAGAAGCTGATAGGACATTCAACATTGCCTTTCTTCATTGACTCGTGAGCCATCAGTCTTTGTCAAATCCCAAGAACAAATCCACTAACTATCATCCCATAGACAACCATCTTTGTCCCCGCAGCCGCATTTACGGAGTATACACATCCATCACCTCACCACCACACATCCACACATCCACTTCCAACATGCCCTCCCCAACCCTCAACCTCCCCAGCACATTCGCCCAAATCCCCCGCCATCCACTCCTCTACTCCCACCCCTCCCCCCTCCACCCCCTCCCCTCCCTCACCAAAAACCTCCTCCCCGCAACCCCGCAAACGACCCCCCAGATCACCCTGCACGCCAAACGCGAAGACCAAGCCTCCCCACTAGCCTGTTCCGGCAACAAATACCGCAAACTCGAGTATCTCGTCCCGGATATCCTCTCCGCCAGCCCGCAACATGGCGGATTGGGGACCGGGTCGAGTCGAGGCAGTGGTCCGCCGCCAGCAGCAGCAGCAGCAGCAGCAGCAGCAACAGCCCGCAAACCCATCACCACCCTCGTGACAGAAGGCGCCCTGCAGAGCAACCACACCGTTCAAGTGGCGGCCCTGGCCAACCACCTCAATCTCGATGCGGTAGTCATCCTGCACCGGACCACTGGCGGCGGGTGGGGGATGACCTCCGATCCGCGGGCGTTTGCGCGGACCGGGAACGTGCAGATTGCGAAGCTACTCGGGGCGCGACTCGAGGTGCTGGAGGGGTCGAATATTGTTGTTGATAATAGTGGTGGTGGTGATTCAACATTCACATCTTCTTCTGGTGATAATGAAAAGAAGGGCGGGTCTACGACTACTACCAGCAGCAGCAGCAGCAGCGATACCGACTCTACCATCGCAACAATCCTCCAGAATCTCCGCACCAATCACCACAAAATCCCCTACTGGATCCCCTCGGGTGCCAGTCTCCATCCGCTGGGTGGATTGGGGTACGCGCGCTGTGCCTTCGAGATTGCAGCGCAGGAACAAGCCCAGCGCCAAGCGAACGCCCACCCACACCGCATGGATTACATCTTCGTCGCCTGTGGCAGCGGGAGTACTCTTGGAGGCTTGATCGCGGGCTTCAAGTTGCTCGAGAAGGCGGAACAACAACAACAACAGAAACAACGGCCATCCCGCAAAATAGTCGGCGTGCTGACCTCCCCCACCAGCCCCAAGGCCTACCACGAAGAACGTGTCTTGCGGTTCGCCCGGCAGGCAGCCAGGTTGATAGGGTTGGACCCGCTCCGAGACATCAGCCCGGCGGATGTGACGGTCGATGATCGGTTCGTCGGCACGGGGTACGGGGTGTTGGATCCGGACACCAAGCGAGCCGTGGAGGTGATGGCGCGAACCGAGGCGGTCCTCCTGGATCCCGTGTATACGGCCAAGGTGGCGCGGGCGATGATGCACTGGGTGCGGACGGGCGAGTTGGAGGAGGATTGGCGAGCGAGGGTCTTCTCCCAGGGGACGGGCGATGCTGCCTTGGATTCTGTGAACGTGCTCTTCATACATACAGGGGGCCAGTCGGCATTAAGCGCGTATGCCGATGTTGAGTGATCGGGTTGGGAGGGGGGGGGGATGCTGCATCCAAGCCTAATAATCAAGTCTGATAATACTAATACCATGAAGAAGAGACACTGACACTAACATTGTACATCGGGCGTAGCAAGCCATTACTAAGACGAAATGAAACACAAAGCACTTGTGAGACCCTGCTCGCCGGGTCCTTTTGATACACCGAATCCAGAACAACAAACATTAAAGCACCGTAGTACTCGAAGTCAAATCCCCAGACTCGTCAACACCGTTACCCATTCATGAACCACACACTGAAAACCACCAGAAGAAAACTTGGGAACGCCGCAGAATGCCAGGATGCAACGTCAAGGAATCTAAAAAGGGAAAGAGAAGGGAAGAGAAGAAGGAGAAGAGGAAGAAGAAGAAGAAGAGGAAGAAGAAGAAGAAGAAGGAGAAAAAGAAGAAGAAGAAGCACGCTTATTCGATATCGTCCACATCCACGTGACCATTGACGTTACCATCATCAGACTCATCATGATCGGAATGGCTCTCGCCATTACTCACATCGAGAACCTCCAGTGCCTCGTTGGCATGTGTGTTCTCCATGGGCTCGGGCTCGGGTTCCACCTCCGGATCCCCTTCGGTGTCCTGGTTGGTGAGGTCGGCAAACACATCGTCCAGGTTTTGCCGAGGACTACTATCGAAGGGATCCTGCGAGTCAACCACACCAGGAGCTGTGTCGTGATGGTCCCGACTGAATCGCGGAGAACTGAACAAAGATGTATCCAGACCGGAGTGCTGGAGGGGAGGCGATCGGGGCGGAAAGGAAGGCGAGTCGGCCGAGGAGACGTGGGGCAAGAAAGCTGAGGATCCCGGCGCAAAGGCCGGCGTCGAGTCGCTGGCGGCAAGCGTGTAGCTGGCGGAGAACGGATACGGCGGATTTTGCGAATCGCCCAGGGTCAAGGTGGGCCCTGACTCCGACTGGGATCCGTCACCACCGCCAGGCGAGGGCTGAAGCAGGCTAGGCCGACTCGTCGTGATATCGATCGATTTGCGTTTGACCGGATTGGGCGCCTTGGAGCGCAAGTGCGGCGGGAGATCTTCCGGCCGCTCCACACCGAGCTGGGCCATGATTTTCTGCTGCTTGGTCGGACGAGGCTTGCGGGTCGAGAGGGACTGCTCGAGAATCGGTGGCGCCTCCGGAGCAACCGGCGCCCATTTGTGGATCTCCTGACGGAAGAAATTGGTTTCGTACGCCAACAAGACCTCGGCTCCCTCGATCTTGCGCAAATAGAAGATCAAGGTCGGCACTTCCTCGGTAGTCGTGCAGGCCGCATTGGTGAAGCTCTGCAGGAAATCGCGGAAGGTGGTGGCTTGATGGACAATATTGTCCAGGATCTCCTCCTCATCGGGCTGAAACGGCAGACCAGGTATCTCGGCCTGCCACTCGAGCAGGTCCTCCAGCTTGGGACGAGCAGCATCGCGCGGGATCTTCTGCCGCCAGTCACAGATAGGACAGGTGTACTTGTCAAATTCCTTGACTTTGCCCCGGGCAATCTTCAAGCATTTTCCATGATACCTAAAGACCGAGGTTAGTGACGCGCTTTTTCAAGGGACAACGCAGCCACCCAATCGAACTTACCACTCATGACAGACCTCGCATTCGATCATCATGCCTGCTTCAGAGTGACGACAGATGCAGAACACATCGCGCTTCCGTGACTTGCCCCCGCCCCACATGCTAGGGGTCGGGTTGCTCTCCAACAGACCATCCGGGCTGTTGTCCCTCGACGCGGGTTCCACCGGAGGCCGGCAGCGATCTTCGAGATCGAAACAATACGAGTTTCGCTTTTCTACATACTCCATATGCGACTTCAGAATATGCAGGGGAGCATTGGCTTTGCCGAAAAGCTTTTTGCCCTTGCGCATCCAGTCTTCATGACGCTTTTGTTCCCGCTCCAGGTCAATCGCGCCGGTCGGGCGGCTGTTCAGTTCCTCCAAGGACTCCATCAGTTCCCGCACTTCTTTGTATTTCGGGCGATTCCGGAAATCCGGATCCTTGCTTTTCTCATAGAGGGTCTGGATCCTTTTCTGCGCCTCACGTTGCTTGGTTAATATGGCATCGACCGCGGCAAGGGTCTTGGGCGAGACGGGGAAGCGCGTCGCCTGCGCCGACAGAGCTTCCAATTGCTGGTAGTGCACGGATTCCACGGCCATCAGTTCTTGGGCCTTCGCTTCCCAGGCCTCACCGTGGCGACGGAGTTCCTTGAGATAGAGCAGATGGTCATTGGTGTCTGCCGATAATCCCAGTTGCTCGCCGTCGCGAATCAGGGTTTCGCAGTCCTGGAGCGTCAAATATTGGTCGCGCTTGCGGCGCGCTTCTTCGTTCCATTTCATCTGTTGGAGGATGTGCTCGAGTCTTTCAACCTCGGGGATATCCACGTTGAAATTGCGAGCCGAGTCCACCAGATCTTCGACGTCCTGGACCGATCGAATGTGGGGGTTCATAAGGGCAGCGTTAACGTCCTGGCGGAATTTCTCGATCTCGCGGGTCTTCTCTTCCAGTGCCGCCATCTGTGGACAGTCGAACGACAGTTTATCAGCCTCTGTAAGAAGGGCGTAGATGTTTTCTACTCTGCGAACTTCACGATCCCGTTCTTCCAGCTGCGCAGCCTTGGAAGTACCCTTGCGCCACAACTTCTCGTTCTTCCTCCGGTTTTGCTGTTTGCGGGTAATGTAATTGGTTGCTTCTTCAACCCATTTATCGCAGCGCTGGACAAAGGCCGCGAGATCTGGGAGACCAGGCAAATGGTATGGGATTTTCTCACCTTCGCTTAGTAGGTTATGGAGGACCTTCAATTGGGGTTTGGGCTCGTCGTCTAGGATCTTGTCGAGTTTCTCTCCCCATGCCTCGGGAATCCTGGCGCGTTCCTGGACTTTCGAGACCAACGCCTTCAAGGTCTCGTCGCTCATGCGGTAGCGCAGGACGTGATCCGGACCCAGTAGCCTTTGCGGCAGCGATTCTCCGCAACAGTCGTAGGTTTCTGCGTGCGGCAAACACACGGTCTTGCCGGTCTTCCGGCATCGGAACTGCGCCAGATAGGTATACGCCTTGCAATATTGGCATTGGTAGTCATCTTCAGGCAGGTCTTCCTCTTCGACAATGAATTTCAGCTGGCACTCGCCCGTGGGCGCCGGGTCCGCCGAGAAGACGGTGCAGGTGTGCGGAGCGGCCTCCCGATGGCGTGCGGCGAAAACCGCCCGGTCATTCAACTCCCTTGCGCAGGTACGCTGCAGCGCGGGTGCGAGCCACTTGGCGGTGGTGATGGACGAATCGCGAGCGGCAGCCGTCAGGAGCAACTCGTCATGCGAGAAGCACGGGTGTCGCCGGAATTCTTGCAAGCGCACGACACCCCTGGCGCCCCACGGCTCCCAGTCGGCCGGCGCGAAATTGACCGCTTCGTTGAAGTTGAAGCCATGATTGAACCCGGCGTGATACGCTTGCGGGAACGTGATGACAAACTGCCCCGCCCGCTGGTCGAGCGCGTAGACTCTGACCCCGGCTTTTCTGAGCTGGTCCGGTGGCATCAAGGTGACCAATTGAAAGAGGAGATCCGGCTGGCCTTCGAACAGTTCCGGTACGGCTTGCCGCATCGCCTCTTCGAACGCCTCTGCATCGGCACCGGGAATGCCATACCAGGTTTTGGTGGCCCCAAAGTGCTGGTAATTGGCCGAATACGCGTAGTGGTCTTCGTTGTGCCAGCAGAAGGTTGAAAAACACATGCCAACATAGACCCAGGGAACCGTCATCCCGGAGATGTCGGATTTGATATGGCGAAACAGCGAGTCCCCATGGAATGGCAGAACGTTCAAGTTCCACGGGTCCACGGAGTAGGGATCGAGAGGATTGCGTTCGATGGTGGGGAAACCGCTTCCATGCGTGGTGGAGTGGATATCAGCACCATACTCGACCTCGACGGTTTCCGTCAAGCTCTCGACCAGACGCCAAAATTCACGCTCGACGTCGTCCTCCGACTCGCGTTTATGGGTATTGAGGACAGGGTCGAAGGGCATCTTGGAGGCAAAGTACTTCTTCTTGAATGTATTCGCTTTCTCTTGGAATTGTTTGAGCGAGTACACCCCACCCTCCTCGAAACCGAATTCGCCCGTGCCAACCAGACACTTGGGACAATGCCAATCGTATTCGGGCGTGGTAGTAATGGGCGGATCGAGGCAGGATTTATGATATCCATGATCACAGCTATCGCAGAGCAGGATCGATGGCCGGTCCTCCGATTTCCCACAGACTTCGCATTTCTAGCACACGTTAGCCGAGTCGCGCCGCAGCAAACCGGACTCAGAACACGAGCTTACATCTCCATTCTTACGAATATCTGTTTTGCGTTGCCTAGGGGGGGCGGGACGGAGGAGGCTCATGTGGGATCCCGAGACAGTGGGCAGAGGCGCATCTACTTTTTGCGTCAGTTCACAGCCATCTCACTCGCCGACCAGCGATCACATACCTTTCCGAAGGCGCTTGCTGCGACGGCCGTTCGCATCTAATTCGCCACTCTCGGGTTGCGAGCCACTCTCGTGGCTGATTGCGCGCTTCATGGGAGGAGCCCCATGGCCATTGCCCGGATGCTCGGCGACACTCTTCGGCGTGAGTGAACCATTGTCAGCCTCCCGCTTCACTGCCGGCGCGCTGTTCACCGCCACAAACGATGGAGAGCGATTCACAGCCGTGAAGCCACCGGTATTGACGGCGGTGAAGCCGGAAGCCATCGGTCGGGGTGGGGTAGGATCGACTGGCGGCGTGGGCTTTTCCGGGGTCGCGTCGACCTCCCTCGAGGCAAGGGCGGGGGCGCTCAACATCGGTTGCGGCGTGGCCGATGGAGTGCCGTTCTCGGAGGAGGCGGGTTTCTTGGGCATAGGCGACGGGTGAGGCGAGGGAGTGTATGGACCACCATGCTCGAGCTCCAGTTGTTGCTGCACGCCCGGCTTCGCCACCCGTAAATACTCCTCGTAGGGCTGGAGCCATCGCTGATAAGAGTTTTTGAGCGAGGTCGATAGAGACGACATGATTTTGCCACTGTAGCCTAAATCGCGCCCGATCTCTGCCCATTTCTTCATCTTGCAGACCGCGTCAAAGCCCCCGCGCACCTCGACCGCCTTTTTCAATTTGTACAAGTCCAAGGGGCGTTTGTCGACGCTGGGGAAGCGATTGAGGTTGGTACCATGTTGCTTGTGAAACTTGGCTAGCTGGTCGAGGTAGTTCAAGTTTGCACGAGTCCCTGGCTCCGGGTCAGAACTGGGCTGCGGAGCTCCACCGGCGGCAGACGTGGCTGAACGCGGGGGCATACCTCCTTCGACCGAGTTGAGCTCCTGTCGACGGGTCTTGAAATGAAACCGCTGTTGTGGAAGAGTTTCTCGTCAGCCGCTTCGCCCCCTTTAGACAGGTGACTCTTTTCAACCCCCCGGGCAGTGGAGGAACTTGGGCGACGCCAACCAGGTCCCACACGAACAACGTACCTCAGTGTCTATGGCGAAGGGAGGTTGCCAGCCTTCCGGTGGAATGATTCGGCAGATCCCATATTTACTAGCCTCCGGCGCGATGCTGCGAATGTATGCCTCGGGGTCTTTGAAGTCCTCCTCCGTCGGACGATAGGTCGGAGCTTCTTCCAAGCCATGGGGGCGAACTCGCTTGGTGGGTTCTCGAGGGGCATTGGGTTGGCCGCGTCGCTCGACGGTGGACAGATCGAGGGGCGCGGACCGTCGGGCGCTCAAGGGAACATTGTGAGAGTGCGAAGGATGGGTACTGGAGGATCTGGTAGGTTGGCGACTCGCTAAAGGCGGAACGCCCGTGGAGATGCCTCCTGTTGAGGCCGGAGCCACCATTTCTTCTTTGACAAAGGACGGGCGGAATCGGGGGGAGGGGGGTGGGAGGAGGAGGGCGAAATTGCGCGTAGAGTTACCGCGGACGGAAGGGGACCAGCATCCGATGCGAAAAACACATGGATGGGGGAAGGCCAAGCCGGAGAGGAGGTGGGAGAATAGAGAGAATAGTCAGCAGCAGAGGGCGGTCAGCAGGAGATGAGTAAAAGTATGTGTTGAGGGGGGAAGATCTTAAGAGATGCGGATGGATGGATAAGATGGAGAGAGGGGAGGGGGGGAAGAAGTGGGTGGGTGAGCGGGAAGGGAAGTAACTGGAGGGAGTGTTTCCAAGAGTAAAAAGAGTAAAAGAGTGAGAAGGAGGGAGGAGGAGGAGGAAATGGAGGAGAAGGAGGGAATAGAGAGTGGAGGAAGAGGAGGAAGAGGAGGAGGGATGGGGGGATAATTTGATGGATTATTGGGGGTTGGGTGGGTGGGAAAAAAGGGAAAAGGGAAAGAAAGGGTAGGCCAGGCCAGTCAGTCAGTCATCCAGCAATTCGTTCCAGGGAAGGCCGAGATGAACCCGGCTGAGTTTAGTGTGGAGTTTCTCGGAATTGGTTTGAAGTCGTCTTTCCATTTCCCAAGATTTAACAATAAAAAGATGTCCTCTTGATGCCCTCCTCCCGAACTGTCATTGCAAAAAAAAGTCATAGTCCGCATCACCGATGAGAAAATCAACGGAACTATCACAGTGGTAATTGCCTTTACGGTATGGTAAGATCTCTCTCTCTCTCTTCCTTTCTCCCCCTTTCTCTCTCTCTTATTCTTTTCACCTGCAAACGGGGTGATGTAACCCTTGAATTGGGGCTGGTTCCGGTCACCAACACTGACTCTCTTGGAATACAGCGAACGTACATGATTTCACCTTTGTTGACAGCTATTGACTAAGGTATTGTCTACTGGATCGATGGAATCATCCATCCCAGTAATGCTTTTTCTAAGTTAAAGAAGTAAATTCATACCTATGGGGTAAAATGGAGAAGATGGAGGAAGTCTTGGAATCCAGCTGAATTGGACCCGTACGAACAAATACCGAATCTCTTTTCTCCTCTTCCCCCCCAGCCCTCGCAATTCCGACAGGAATGCGAACCCATCCTTCCATCACTTTCAGAAACCAGGCAGGAGGAAGGCATTCCACTGCCTGGATGCAATGGTATATATGACACGTCAAGCCATGGTCCGGAACCAACCAACCGCCAAACGACTTCCGTAGTGTACTTCATACTCCGTCAGACAGAGATCAGGCAATGCTCACTTCAAGTCTGAGACGGACTATCGAGCCGAGTCCGCATCAATACTAGGCCTGGTTGAGCATCACATGGCCCAGGGATGAGATGGTGAATGTATCCTGGAGTCATGCAATGATGGATCACACAAAACATGTTCAGTTGTGAAAGTAAATACTACTAAGAGAGATGATGTCTCATGGACTTTTGAAAAGTACCGAATCAGTCGATCATCGGAGGCTCTGGCAGCAGCAACCCGTAAGTGGTAGAAAACTTTAGCCGTCATGTGATCCTTGGTCATCATCCAACAACCACACAACAACAACCACAACAACAGGGAATAAATAGACTGGGGTTTTGAATGTTCCTCTTCCCCCCTCCCCCCATCACCGTAACCCGGAAGGGAATTCAACTCCCCTTTACTACACACACACACACACTAACCAAAAGCCAGCCAAATGGGACACTGTAAGTTCCAATCACTTCTGCTCCGATTTTCCCTCCAATGGACCGCGACCACACCAAACCCATTCCAGCGTACTACTGCTGCTATCTTCTCCGCTCCACCAAAAAGCCCGCTTGTCTATACATCGGCTCCACTCCACACCCCGCCAGACGTCTCGCTCAGCATAATGGCGAATCCAAGGGTGGCGCCCGCAGGACGCACCACGACGACAAACGCCCCTGGGAGATGGTCCTGACCGTGGAAGGGTTCCCCAGCCGCGTAGCCGCCTTACAATTCGAGTAAGCCATCGATTCTCCTCCACACGACCGGGCAGACGCAAGGACTCACTGCTCCGTAGATGGGCCTGGCAGAACCCGAAAAGGGCACGACAGATCACCGCCAACTACCCGCCAGATCATTCCGCCCCGAGACCCAAAGGCCGGGGTTCGCGGCGGTCCATGAATGCTCACTTGGAGGATCTCCATACCCTCTTACGCGCGACCCCCTTTGCGCACTGGCCCCTCCAGGTGCGATTCTTCGCCTCGGATGTGCATCAGACCTGGAGGGCGTTGGCAGATCGGGTGCAGGGATTTCTCCCCGATCATCTGGAGGTGATTGTGGATGGAAACTGTGCTGGCGCCCCGTTGCCGGCTACGGGGGAACAGGAGAAGGTGAAAGGTGTGACCGGCCTGAAGGTCACCTATACGCACATGCAGGACTACTTAGATAAGGCCATTTTTCTCTTAGAGGACTCGGAGGACTGTCGGTGTGGCGTGTGCGCGGTACCCCTGGTGCCCGACGGAGAATTGGTAGTGGTGTGCTCGCAGGATAACTGCTCCTGCACAAGTCATCTATTGTGTTTGTCAAAGAAGTTTTTGGAGGCTGCTGATGAGCCAGATCGGCTGGTCCCGATCAGTGGCGCTTGTCCGGGGTGTGGGAAGACGGTTCCATGGTCGCTAATGATGCAGGAGCTTACTCTGCGAAATCGTGGGGACAATAAAGCGCAAGCGAAGAGGAAAAGGAACAAAGCGAGCATTACTTCACATGGGACCGAGGTTGCTTCAGGGCAGCGGAGTGCTGTTGTCAAAGAAACAGATAACGAGCATGCGCTCATGGATGGTCTCCCTGACGACATCAGTCTGGATGAAAATTGGACTGAGTCATTAGAGATGGATCTGGACTCGAAGAACATATCGGAGTCACAATCCCAGCCGATCCCAACCAGGACCGAAATCATCATAGAAGACAGCGACTGCGAAGAGATATATACGTTAGACTGAGCATTGACGCTACTGCCGCCCTGGACTCGCTACGATTGTGGGTCGACAGAGTGGTCAGTGAGTGATCGACTGAAATCGCCTCAACGGACCAATAGCATCTAGGCCGGCGATGCAATCCAGAACGCTTATCTCAACCTCCTGCGCAACTTCTTCGAAGGATCTTCCCGCATCGATGGTGCGGATGTTGCCGCTTTGTTGCAGGCGGAAGATGGTCTGAAACAACTCGCGCACCCGGCTTTGTAAGGCCGCATTCTCATACCGTTCAACCCCAAATCCTCCACGCTGCGCAGCTGCTTCGGGAGAGATACTTAGAAACAGACATAGATCGGGCTGAGGCAACCCAATCTCTGGCGTCCATGCCCATTCGAGAGACAAAGCGGGATTCATCTTGGCGGCTGAGTACACAGCACCGGAGTACGAATACCGATCCACAATGACGGTGGTCCCTCGGGCAATATCTTCTTCCAGGCTGTGGGCAACCTCCCAGCGGTTTGCGGAGAAAAGAAGGTGGATGGCATGGTCGTCCATGTGCGACTGGCACCGTAGATAGCCGTCGATCATTTTTCCAATGGCGGTAGTTCGGTCTTGACACACGATTAGCAAGTTTCTGCCATGTCTCTCTCTCTTTGAAAAAAGATGGTGGTCTAAAAGTACCTGGAAATCGAAGATATTTGACTGCGCGACCCGATTGTTGCAGCTTCTGGTATAGAGATTCGCACTGGCTGGATTTGCCTGCACGATCCAGCCCCTCGACGACGATGAGAGCCCCACGTTGAGGCGGCGCTTGCATCGTGTAGTGTTTATGGAAAGTAGATGTGTTTCCTCGGGGTGGATAATCATAAGAAGGGAAGACAGAGACGATGATGATTTGAAGGCGACTTTATCGCAGGCGGTGGTCCCTCGACTTAAACCCGATCGGGCCAGACCGCGGGGACAAACCACGATTTACCCGCAATTCAATCATTCCCATCCACGAGAACTTCCTCCATAATCCATCAATCTTCCTACTTCTCCTCCACCTCTCTTGATCGCCCTTCCTGTGCCCACAGGTCGTCATGGCTCCCGAGTCATCCTCCCAGTCACCACAGGAGATGCTCAACTTTACCTCTACCGCCTCGATCCTGACCCCGCGGCTGGGAAGACTGGTCGTTGCGGGCAGGAAACCCATCTCCACGCCGCACTATATCCCTTTGACATCTCGGGGAGTTGTGCCCCATGTAACGCATGATCTCATGCGCGATCAAACTGCCATTGGCAGTCTCTTTGTTGGCCTTGAAGATTGTACGAGCTTCCTCCCGCCCCTTGCTCTTGGACCGGCGTTCAGAAGCCTTATATCGGAATGACCACGGGAAAAAAAAAAAAAAAAAAAAAAGAGGCAAAATTTCCGCTGACATGCATGCCCATCGGAGGGGGCGTAGATCATCAGTCATAGAAAGACAAACCCCTAAGAACCCGTTTCCTCCTGCATATACGGTCCCCACGGGGCCGAACCAGTCGGCGCTGCGCAACTTCATCTGTCTCCCCGATGACATCTTATTGATCATGGGCCCGCGTCGCGAGCCGCCGATCAAATGCCCTCCGTCGAACACCCCCAACTCCGTCGCGATCCTCACCTCGGTGGGCTACAGACAACTCGAGGCGAACCACTACCTGGACGCCATTCGACACCTGCGGCCCGACATCATCATCGGTCTCGCCGACCTCATGCAGGGTCACAACCCGGGCAACAAGCGGCGCGGAAAGATGGTCGACCGGACCCATGCTTACACGACGCATGCCACGGAGCAATTATACAACAACAAAGACACCAACAGCCGGTTAAATACGGTCTACTTTGCACCGGTGCTTCCGCTGGAGAATGCGGAACAGTCCATCTATCTGCAGGACCTGGAGACCGAGATGCGTCGGTACATCTCCGGCCTGGCACTATACGAGTCGGCCTCGCTCTCCGCCGTCTCCGAAGGGCTGGGCGATCTCCCACGCCTCCTCTTCGGCGCGCCAGCGACTCCCCACGAGATTCTACGCGATGTTTCCCGGGGTGCGGACCTGCACACCATCCCCTTCATGAGCATCTGTTCCGACGCCGGTATCGCCCTGGACTTCACCTTCATCCCGCCCCCTTCATCCCCGGCGCCGACGACCTCGCGTCCCCCTATCCCGTTAGCCTATGACCTTTGGTCCTCCGACTACAAGACCGACACGCGCCCTTTCTCGGAATCCTGCCAGTGCTACGCCTGTCGTCACCACCACCGCGCCTACCTCCACCACCTCCTCTCCGCCAAGGAAATGCTCGCCTGGTCCCTCCTGCAGATCCACAATCACCACATCATGGATGTCTTCTTCGCGCAGATCAGAGAGAGTATCGAACGGGGTACCTTCGACGCAGACGCCGAGGCGTTTCAGCGGCGATATGCCTCCGAGCTCCCAGAACCCAAGGGCCAAGGGCCACGGTGCGTGCAACCCTTCTTTCTCCCCCGTCTCCCTTTTTATTAGGACTGTTCCCCTTCCCCTCCTGTCATTCTCATGTCAACAGATCCAACCCCCCCCCCACACACACACACTCCTACAGGCCACTAACCAGTACTCCCCCCCTCCCTTCAACCCAACAGACTACGAGGTTACCAACTTCCCGCCTCAGGCCCCAATCAGCCCCGTCGCCACGCCCGTGTCTACGGCCGCCTCGATGACGCGGCGGAGAAATTCGCCGAGTCGCAGTCCTCCGTGGCGACTCCGGATACGGGTGCGGATGGGCTGGAGGAGCATGGGTTCGCCGAAAAAGTTTAAGGTCGATGGGGCATGGAACTATTACGCCTGAATTCTTTTTACTTCGAACATTTTGATTCGGGGAACATGCATTGCTGGCATAGCGTGTAGCGTACAGCGCATGGCGATAGTATTGCGAATCATAGAAGATGGCTGGCTTACGGTTGCGGTCTAGCAATCACCCATCGGTAGGTGGGCTAGGTATCTTTCCAAGTCCCCCTTATAATGGAACTTGTGGGTAATGGGAGTATATGACAGGGAAGAAAGGTGGGACTCGAAAAAGAGAGGTGGGGAGGAGAAGACTATATGTGGTTCATCTGACTATCGAGGTAGTTCTTGCTGAATCGGGTAGTTTAAGGGTAACTAATCCCCGAACCAATATTCATAGCGGGAAGGACGCACAGCCTGACACTTCATTATTCTTACGAAGATCGGCCTTGATGAGTGACTGCACCAGTAGACTATGCTAAATCATATCACACTCGCAGTAACCGTGAACTACATACATGGCGGAGGGAGCAGCTCCCGTCAAGTGAGCGGGTGCTGGTAACCACCGGGCTGGAGAAAGTCATGCCGTCACCACCAAACTTTGGCGGGAATGCATGCGACTCTTCATCCCAGCCCGACTTGTACTTACTGTGGTACTCTAATCGAGGCAGAAGAGGAAAGGAACAAACATCATGATGAGTCGATTACGTCGAAGACTCAGCACAGAATTGATGTTGCATTCAATGCTTACCTCACTTCTCTTGCTCCGCTAAACCCAATGCGGACGTCCGATGTATATCTCCTTCAAACGCTGCGAGTCCACCACCTCATCTCGCACCACAGCAATTAATCATCTCACCAGGCTTGGCCAGATGATGATCGACTTACCCCACTCTGGCAGCTGTCAGGCATCTCATTCCTGGTTATCTCCACTGCCGCTCGTCGTCTAACCAGTATCCATTCTCCAACACTCGCCGCCCGTGCCGGTGACTGATGGACTTCCGATCCCTGGATAAAGGTCCAGCGTCTGGAAGTCAATTCGCATCGCTCATCAAATGACCTGGCTCCTGTAGGCACTCGGCCCGTCACTCTCCAGACCATACTCTCCGGTCGTTCATCATGTCTCATACGTCAAGACCCCGGCGAGTGGTCGAATCAACGAGTCATACCCCTAGCAAAGAGAGAGAGAGAGAGAGTCAATCGTTGTCTGGCCACTCGCCGTCACTGGCTCCCGGGCATGCGGTCGCGCCAAACACTGTTACACCCACGCAAAACCTGGGTGTTAAGGTACCGGCCTCTCAGCCAAAAGCCTCTCCGCAGAAACCCGGAGCCTTGTAGAAATCTACTACGTCAGCATGATTGTCCGCACAAGTTGCTCCTTCCTGCACTTCCGCGCTCAGAGCTGCCGAGCCTTTTACTCTTTTGCATCTTCTTCTCTGGTCGTGCAGGGGAGGCCTTGGTGACATTTCCAGTCTATCGTGTGCTTCGGTCTTCATTTTGTCTGCTTCGCCAGCTCTCGCTTGCGTTCGCATCTTTCCTCCCAGTCGTGTTACGGACGGGTGGCATCAGAGACACACAGGACAAGCGAACGTAATTCCCCCCCGCTGTACAAGGCAAGTGATTAGACATCATGGCTGAGCAGGGAGCCCCTTCGGGCGACCTTGAACGCGGCGCGCAGCAAGCCCAGCCCTCGAGCTCGGAGCGACGTGACTCGCGGCGCGTTTCCCGAGTCTCCTACAAAGAGGACTACAGTAACCTCGACGAGTATGGGAAGCTGGTTAAGTATGCCTCTACCTATCGCGAGGGAAGAGGCGATGAAGCCCAGGGCGAAGAGGAGATGAAGCGTGTGTGGTATGCGCCATGGAAGAAGCGCAAGGTGTTCGTCAAACACGTCGATCAGCAGCAGGGTTTCCCTGAGGACTGGCTTCTCACAGATATTCGCCGGGGCTTGAACAGCAGCGAGGTGCCCGACAGACGGCGTCGCTCAGGTTGGAACGAGCTGCAGTCCGAGAAGGAGAACCCGATTGCCAAGATCCTATCTTACTTCAGGGGCCCTATTCTTTATGGTGCGTTGCCGTCCACTTGACCAAAGGCAGACAGCCGTTGCTAACCCAATGTAGTGATGGAACTGGCTGTACTTCTGGCTGCTGGTCTCGATGACTGGATTGACTTCGGTGTTATCATCGGTATCCTCTGCTTGAACGCCGCCGTGGGTTGGTACCAAGAAAAGCAAGCCGCGGACGTGGTCGCGAGTTTGAAAGGTGATATCGCCATGCGAGCCACGGTTATTCGTGATGGGCAGCAACAGGAAATTCTTGCTCGAGAGCTTGTTCCTGGCGACGTGGTAGGTCCCATGGCTTTCTGATTAGCACACTCTATGACTAACAGAAGTTGAAAGATTATTGTTTCCGAAGGTCATGTCGTCCCTGGTGATGCTAAGGTCATTTGCGACTTCAATGATCCAGCTGGATTCGAAGAATACAAGAGAATGCTGGAGCAAGGCGATCTCAGCAGTACATCCGAGTCTGACCTCGAGGACAACGAGCCCGAAAAGACTGAAAAGCAAGCCGAAGGCGAGGCCGCAAGCCCCGAAGAGGGAAAGCAACCGTCAAGGCCCAAGCGCGGGTACCCCATTCTGGCCTGCGATCACTCCGCCATCACCGGAGAGTCCTTGGCTGTGGATCGTTATATGGGCGGCATGATCTATTACACGACCGGCTGCAAGCGTGGAAAGGCCTATGCTGTGGTGCAAACTGGCGCGAAAAACTCCTTTGTCGGAAAGACAGCCAGCATGGTGCAGTCGGCCAAGGGCGCTGGCCACTTTGAGATTGTCATGGACAACATTGGAACTTCGCTCCTGATTCTTGTTATGGCATGGATCTTGGCCGCTTGGATCGGTGGTTTCTTCCGCCACATCCCTATCGCCTCGCCTGGTCAACAGACGCTTCTTCACTACACTCTTGCTCTGCTCATTATTGGTGTGCCGGTCGGTCTGCCTGTTGTCACCACCACGACCATGGCAGTCGGTGCAGCGTATCTGGCAAAGAAAAAGGCAATTGTGCAGAAACTTACAGCAATCGAATCACTAGCGGTATGTTGAATACCACGCAGAAGACTGAGCAAGACTGACAAGTCACTAGGGCGTTGATATCCTGTGCTCAGATAAAACGGGTACATTGACAGCCAATAAGCTCAGCATTCGTGAGCCGTATGTGGCCGAAGGTGTGGATGTGGACTGGATGTTTGCCGTGGCGGTCCTGGCATCATCCCACAACATCGAATCCCTTGACCCAATCGATAAGGTGACCATTCTTACGCTCCGCCAGTACCCCAAGGCCAGAGAGATCTTGCGCCGCGGCTGGAAGACTGAGAAATTCACGCCCTTTGATCCAGTTTCCAAGCGCATTGTAACCATTGCGAGCTGCGACGGGATTCGGTATACTTGCACCAAGGGCGCACCCAAGGCGGTGCTTCAATTGACCAACTGCTCCAAGGAGACCGCTGACCACTACAAAGCCAAAGCGCAGGAATTTGCTCATCGTGGCTTCCGCTCGCTCGGTGTCGCCGTGCAAAGAGAAGGTGAAGATTGGACTCTCCTAGGCATGCTTCCTATGTTCGATCCGCCCCGAGAAGACACAGCTCAGACGATTACCGAAGCTCAGAACTTAGGCATCAGTGTCAAGATGCTCACTGGTGACGCGATTGCCATCGCAAAAGAGACTTGCAAGATGCTGGCCCTCGGCACCAAGGTGTATAACTCGGACAAGTTGATTCACGGCGGCCTCAGCGGAGCAATGGCCGGAGATCTAGTTGAGAAAGCCGACGGCTTTGCCGAAGTTTTTCCCGAGCATAAATACCAAGTGGTGCAGATGCTCCAAGATCGAGGCCACCTAACGGCGATGACAGGCGATGGTGTCAACGACGCGCCCTCTTTGAAAAAGGCTGATTGTGGTATTGCTGTGGAAGGCGCTTCCGAGGCGGCGCAATCGGCCTCAGACATTGTTTTCTTGGAGCCCGGCCTATCTACCATCATTGACTCGATCAAGGTAGCGCGGCAGATCTTCCACCGCATGAAGGCATACATCCAGTACCGTATCGCGCTTTGCTTGCATTTGGAGATCTATCTGGTCACATCCATGATTATTCTCAACGAGAGCATCCGAGTCGAGCTGATTGTTTTTCTGGCCTTGTTCGCCGATCTGGCTACCGTGGCAGTGGCATACGACAACGCATCATTCGACCTTCGGCCGGTGGAATGGCAACTCCCGAAGATCTGGTTCATCTCGGTCCTGTTGGGCTTGCTCCTCGCCCTGGGAACCTGGGTGGTACGTGGTAGCATGTTCTTGCCGTCTGGTGGGATCATCCAAAACTGGGGATCCATTCAAGAGGTCTTGTTCTTGGAAGTCGCCTTAACGGAGAACTGGCTGATTTTCGTCACCCGCGGCATGGACACCTGGCCGTCCATCCATCTGGTGACCGCCATTCTCGGCGTGGACATCTTGGCCACGATCTTTTGTCTCTTCGGCTGGTTTAGTAACCAGGACATGCCCACCATACCGGCCGACCAGTTCGTGGAGACTAGCAATGGCTGGACGGATATTGTGACGGTGGTGCGGGTCTGGGGCTACTCCCTGGGCGTCGAGATCGTGATCGCCTTGGTGTATGTCATGTTGAATAAGTTCAAGTGGTTGGATAACCTGGGACGTGCCAAGCGGGACAAGGGTGATCTGAAGATCGAGAATCTGTTGGGCCATCTGGCTCGGCTGACAGTAGAATACGAGGAGCCCGGGAAGCCCAAGGGCCGCTTCTCTCTGGCGGCCAGCAAAGAAGAGGAGGAATTGGAGTAAATGGGACCGAGAGTGAGTGATTTCAGTGGGCAGGGCCGGGGGGTCGCAATCCCGGATGATTGGTTTATTGGATGGAAGACGAAGATGAGCAAGAGCAGAAAGGAGAGGATGAAAGAGGGAGGGAGAGAGAGAGAGAGAGAGAGAGAGAGAGAGAAAGAGATGTGGCAGGGAAGATGGACGAAGAAAGGAAGGGAGCAGAAAGAGGAAAGTCACGGGATATAAGTTCAAGTGGTTGAAAGATGGTAATGGGTAATTGTCCAGTCTTAAGTTAATACTATATAGTAATTGGGCTGTCCGACAGGTCAGCTCATGTTTATTGGTAGTAATTTCGATATGCTTCAAGTTTGAAATCTTCCAAGAAGACTTAATATAGTTAATATAGCAATAGCTTGCTTGTGCTTCACACAATACTAACTAATCTGGCCTATGATTGATCCATCCCAGCCTCGATCTCAACATTAGTATAGCTAGATAGACAGTCAGGAACAATTCTGATTACTGAGTACTGTATCATTTCCGAGAATCAAGCACCCGCTTCCACAGCTTCTCCATCTCATCTCCCACCATACGCGCAGTCTCTTTCTCCATCTCCCGTCTGGACATGACAGGGCCACCGCGCTTCCCAATAGCCGCAGCGGATTCCTCACGGGCCATTTCAACTGACATCCATAAATTAGTACGAAACGAATCCCCCAATTCTCGGAACAAGCACGAAAAACATACCATGGAGATAGACGCCCGCCCTCTTTCCCGAGAACATCGCATGAGGGACATTCGTGCTCCCATCGTTGTTGCAGTCTCCGACAGCAAAGACGCCTGGCAGGCTCGTCCTCATACCCGTGTAGTCCGCCGTATCGATCTTCCCATCGTCCATCTTCAGTCCCAATTGGTCGGGGATCTCACTCCGCTGCGCCGTGGGATAATTGGTGATCAACGCGTTGCGCACCACACTGTCCCCGTCGGTAAACCACACCTTGAACACATCCTCCATACTTCCGTCATCACCGCGGACCTCTTCGCCGTCCTGCAAGCGCTCGATCGATGCGATACTCCGGTTATCGACCTGGACATTCCAGGCGGCGAGCTGCGCGCGCCAATCGGGGTACTTGGCGGCCAGTGCAGCCTCGCCGGATGGGGTATCGGTGCCGTTGACGAGGGCGATCACGTCGGTATTGAGAGTGTGAGTCTCGAGCACGCTGCCTACAACGTCGGGCAAACCACCGAGGATGCCAAGAGGCTGGTCGCGGTGCTCATAGCCGTCACACCAGGGACACCAGTAGATGCCCTTACCCCAGGCTTCTTGCAGGCCCGGGACATCGGGGAGAACATCGACGAGCCCGGTGCCGAGGACGACTTTCCGCGCCGTGTATTCTTTACCGTCGATATCCTGGGCTCGGAAGTATGAGGTGTTAGTCGCTGCATCACTCACCGGTGCAACGGTGGTGATGGTTGTGTTGACAATGGTCGCCGTGTCATATTTGAGGATCTGTTCGCGGGCAAGACCGCGGAACTCGGCGGGAGGCGTGCCTTGACTCCCGTTAGAGCTGACGATGAACAATAAGCTGAGGGAATGGCAGGCAGGACTTACCGTCGTTTCCAATGACATCGTGCATTTCTCGGGTTGGGGCGTTGCGGTACTCTCCCGAGTCAAACAGAATGGTGCGACGGCGTACTCGGGACAGACTGCTGATGGCGCTCAGACCAGCAGGCCCTCCACCGATGACAATCACCTCATAATCCGTCTGCGGGATAGAGGCTGCCAAGCCCAGAGTCAGAGTGGAGAGAAGGGTGAGAAAAAGGGATTTGGGAGCCATGATGGCTGCTATTCGAGCTGGTATCCCAGGGAAAGTAATGGCCGGTGTGTCTCCCGGAATGGATACACGAGGGGTGGCCGCCTCCGCGCCTTTATACCTCGCAAAGCAGATGCATGTGGTGTAGACACCCAGAGCAATCGGTATGAAGTCGCGTCTCTCATGGCTGAGCTGGACTTGAGGACTGCAGCTGAGCTCGAATGTAACTACAGCTGCAGCCAAGACCAATAAACATGCTGGGCGCGACCGCAGGAATGCACAGTAGGTTAGTCCCGTCGATTGGGACGAGTTGATTTGATGGAAGTTCAGTCAGTACGTGCCAGATTACAGTCATCTGAGTCCGGGTCGGGGAATTTGTAGCAAGCGAATTGGGGAGAATTGGAGGTCGATCGGCAGGGCTGAGAGCAATAGTTCATGCACGATGCTGATCAGTGATCTCACGCTGTAGTCCTCAAGGGTGAAAACAAGAATTCTGGTTTCGAACTCTGCATTTAAGCTGATCCACATGGAGACCAGAGGTGCCTGCATCAGAGAGACGTGAGTGGAGGGGAGGGAGGAGGAGGAGTTGAAGAAGAGGAAGAAGGTGATAAAAGAATAATGTATCTCACACACACCACGGAGGAAGAAATGTAGATTTCCCGGAAGACAACACAAGCCCTTACAGTCTGCACCCATATAGAAGACCCCGATTAAACTATAAATAGTAGTATGAGTATTGACTAGTATTACAATTAATATTAACTTCAATATATCTAACCACCAAGTATTGCGGTTATATATATAGCTTCCACGAGGACGTACTGTACACGAAAGGGTACTATATCATGGGTAGGATAGTATAGAACCTCAGCCACTTGGGGGAATCACCATCACCATCCTGTCAACACCTAATCCAACTCGAAAATAGGGAATCGAAACTTGTGATAAATCCTCGAGGCACTTTGCGCCAACGCCGAGCGAATCCCACTCAAGTATCCCTGATTGCCATATGCCTGAGTAACATCCCACAACATCACCCCCCCGAACGACTCGAACTTCTTGGTATACTGAATGACCTGCTGCAACTGCGAGATCGAGACGTATCCTGAGCCAGCAGCCCCGGTGTTGGCGGGGGCGCCAATGTAGACCTTGACGTTCTTGTTCTGTGACACGGTCTGGGCCCAGGTATCCCACTGCGCGAAATTGAAAGATGACTGGGTATCTTGCCCGGGCTGAAACGAGGTCAGACCGCACGGGTTGTTGTAGAATTGCACCCAAACTGCATCGATCGCGACAGGTCCGTTGAGGAACTCCTGGTCGGCGAGATCAGGGTAGGGGCATTGCGGCGCCGCGGTCAGGAAGTATTGCTTGGAAGAGTCGGCGTCGGCAAGCGTGCGCAGGCGGTTGGCAAAGGTGGCCATCTTGCTGACGGGAGCCTCGAAGTCGAAGTCAAATCCATCGACCGAGGCATTGCCAAAGGGTCGAAGGACGTTGTTGGAGTTGGAGGGAGGCGGACCAAAGGTTTGCCAGATCAAGTCGGCGCCGGCCTGCGCCGCCGAGTCGGACTGGAAGCCGCCTTCGCTGTACGTCGCGCCTCCAATCGAGAGAATCACCGATTTGCCCTTCTCCTGGCACGTGGTGATGTCGTCGCTGTTCACAGTCTTAGCATCTCATCCCGTCTCCTCAAGAAACAGCACAACCACCATACCCAATCTGCGGACAATTACGGAGATTCGTCCCACTGAACAACGGACACGCCTTGCTGGTATCGGCGAAGTCATACTCGGGCACGCCGCCCTGTCCATTCACACGCATCACGAATGCAAGGATCAGAACCTGCCAGAAGCGTGGTATAGTCAGCTGCAAGCTCAAACACTCTGCGTTGCGTTCAGGTACCCCTGCATACATCAATGTTCGGATCTGGCTGTCCATTAGCTCTTCTGTCCTCTTCACGTCGAAGCCACCCACATATCACATACCATCACAATAATATGCCAAATCTTGCTGAGCCAGACTCCCTGATCCTGCATATGAGTTCTGGCCTAATCCCAGGTCAGTCGCCGGAATTCTTTCCGCACAGAGTCAAACGAAGGCAACCCACCCCAATACACAGCAATGTTGTTCGGAGATGAGAGATCGAGTTCCGCGTACGCTCCTCCTAGCGAAGCCAGCGCCGCCGTCCAGGCAAGGAGAGACTTGGCAAACATCGTGGCGTATGGTCCTGGTGCGAGGATGGTCAAGAGAGCGTGAGTGGATATGCCCTAGATACACACCCGAGATATAAATGCAAAAAGAGAGTAACCAGGTGTCTTCGAGCAGAACGCAAATAAGAAGGAGCGCAAAAGAATTGTTGATGACTGATTCTCGAGCTTAGAGCGACTGACTGATGGTGATGATGATAGCCCCCTCCCCCAAGTTAGCTGTCGTTTGTCGAAAAGATGGTCGAACTTGGTTTCCGAATAACCTCAATTCCGATTACAGGAAGCCGGCCGCCAGCAGGGGCACTTTATATGACGACTCTACCTCCTATCGGCAGACAGCCAAAGACGAGTAAACAAACCCTAAAACGGCCACGCATCGAATAGAGTTAGCTAGTCTCCATCCGATCCTGTCATTGTCATGCGTTCTGATCGCATGGCCTGCGCTTGAAAGTTGGTTGCTTCTAGGTTGTCGGGTCAGGGTCATCCACATTCCAAGAAACACACCCCCGGACAGAAATAAGATACCCAGAAAAACAAGACTGGGCGAGAACAGCCCCTGACAGCCGGAACTGTCATACTGCTGGCTGGAACTGTGATTGGGTTGTTGGTTGGGTTCAATGTCATTGATGGCATCACTGGAGTGGGAGTGGACGAGGGCTACAGTCACATTCCATAACCGCGGTCGTTGGGCAACTGGCCGCGATGAAGAATGTTGGCCGCTTCGATGCAGCTTGATTCGACTGAAACTGGCCTTTTTTGGGAGGAATATGATGAGAGAAAAGGCCTCGTGGTGGAAGAAGTGAATCATGTCGACTTGCTTGCGAACTACTCAGTACTAGTATGGGACCTTCCTTGCCTCAACCCTAAAATGATATACTTGATAGTAACTACCTGAGAAACATCGCAATGAACACCACAAATGAGTAGCATAAACCACTGACGGCTTCAAGCCGTACCCTGAGAATTACCATTACAACCTTATGCATATGAACCTACTGTACTAGGGCTGGTAGGAAAACCATCATCTTCCTTACCCTCAAAACCAGGCCCTCCCATCGCTATGCAAGCCTCCATCAGACCCAGCTCAACCCAGCTGTCCATCTCTTCCTCCTTGGTGTCGGAATGACACAAAACGAGCGCCTGCGGTCTCCCGAGCTACTTCCTGTTCCTATTTTCTTCTTTATGCAGCCATTGCCATGCGCTGCCAATGCAAGGGACAAGAGATTCATTGACTGGAGGCCGTTCTAATTCTGGTCCCTCTCAACTCAACCCAGAGCCTGCATTTGGTTCTACGCACGCATTCAAATCAGACAGCACATAGCCCAGAATGTCGAGATCTAGAAAGTATCGCTGCTGACGGAACATCCGGGTTTACTTGAAGTAGCAGCTATTTTAGTCGACAACAACCCCCTACCTAATGACCGCAAGTATGGTTGGATGACCGAGCTCATCGTGAGTGATCCTGTCTATGCCGTACACCACCCGATGTCCCCATCACCCCGAGTCGCACAGGAGGGACACACTACAACAACAGTATAGTATACAGGATTGGCATCATGATCTGAAAAAAAGATCCGCGGTTGTCCACGATCTCGTCCAGTCCCGGAAACCCCCGGCCAATAATCTGTGCCCAGACCCAGTGGTGGAGGCCAGGAGACAATTCCTTAAAAACCTGTATCTGCGTATGACGGAGCACTTCCTGTTTTCCGATCTTCCTGTCTCCAATCTAGATCCTATCTCTGACACCGGATGCGGAGAAATAGGGAGTTAGTATGATGACGATGATAGACTTGAAAGTTCTTGAGCAGGAATGATGGGGCTGTTGTCGGGGAGATGGCTTGGTATGCTCTACTTATCCCTACTTCAAATAAGACTTTGGCATACAGTAAAGGAACCGAGCCGGGTTGAGGGGTACATAATATGATATAGTGTTTCATTATGGATCAGTCAGTCTGTGTACTCCTCCTCTCCCCCCCCCCAAAGGGATCCCTGGAGGTTGAACAGCAGGACATGGTTTGTGGTACTACTTGTACTATGCTCAAAAGCGAATTCATAATCATCTTCGAGCTAGATACCGTACTCTAGCATTGCCAATTTGACTTTTGGTCGAGAGTCAACACTTTCTCTCGTAGCACTAGCCTCATCACGAGATAGAACCCCCCCCCCCTGACTATGTTGATGGGACTACAGTAAATTGATGCCTTACAATCAATCATCATGCTTCAGTGCGAAATCCCCACTACGCGCTTGACAGCCTCCTCTCGATCCATCTGCTCATCAATCACTCCTGCAACCTTCAGCACATCCACCACTCCCTCCACCACCTCGGCCTTCACCCCCCTCGTCCCCTTTGTAAACCGCACATCCTTCAGCCATTCCCGCGCATCCTCCTCGCCATAGGTGCATCCGAGCTCGCCCGTTCCCAACAGCTTGACCACCTGCTCGCGATCCGCGTCAAACTCGCTGATCCCCTGATCGAACACCTCAAACAGCTGCTCCAATCTCTGATCCTTGGTCAAATCACCCGAGAACGTCGCGGTTGATGCCACGATCATCCACGAGGGCCATGGCGTATAGATTTCGCCAATCTTCTTCAAGGGCGGATGGGGCTTGTCGGCTGTCGGGTGGAAGTAAGGCTTTGTTGTGAAGTGTTCCCACATGAAGAACTCTGCCGTCGGGACGGGGGGCTGCTCAGGGGTTGTCGACGCAGCGTCATACCCCGTGACCCCGTTCCGCAAAGAATGGAAAGGTCCCAGGATAGCCGGGGTGAGGGCATCCTTCTCGGACCAGTGGTGGGTTTGCGAGAGAACAAAGGACATGATGTGAGAGCCGCTGCCGGTGATCATTTACTGTCAGCCATGGTCGGTCTCGGGCGTGGAGGATCACTTTTTGGAAGATGAATTCGAGACGAAGTTGAGAGACTCACCTTCCCAACCGACTAACCCCGACTCTTCCTCCCTTCAGATCCTCCACAGACCGGATCTCCTCCCTCTCACGCCCGGTCACAATCGCCCACCGCAATGGCGTATCCACCCAGTGGCCGACGATCTTGTATCCATCCGTCGATGGGTCTTGGGGCGCCTGCTGTTTACCCGCGAGTCCAGCCACCCATCCCTCTGTGAGGCCAATGGCGAGATCAATCTCCTTCTCGCGGAGGGAGGTGATCATGTGCCCAGTGCCGGAGGGAAATGGAATCAACCGGACTTGGAAGGGGAGCTTGGAGGCGGAGGAGCGGAGGGCGAGATGAAGGGGCCCGAGGTAGTGCTCTGCTTCCGGTTAGCATGATGAGCAAGTCCAAGCGAATCTGCAGAGTGCGGAGAATATGGGCGGCTAGGAGGCTCGGTGTTTATGACTTGGATCTATTCCGGCGAGGGGACTGCTTTGCATGTATGTGGGGTATTCTCCCATGACTGAGATCGTACTAGAGTGCCAATTACAGGGAAAGAGACATACCGGGCACATAGCCGATTCGCATGGTTTCGGGATTTGAGGCCATGATTGGGTGTGTATCATATATTGTGATTATCAATCCAGGGCAAATGGTGTTAGTACTAAGTCATGAAGTCGACGAAAAATAAAAGGTGGGAGAGTCAATGGAGTTGACCCCGCGGACTGACCGGCATGTCATCTGCCCGCCGTCCGATCGGCGATCAACCGGGGAGGGGTTCGTCCACTGCTCCCACTCGTGATATTTTCACTTTACACTCGAGAACAAAGATAAATACAAAGGACAACTTGAACCATGAAATCTATAGAGGCATCTACTCGGTCACCATACCTGGGTCTATGACCGAAAATCCCCGACGTCCAGATCTGGTTCCTACAGCAGCATGACTAAATCTATATACACTGAACACGAAAGAGAGGCATGCTTCAAGTCATCCGGATATCCTTCTCCTCGACCTCATAGCCCTCGCTCGCTCCCCGGGAAGGACTGCCCGCAGCCCCAAAGGAGGTTCCACTATACATCCAAAATTGTAGTCCCAGGTACAGATCACACACGCACTGGAACATACCGCAGAGCCGGAACGACCAGGGAATCACCTCGGCGCTACAGAAAAAGTAGCTCAACTTCATAATATCACCCAGAATCCACGCGATGACTACCGACAGCCGAAACCCCACACAGGACCGGGACTGGTGATTCTTGATCACCTGAGGCAAAGGCAGAGTCGCCTCCACGGCGAGACCAACATATCCCAACAGACCAATGTAGGACTCGGAGTAGGCGAGTGGCGGAAGAAGGACTTGAATGACGAGAAGGGCGGCGGTGAAGTAAGCGAGGAACATCCAGTAACTGCACATCAGTAAGGTCAGCCGGACTTCGTGGTGCCCCAGAAAACCAAAAAAAAAACATAACAGGATAGCATACGGTTTAGCACTCCTCCATTGCCAAAAGTCATACGGTCTCGTGAAACCCTGTCCGCTGTCCACGCTGCTGAATGGGACGTGCTCCACACTGTTCTTCAATCCAGGAGACGGCCGGTTATCGAGCGCCACTTTCAGCAGAACAATCTGTACTCCGATTGTGAAGACCGCCTGGACAAGTAGCGAAAAAGAGTACTTGGCCCCGAACCAGTAAAAGACCCTAAGAATGGGTCAGCATTGGCGGCTACTGGGGCAAAAGGTATGCCATACTTCAGAATAGACGCAACCAGCATGATCAATGGGATATCCATGGAAAAACCAGCCGAGCTTCTGCTACGGTGGATGCTGAGAATCTGATCGGCATAGGAGGTGACCGGAGAGGTAATGAGGCTATACTCCGCAAGGCGTCAGATATTATTCCACATTGAGAAGATGAGAAGGAAACATACAACAAAGGAGCTCCATATTCAAGAGCCTGCGACAAGAGATACATCGTGCATGCAATAGCCCGTGCTTCAAGAACGGTGTCAGATAAGGGTGTTGCGATTCAATTGTGGTGCTAGTGAGAGCGGAGGAAGCGCTTGGCCGGAGTTCGATTGAATAAGCCTCGGCCAGGAGATTGATCGCGCGCACGGAACAGATTTCGAATTCGCTCAGTACCGCAGGAATAAATACACCGAGAGAATGCAGGGATTGAGAGAACTGTTCAGAAATCCAAGCATGGCCTTGGAGCCACCGGCACCGGATGCGTCTTTCCTCCCTTTTACTTTTTCCCCTGGCGCCCGCTGACTCAGCCCCACTGATCGGCGCCAAGCAACCGAGGCCAATCCATAAAGGGTAACTTTGCCCAGAGTCACGGGTGCTTGTCTCCTACTCGAGCCTACGGTTCGTTATACAACACACTATGACCGGTCAATTGTTCGAAAAAAAGTCCAGTTGTTGGTTCTTAAGATGACCATGGAATTCAATATGTTAGCATATCTCGCTCATCTGTCGCTCTAGGGAATCAAAATTCAATCCGCCAAGAATTGCCAATGGCCACATTAGGGTTCTTAACCACGGCATATGGAGCCTTGCCATCTTGCTGGCTGTGATACTCCATCGATGCCGTGGTAGCGGCTTTGGCGTTTGCCTCAATGACCGTCACGCTAGTCTTGTCCTGCCACTCCTTGGGTGGGTCAACAACAATCACCCGTTCCACACGGACACCGGCCATGGTCTTCAGATAGTCCTTCGTCTTAGGACCGTTCACGCCCACATCCTCGGATGAGAGGGCAGAATCACGGAAGACAAATCGGCGGTGAATGTAGGCCCCCCGCTCATAGTCAAAAGTCTCGCCGTCATCGACGTAGAGAGTACCGTCGGCCTGGCCATTCTGATCCAGGACGATGACCAGGGTGTAAGGATCCCACTTCATGAGTCCGCTACTGCGGCGTGGGCGATCCTTACGGGGGATAACATGCCCGCCCTGCATCAACAGAGGTATCTTCTCCATAGGAGCAGGCACGGTATGCCGCTTACCCGCTCCGTGGTAAACGGTGAAGTCAAAGTAGTCATAGTACTTCTCGTCATCGGCGAGATAGATGTCAACACTCGTGACATCCTCCGCCACCACCGGCTTGGCGAGAAGACCCGTGTTGCCAAGATAAAGCTGGTCATCAATGGCAAATCCCGCTTCATCAGTAGGGTGGACATAGTACTGGGGCCGCACAATCGGCATCCCGTTCACCGAAGCCTCATGGAAGGCGGTATACCAGGCAGGCAAGAGCTGGTACCTCAAGCGGATGGCCTGCGCGATGGTAGATCGGAAAGGCTCGGCAATCAAGTACGGCTCACGTCTGCGCGTATCAATGTGAGCGTGTGCCCGGAAGAACGGATACCAGATACCAGTTTGGTACCATCTGGTGAGAAGTTCCTTGCTTGGGTTCTGGAAGAAACCGCCTACATCAGCACCGGCAAATGGGAAACCAGCAATACCGTTGTTCAACACCATCGGGAGCGAAGCAGCCAGATGTTCCCAGGTGGCCTGGTTGTCACCCGTCCACATGGCCGACATCCGTTGAGCACCGGCATAGTAAGAGCGGGTCAGGATAAAGGGCCGGCGGACCTCGCCCTTCTTGCGCTCTAACAGGGCATTGTAGGTGGCATTGACCAAAGTGATACCATGAACATTGTGAATGTCACGATGTTCCCAATTCTCATGGTGCAGATTGTCCTTGGGCATAGTGGTTTCGGGGCCGTTGAAGACGGAGGGCTCATTCATATCATTCCAGATGAAGACATTCGACAGAGTACCCTTGAACTTATCGAATTTGAACAAGCTGATCCACCATTTGATGGCGGCCGGGTTAAAGGTATCAATCCAGTTGGAGGAGCCAGGCCAACACCACCCATCGTAGATCTCGCCTTCCTTGTTCCTGGTGGCCAAATTCTTGCTCCTCAGCTCTTCCGAGATGGTGTATCCCTCCTTGTTCTTGATGTGAGGATCGATCAGAACCACGAGCTTACGCTCGGACTCGTCCAGCTGCTTCTCCATGCTGATAGGATCAGGGAAGGTGAGAGGGTCCCAGGTGAAATACTTCCTGTCATCCGTATACTCGAGGTCCAGCCAGATGATGTCATAGGGGATTTGATACTTGTCAAAATTGCGATCAACCTCTTTGACATCCTCGTCGGTGATGTAGTTCCAGCGACACTGGTGATACGCAATAGCAAAGTGTTGAGGCAATTGAGTGAAGCCAGTAAGTTCACCATATGACTTGCTAATGTCCTGCGGTGTAGGGCCCAAGAAAACGAAAACGTCAATCTGACCAGACTCAGAGAACCAGTGACTCTGCGTATCTGTCTTGGCCCCTACGCCCAAAGAAAGAGGGTTGGGGGACGACTTGGACTTGACGATGTCTACCCAGGTTTCCGCGGCATTGAGCCAGAAGACACCAACAGTCGAGTCTTTACGATGAGCCTGCATAAACGGAATGGAGCCATAGAGGGTCATTGGGCTGTTCAGCTCATATTCAAAGACATCCGAGTTGTACATGCGGTAAGGCTCTTCGTGATTGCCATCACCACCTCTGAAATATGATTAGCGCCTTCATGATACCAACACCAAAATCACTTACCGAGTCTGCTTCAAAGACATCGAGTCGGCGTGTTCTGGAATACCGAAAACATGGCTGTAGCCCGGAAATGTGATGTCCAATCCCACACTTTCAGGACCCCTGGGCTTCGAGTCTGTATTTCCTCCAAAGCTCTCATCCCACCAAGTGCTCTCGTCTTCTGAGGGCTCTTGGTCGCTGCCTTCCGCAGCTTCGACCTTGGGCCGCCAATGTTCCATGTTAAGATAGCCCTGGTGATTCAGTTGCACATGGGTCTGACCGTCTCGCTTGAACTCCGCCTTGAAAGGTGCATGGTGGATGATAGCTTCGAACTTGTTGTCCGGACCGTACAAGACCCGGGTAACTCCAGCTTCTGTTTCTGGCTCCAAGGTCGCGGTCGTGCTTAAATCCAAGCCACCAACCAAAGCCCATTTTTCAACTTCATTGTATCGTTCCTTGCGGGCCGGGCTATTGTTTCGAAGCTCAATCTCACCCTTCAAGCGCTTCTCCTCATCGACGGTAACTCGAGCAACGCCCGACTCCAAGAAGGAGATGACGAGGGGCAACCGGATCTTTTCGTTCGTAGATAGAGATTTGAGGATGGTTCCGTGCAATTGTCCATCCTTGAAGTGGATGGAGGAAGTTTCAAGTTCGTATGGAGAGGACCAAGCCGAGCCCTTAGCAGTGACATCGTCGGCTAATGCTCGGTTCCGCTTACAGAACCCGGACTGGGAGCATTTTTTGAAACTTTCGTGTTTGACGGATACTATACATTGCAATTAGGTCTATAAACATACCACCAAGCGCGAGCTGATCTTACCTCCAGGGATGACTAGGCATCCAAGGAGAACAACCAAAGACAACAGTAGGGTCCAGCGGGTGGACGATGGCCGGGAACCGGCCATGATGCGAACCTAATTGAGGGGATGCAATCAGAGACACTCAATCTCTGAAAACAGGATAATTCACCAGTCGTCACGTGTCGAAGACCTGCATCTACCAGAGGTGGAGGTCGAAACACAGAGCGTCAGGTCTTGTGGTAGTTGAGGATCAGCGACATATGAATCGTCGATAGGTGAGGTAGGTTAATAAGTACCAGTACGGGGAAGAGCATAGACAGTTCCAGCCTGGCCAGATGGAGATGGAGCAGCCACTTAGTAACGGCAAGCTCCCTGAATTAGGTTTAGTGTCCCTCTAAGCCCAATCAGGCTTAACCATTACTTACAGGCAGTAGACACCTCAGGCGGTGAGGCGGTCAGGCCATTCAGCAGCAGGATTCAGGCCACAAGGCCCTCACTGGTAGTGCCCCTCCTTTGCGCTCCTTTCCGTCGAAGCCCCACACAGCGTTGCGGTCCCCTCCTTATATTTTTCGCCCAACTCAGCGCCGGCTCTGCTCCCTTTCCCTTTTCCTTCTCTCATTCGAATCTCCGTGAATCGTTATCATCCACACATCCTTCAAAATGTCCAACGAGCAGACGTAAGTCATTGCTGCTCCTCTGCCTTTTACTGCGTTGCCCTGGTCTACTGTCCTTTACAACAAAACTATGCGTCTGCCACTTACCTGGACATGTTTGACCGTAACGCTCATCTGCTCAGACCTCGAAGCTGACCATTCAATATAGCTTCATTGCCATCAAGCCCGATGGTGTCCAGCGTGGACTCATTGGCCCCATCATCTCTCGCTTCGAGAACCGTGGGTAGGTATCTCTCAATGCCAATTGTACTCGACAACCATCACTGACTATCCTGCAGCTTCAAGCTCGTTGCCATGAAGCTGTGCTCCCCCGGCCAGCAGCACCTCGAGAAGCACTACGCTGACCTCAGCGACAAGCCCTTCTTCAAGGGTCTCGTCTCCTGTAAGTCGCTTTGATAGTTCTGAAATACATCCGCAATGCTAACATTCTTGTCAGACATGCTGAGCGGCCCCATCTGCGCCATGGTCTGGGAGGGCCGTGACGCCGTCAAGACTGGCCGCAGTAAGAGACCTCTTATCCTGACCATTCGACTCGGCGGGGAATACTAACAATGTCAATTAGCCATCCTCGGTGCCACCAACCCCCTTGCCTCCGCCCCCGGCACCATCCGTGGTGACTACGCCATCGTAAGAAATCCCTCGTCTTTGAGATCAAGAATCCCGCTGACAATTGCTCAGGATGTCGGTCGCAACGTCTGCCACGGCTCCGACTCCGTCGAGAACGCCAAGAAGGAGATTGCCCTCTGGTTCAAGCCTGAGGAGCTCCAGACCTACAAGCACAGCCAGTTCGACTGGATCTACGAGAAGGCTTAAATTTCTCATCTCAGCCTAGCAACCAGAGCCTACAGTTCCTCAATATGTTGGATGTAGCGTTCCTCAGATGTTATAATCTAGAAAAAAAAAGCTATATGAGAAATACAAGTCGTTTCCAGGTCTATTTGTATATTTACAACTGTACAATCTGCCTGCATGGCCAGTGCCATCGGTAGCATAGCATCGCTTCTACTTTCTGTTAAATAGACTCCGAGCCCCTTTCCCCAGGGGGCCGAGAACCGTTCGGGCAAACCATGGGGTGGCCCAGACGCTCGCGGCAATTCGAAGAGGGAGGAGAAACTTGGTGACGGTATAAGCTGTGGCAAATTCCAGCACCAAGCGCACGCCTTCCTTCTGCTTGCTGCTACTCCCAGCTACTCGTTCCGTAAGCTTCCCCTCTACCCCATCAAGGGAGGCAAGATCCACCTCCGTATCCTCTTCCACCCATCCTTTCTTGCGCAACCACCGTTGAAACCGCTGCGTGCCCTGCTGAAAAGACTCGGTGGCGGTCAAATCCGGCAGCCAGTTCCCGTAATGAAAGGCAGCCGCCAGTCCGAACAAGGGGACAATGGCAGTTATCTCATGAAGAATTAGAAACGAGGTGACGTGTGTCGCGGGGGCTCCTAAAAGCGGGGTGGTGTAGGCGCGCAGGGACGGAGGCAGTCGATCGTTGAATCTCTGGAGACGAGCGCGGAGGTCTTTCGGTTCAGGGGAAGGAGGTGTCGAGGTGTAGCGCCGAATTGAGGGTTTAGGGCGAAAAGAGGAGAAGCTGGTGAGACGGAGGAATGATCGTTGAGATGCCATTTCTTTTTTTTTTTTTTCTTTTTTTTTTGCGCTCGGGGGTTATCGCGATATCAACCCGTCAGCCGGGTGAGGGGGGGAGTTTGCGCTGGAATTTATTGAGCTGCAGGGGTGGTCCTCGTTGATTGACTCAGTCAAGGTGAGTAGACTTTTCGGTTTGGCAAGTTGACAGGTTGACCGGCTGCAGGAAGGAGTTCTGTATGTTGTATGTATGTATGTTTTTGGAGTTGAAGAGCATCTGTACTAAGTATGCACTGCTTATTGTTGTTGGCGGTGATGTTTGTCCTGTTTGCATGGGTCATGATAAAGAATGTTGATTAACTCAATATCTTCAAGGAATGGAGGAGTCTGTGCTTCCGTTAAAACCTAGTAGTAGTATTGACCCATATTCTAGAGGCCTATACTTCCTGTCACTCATTCATTTCTCTGCAGCTTACGATCTCCCCCTTGTTACGACCTCTCACACGCCCGATTACCCCGTTGAGAGGGACCAAGCAGTGGTTGATCAATCAGGCTGGTCCCATCCCATAAGGTGCATGGTGCAGGCAATGGCACGTATAGGACAACAGAAGCGAGTGCTGATGAGCATGCGACACTGTACAAATCGCCATGAGGCGTGATTTCATGCGCCAATGCAAAAGTACAGCAGCTGGGGTCGCCCAACGGAGTCGGCAATTCGTCATTTTGCCTCTTCCGGAGGGCCCATCAGATCTTCTTCCCCACCGCCGCCCATCTTCTTCTTCTTCCTCTCCACCCTCTCCTCCTTCTCAGTCGCTTCGCGCTCCTTCTGTCGCCCTCGTCTACTCGCTGCCACAGAAGGGTCTGACTTCACCATGGAGAAGATCACCGACAAGATCGCGGCTCTGCCGCCTGATGCGAATTACTTTTCACTGGAGTTTTTCCCTCCCAAGACCAAGATGGTGGGGCATTTCTATCCTTCTCCCCGCACCGCATATGATTCCAACCCAACAATACTGATGGTCGATGGCGTCGTCTTCTAGGGTTTCGCCAATCTTCAAGCCCGTCTGGAGCGTATGGCCCAAGCTCTTCGTCCGTTGTTCGTCACCGTCACCTGGGGTGCTGGAGGAAGTACCGCGCAAAGATCCCTGGAACTGGCTGAGATTTGTCAACGCCAGCTGCAGTTGACCACATGCTTGCACTTGACCTGTACAAACATGAGCCGCGCCCTGGTGGATCAGGCGCTTGAGGAAGCCAAGGTGCTGGGTATCAGGAACATCCTCGCCCTCCGTGGGGATCCACCCCGCAGCGAAGAGTACAACATGCATGGCGAGGACGACAGCAACAAGGACTTCACCTTTGCCGTGGACTTGGTGCGCTACATCCGGAAACATCACGGCGATTACTTTTGTATTGGTGTCGCCGCCTACCCCGAGGGTCACCCCGCCGACAACTTCCAGGACTCCCAGGATCCCGCCAGGGACGTGCCATACCTGGTTGAGAAGACTCAGGCGGGCGCAGACTTCATTATGACTCAGTTGACCTATGACATTGACGCCTATACCAAGTTCGAGAACATGCTACGGAACCATGAATCGGGTGCATTCAAGACCATTCCTATCATCCCTGGTCTGATGCCCCTCCACAGCTACAAGATTCTCACTCGCGTGACGAAGCTTAGCCATGTCAAAATCCCCCCACAGACCCTGGCGAGGTTGGAAGAGATTAAGCACGACGACGACGCAGTCAAGCGTGCTGGTGTGGACATTGTCTGTGATTTGGTGGACGGCATCCGCGGCATCCCTACTCCTGGCCTGCGCGGCTTCCACTTCTATACGCTCAACCTGGAGAAGACCGTGTCCTTCCTACTCGAACGCTGCGATCTTATCGGTCCATACACCGAATATGACGAACCCATTGAACATTCAGCAGCATACTCCGCCTCCCGTCTCGAGACGCCCGCGCGCGCGCTCGCCAGCCGCCGCTCGTCCGTCAGCTCTATGCCGCACAACCGTGTCATTGTTGACAAGCTACAGCCGTCCGATGTATCCTCTCGAGAATCGGTCAGTCACGAAGCCACAGCGCTGAGCGCTGGTCTGCCTGCCATGCCACCGGACCGCAGTACGACGTTGCAGATCTCGGAGGGTCTCGGCGCCCTCGGGCGAGAAGCAACTTGGGACGACTTCCCCAACGGACGTTGGGGTGATGCGCGCTCCCCAGCCTTCGGTGAAATCGACGGTTACGGTCCCTCCCTCCACATTTCTCCAGCCGTGGCTCACAAGGTCTGGGGCTATCCCGTCACCCGTGAGGACATCAGTGCACTCTTCCGCCGGCACGTCTCCGGCGAGTTATACATCGTACCGTGGAGCGAGGGTGGCGCGGAAGAAGGCTCCGGCACCCTGAACGCTGAAACCGAAATCATCCGGCCGGAACTCCTGCAACTCATCGACAAGCGCGGTTGGTGGACATTAGCCTCGCAGCCGGCCATCAACGGCGTGCGCAGTGACGACCCGATTTTCGGTTGGGGCCCCCCCGGCGAGGGCTTCGTCTTCCAGAAACCTTTCGTCGAGTTCTTCTGCCCCAGCAAGGACTACCACACGATTCTCAAGCCGTTACTCGAGCGCCATGGCCACGAGAAACTCGCTTGGTTCGCCACCAACGTCAAGGGTGACTTTGAGTCGTCCCTACCCGGCTCCAACGTCGAGGATCCGGACCCAATCGACATCAACCCCGCCAACGTCAACGCCGTCACCTGGGGTGTCTTCCGCGGTAAGGAGATCGTCACCCCCACGATCATCGAAGAGGTCAGTTTCCGCGCTTGGGGTGACGAGGCCTACCGCATCTGGGACGAATGGCGCCGCATCTACCCCAAGAATTCCGCTACCGAACGCTTCCTCGACGCCACGAAGAACGATGTCTGGTTGGTCTGTGTCGTGGGTCAAGAGTTTGGCGCCGGTACCGAGGTCGGTTCGAAGGAGGAAGAGGAGGAGACGAAGTGGATGTGGAGAGAGTTGGCGGGTTGTTAAGAAGCAGATCAAAAACCCGCTTTTGCCATCTCATTCTCTGTCGTAATATTGTCTCTAGGCTCTCCTAGCTTCTACTCCTTTGTTCATTCTCTTGGGCTATGTATGAAGACCGTTTCATGATCTTATGTGAGCTATAAAGAAAGAGGTGTCGTGATCATTAGCCGTCATGTTTTGGTGGGTTCTCTTATTCATAGTTATCAATCGGCTCTTGGTGCAGCAATTGTAAATTCTGGAAGGCATCGGGTCCCTGCATGTTACTTCAAATTTCAACTTTTACCGACAGAATCATCTATCCATGATGTCTATCCGGTCTTGCGGGCTGCGTTTGATTGTCATAACGGACTCTGGGAGCTAGATACCGTCCTGGAAGATCTATACCGAGTTTTGATCGGTTAACACATTTGACTTCGGATTGGTTTCCTTAGATTTATTGATTCTGACTACGGGTAACTAGTCAACTAGTTAGAACTTCCGTTATGACCCATCCATGATACCTACTACGGAAGGTTAATGTAAGTGTTAGATAGTTCATGGACCGTACTTCTTCGGACCGCCTACGTGGTAAAGAGAGTAAAACACGATGTCACTATTCATCACGAACCTCCGCTCAAATCCTTTTGCTTTTAAATTGGCAAATATTCTATCTGGGAAGTACATGAACAGTTCGTATCTTCATACTCCACCCACCACGACGCCCTCTAGAGAACGCTTGTGTGAATTTATTTACCAGCCTTACCCGTAGGGATGTTGAACAGAACGGCGGGCTGGCCAGGAGCATAGGGGCGGTCGAGACGGTAGTAGCCCTTGCGCTCGAATTGGATGATGTCGCCCTCCTTCAGGTCGGCGACGTTGGCATCGGCCACGGCCTCGTCGCGGAACTCGGTCTTGGGGTTCAGCACCGCCTCCAGGGTGTCCTCCTCGGTCATCGTGTCCTTGTTGAGCAGGAAGTCGAAGTCGACCAGCTCGACGGGAACGAGCTCCTGGTCGGCCGAGAGCCAGGTCACCTTCTTCTCGGTCTTCTTGAAGTCGCCCTCCAAGTGGAGGTCGAGCTCCAGGGAAGTGACCGCGCCGGTAGCGGCGTCGGTTTCAATCTTGCGGACGATGGCGTTACCCCAGGCCATGAGAGTGATCTCCTCGTCCTGCTTGAAGGTCTTGGCGTCCTCCTGGTCGAACAGGATGGAGCCGCTGAAGGTCACCTTCTTGGTGCCGATGGCCGGGTTCTTGGCGTGCTTGGGCTTGTCCTCGGTGTAAGCGGCGGGGGCGCCGTTCAGCTTGGCCTTGACCAACTGGTTCTTGAAGAGAGCAGTGTGTCTGGGGGCAACGGGGTCGATGTACTTCTTGTTGGTAGCCCAGAAGAGGGTCCAATCGAGGTTCACAATGTTCTTGCTGGGACCCTGCTTCAGGATGAACTCTCTCAAGGCCGGAATGGTCATACCACGGCGTCTAATACCCCGGATAGTAGGGAAACGCGGGTCATCCCAGCCCCAGACAGCGCCGGATTCGACCAGCTTTGTGAGCTTTCTCTTCGACAGAAGAGTACGCACAAAGTTCATGCGGGCGAAATCCCAGATCTGAACATGGCGGAGCTTGAGAGTATCCAGGAACCACTGGTACTGGGCATTCCGATCACGGTACTCAATAGTTCTCAGCGCGTGAGTAACTCCTTCATGGGCATCAACGATCGGGCAGGCGAAGTCGTACGTAGGGTAGATCTTCCACTTCGAACCAGTCCGGTGGTGCTCTGCAACGTTGCACCGGTAGATGACGGGGTCGCGGAGCGTTTTGTTGGGAGCATCATAGGAGATCTTGGCCCGAATACACCACCGCAATCCCTCGGGAGTTCCCTGCTTCATCTCCTCAAAACGAGCAAGACTCTCCTCAACCGAGGCATCACGGCGCTTGCTGGGCTCGCCGACCATTCTCTGTTCGGCCATGGTTTCCTTCTCGGTATCGTCGGCATATGCATGTCCCTCCTTGATGATGCGGATAGCATAGTCGTACAGGAGGTCAAAGTAGTCACTGGTGTAGCTCAGCCGGTCCGGCTTAATTCCCATAAGCGCAAGATCTTCGATGATGGCGTCCTGGAATTCCAGCTTCTCGTTTGAGGGGTTGGTGTCATCGAAGCGAACCAACAGAGTCCCGTTATACTTCTCGTGTGCAAAGTAGTCGTTCAGAAGAGCAGCCTTGGCGTGTCCAATGTGAAGATACCCGGAAGGCTCAGGGGGGAAGCGAGTCACCACACCCTTGTCGGTGTTGAGGAGGTTAATGTCGTAGCTGGCTCCCTCCTTAGCCTTGGCAGTCTTCTTCTCCTTGGCAACGGCGTTCATGTGCTCGAGAGCTGTAGCGGCCCAGGGGCAGAGCTCGTCGATGAAGTTAAACCAGCGAGTCACGCTCACCAGAGCACCCTTGCGCACAGGAGAAATCGCAACCTTGTTGCCCCTCAGAGCACCCCAAATGGCGAGATCGGCAGTCGAGAGGGAGTAACCGGCGACGAACGACCGAAGAAGGAGGTGGTTGTTCAGGCGCTGGAGCTGAGGTTCGAGGGTTTTGAAGTCGAGAGTGGTGAACGACTCGAATTGAGAGAGCCATTCGGTCTCCTATAGGATGGTTAGAAGGAAAGACTGCACGGTGATTGCAGGTTCCTCATGTCCACTTACCAGCTTCTCGTCCTTGGCGTTCAAGAAGGGGAAAGCAGCACGCAGCTCCTTGATGGCATTATCCGAGCCATAAACGGGCGCACCGTTGGCGCCGCTGAATTCGACGATAGCGTTGTCTCCACGGCTGAGAAGAGCGGAATCTTCGTAGTTGATAGCAATCACCTCCTTCTCCTGGTTGAGCGAAGTGGCGACCAGAAGAACAGGCAGCAAAGCGGCCTGGTTGGCCCGAGTGGCCAGAGTCAGCTGGAACTGCGACATTTCTGCTCTCCAAGTGAGAATGGAATACAGAAGATGGAGAAGATGGAGGAAGACGGAAAATGCGGGCGGGGGAAAAAGACGGAGGGGTAGTTTATTTTTGGGCTGCTTGAGTCAATCGGGAACTCCGCCGGCGGTTTGTTTCTCCGCCTTCCAGTCCGCCCCGAGACTCTGCCGCAATCTTGTGCTCGATTTCCGCCCCGAAAACAATTCCCTTCGGCGCTCGTTCCAATTACACCCCCTTCCCTCCCCCGAGGTCACAGTCCCTGCGCCATGTCCTCCTTCAGCTCAGTCCTGCCCACTGCGGCACGGGGGTTGGCCTCTTCATGTCGATCTTCCTTGCGGCCTGTTCCTTTGGCCCCGGTTGTCTACAGACCTCAACCGATCCGATGGGCTAGTTCATCCAAAGGGAGCAGCAAGAAATCCAGCAGTCAATCCCAATCCAAGAAAAAAGAGAAGCCTACCAAGAAGCATGCGAAAGAATTCTTTCAAAGGGACCTGAAGCCTATGGAGCAGTTTGCGCTATGCGATGCCATGAGGTATGTGTCACTATTTGGGATTGCCCAGCACGACATGGCAGCTAATCGCTCACTTCTTCATCGCTAGATATATCCGCGCCTTCGAAGTCGGCCGCGAGCCCACTGTTGCCAAATACGAAGTCCACGTTCGCCTGAAGACCAAGCGAGACGGTCCTGTTATCCGCAATATGCTCCGGTTCCCTCATTCGGTGCAGACGGAATCTCGAATCTGCGTTATCTGTCCCCCCGGTTCGCGACACGAGAAGGAAGCGCGCGCTGCAGGTGCCGTCCTAGTCGGAGAACAAGAGGTCTTTGATGCCGTGAAAGCCGGCAAGATCGAGTTTGATCGCTGTATCGCCCATCCGGATAGTATGGAGGCATTTAGCAAAGCGAACCTGGGCAGGATCCTCGGTCCTCGCGGTCTGATGCCCAGCGCAAAGACGGGTACTGTGGTTGAAGATGTGGCCGCCCGCGTCGAGATGCTGCGTGGTGGCACGGTGTACAGAGAACGTGATGCTGTCATTCGCCTCCCCATCGGCCAGTTGGGCTTCTCCCCCGAGCAGCTACGGGACAACTTGCGTGCGACCTTGGATCAGATCAAGAAGGATGCTGCCCGAATGAATGACCGCATTACCAAGGAGGTCTACGAAGTGGTCAGTTCCTAGCCGCCGCTCCGCCATGTTTCTCCCATGCAACAAAATGAACCGTCGCTAACACAATCCAGGTCTTGAGCTCCACCAATGGCCCTGGCTTCAGCTTGAACGGCGAGTTCAAGTCCGATCAATCCGTCGATACGGCTGCCATGCATGGCGCGTAAAATAGCTTTTTGCATTTTCCGGGTGTACAGAATATGTTTCATTAGGCAGGACACGGTGTATAATGGTATTGTTTGACATAAGTCTTCAAAGCATTCATTCAAATTTCCTCCAACGCCCACGCTATGCACCAGTAGCTTCGCTCTTTCTCGTCGGGAGAGAACCTACGACTTCATGGTTTTCAGTGCGAACACCGCTGTGGCTTCCTCCCCCATGATCTTGTAAAGGCGTAAGATAGCCATCGTTCTCTTGTCTCGCTTGTCACCCGCAGGGGTCGCTTGGTCCAGGGCTGTTTTCAAGTCCAGGAGCACAGCTGACCGGATCTTCGAGACCCGAGGTCGCTGACCCTGTATGAATGGATGGTCATCGCTGATTCGGGCCGATAGCCGCATCAAGTACAAATATTTCTGAATATGGTGCTCAATAGTTTTCAGCGATACGAGCGCTGTTGCCGAAGCCCCAGGTGCAATGTCCTCTTCCTCACTGTCATCGCTGGCACTATCCAGCAGATCAGAATCCGAGTCGAGCTCGGCTACCGAGCTCTTATCGCGAGATTGACGCGCGGTGTCTCCAATCATCAGCTTTCTCTCGAGCTCTTCGATGCGATCGGCGTAGTCCAGCAACGCGCGTCCGACATTAACTTCGCCCTTCAGTCGCTTTTTCTCCTTCAGCAGTCCCTCGACTTCCCGCTGACGAGCCTCCACCTTGTCGCAAATGGTGCGGACGTCGCGCTGAAATGCCAAGAGTCCGACTCGTACCTGTTCGACCTTCTCTTCCCCACCTTGCAATGCGATTCCCAAAGAGAGAAAGTCCTGATAATTCTCGTTGACCAGGTCGAGCAACTCTCGGCTGAGCGATTGGTCTAGATCTCGTAGCTCTTGTCGCAAGTCTTCCAAGCTCTGGTGTCGGTTGGTCAATGAGGAGAGGTAAGTTGCGGGGTCGAAATCCGGAGAAAGAAAAGAAGTACGAGACAAGGGTTCCGGGAATGGAAGGCTGGAAGTATCGTCATCAAGATCCGATGCCGACTCATCGGAGCCGCCAAACTACCGTTGGTGATTGATTGTCAGCCGGTGGGGGAGGAAATGGGAATGAATTATAGACCATACACGAAACTTATTCATCCTGAAGGAGAGATACAGAATAGGCTGAAAGAGCGACAGGGGAGGGAGGGAAAGAGAGAGAGAGAGGGAGAGAGAAACGAAGAGGTCCCGAGGGAGGGAGGACTCGCGGAGGAGGGGGAGGAGGGGGAGGGAGACGAGGGGGTGAAAGTAAGGAAGTGGAGAGGAAGTGGAGGTGGTGGCAGTGACAGAAACAGTTGGTGGCCCCAGGCGGAAGTCCCGCGGGAAGACTGTCTGTACATCACGAAGTATAGTTCACTACTATTGTATGATTGAAAGCAAACACCACCCACACCCACCCATACACACACACACACACACACACACATACATAACTTTCCGACTGTTCTGGCCTTTTCCTCCTTCAGTTTCTCTCTCTTTGTCCCTCCGACTTGCAGCTAGCCAACTTGCAGTGATCAGCGTGTCATCCGACTTTTGGGGAGACGAGCCAAGGTGATTATGGTCTCAGACACTACCACCGTCAGAAACCATCATGCGTGCTTGTGTTCCCAGTAACTGATGCGCTGGAGCGTCCTACGTGTCTCGTGCCGTTAGTCTGTCCCCCCCTCCCCGACGCTACTGCTGCTGCTGCTGCTACTGCTGCTGCTGCCACTGTCTCAGCTACCAGGTGTCCGTGAAGGTGGGTGGGGTTGATCATCTCGGGGCAGAGGATGATGCTGGTGGTGTTGTCATTGTCGCTTTCATTGACCCTTACCATATTCCCCCTCTATGTTCTAGCCTTGCATCCACACTGGCTGGGATCTTGTTTATCATTCGGCTCGCCGGAACAATGGATCTTCATTCAGACAGATCGTTCAACCACATGAATGCGTTTGCCCCGTCATCCTCATCTTCTTCCTTCCCGCGCAGTCGCCGAGGGTCGCAGCAGCAGTCCAACCCTCTGCATGCTACCCATACCTCCTCATCCGGGCTATTCGACACTGTCCGACCTTCGCAGCCCACGCTTTCCTATCGTAATGATGAACTGTTTCTGATTCCTGAGTCTTCTCGAGCACATCGTGCCACTGCTCTCCGTCAGTTGAATGGTGCTACCGCGAGGCCCTTATCAGGGAGAAGCCGACCTGCAGCCTCTCGGCCATCCTCCTTGGGATCTCAACCCGTGTTAGTGAGAGCCTATTCGGGAGGTCCTGATGAGGCTTCCACTCAAGTCACGATGCCTTCGCGGCGCTCCTTTCTTTGGTCATCAAGCTCGACCAACCGCGATCAGGGGCCTGCGCTGCCCTCTGAAGAGGATTTTAGTATCGATAGCATATTACGCGCCATTGAGCCCGACATCCGCCATACTCTCGACGCTATCGGCAAGATTTGTGGCCGAAGCAAGCTGAGTCTCGCCAATGAGTACGGAAGTCATATCGCTCCTTTGGGCGAAATCCGTGCTCCCCCCGGTGGCCTGTTGACCGTAGAGGAAGCCAGTCCTGATCACGAGCGACAGGCGGATCACTTAGTGATCTACGATGACGACAACAGTGTCGCTAATGGGCGAGACCATCACTCCGGTCCATCCTTCCGCTACTGGGACCATGTCCGACAGGTTACAACAGGCTATCACTCAAGAATGTCCCTGTCCGGAGATGGCTCGTCGGCGCAGATTCAGCCTAGTACGCCACGATCCTCAGTGGCCTTTCAGTCTTCCCATGGCGGGAATGGGTTCAGTCCGCTTTCAACCACCAGAGAGATCGCGTCCAAGTCGAACGCTAGTGGCCGAGCTCTTCTGGGAAAGAATCTGAAGAACGACGCCCGTGGCCGGACTTGCGAGATGATCACGCCTGCACTGGTGTCAGAGACATTGCTCGAAGCCCAAGCCGAAAGCCGTTGTTCACAGCCAAGCGCAGCTGTTTCAGAGGTACACCGTCGCAAGCGGCCACTCAGTCCAGGCAATTCAAATCCCTGCACTGAGCAGAATCCCGGGGATAGACTGTTGGAAACGACCAGACCATCGTCGATGGTTGATATACGGAGTCTGTTCGGATGGCTCCGATACATGATGACCGATGGAAAGTTCAAAAGGAGTCCGACGACAGCCGAAATGATGCTACGAGCAATGCTGGAACGACAAGGCAATGGCCGTGATGAATGATTTTCCTTCTTGCATGCGCTTATGAATGATGATGTTATATGATTAACGATGTTTGTTTTATTTCTTTGAGCCCTTTTGTCAGTGCATGATGTCTTATGTTTAGAAGCCTCAAAGGGCACATATGCTCAAAACCACCTCTACCGAAAGAGTTTCAAATACAAACCCACGGTATCATTCTCACCGCACATGCAACAACGCCGTACATGAGAGATGCATCGCAACTTTTTCTAGATCAGAACAAGAGGATAGCCCTTTCATGCATCCGATGACCCCTCAGTCTCCGATATCAACGTCTTGGCGAACCCCTCAAACCGCGCATAAGACCAGCCCTCGCGATATCTCTCGACCAAAAGTCTATCATCCTCTTCCACAGCCGTCCCGTCGCCGTTCTCTCTCCTTGCCCCATACATGCCCTCACCTTCCTCCTCCTCCTCCTCCTCCTCCTCATCGTCATCACTAGTCCCCTCACCCTCGTCCCCAATCCCCTTCCCCTCGACCAGCGCCCCGAACCCAACATCCACCGGCACACTCCCCAGAAACCTCACCCCCATCTCCCGCGCCATGACCTCCCCGCCGCCACTGGAGAACAGATTCGTCACCTCCCCACAGCACGGACACGTATACCCGGACATATTCTCAATGACCCCCAGCGTAGGGATATTGGTCTTGACGCAGAAGTTGACTTCCTTACGCACGTCCGAGGTGGCGATCGCCTGCGGGGTCGTTACGAGCACGGCGCCGGCTAACCTTGGCATTTTGCCGGCGCTGGCATCCGCAGCGGCGGGCGGGGAGGTCATGCAGAGCGTGAGGAGCTGCTCGGCGAGCGCGATGTGCTCGTCGCTGGTGCCGGGCGGGGTGTCGATGAGGAGGTAGTCCGTTTCGCCCCAGAGAACGTCGGAGAGGAACTGGCGGATCATGGCGGTCTTTTTGGGGCCGCGCCAGATGACGGCGTCGGAGCGGGAGCGGAGGAGGAAGCCTAGGGACATGCAGTGGAGAGCGCCGCGAGGGATGGGCGAGGAGGTATGTGAGGTGGAGGGCTGCGTTTCTTGCTGTTCTTGCTGTTCTTGTGATTGTGGCTGAGGTTGTGGTTGTTGGTCGGAGGGGGTTGTGGTGCTGGCGCCGGTGGAAGTGGAGGTGGAAGTGGAAGTAGTGCTTGTAGTGGATAACGCTTCTACCGCACTATGCACCGGAACAGGCAGCCAGCCTCCCGGAGCTTGTGTGATCTTTGCATCTTCCAGGCCGACTAATCGAGGGATCGAGGGGCCGGTCAGGTCGATGTCGAGGATTCCGACGGATTTGCCTTGCAGGGAGAGCGCCAGGGCCAGTTGCAGGGTCACGGAGGATTTGCCGACGCCGCCTTTGCCGGAGAGGACCTGATGTTAAATGAGGAGGTCAGTTTTCATTTCGTCGAAGGTATGGTCTTGAGAGTGAGGTTCGCGGTGCTGAAGCCGATGGATGCCCTTTCTTTCTGTGCATTCATTGGCGCGTTATCGATAAGAAGAGGGGCAAATGGTTCTGGTGGGCAAATTCAGACAGGATTGGGATTTTCTCTTACCAGCACAACGTTCTTGACTCCGTCCAGTGGCATGTTGCTAGTTGTGATCGTCTTGAGCGGGTTAGATAGAGAATCAATGGAGAGCAAGCAAACTTCCTATCGCCTGCGGGGAAGGTAAGAATACATGGAATCGACGGCAGTAGCCGATCTCGGGCGCTTTTTTTTCTGCGTCATTCCGCGGAGGTTTGCTTATCAATCGGCCTTGGCGTGAGGAACGCCGACGAGATACGGAGGACGGATTATTCGGGACTACAATGGGTGCAGCAAGGTAGACGCACCAGATCTGATCTTGAAAATAATACTGAGTCATTCTCATTGGTCATGAATCATCTCTTTTCTTGATAAGTTTTGGAAAAAAAAAAAATTCTCCAGAGGTTATCTGGTGTCTGCATACTTCTATTCTTTGAGTACCTCCATTTATTGCCACTTCTGCACCACAACACCACCCCGCTTGAAGTCTGCCATATCCCCCAAGACAGCACTCTTGTCCGTAAGGTCCTTGCTAGGGAATGTAGTCATCAGGACCCAGGGACGGGACTGGCTAGCGGGGCTAGAGGCAGACACAAACTCGTACACATCACCGATCGTGTGGGTGGTGTTGAAGCGAGACGTGAGCCGGGTGCCATCGCCAAGACGGATCTGCAGGGTAATGATAGGTTGAGATTCATCGATATTAGGCTTAGATTGCTCCGATGTCTGACTGGGTGCAGCAGCTGGGGCTTGGGTTGGAGCCGAGACAGCGGTCGGCACACCAGGCGTAGGACTTCCGAGTCGTTGCCCTTGGCCGGAAAAGGGCTTGTACTTAGGCTTGGGCTTGACGTATTTCTCCTCGTGTTGATTAATTTCCACGTCCACCTCCTGACCAGATTGTACGTTCATGATCGAGAGCGGAGCACGACCCTGCCGAATTCCCTCCAGGATCTCTGCGTTTCTGGGATCATCGGAGCGATACAGCTCGCCGTCATCGACGGAGAATCCGTCCGCCCAGAAGTGAAGCGTCCTTTGAACTCGTTGCGGCACTTGCGTAGCCGGCGCGCTCGGAGCTTCAATGATTCTGCTCGGAGCATCGTCGCCGCCAAGGGTGCGTGCTGTACCAGTGAAGTGCGACTGTCTGCTTGGTTCATCCGAGGGGGGCAACTGAGTTCTGCTAAAGTGTTAGCTTCTTCCAACCATGCCATTGGTGGCAGATCTGACCTCTTGGCTTTCTCAATAATCTTCTTCTTGATGTCGTCGGGGTTCTGCACGGCCAGTCCAGACTTCTCCCCTCCGGCAAAGAAATCTTGATTTACTGAATCGTCCTCCTCTGAAGATTCACCGGCTCCCGATGCAAAGTCCCCCAGCGTCGCAAATCTCTTCTTCGGCCCTCCTTTCCGGGATGAGGACGCCTGCGGGGTGGTGGATGGAGACTGGGAAGAACTGCCACCGAGGGAGCGACCGGCAACAGGTCCGGTTTCGGCTCCTAGACGCTGCCCTGCACCTGTGCTCGCACCCTGCATCGCTTCGTCTTGCTCGGCAAAGAATTCAGTCACTGCGGCTTCAAGGTCCCATCCGTTGGCTGTCAGGTATTCTTGTGCCTGGCAGTAATGACTATTAGTGTATCGATCATCCTTCCGTCAAAGCCAGACATACTGCTGAGGCATCTGTGCCTGACATAGCACAGAACTGTGATACCAGCTCATCGTGAGCTGCTTGGCCTTGCTCCATGTTGCTGGTATTAAGCGGGGAGGTTGCGGAGCTCGTTGACACGGCAGCGAAATCAATTTGAATGAATCGTCTCACTCGATCACTGCAAGGCGAGATGCAGTATAGTCCAACGAGGTAGTAGTGGTTGGTAGAAGGTGCCTTGTATAGATTTGGGAGTGTAGTGTCCGGCGGAGTAAGTAAAGTACCACTAGTGCTCTGCGATGGAGCTGACGGGCGGGAATGAAACCGACAGGAACCCCCCAATGAGGCCTGGTACGTCACTGTTGCCTGATTGGTCATTCGGAGGAGGGGATCTTCCGTCCAGGTATGGATCAGGCTGAGTGTGTCAGGGATGATGCCTCAGGTATCAGTGGAAAGCACAACCTCAATGCTGTGCTGCCTTGTGTAGCGCATCCTGTACGGTTCATGTAGCACTACATGTGGTAGATGTTAGTAATACAGATGACCTGCGAGTTTTACCCCCTCTGTTTCTCAGACACTATATGCTCCCCCAACAATTTTGTGCGCACTGATGCTGGTCGTCGTTGCGTAAGGAGATCTGCAAACTGGCAGCTTACATAACCGCCGAGCAGGTCAGGTGTAGAGAGCAAGCATCCATTCCATCCACTCACTCACTTGTTGATTCAACTTCCACAGCAAACAGTCTACCCACATCCACTTGGTCATTGATCTACCGGCCTTTACGTCTGCCAAAAAAAAAACCAGTGACTTGCTTCCGTACGAGGTGATTATTGTTTTGGACGAACTCGAGCTCTACCAAATCTCCTCGTTCTAGGATACGCCTGCCGGAAACCCTCCGATCTCCCCGCACCATGGCCGCCAACCTCTCCAACTCGGGGGAGCTGTATGAATCTGGACTGACTGTCCATTCGGATTCCGAGGTTTATTCCGCCAACCACGATGTCTCATCTCATTCTTCCTCGACCTCGAGCTCCCCTCTGATTCTCTACCAACCCCCGACGCTTTGGAGCATTCTGCGAGGTGCCGCTATCAACCTGATCCTCCCCTTTGTGAACGGCTTGATGCTGGGTTTCGGTGAGCTTTTTGCACATGAGGCTGCCTACAGGCTAGGCTGGTCTGGCACAAAGGTATGGAAGGAGGAATCCCTTTCCTGGGAGACAGAGAGATGGCGGGGTTACTCCTCTTAATGAGCTTGCCGGGAGATATTCTAATTCGGTCATTCCTTCTAGGTGTTTCCCATGCATCGGAGATCTAGGCCAGCTGGACCTGGCATTGAAGTGCGTGAGATCCCCCAGCGACGGAGCACTAGAGCCGCCGGCTTGCAAGACACCACGTCGTTGGAGTAGAGAAATAGTTGGATAGGCAGCATTATAGACCCTTGGATCGGTGAAGCAATTATGGAGCTTCAAATAGGAAACAGAATCTCGACAACACTTTCATCGGATCAGAATAAGCAAGCGCAGGGATGCGCGTAGGCTGAGAAGTTCTAGTGTACATAGATCCAAGCATCAGTTGACATTTCGGTTCTAACGGCGTTTGGCGAAGCTCATAAACTCGACAAATATGTCGCAGAATTGTTCACGGAGATCAAATGAACAACGATACAAACTCACTCAACATTGAGTCACTGTGTAGTGTACTCTGTACTTACTTCAATTGTACCAGTACAAACAAATGGAGCATCTCTCATATCCTCCCCGGCCGCCCGGCAGAAAAGCAAGGCTTGGCAGCAAAAAAGCGCTCCGTCGCCGGAGCCCCGATTTTCCCTTTGAGTCCCGCCCATTTCCCCAATTGTTTCTTTTCCAAGGACCTGAAATCTCTCAACTCAATTTTAACAGCCATGTTGGGAGGACCTGGTCTCAGTGGGCGCGGCGCTATGCCCGCTATTGCCCGCCAACGATTGTCGGCTTTCACTCGCTCGAGCCGATCAGTGAGTCCATCTGCGCATTTGATTTTCCCAAGCTCAACACAGTTGACTAACTTCCTCTGCCTGGTAGATCTCTTCATTCCGTCCGCACGCCTCTAGGACCGTTTCTCGCTATGGTCAAGCGAGCCGACCCATGGCTGGGACTCCCTCGTTGCGCTCTGCATCCGCGATTCCTGCTATCTCTGCTGCTCGTTTCAACTCGACTACGGCCGCCCCGGCAGACGCGCCCACCCCCGTGCCTGTCGACGCTCCCGCCGCCGAACCTGTTGACGCTCTGCCCGAGTTGGCGGACTTTGACTTGACTGCAATTCCGGAGAAGATTGGCTACCTCAAAGAACTGGGTCTGGATTATGGCTGGGGCTTTTCCTCAACGATCGAATGGGTTATCGAGCATATTCATATCTGGACTGGACTCCCATGGTGGGCGAGTGTTGTCGGTACTGGGTTGCTGATTCGTCTGGCCTTGTTGAAGCCCACCTTCGAGGCTGCAAGTACAACCACCAAACTTCACAATCTCAAACACATCACTACCCCCATTCGAGCGAGACAAATGCAAGCCTCATATGCTTCAGACACTCTCGGAATGAACAAGGCCCGGGCCGAAATGCAGGAGCTGCACGCAAAGTACAACATCAAGCCCTGGAAGTCATTCGTTCCTATGCTCCAGATCCCCCTGGGTTTCGGATGTTACCGTGTAATCAACGGCATGACCCACTTGCCAGTACCAGCATTAACCACCGAGTCTGTCGCTTGGCTGCAGGATCTCACAATTGCGGATCCCTATTACATTTTGCCCGCCATCAGCTCATTGTGTTTGTACCTTTCCCTCAAGGTATGGCTCACTTTTCCTTCTGGAAACCAAGCACGATTATTGACCGCTACCTCTTGCAACAGAAAGGAGGAGAGACTGGAAGCAACGCTATGCAGAACAGCGAGGTCGGAAAGCTACTGTTCTACGGTCTACCTAGCATTTCCTTCGCCTTCATGGCCTTCTTCCCCGCTGCGTTGCAGTTGTACTTCGTGAGCACCAGTATGCTCGGCACAGTCCAGGCGTACCTGCTTTCTCGGCCCGACTTCCGCAAGTGGGCCAATATTGCCCAGTTGGAAAAGGTCGACCTTGCTCCGGGTGAGGAGCAGAAGAACCCCTTTCGCTTGCTCACCGAAATCATGGAAGCTGAAAAGGCCAAGGCCCGAGCAGCCGCCCCTCCTCCTCCTCTGGAGCCGGAGGTGAAGATGAGCTTCATTGACCGTACGATCGAGGGATTCAAGAACTCCACGCGGAAGATGAAGGAGGAGACAACCACGAAGATCGACGAGCTGCGTGGTGCTGGACCCAAGTTGAATGAGGACGGATCATTGGCGCCGGCCCCGAGACTTAGCGAGAAGGACCGCAAGACGGCGGAGGACTACGAGAAGCGGAGAAAGGAGGAGGAGGAGTGGAAACGCGAAGAGCGCAACCATGCCCGACGGGAGGCTCACTTGAAGATGTTGGAGCAGCAACGCGAGAAAGCCCGCGCTGCCATGGCTTCCACGAACAACAAGAAACTGCGCCGGAAATAATGACACTGGATGGACTGGACTGGACTGGACATGATTTCAGTTTGAAGCGGACTTGGGAGTTGTATTTATCTGTATATTATGGGAGCCTGTGCTTCATTTATTTTTTGTTTTCTTTCATCCGGAGAGGTCTTCTATCTAGTTATAACTACATGTTGCTACAGACCCTTTACACTGAAGAATGCATTGGAATAATTCAGTTGACTTGACTTAGATAGTAGTTATCATCTTCATTGGGGCTTTGTCAGCACTGGCAACCACCTTCTGTCTGACTGCCTGCCTGCCTCCATCCTTCGTCCGCTTCCTCTTTCTTCTTTCCTCCTCTCTACACTACCTGGATTGAAATCAAACAAGACCCACCACCATCCATGAGATCTGTTCAGTGATACATTGGAGAATCCATTATCTTCTTATCCATAGCCCTTCCTGCTTCAACCAGCAATTGAACCTGTTTGAAGGCTTAGTACGATGTCTCTAGTCCTGAGCAAAGCTGCGCTTACTTCGACATCTCGCAGGATCCATGGATACCAATCAATTGAAGGGGCTCGTCCTGTGTCGACCTGCAACCCTCAGTTGGCTACTCGCCAATCATCAAGAGTTCTGGTACCCACTAAACGTGTCGACTTGGTTATCCCACCACGTCCCGCGTCAAGAAGCCAAGCAATAGCAGCGTCTTGATAGGGCTGCGCATTCCGGTGGAACTTCTGACGGGCACGAACATAATCAGCCTCGTTCAGATTATTCTTGTCCAAATGACAACGCCGACCAACCCAGCGTGAGAACCTGATCTCTTCGTCGGCGTGGAGCATAAATGTGGATTGATAGTTGAAACACTGCATGCTCGGGTCAGTCAAGCCAGGCTTAATGCAACTCAGCACCACCTACTCGGTTTAAGAAGTAATACGCATCAGGCGTCATCATCAGGCCGTCAATGATAATCTCGTCATACCCCGTGGCCAACTGATCCGTTATCTCTTGCTTGATGAGACTGAACAGCACCGGATCCGGAACTATCTTATGCTCGCCCTCGCCATCAGGAACCTGCCTCGAAAGACTGAAACCTAGCCTGCTTTCTTCCTTCTCGATGAGAGAGTCCACCTCAAGATAGCCCATCTCAGTGTCTTTTGCCAGCTGGAGGGCAACTGTGGTCTTGCCAACACCAGGCGCTCCTGCATATGCGCCAAATTAGACTTGATATTCGAGACTAATCACGGCTCCCGACTTGCCTGTAATAATGATCACCACAGCACTACTAGATAAGTAGGGGTTGGGCTCTTCGTGAGGTGTCTGACGCGGCACCGTTGCCAGGATTCCGACGCCAGAGAGGCATACCTCTGGAGAACATGGCTTTTGTATTGTTGCACTGTCGGTATTCTCGCCACGGAACAATATTCCAACACTTGCAAGATGCCCAAGCTCTGTGCACACACTATCTGAACTCTGGTGATGCACCTCTTTCAAACGAATCGGCAGAGTCAGACTCTGTTGGCTCATTGTGACAGTCTATCTTGTGTCCCAGGCGATGATATCAGGAATATGTATGAGTTCCTCAACCGTATTGGTTGACCTTGCAACGAAAGAACAGATCTTATGTGCAGAGCTCTACACACGTTGAAAGATGAGTGTGCAGGACCAGGTCAAGACTTAAGAAAGATGCACGTTTGCAATCCTGTTCACCCTCATTCAATATGGTCTGCAACCCCATTTGGTGCAACGCAGTGCTGCTAAAGGTGGGAAGTTTGCGTCGCTGTACCAAAAGGACCGTTGCCTAGAAAGCGGACCCATATGATGTCGTTTGTTGTGCGCACTTTACCTGTCCGTGTTGCTTTTACTTTCTTGATTCTTTCTCTCTTCCTTCTTGTGACTCTCTTTCGCCCTTAGGATCTCCTTCACATCCCTTTCTTGGTAATGAACGCAAAACTACTGCGCCTTATCATGTATCCTTTGCCCAGCTGCCCCAGAGGTCTTCCCTCCCTGTCTTCTCTGAAAACTGGTATCATGGTCAGGTATGTGCTTGTGAAGGCCTTCTTGTCCAGACTGCTGCTCAGACTGCTGCTGCTTTTTCTCTCTGCTTCTGCCTCTCGGAACATGAAGCTAATTTTGTAGGTAAGATATGCTCAACTAAAGCCACGAGCTGATCCCAGACGGAACATCTGGTCTTACCGTCCTAAGATAACTGACAGCGATACCAAGGGCATCAGATCCTTTCATCTTCCTCCATGGAAGAGAGAAATGGCTGATCCCCTTAGGTGAGCCCGTTTTGACATTCCATTCTTTGGTCCCTATTATCATTAGATACTTGCAACATCAACCCGCAGTTTGCAACTGACAGTGCTTCATAAAGTAATGGCCCCTCCAGAGGTTGGCTCGGGCCTTTGGGTCAGAGCCAAGAAAGAACCCTCGACCTTGGCCCAGCAGCGAATTGGAATCGCTGGCCGTCAAAATCAGCTAATTGACACCGCGCTGGTAATGATGTGGTTCAAGACCTGGTTGGCCTGCTTCCGAGAATTCATGCTGTGAAAGCAGCGACTCAAAACTGAGCAGATATAAACGCCTACTACATACCTATATAGTTATATAGTATATGGATGTATATATATATATATACATATAGAAAAGGTGCGTAGATCCCTGTCTACTATGCTACCGAACTCACTAAACATCTCGCACGCAGGGGCCGTGAATCAGCCAATTGACATCAACGTGCCAGTTGGGCCCGGCCCTCTGGAACATGGGTAAATGTAGGACAGACCCTTTCAATTTCCTCTGTTTTCACTCCGCTGCTAATTCAGCCCAAAAGGACCATTACTCTACGTCTGGAAAACGCATCAAGGAACAGACCTGGTCGAAAATCAGCTGATTGACATCAGCTGGGTCGGTGGCCTCCGGCGGCCACGAGGCAAGATCACAATTGAATAATGAAGATAGCTACATTCGCCACACTTGACACTAGTGGACAGCGAAAACAAGAATAAAGCCCAGCTATGAATTGGGCTGGCCGTCAACATGCGGCACCGAACCACCGCCTTCTCGGGGCGGGGAGCGCAAGAATTTTGCGCTAGGGAGGAGTGTCGGAAGTCGTTTGAGCTTCGCTCATGCTATTTTCACCTTGTTCTGTTCATGTATATATTATTTATATATATACTATTACTACTTATGTATATAGTCCTCGTCGGAACGGGTCGACGTGTCTAAACCCCTTGGAAAGGGCGGGGCAGTTCCGTGGATTCCCATCCTACGGATCCTCGGCAGCAAAGTCAAAGTGAGAGGTTAGTCTGTCAGTATATGATCAGTACCAAAGGAGTTAGTTGCAACCACTGAATGAGTATTATGGTTCAAAGCTAAGGAAACAAACAACCAATCCTGCCAGACCAGTGGTCTACCTTCCTTAGTATGTATGCTTGGGTTAGAAACTAGAAGTGAACATGGCGAACACGAACTTTATGAATACATTTGAGGTTGCAGCTGCGAAGTACGGGCAAAGGTACTTCATCCCATGCCCAGACATTCTATGTCCTATCCGTCCACTGGCCCATCCGGTCTCCATCCGGTCTCCATCCCACATGACTTATCAGATCCACCAAGAAGATATAGAGTAGGAGAGAATGACAACTACATATTTGTATATATATGAAAAGATGGCTATGCACAAAACACCCTCAGGACCTGGACCAGCCAGAAAGAAATCCTGCCTTCACCTGCTGCTCTCGGGAGAAATCCGCTTGATTGGGTAGCCAATCGTGGCGTTTATGTCGTCGGCATCGGCCGCAACTGCAACGGCAGTTCGGAGGCCTTCTCGTCTTGCTCATCAAAGACCTTCTTCTCCAACCACGCCGTTAGGCGGGCACAGAGAGGGTCGACATATGCAGTCCACAGGGACGCCACGAGGTAGACCAGCCCAATCCAGAGAGGGATACAAAGGGCAACAACCCAAGGTGGGCGGATTGGCAACCAAGGCGGAAGGACGGTCTGGCCGTTCTCGTCGACGGTTTCCTCCCACGGTTGGCCGGTGATGCCGTAGAGCATCCAGCAGAGAACGGTGCGGAGAAGAGTCCCGTGAACCAGATAGACGGCAAAACTCTGCTTGCCAAGCCAGAGTAGCAGGCGATTGGCCAGGAAGGACTGCGTGCCCGGAGAGATGAAAATGGCGAAGATGATCATGTCGACACCGATCGCACTGTAACGCTTGCCAATGTTCACTTCTGGAGGGAAGATGTATTGGGCGATCCTGAACATATAGTCGGACCAGGTGGCCCATTCGGGGTGTTCCCCGGGGTAGGAGCAGATGAAGAGGCCGGCGATCGTCACCAGGATGGCGATGATCCGGCGCGGCCAGCGGTGGGTTTCGATCAAGGAGCGGCAGGTGGAGTCGTACGACATATCACTCAGCAGCATGCCATAGACAGCCTGAAGTTGGAAGGTTTCTAGAAGTGGATGGCAGGTGAGTGAGTGAAGCAGCGGACGTTTTGCAATCCGGGGAGGCAAAGCTTACCCGTGTTCTTGGCGGCGTCCTGATGGAAGTAGAGCATCATGCCGATGTAGATGGCAATGCGATACCGGAACTGGACGTACATGGTGGCGCAGAGCAAAACATAGACGAGCATCGAAGCCTTCAACAGCGGCAGCAACGCCCACTGGTGGTCATCATAGGCCATGTACCCGGTTGTCCATGTGCTGAGGAAGTTCGCTCCCAGCCGGATGACTTCTTTGAAGAAGGAATCCTCCAAGTCGGGAGCGGCATATCGACACCACCAGCAATCCGAGCGGTTGGCGACCACGAAGGCACCAAATTGAGCCATGACCCAGGAGATGAACAGGGCAATAGTGGCTGGGAGGATCAAGCGCGGAGGGCGGCGGAAGGCGCTCTTGGCAACGGTCGAGAAAGCACTGAGGTGATTGCCAGCCCGCGACAGCTTCAGAGGCTTCAACGCACACACATAACCGGTCAGAAAGGCGAAGATGGTAACCCCAAGTCGTCCCTGCCATGGAATGCGAAGAATGGGCCACTGGAGAACGCGTGGAGGCACACCCTCCTTGTCTCTTGGCGCGAAGAGATCATAGTCCCAGGCACGGGCGAGGTGAGTGAGGACGACGAGGAAAGAGGCAATACCACGAAGACCCTGGAGCCATCCGGTCAGTGTGTCCTCACGGGGAGTGGACGGACGAACAACACGCGGAGGGAACATACATCGATCCACTTGACACTTTTGCGAGGGTCTCCGGGGGGAGAGTTGGGATTCCATAAGCTCTCTCTTAGGCGAGTGTAGAGAGCGGATTTCTGTAAAGACTGCATGGTGGAAGAGATGAAGAAAGATTATTCACAGCAGCGAGAAAGACAGACTGAGGCAATAGGCACGCAAGCGAGCCATGCACACACACACACACAGAGAGAGAGAGAGAGAGATCTAAGCGCCGAGGAAAGGGAGGGAAGAAAGAGGTGGGTGGTTAAGATAGGTAGTTAGTATTTATCTAGTCAGTAGATAAAGAGGTAAGGACTGAAGGAGTGACAAGAAGAGAAGAAAAGGAAGAAGAGGAAGAAGAGGAAGAAGAAGAAGAGGAGCAGGAGAGGAAGGAAGGAAGAGAGGCAGGGAAGGGAAGTCACCATAGCAGTAGTGGCACTGTGATAGGCATTGTAGGAGAATCGGGAGAATCGGTAGTAGACCTCTCTCTCTCCCTCTCTCTCTCTCTTTTCTCTCTCAATCTCTCACACTCTCTCTCACATACACACACACGCACACGCACACACACACACTCTCTCTCTCTCTCTCTCTCTCTCTCTCTCTCTCTCTCTCTCTCTCTCTTCGAGACGGATCAGTAGGGCGGGTCAAGTGAGGGAGACGGAGGGAGTCGAGGGCCGGGGAGCATCCAAGATTCCCAAAAGGGAGGTTGCCAAGCGACTATCCGAAACCCGTAAGGCTCAGGGACTGCATTTTGGGGTCAATCGCCCATTCTTGGCTGGCTAAATTGCGCCATGCCGAGCCCTATGATGCGATTAATGAAAGATGCCGTGGCTGCACTGCTGCGCAATAGGCAACTAATTATAGAGGTAAGGTAAATCAGTGAGAAGTTGATTCTTTCCACTTCTTTCTCCCCCCCCTTCCTCCTCTTCCCCCCCCCCTCCCTTCTCCCCTTTGTGAGGATAAACCTGTTGATCCATGACAATCAGATCTCCATTCTCGGTTCCTCACTATACTGGAGACACTCACGCATTATTAGTGCAAAACATCGCCATTATAGACCTGTCACAGTAAATCTCACGGACAGGAACCCAACAGCCAAGGCTTTACCCACTGTAGGGATGGGTCTTTCTCTTGGCACTTGCTCTCCCTCGCTTTCTCATTCATCCATTCACCACCCTCTCTCTCAATTCTCAATTCTCATTCTTGCTCTCCTTTAACCACCCTCCCCCCCCTCTCTCCCCAAATCCATTCCTCTTCATGACTCAGTCTCTAGTTTCGTTTTCTTCTTGGCATGGTCAACGAAAGATGCGCCGACCTCCGACGCTACCCGCAGCCCAAGTCACTGACCCTCGCACCCCCAGGTTACCCATACTCAATCCGGAGAATCCAACGCCACCTCCTTCCCCATCTCGCTTATACCGCCGAAGTGCTTCTCTCAGATGGGCCGGAAGGAGCTGACCCCGATGCGGATTTGGAGGCAACTTCATTTCGGCTTTGGCACTAGGCGTCGTCAGCAGTGGCCCTCCTCTATCTATCATTCCTTGTGGCTTGACCACTCCAGGATAATGGTTCGTCGAACTCGACGCTGCTGCCGCCTGATCATGGGCTTCGGCCCATTCCGCCTGCACTGTTCGAGCCTTTTCGATAATCTCGCCCGCGAACACTTTGGTAAATCCGTTAATCGTCGTCACCACGCTAGCTGGCACCGATTGCGACAGAGCATGATTGACAATTCTCCGTAGCGTTTCCTTTCGTAGTTTCGCACGTTTGAACAAATCGTATCGCTCCGACTGCAACGGATTAAACGCGTCCACGAGTAGTCTGTTTGTCCCAACCGCCCACCATGCTCACTGGTTAGTTTCATCGTTCTGCTCTCTCGCGTGCTCGCTCTTCCCTCTTGCTTCACCCTCTTATCATGATCACCACAAACCCCCCCACATCGAGACACAACAGCAGGCCGCCCCCTGACCAAGATAGCCAAGGCACGAGGTGTAAGAAAAGCAGAAGAAGAAAAGAAAGCAAAAAAAAGGGGGGGAAGGTATGGAGAGAGACAACATACGCAAGATTCTTCTTCTCCGCCTCTGTATCTGTCGTCCCCTCCTCCCTGCCAAGTAATTCTCCCTCATCATCGAAATCATCATCCTCATCCGCATCATCTCCCCCTGCACCACCTCCTGCACCTCCTCCACCACCACCCCCAGCTCTCACCGAGGCGCCCTCAGCATCCACGGATCCCATCCGATCCATCATCCCCGCACGTAGACTGCCTTCCTCCAGGCGTTGCTCACGCTCCTTCTCTGCTTTGCTCTTGCGACCGCGCTTCTTGCCCTTGGTGAGAAAGACCCCATCCGCGCTGGTACCGCCCAGACTGCCGGTGAAGCTCCCCGTCACACTGCCCGCGTCACTGTAGGCGCGCGACGAGGTCTCCATGTCCATCGTGTTGGGGAAAGAGGTCTGGCGGAGAGGGTGCATGCGGGCCCGCTTGGGGTTGAAGCCCGCCGGCTGCGAGGTGGTCGAGGAGATGGAAGGCCGTTTCAACGGATTCGTGGGTGGTGGGGAAGACATGCCGGTGATGGGAAACGGCTGTTTTGCGTGTGGCTTTGTGTATGTGCGCGGCTGCGAGCCGGGTGGCCAGGGGGTCGAGAAATGTTTTCGTTGCGTTCTGTTCGTGGACAGTAGTGGTGGTGGGAGAGAATGGTTACGGTCGCAGGGTTCAGCCGGTTTGCTGGATGGACTAAAAGCCAGAAATTCAGAAGGCGAGTGATCGAGGTCAGAGCTCCTGACCGGCAAGTTCAAAAAGACGGAGCAGGAAGTCACTACTGGCATGCAAGGCTCATGAGGATGGGTGAATGGAGTGGAGGTCGAGTGAAGGTCAAAACCAAGTGTTGCGACAGAAAGAAGTGAGTGACGGAAAGCTGACCTTCCCTTCAAATCGGACGGCCCCGCCCCTTTTCGGCAAGTCTGCCGACCCGCGATGCGTGCTACGCAATGCTCTGGGTTTAGGGCCACTGCTTATTTCTACCTCATCATTTCTGTACATCTAACCTTGCTACAGTCAATGCGTCTACATGCGGTGCAGTTTACTTCGATCATCAGATTCAAATTTGGTCAAGATAAACCTCAAGGCCGAACGCACGGGTGGCACCACACCACCGCACTCAACAAAATATAACAGGACTCGACGAACGGATGCTGGAACACAGGGAAATTCAAATCGCTAGAAGCACAAGCAATCACAAATTACCGAGGTGAGATAACCTTGGAAACAATCGGAATGCAAATCAAAGCAAGATCACAGTCTCCCGGTAGCAAAACCTTACATCCCTCATGATCTGCACGGACAAATGGGTTCGCTCTTAAACGCGCTCTTCTCCGAGCCTAGGGGCCCCCCCTTTCCAGTCAAGACGTTCATAGTAGCGGAACACCAAGTCATATCCGTCCAGATCATGCACAATACGGTCCACCCGCCGGTATCCCTCCACGTGCTCCATCTTGGAGGTACGGCGCAGCAGCTGTCGCTCAAAGTACTTAGCCTCCTTGATACTGTCCCACTCGCCCTCAACAACGGGCAGCTCGGGCTTGGCCTCAAACAAGGTAACGGTGAACCGGCCCGGCTTGAAGATGTTTACCACCTGCTGGATAATTCCCGCCGTGGTCTGCCCGTTCTGCGAGTGAGGCACGTTGGTCTCGAACGACGCATACGAGCACTGCGGCTCAGGAGTCACGTGCACCGTGAAATAATGGGTGCCCGTGCTCTGATCGGGTGACGGAATTACACCATTGGCTGAGAATCCGCAGGGGGTGAATAGGTATGCGTCGATGCGGGACTCGGGGAACTTGGACTTGGGGTAAACATCAGACAAGCCGCATGACTCGGAAACCACAGTACCCAAGGCGTGGCCTTCAGTGGTCAACTCCGAGGGCAGGATACGGCTTCCGTCGGAAGACACATCGTCCATATCAGAGTTGTTGCTGAACACATCCACAGGATCGTCGTTATCGGGTTCGAAGTTGCGGTACCGCTTCTCGGCCACGGCAGTGGCACAATCCAAGTAAAACTGCTTTGCGTTCTCCTCCTCCAGGTCAGTCATGAGCACCTCCAAAGTCTCATCCTGAGCCTCGACTCCCGGAATGGCAGCATGGCTGGGCACATTGAGAATCTTGGTCTCAGTCATCTCCTCGTCATCCGCCTTGGGGCTCGCGGGAGGCGTGAGCATAGTGTTAGGCTCGGTCAAGTACAAGTACCAGTGCTCCCCGTTCATCTTGCCAATCATGTAGGCGCTTCCGTTCAGAAACAAGCGGTCCATAGTCCGGACCTCATCTCTCCAGCTACGGTGAGGACCGCGCTGGCGATCAGGAAAGAGGAAATTCTTGCGACTGTAGAAGACACGGTAGGGCGCAGCAGCAACGGAAATGCCACGCGAGGGGGCCGCAGCGCGAGGAAAGCCGCCGAACAGGGTGGCGATCTCGAGGATGCGGGGCAAGCCAGACAGCAAGGTGGTAGTACCACAGGTCTTGAGAATCAACTTGTGAGGCCAGACAAACATACTGGACTCGGACAAGAGGTAAGCGTCGACATCCTCAGACGACACAATGGAGAGTACTTGGCAGTTGACAAGGTCCAGCATATCCTTCCAAATCTCCTCTGGCACGGCCTTTAGGCCAGCGGGACCAGCAGATCCCAGCTCTTCGGCTGAAGGCGCAAACCAGACTTCAAGGAGCTTCTCCGGTCCTTTTCAACACGATAGATGTCAGCCATGTGCACACGAGGAGTAACAACGGGAGCCAGCGTACCTTCGAAAGCATTGGTGGAGTCAAGATCCTGGGTCGCTTCATGGTTGATTGTCAAAGACGGCGTCCCCATGAAAGAGGACGGCGACTGGGTGTAGTTCTTGGGGATCCCGATGTAAACCATCTTGGCGGGCTATGAATGCGACAGGAATAGGAGTGGCGACGACGGAGCAAGTAATGGAGCAAGCGCGTGACTGTAAGTGTGGACCGTAGACAAAAGAGCCTAGGAAGCACTATCTGCTGCCCAGACGAACAGGGGGGCTATGTCCGTCTGAGAGAGTAGGCCCTGAATCGCAAGGGCGGAATTGGCGCTCAGCCGAAGAGGGAAGGTTCCAAAAGAGCCTCGAGGGCTACTAGGGAGGGCGAAAGGAAAGGGATAGGAGGAAAAAGCCTCTGGCGAAGGGAATGGTGACTATCAGGTGTCGACCCTCGTTCTGAAAGATTCCGATACCGTTCAAAGTATCGGGTCTAGCAGACGAGAGTATCTGCTTTTAGGATTAAAGAGATAGAGAAGAAAACAGGTTGCGCAAGTGAAACGGGTTGGAGTGTTAATCGTGCTATCGAGGTCTGGAGAATCACAAGTCAGTCATGAGCAATCGGTTACACGGCCTCTTCTGATAGAGGGGAAAGAACCGGTTGGGAGTAGGAAAGAATGGGCCAACCTACTTTGCGGGCTTAGACAGATATCGCAGTAGGTCCTTCGGGTTCATGGAAGGCGAACAAGAGTTGAGCTTAAAACAGCACGGTGTCGCGAGAAGCCAGAATAACGGACATCTGCGAGGCAACTTTTCTTTGGAAGAAAGCGATAGAACTGGCGCAAAGAGAAAAAAAAAAGAGAAGATTGAGCAACCGGGATTGACTTTCAATGAGCAGTCAACGGTTGACGAGGTACAAGTATGAACATAAAAAAAGCCTCAACCAAGTGAGGAATGGGGAAGAGGAGGGGGAGGGGGAAGAATTTAAACAAATGGAAAATGGCGCGGACGTGAGGGGGGGGGGGGAAAGAGAAGTTGATGCTTTTGAGTGATTATTATTCTGTGGGCCCGAAAAAGTTCGTGGGGCGTGAAAGGCCAATCTGGGTTGGGCTTTTCTGGGTACAGCACAAGAACCTGGCAGAAAAAACACCGGTCAGAGGAAGGGAACAAGTTGAATCGGGAAATTCAGGTTGAAGACTGAAGGGGGGACAAGTTCCATACGTAATTTGGAGGGGAAGATGCAGGAACAAATCTCAAAAGATAGATAAGGTACGACGAGAATTGTTCGAATGACTGAGGGGGATGTGCTGGATAGGTGGTGGTAGTGAGTGGTTTTTTCACTTTGGTATTATTTTTTGACGCCTGACCGTCAGTTGATCATACGGAGTAATACCTTAAGGTTAGTAGTCCGTAAGGCAACGTTCCAGAGGCGGCCAAAGAAACAGGGCCATTTCCAGGCTGGAAGGGAACAATTCCCTCAAATGGTAGGCGGTCAATCCCCGCTCAGATCCTCCCCCCTCCCTTCATGCTTATCTCAGCCCCAGCAACAAAAGTGACGTCGAGGGGGGTCACATGGCAGGAATGAGACACACTACATCATGTTGCCATGAGGATTGTGTACGGAGTACCAGAAGAAGTAGGAGGAGAAAGGAATTCAGTCTAGACTATTCCAACTATTCGTACGTCTCTTTAAGTTTGAATCTCCCAATTTTCTTTCATCCCTTTCTACTCTTCACCTGCCTACGACGGTACTCTTCCCTCACTTCCTCTTCTGTCTGCCTCTGCTCGTGCATACCTCATTCTTCTCATTATCACACCGCTAGAAAGTCAATACTACCTATGTATGTATCACAGAAAGAGAACCACGAATTGCAATCAACACCTCCCCCTTCCCTCCCAAAACGCCATACTTTGCTGGACCAGAAGCAACCGAAAAAGAGATATAGATCGCCCATACGCAGGGCGCAAGAAAAAATGAGGGGTCACTGTACCTAGTACTTGACTAGTCGGCAGTGGGCACGGTAGGGTCAAGCGTCGAGAATGGCCCGGGCGGTTTCCACCTCTCCTACCTCCTTGATTTTCGACGCAAGAAACTCACCCACTTTCTCACTCAGTCGGTCCCGCAGGTCTTCCGTAACTACGCCTCCGTGCCCATTGGTGAGAGCCGTGCGTCCTTCCCGCAACGTTGCCAGAACCCCTAGTAGAACCACGAGAACTCTCTCAGCCTCCGGTCGCCGTGGGCTCTCTTCCGCCATTCCGTCCTTCAGTAAAGTTCCGTAGGTAGGCAGGTTGGGCAGAATCAGCACCCGCACCGCTTCTGCACCGCCAACCGCATGAAGTCCAATGATGGCGCCGTAATGCGCACCAAATGGTTTAGACGGATCCAAAAATGTCTTGAGGCATGAACGAGCCAATCGTGGCTTGAGTGTGTGGGAAGAGTGGGAGTATTTCTTCGCAATCAAACCCAAGAGTGAGGCGGAGAGGTCGCGGAGGGCAAACTGCTCGGTCAGCTCAGCGTTGCCGCCCAGTTGTCGAGCAATCAAGCAGGTTAGGATGGGCGGGACAAGGGATGGGATCTATAGCCGATTAGTAAAGCCACAGGCACCAATTCATGGTGAGATCCTTACATAAGGGTCCACATAAAGTGATTTGTTCTGCACAAGGGCCTCCGCCATGTGCATGATCTGTGTGAGGACAAAAATATCCTTCAGACCATGTGTAACCTTCTCGGAGATAAACTGTACAAAGTATGGGACCAGCTGATGCAGGCCCGGGTCCTCTCGTAGGCTGGAATAGCCTGAAGTACGATATTCTTCGCTGGATTCGTCTAGGAAGGCGTTGCAAACTTTTTCGAAGTAAAGCTGCAGTTCCTTGGACAAGACGTGCTTCACCAGCGGTTTGACGGCCACGTTACCTCCTCCACTCATAGCCGCGAGCGTCGAGCTGGCATTGGGGCCTTTGGACATCAATTCGAGGTTTCTCGAGTCGGCCGCGGTAGGGTTCTGGGGAATCGATGGCTGTACTCCTTCGACAGCTAGCCAGTGCGCTACGCTGCATCAGCAGTGAACTATCAGGTGGAGGGCTGGAAGATATTACCTGTGAATGAGATCTCTCGAGGCACTCTAGGTAACGGCGCGTTGATCAGTTTCTCAAAATCCACCTCCTCATCCTCCACATAGAACAACGGTTGTCCAGGCCCCAACGATGCCTCTCCGAACCGCAAGGGCCTGGTAGACTCGTATCCGTAGAGCGGCTCGACATCGAGTACGCGCAGGGCTTGTGCAACATCCTGCGTCGAAAGCAACGTCCGTCGACTGTGGCGCATGAATTTGAGAGCCTCTTCCAGCACCTGCGCAATGCGGTATTCGACGTCGCGGGCGAGATTTTCGGTCACATCATTGTTGAGATTGACTATTCCCACCGACTCGGCAACATCGCGAATGTTATCTGGATTCCAGACGGACATGGCGACGGCGAAGGTTGTTCTGAGAGGGAGGATGGGTGCGATAGAGACAGAAGCAAAGGCGTAAGGAAGGTCGGGTCGAGGTGAAAATAATGAGATACGGTATTGAAGGATGAACGCGCGAAAAAAAGAAAAAAAAATTCTCAATCTGCAAGCGATGAAATGGTCATGAAGAAGAGGAGGATTCGGGGCGACCCTGTGTCTGATCGAGCGCCCAAGAAATAATTTGACAGCAGAAGGTGGTTTGGTGGTGGAGCCGGAGATGCGACGCGGAAAGCCAAGCTGGGGAAGAGGAAAGCGGCAGGAAACTGCTTGTCCAACCAGCAGACAGAGGTGCATCCATCATGCTCACTAACAATACCTGTCTACTGTGTTTGTTGCCGAATGGTGAAACTCAGTCAGGTCAAAATGAGTGATAGTAAGCTAAAAAAAAAAAGTTCATTCAATTTTATTGAAGATACTGTTTCGCTGCCTCTTAGATTAAGACCCTGCTACTTTGCTGACTTATTGGAGGAACATGCTCAGCCTTATCCAATCTATATCCTTTATTGCCTGAGTATTCAGGCCACGATCACTGCACGATAGTACGAAAATAGTAGTCAATAGAAAAACAATCGCAGAGCAATTGTTTGTCTTTCTAGAGGTACTGTATCATGCGCTGTATTCTCTGGGTTAGTATAAAGAACTTAGTGGTTCTGAAGGAAGCAATACTTCTAAGTAGTGGCCCATGACCTCTCCCACTGTTTATACGGAATATATCTACAATAGGGCCTCAAACGCTAGACAAACGACACCTCAAGCTGGCACCATTCATTGAGCAACACTCGTACTGAAACGACGATGTCTCCCACTCTAGAGTCCCAATATCATCTTTTGCCTACAACAATCTCTAGTTCCATATCCGCAGCACCCAGTGAGTCCCGAGTCAAGGACTACATCGCCAACACCTTGGCCACAGTCCTCATTGAAGTCTCCTCTCCTGATGGCCGCCCATCAATAAAGATCAAAGCCCGGCCAAAAAAAGTCTCCGCTCAGTTTATAAGTCCGGAGAGCGGTGCTCTTGAGACTCAGGCGTCCGGTGTAGATATCACCTACACCTGGCCGGGGAAGGACTTCTATGAAGCTTGGAGGTTCAGTGCGTTCTTCTTTCCTTCTCTTGTGGCAGCTATAAGAGCTAATGCATTGTGTGAGTTTAAATTCTAGCTGTTGCAATGCGAGTTCTGAGTGCAATTGCCGACGCGGTCGATAAGGGGGTTGTGATTTCCAAGAGGTATAGTATAGTTACTCCACATCACAGAGCGTTACGGAATGAACAGTGAAGGCAGGCGAGACGTTAACAGTTCACTCTTCACACCGTGGGTACAGGGACATATACTACAGTGACCCAGCGATATTCGGATCTCAGCGCATTGTTGATGGCTTGGTTGATGATTTCGCGTTCACAATAGGTGTGAACAGGTCGGCATTGAATGTGGTTCGTCTTTCTTTTCAGTGATGCAGACCATTGAAACGTGCTGTGGGCAACACGCAAGCTGACCACGATTTCTCAGGGAGCAGCAGCCAAAGGTCTCGTGACTGGGTGTTTCCATTGGAAGATCCGAGGTCAGACGATGGCTGACGATGCACATTTCTTGAACCCGGTTGGCATGCGATGAAACTCCAAGACAAGTTCCACTATGAAACTATTTTCGGCTGACAGAATACCTTACAGGATACTCTGATTTCAAGATCGCAGGACATACAGGAGATGGAGGTCTCGGATATCGACTGGGTGCTCATTCTGGAGAAAGAGGTAGGCATAGTAGCGAACCACAGGCACACAATGCGAATTTCCTGGTTGGACGCTGAGAACGAACACAGGCAGTGTACCGTCGGCTTGCGGGGATGAGATACCATATCCGATCCGCAGCAGGACTAGGTATTCTGGTTACAGTAAGATTCCAGCTCTTTCTTTCTTCATTTCCGCAGGTGCTATAGAGATGACGCGCAACAGGGCAAAGGCTACCCTGACCTCAATACACGAGCATTCATTCGCAGGCTCTACGACGAAAGTAAAAGCCGGCAGTCGACCAGAAGACTGCGATTCTACGCACTAGTGGATGGGGATCCCGACGGAATAGCAATCATGGCCACATACAAGTACGGTTCCTTGGCCTATGCGCACGAGAATAGCACCTTAAACTGCCCTGAGATTCACTGGCTAGGTCTCCGCACCTCAGACATCGTGACTGGGGTGGACCGGATTGGGAACGATTCCCTTGTCACCCTGACAAAGAGAGATAGGGGAAAAATCCTGGCTATGCTGTCCAATAATCCTGTCTGGGCTCTGAATGGTCCCGAGCCAGAGGGACGAGCTGAGCTACTGCAGATGCTGATGTTAAACGTCAAGGCGGAGATGCAGATCCTCTATGACGGCGATGGGGGACTTGTCCGATGGCTAGACCGCAGGATGACATACTTGCCGTGAAGAAGATGTGACGATTTGCCTTGGAATGGTGGTACAAAGGAAGACACAAAAGTATAGGCACCCGCGATTGATATGTGCATTGATAGAGATATCGGGTCGGACCTTATGATCTTATCTGCATGTGAAAAAAGGAGTGGGGGAAAAAGGAAACGCAAAAGAACGAATGAGCGCACCACTAAACGCCAGCACCGGCACCAATGCACCCAAACAAGCTATGCCACGCACTCTCCCAAGACAGCGAGAACGGTTTATGCACATGTGCAGACGAGACTGCATCCTATAAATTTCAGCCAACCACAGTACTTCCATCGTCATACTCCTCCTTTTTTGTCTTTAGCGTTTATAACGAATAAGCATGGCCTTCCCAAGACACCATTACAACCCTAAACCTTTCCGGACCTCGTCACGGACCTTACGCTCGTACTCACTGCGTCGCTCACGCCACATCTTGGCCGCCTCGACATTGGCAGGACTTTCGTCATTAGGCTCAGCAAGCATGCTCATCACGGAGATGAGGATCTTCTCCACGCTCTGAATGGGTGACCAGCGTTCCGAGGCGTGCTCGTAGTGGTTGGGATCGTCGCCCGGGGGGTGTAGAATAGAGATACAGACAGTGCCGTTAGGGTAGACTAAGCAATCAGATCAAGCCAAAGTCAGCCATATATTGCATATCAGAGTAGATGCATGCGTCTGATGATTCGCATCCAAGGAACACAATTGGAGACAGCAAGCACTGACCATTGGGGTGCCAAACCCCACCGCCAACAAACTTCATAGTCGGTGGGCTCAACGGATAATCCTTGGGGAACTTCAACTCGGCCGCAAAAACGCCACCCTCAAATGGGGTGCCCTCCGGACCTTGGATCAAGGCTTCCCAGTGGAACATGTCATCTTCCGTGACGGGACCAGCGGTGATGCCATCCGGAGGGTTGGTCGAGAGGTTCTTGTATTCGTGAAAAAGACGTTTTTGCGCAACGGACGACATGGTGAATTGTGAGAGCGCTTTTTTATTATCTTTGATAATTGAAGAGAAGGCGGCCCAACGAGATCTTAAGAGAACGTGTGTCAGTCTTGCTGTAATGCACAGAGCAAGGACCAGTGGAATGTGTCGGTGAAACGATGGGCGGAGGGGGGAGAAAATGGGGAAATGTTATATAAAGAGGGAACACGGAAGACGGCCGTGGGGGATGTGCGGAGAGATTGACCCAGTGGGCGAGAGGGACGGACGGGCTTTAATGTACCTTTGGCGAGAGCTGAGGGGCAAAAGGGCGAGTAATCCGGAGTAAAAAGATTGGAACCTGGAAAGGTGGAAAAGAAAAGAGAATTAATCGATGGAGAAGGGATGGGATTTGCCACTTGATTGTCCAATTCAAAGAATCCGCATCCATCCATTGATGAATGAGGGGGGAATATTGACTGCCTCAGGCTACAATCATTCCCTTATCGCCGCCCTATTGCTTATCGTACGTAGTTTTGGACCCATACTGCATCTGACGTAACTTATTACCTCCACATAAAGTGGTGAGTTGGCCAAATTTTGCATCTATCTACAGGTTTTATGATAGCTATTAACATCACAGTTACAACCCTCATTGTAGAGTTCAAAGCAGATTTGTGCAGCTGATAGCCCGGAGGACTATACTGAGTATTCCGCGGCGGAAGGAAAGCACTTCATGTCACTGTAGTGCGATCAACATCCTAGTCGAGACCTTGCCTCATGGTCACAACCACTCTTGATCATTGGTTATCGAAGAGTGATCGGATTTCATGCTGTAGGTATGCCGAGAATTTTCAGCTCTCCTCGCTTCCCGACGGTCGGGCTTGGCTTAACTGACATGGCATGTTCAATTGCTTCTTCCAGTCGTGACGGCTCGATATGCATTGTGGTACCTCTAGTAAGTGACGATTGATAGTTGATACCTTGATATGTCTTTTAGAAAAAGTCGAAACTATCACCGTCACCTCCATCACCTCCATCATCTTCGTCATCCGCCCAGGGGTCTTCTTCTTGATCCCAGGATTTCTCTTGATTCTCATCTGCCCAAACATCTCCGTACGGACCGGTCTGACCAGGTGCTGTTGGTTGCTGGTTTCCCAGTGAGGACTGGGAGTCGGGAGGAGGCGCTGGGTGATTCCCGCCGGCGCCCCGGGACATTGCATCGTACCCCGCCATGGCACCGGCGCCTGCTGCACCAGCCATGGCACCATCAGCTAAGCCGCCAGCGGCACCAGCCCCAGTCCGACCGACAGTACCTGCAGCTGCCTCTCCGACAGCGCCGGCCTCGCCAGCAACAGCTCCCCCTGCCGCGGCACCTTCGGCGGCCGCTCCCCCGGCGGCCGCTTCCCCTCCGAAACCGGGAAACCAGAGGGGCATAAAGCCAAAGCCACTAGAACCGCTGTGGCGACTGAAGTAGTCGAAATCAATGCTGACTGCAGTGGCTAGCATGACAGCACGCTGGTCTAGACTCATCGCAGTCGCGACGCTAGACTGTTCGGGAGCCTGCTCGCCGATGGAGGCAGAGTCCATCCGCAATGCGTAAACGCCAGTGTCAGTGAAGAGTTCGCGGGCAAAGCCGGCAAAGTTCCGGTTTACAGAGCCAATTAGCCGACTGTCAGCGGAACGGAGAGAGAAGTCCCAGGACAGGAAAGGCTCATCCACATATGCGAACTGATTGTAGGCACCCGCGATTTGATCGGCTTCGGAAGTCTGAACCAGCTGCATTTGCTGAGAGCTAGATAACCCAGTTTGGTCAAGTGGTAGCGTCTTCGTCCCCATATCCAAAGCCGAATTGGGTGAGTGGTGATATGTAAATAGGTTGTACTTACGCCGCAACGGAGCCCATTGCTGCTGGGCTTCTCCGATTACTCGCATTTCCTCAAGACCAAGAGACGAAACGCGCGCATTCGAGCCCCCGGATGCTTGAGTCAGGGAACCGGCGCTGTTAGTCTGTAGAGCCGTGGACGAAGAATGGGCGCCTTTGGTTACTTCTAGAGGATCATAGACGCGGATACGGGAGTTGATCCACGAGAATGGGCGGTGGAACTAGATCAATACATCAGCACTTAAGTTGGATCGCGCCCATTCAATGCGACTCACCCGCAGCACTTCATTTTCATGTTTGTCAAATACGTGGGTGACAAAGCTTCGATGGGTGTTAAACCATTGTCGCGCCATCATATTTCCCATGCCTTTCTCTTGCTCTGCCATGAAGCCGATATGACTGCCATTAGCGTCCATCACGATATACTTGTTAGCTTGCTCAAACCCGCTGCGATCAACAAAGAAAATGTTAGCCTTCGTAGACTTGTGGTGCAAGGAATGGCACTCACATCAGGACATTCATCAACTCCAGCTGGCGTTGAACCACTAGACCAGAGTTTGCCAGGATCGATGTTGCTGGATGGGTCTCTTTGATCACTCCATGAGGATCTTCTGGGATGTGAACGGGAGCAAGTAACGTGTTCTGGGAGGGATCGTAGTAAGGGCTCAAGGAGTCGGAAGGAGGAGACTTTTGTGAATCAGAGAATTGAGATGCAGGTGATATTTTATTTGGCTTGATGGGTTCTGGTCTGCGAACGGAGTTGCGAGGACCACGAGGGTTGACTCGTCCGCGATTCAGGGAACTGGCGTTGGCTCGTCCGGGCGCTCGGAAGCATCGCGCATGCGATGGTCGGAGTATAGCACTCCACATCTTAGGACAAGCGTAGCCAGAAGTGTTAAAGTATGAGATAGAGTCTGCGTGAGGATTAACTTGGTGGGTAAAAGAAGGGGGGACAAGGCGCGATAGTTTGAATGTTTGATTCACAGAGAAGAAATTCATGGACGGCAGCGGTGTTGATGACGAAGTTGCTCGCCTCAGGCCCGCGTCGGCTATAGATCGTAGTCGGTCCACCACATCTCTAGAAGAACACCGGAATTCTTGCTGCTTAAAATCCACAATACATTACACGGAAACCAGTAGATTGTGGGACACAGAGGTAATGAGATATAGTAGTCATGGTGCTTTGGTTGCTAGACCTACAACTGTTAAAGGCCGGTTATAGCCAGGTTAACTGAGAACACCAGACATCCCCGTCGAGCAAATATGTGATTCAAAGTTGACAATAGCGGGATGTGAAGGCTTGGATTGCGGATAGCAAGAGCTCAATTACATGCTCATGAAGGGTCATGTAGCCCCATAATAGGTAGTGTTCCATCATCAGTCCCCCGGCAATCACAGAAGACCCTTGCGCGCCAATTCAACTTTACGCGCAGCTTCGCCTGCTTTAAAGCCACCCTTCGAGACACAGACAGCACTACCCTCTCCTAATTCAATCTTCTCTTCAACGTTGGGATGCGGGCATGGGCAGTGGTGAGGAAAGTGGACGCATGCTAGAGTGCCGGGGCACAGGTAGCGATCGCAGTGAGCTAAATTTGGAAGACAAAGTCATGTTAGCTGGCCAGCTGATCTGAAGCAAAATGCAGGAATGTACTTATCCTGGATGCTGGCAACTCACCTGACTCCCATTGATTTTGATACCGAGAGCTATCGCTCGGAACGTTCTGCGGAGCCTGTTGTTGATGGCCGCCGCCGCCGCCAAACATATGCTCGAAGAACTGAAAGTGGGCGTGGGCGACAGACGCCAGGAGGAGAAGAACTCCAAATGATCTGATCCAGCCAAGCATTGCGCTGCTTCTGTTTCCTTCTATTCACAGAGGCAAGGAATGCGAACCCAATTTGCTGCAAGCGGGAAGTCAAGAGTGCAATTGTGATCTCTCGATAGATTCGTATAGATCTAGACGGCCAGTTGGCCCTTCCCGGCGCACACGTGACTTCCCAATCACGCCAAGCCCTTTTCTCATCCCGCAAAAAAAAGGGAAGCCAGCAGTTTGGATAGCTTCAATTCCCTCAGTTCTCCATGCAAAGGAGCTGATCGTCTCCCTTCGAATATCACACGCAATGTTCCGGCCCCATGGAATTCTAGCACCCTTTAGGGCTCTAGAACGAGCCATTGCGCCCTCTACTGTCCGCGTTGCCTCCTACTCTACCTCGATCCTCTCCTCCGCCGTCACAACCACTACCCCCTCTTCCTCCTCCACGACGTTACTACGAACCAACACCACCCGCCTTCTTCCTCCTACCACTACTTCTCTTCTCAACCTTTTCACCCGGCAGCAAGTTCGTCACGCCTCCCACGCCTCCCAAGGTGCCGCGAACCGACACTCGCGCGATCCGGCCGGCAAACGTCTCGGCGCGAAGCGTGCCGCCGGCGAGTATGTGGTTCCAGGATGCATCATCTTCCGGCAGCGGGGGACGAAGTGGTTTCCCGGCGAGAACTGCGCCATGGGCCGGGACCACACCATCTACACCACCCAGTCCGGCTACGTGAGGTACTACCGCGACCCGGAGCGGCACCCGGACCGCAAATACATCGGCGTCGCTTTTGACAAGGACGGCAAGCTGCCCACGCCGCGGAACGCGCCAACCCGCCGCCGGCTCGGTAAGGTCGCCGTGCGGTTCGATCCCGCCGACCTGGCCATCAACCAGAAGCAGCAGTCCGACTTGGTGGCTGAGGTCACGGCGGAGGGGACGACGGTCGGCGCTGTGCCCGCGGCGGCGATGAATGCGGGACTGCAGCTCCGCCCCGGCTACATGTACCGTGAGGCGAACTGGCAGATTGGTCGAGTTGCGGAGAAGGCCGGAATTACTGCCCAGGCGCATCGTCCTAAGAACCGCTGGCTGGCGTGGCGAAAGAGAGTGGCTCGCACTGAACGCTGGGCCCAGATGAAGAGCTTGAAGAACCGGAAGAGCACGAAGAAAGGCAAGAAATGAACGGTATGAATCCAGTGCCGTCGGCTCTGGGAACCCGGGTTCGATCGACCTTCAGCCGGTTGGTCGGGGCTTCTGGGTCCTTTCGCCTTTTGCTCGCTCAGCTGCCTTGCTCGATTTACGTCCGTGATGTGATACTCGGTCCTTGCATGCAGTAATATCTTTTTGTCTGTGTCTTCTCGTCTCTGGCATTTGCGTACAGTTATGGGGTTTACTTCGGGTATTTGCTTTTCCATCTCTCATATTTCATGTATTATAAGATGTTTCCAACATGTTTCTGCTTCTGCCCATTTGTGCAACTAGAACACTGGTTGAATTGATTCTAGATGAATAGTCATTAGTATTACCATTTGGCTCCTCGACATAGTACATTGCGCAGCTAAAGTTCACAAGAAGGGTATATGCGCTTAAGACTTCCATCATCACCCAGAGAGAAATTGAATCACAAGCTCTAAAGGGAAAAAAAGAGAGACCCCCCATATGCGCCAAATCAAGTTCGCAACTCCCCATATCTCCCTCGTGACCTGCGAGCAGCCAACGTAGTTGGAAGCCATACCTAACCAAACACATGCCACCGGGCAGCTTCGACTACTGATCGAACAGTCGGCCCAGAATCAAACTCTGGCAGACAAACTCATTTCCCACAATTCGGACATTGGTGCTCAGCCCCAAATTATCGCCGGTCACCGACTCCATCAGCTTCGTTCGCTTCCGCTTCCGCGGACCAGTGCCGGACGAGCCGGATGTGCTCAAAGCCATTGCTTTCGCAGATGCTTTATCATCATCATCAATGTAAATCCAGTCCCAACTGCGCTTCCCAGGTTGCTCGTCCTTGCTCTGAGCGCTGAGGATGGCGCGGGCAGACTTCAGGTCAGAGACACGCTCAATGCGCGATGCTCCCAGAGCATAGGTCAGGAATAAGTACGCCTTGCGTCGTTCCTCGTCGATGCGACCGCTGCGTCCAGTGACTAGGAGCACGGACTGCCCATTCAAGAGGTTAGGTCGACCTGCGATGGTTTCAGACAGTCGTGCCTCGGTAGCTGGGTAAGGCGTCAGAATTCGAGACTTGGTGGCTCCGTTGAGGTATGTTGATTCACCGGCGGGAAGGAGGTATATTTCCCAGTCGACAATCTGCCCTCGTGCGACGCAGTCTTCAATCCAGCGATCTGAAAGGCAAGGGAGGTTGAGGGCTAGAGCCTGCATATACTTTGATCGGCGAGAATGTTTGTCTGCGATGAGGCAGGCAAAGCCCACGTCTGCGGCGCCGCTGCTGAGTTGGAGAAGATCACGCCGTGCGCCTGTTTCAGTGAGTGGCTGCTTGGTTGGAGTAGCAGCGGGAACGTTCAGCGGGTGATCAAAAAGCTCGTTGAATCCATCTTCTAGGATGCGGCCGTCGTTTTCGAGTATCATTTTCACAACGCGCGTCTTGGCGTTGTTATTGTCGCCGAATGAGACAGCGAAAACCATTCCAGCGAACAAGCCATTTGAGAAGCGGATACTGCGTGAAAGGCGTGCGCTGGGGGAGGAGATTGGCGTGGAGAGTCTCTCCGACGGTGTTGGAGCACCGTGTTCGGAACACACCGGTTCGGACATGTAGGTAAAGGAGCGATCTTTGAGCTGATTCCACAGAATCGTATCTAGGTAGATCCTTGATATCGGGACCTCAATGAGGTTATCAGCCACGGCCAGACCGGCAGAAGGAAGACTCTTGCGCTGCTTTGGGCCTACCACCACGGCTGAATGGCCATAGATATCCGTCATGGGAATCACACCTTTTGCAGCACCATGTTCTATCTCTTCTGTGCTCAGCTTACGAACAAAGCTCCTAATAACATGGGTGACCTTGGGCACGTTCGGCATATCCACTTTAACAGCATCGCCAAGACGTAGCTCCAGCCTCTTGACAGCTCCCATTGGAATATCCACAGGTGCACTATCTTCAAACTTTACCCGATACCGAGACTGCGATGTCCCGAATGGCTTGCCAAAGCACGTTGCTGGGTAGTAAGCACGCTTTGTTCCACTCCAAGGAGCAAAGACTTGATTAATTGCAATTGGGACTTTTTCAACCAGAGATGGCATGGTGTGGTCGACAGCGGGTGAATCCTCCATAGCAGGACTCCCTACGGTAGATGTCTCAAGAGGAACTTGAATCGTTATATCACTGCGTGGTTCCTCGGGCACAGGACTGATCGCTAAGCGTTGGTGCACGATTCCCGGCTGCCCTTTGCTCAGCGTGTTGCGTGGTTCTGTCTCTTCAGTCCTTTGTCGACTCAAGAATCGGGAGCGAGAGAAGAACCGGGACCGGTCTTTACGCGTAAGAACAGTTCGTGGAGGAGAATCGTCCATATCCCACACGCTTTCTGCCCTCCGAGGAGGCCTTGATCGTCTCTGGTAAGCCTTATCTGCCTTGCGCTGCAGGTGTTCCTGCAGTGCATTTTGTTGCATGTCCGTAGGCATCGTAGACACGCCTGGTGTCATAGATTCAATAGGATGCTGCTGGCCCACTTGAGGAGGTTCAAGACGACTGGCAAGACGAGGAGTCCCTGGCAATACGGGATCAGAAGCAATTGCACTTTGCCCGTTGTTGCCTCGGCGTCTCTTTCTGGGCGGGCCGGGAGACATGCCAACAGCCTCTTTGAACTCCAGGTCGTCGGCTGACATTATGCTAATATCTAGGTTGAAAGGGCCAGTTCCTCCTTGCGGTGAGGCATCGGCAGCAATCTCTGTTAGAGCCCTACGTTGTCTTCCACTTGGACTCGAGAGTATTCTAGACATAGGTGTTGAAAATGGTTTTGAGGGCGAGGGGCTGTTCAAAGCGGCATGACGCGAATGCGACGCTCGTTCATGTGTGGCATGGCAACGAGGCGGCAAATCGTCATCCTCTTGGTCTGGAATTTCATTATCGTTCATGTCGTTGGGCCATTCTTGGTTTGTCAGCCGACTGGGACTTGTTTCTGGGATGCTTGTTGTTGGTACCACGTCCGCAAAGTCTATAGGGGGGATAGGGGTCTCAGCGACGCGAGATGGCATCGACGACGATTTACCCTGAAGATCAAAGGCCGGAAGTTTGTCACCCACGACTCCGGGCTGCTGAGAGATCGTGTTGCTGGAATCTATCACGATTGCTGCTGACGCCTGCGTAGCTTCTGGGGTGGGAGAACGCTGAGGGCTGCCGGGCTTCGATTCGTCAGCATCGATGCCCTGGGCTTCATACAGCTCAGACGATAGCGTGGTATGTCGTGATCCCGCAGGCGGTGAAGATAACATGCGAGCTTGCTTCGTAGGCGAGGAAATCATTCTTTCAATGTCCGATGTAGGCTCGATCTGGACCTGAGAGTCTGGACAGCGTGAGGTTCTTCGGCTGCGGTTTTTTGGGGCTTCGGCGTCGGCGTCTCTCGATTTGGGAGAGCGCTGAGAGTCTTTAATGACCGATATTTGTGACAAGGTGCCCAGATCGGGTGGCTCTCCTAAACGTGCCATGTTGCGAGCTAGATGTTGTGACTGAAGTGTTTGCTTCTCTGTGCTTCCGTGGGCTGGGGATGAAGTACCATCGAAGGCAAGAGCCTGAGAAAGACGATCATGTGCACTAGTGGCGGGGGGAATAGGAGTTGCTGATACATCGAGACAATTTTCTTTGTCCTCCTCTGTCATAGAGATATGCTCCGCGGATGGTGGGATAGACTGGACCCGATGGTCTTCCTGTTCTTGTTCGGTCTCGTCTTCGCTCAAGCCCCCCGGCTGCAGGATGATAGGGTCTGCGGCGGTTCTCCGCTCGACGACATCATTCTCCGCAGCACATCCGTCGTTCCAGACTTGCGGACCTAGATCGCCTTGGGGCGACGACGGTCCCTTGCTGAGTTGTCTGCTCCGGCCACGGTCAGACCGTGCAGGTGCCGTAACAACAGCGAATTGAGCCTTCGCCTCCTCGTCTATTGAGCGCTGACGCCTCACGCGTTCGACGAAGCTAGGCTCCTTATCAAATTCGTCCTCACTGTGATCACTAGGGAACATATGGTCCGCTGAACGTGTCATTCTCTCAGTCAATAGCCTTTCGCGATTGGTCTGGGACTCCTGCATGGAAATATAGTTGAGCTTGTGTGCTGAGGAATCCCGCGGGAAGGTCGCTGCCATACGCTCGAATGGAGAAGATAGATTCGGCGCAAGCGGATGCTTTTGAATCGGAATATTTGGGGAAGGCCGGTCCGATGCGATATCACCGTGCTGTTGACGATTGACCAACGGAGAGGATGGTGCCTGGGTGGCCCTGAACACCTGGCTTAGAGCCATGATTCCACCACTGGATCCGATCTCCGTGGCAAGTGGATTTCGTGAGACGGTGGGCGAAATCGTGGCAAGGCCGTCCGAATGAGCGCACTTGATCGCAGCTGCAGGGGTCTTCATCACGAATCGCTGCGATTCAGGAAATGGATTTGATTGATAATGTGCGGGTGATGACTCCCCAAGTTTGGAACTGCTTCCACCTTCATCATCATCAATGTTAATCATTTCTGTATGGACATTCTCATAACCAGCCAAGAGGTCGATATGACCGCTGTCACCTTCATGCAAGGTCATAAGCGTAGCTTGATCACCATAATGACTGTCATGACCAATGACAGCTCCTTCTTCCCGGTTTTTGCGAAGGAGCTCATCATAAACCCGCTGAGAGATCACCTGGGTATCCGCAGGAAGTGTTTCTGCAGAGCCTAGCTTTCCCAGCTCAATCACCGCGCGGCCGCTGGGGCGAGTTCCATAACTAGACAACTTGGACGATCCATCACTAGCGTCGTGCTGTGCTTGAGTTGATGCCGAAGTCGCCGACACAGGGTCGGGAGATTTCTGAGCACCTTCTCCTGCGTCCTTGGGCAGGTGCTGATGGGGTTTTTGAGGACACTTCACTTGATCAACCATTCCAAAATCGGCCACCGAAACTTGGGACTGAACAAATACCTGGTAAATTCACCCAAATATCAATCAGGTTAGTTCAATGTAGAAGACCCTGTCGAAGACGCCGCCATTACCGAGAGGATCACTCACCTGGCCCAAGGCAACGCGTTGCAGCCTCGCGATGTCGATGCTGTCTTCTTGGGTCTCCATGTTCTTTATCACTCCGTAAAGTCTGGACTTCTCAGGGAATGATAGAGCATTTCCCCCATAGCCCAAAATAAGGGAGGTTGCACCGAGGCTACTCAAATGACCTGGAAAGATGTCAAGGACTTTCCCAATCACTCACTGCCCTTCGGAACCACAGAACGCGAGACGCGTATATCACGTGATAAGTACATTGCAATATTACCGCTCTGGGTCTAGACTATACTGGAATTACATTGCGGAGTACGGAGTATGTGACAATGTCAAAGACAGTCTTTATTTTATCACATTGAGAAATCATACACATTCACATTATGTCAGGTAAGGGTAGAGGTGTCATGGAGTATGAGCTCGAACAAGAAATCAATGCACCGTCTTATAAGAATGATAGTTATCAGTCGAGAGGGACACAGGCTCAATCACGAGTCCGGTTGGGTACCCATCTGCGCACAACCATCTCTCGAACCTGATACTGTGAAAGCAGTCTTCCAATGTCAGTCTCTATTGGTACGTCCAGATCGTACGACACCGGAGGCGGTACCTCCACATAGCATACCACCAGGCTCTTCTTCACTTGCGCCTGAACGCGATTGACGCAATGCAGCCACCACCAGCTACGCGATACTCGTGTTGCGCAGTGCGTCCGGCGTTCTTCTGTCTCTTTCCAGTATTGGTCAACATAGGATGGAATGACTACTATCGCAAATTCGGCATGGGAGAAGACTGGACCACGATTGTAGAGAAGGTAATCTACTCCAAACTTCACGCCGGATCTCACCACCCATCCTAGAGACCGAAAATGATGGTAAACGACGTAAGAGATCAAGAAAGTGTCGTCGGGGTTTAGCTCCGAGGACGAATCCCTGGGAGGAAATTTGCTATGATGACAGAGCAACGGGAGTAAAGCCGAAGTCGGAATGATATTTCTGCGTGTGTCGTCCAGGATTGTCAGTGCACCGAGTCCATACACGAGAAAGAAGGCTTCCTCATTCGACAGGTGAAGATGCTCCTCGTTCTCCACGGTTGGCCTCTCTTCCGGGCCAGCCTTGTCTTCCTCTGCTATCACCTCTGGGAGCTGCAGGATTGCCGAATCGGAGGTGAATTCCTTGGCCTGCACTACCGGGGAAAACCGAACGGTCTTGCCGCTACCATTCAAAGTTTGCTTTTCTGAAGTGTCGGGAAAGTTCACCTCGCCGTCTTGTTGAACAGCGCGCTGCACATCTAATAGCCTCGCCTCTTTGGCTTTTCTAAGTGAAAATTTCTCTGTCGAAACATCTGCCGACGGCGATTGAGACGGCTGCTCGACAGTAGAGTCGGCGCCTTGCCTGGCGGCTGCCTCAGCCTTCAGTCGTTCCTGAATGATTAGCTTCTCCATGCGGGCTCGATCCATCTTCAATTCGCGACGTTCTGTGCGGCGTTGCCGGGTGACTTCCTCACTAGTCGTGCCACCGAGCAATCCACGCCGCTTCTTCTCCCGCTCCACCCAGCTCGGTTCACTCCGACTGAGACTGCCCTTGCCGAAGAATCCCATCTCCCATAGAGCGCGAATGGCCTTCGGGTCCGTAACATGGACGGAGGATGTCGCGGAGTCAAAATAAGCCGAGTATACATGCTGCTGAGGTGGCGCAATGAGGTATGTCAGGTAGGACAGCAACACGCTGACGATCGACAGTGGATTATGAGGGATCAGAGGCGGCAAAGGATGGACGTCAACGGGAAAGGGAAAGCGATGAATATGCCTGTGATTGGGCCGCGGTGGCCGCGAACGACGAGCAGGCGATGCATTTTTGGGAGAAGTCTCGGTCTTGAGACTGGCAGGGACAGAGCTAGCATCAGGAGACTTAGGACTGGGAGAAGATGAAGTAGCCATTTTGTTTGTATTTAGATTGATTGAAAGGTCTCGATAGATCTGATCTAACTACTGATGAAGAGTCAGCAGGCAACTCTTCATTTACGATTATGGAATAGCCATGATCCTCAACCAGTTGAAGAGTGCCCCCAGATGCTATTCATTTTCTTCTCAGATACCGTTGTAGTCAAAATAAAGCCTTCATCGACAACAGCGAAGAAATCAAAGTTGCCATTGTCTAAGCTTTAGGTATGTTATCATCACCGAAGAAGATGAATAGAATCCTGCACCACCTCCTGCAAGATGGACCAAAGCTGTTTGCAAGCTAGAGCTTACCCGAAATCTTCCCTAAGATCTGGGCTGATTGTCTGCGCGAGAACTACACAAGATGGAAATGATATAGTCGATGCGCATCAGCATCACAATCAAAATCCTATGCTCACTATCCGCATTGCGAGGATCGTGTTGTGTAGACAGGACAAAAGTCGACAGTCGACCCTCAGACAAGAGGCAGAAGAAGAAGAAAATATTTCCGGCACAAACTCGCTTGAAGAGGCTTAAATGGGGGTTGCGACAGATGACTCAGCTAGTTTCCCCGGGCGGTGAAACAAGTCCGTGCTTTTTTCTGCGGCGCCAAAAATTTCCTACGGCTCGGAGCTGTTGAAGATTGATTCCTGCAATTGACGTTGACCGCGCGACGACATTCGTTTCTCCTTTCTTTTAGAACTCGATAGCCACTTTCTATCACTCAATCAAGTACGTTTCTCGAGTATTCAAGATTGCCGTCGCGAATGTTGTGCTAACTGTTGTACTCCAGGATGCATCTTATGGTATGTTTTGCACAAGTCGTCATGTGCACCACAAGACACTCTACCAAGCAGGGAAACTAATAGGCGCATCAGTACACTCTCGGCGAGGATGGCAAGAGGATCTACACCTTGAAGAAGGTCCTCGATGGCCGTACCACCAAGTCAGCCCACCCTGCTAGATTCTCTCCCGATGACAAGTACTCCAGGTGCGTTTAATATCTGAATCTGCCATGAAGACCGATTGTTGCTGACATCTTGTCCTCCGTACAGACACCGTGTCACCCTCAAGAAGAGATATGGTTTGCTTCTCACTCAACAGCCTGGTACAAGTTCTCCTTATAGCCACAGATGCACGATCTTACCTAACCTCTTCATACAGAGAAGGAGGCCGCTCAGCTGTAGAAAGCAAGACGCTGAGATAGTAGTCGCTTAAGGCACACTACACATGGCGCTTTTGAATCATTTATTGGCGAATGGTGTTATCAATGGTCTTTGAATGGATGATGAAACCCTTTCCTTTATCGTTCCAGTTTGTGCGGTGTCCGATCTATATCACATATGTAAAAGAATTGTCATCTTTGATGCCCATTAGTGGTGATCTAGCTCTGTTTTAATCTACCATATACTAATGGAAAGCAACTTGTTCCATGAATGCTCAATGCGTAATGCACGTTGGTATAGTATGTCTATCCAAGTCATCGAAAATCAATCACTATCATAATTCCGTAGTTATCATGACCCTCAAAGAACAGCCAAAGGGTCAATCAGACTTTTACCTGACGCCAATCCTTTTCAATGCAGTACTGAAGCGAAAGAAGAAAACAAAACACGATAAATGGTTCAGGCACATGCAGCCTTACCTACCGCCTCTTGGAGTTGACATTCCTGCCAGCTCCAACGCGGACACGGCTGTGTCTATTACGCTCGCCACTCAGGATGCTGGGCAAATAGTCCTCGTCCATAAGGTCATGCTCCTTGCGCATTCTGCGATTCTGCTCCGCAGTGGCGCGACTGTATTCTTTCTGATCCTCCGCAAAGATCAGCTCCGTACCCCAACCACCCTTTCCACCGCCACCCTTCCACTTTCCGTTGGCGCTGCCATGGACGGGCTTGGGAACGCTGAAGACGTTCCCTCGGTTGTTCCACTGCATATTCTTTTTTAGATGCATGGTAAACTGTCCATTTGAGTTGGTCGTGCAAGACACCCGAGTGAGAGTATCTTTACCACAGCGCGGGCAGAATTGTTTGTTCATGTCCTTGGTAGTGGAAAAGCACGCGTGGCAGCGCTTGATGAATGACTTCAAATGGCGGATACGCTGAAGGGTGGTGGTTGAGAGGAGATTCAGGTTCATCTGGAGAAGAACATTTTGGCACTATGTGGGACGATCAGCACGGAGAGTCGGTATTCCGGCAAAGTACATACCGCAAAATCAGTGGTCATGGTCGCAACTTGCATGATCTTGGGCTCGGGGGCCGCCGACACAGAACTAGCTTCATCGCGGGCCTGCCGCTTCTTCAAATTTGAAGGCGTGATCCAGCCGTCATCATCGTCATCGTTGTCGTCGGAGCCGTCCTCCTCAACTTCCGCCGGGTACTCACCCTCTTCTGCCACCACGACATCCGGCTCGGGTTCCTTCTCGGCATCATTCTGATCCGCCAGCTTTGCATCCTTCAGTCCCTCTGCGACACCATCGACATCGGTGTTCTTTGCGCTCGCCTCTGTTTCCTTCTTCTCGGTGGTCTCCTTAATCTTTTCCTCCGCAGGTTTGTCGGCCTCTTGGTCGGATTTAGGCTCCTGTGCAACAGAAGCGGGAGGCTTGCCATTAACCTGCTTCTGGCCCGGCACACTACGAAGTCTCCAATCGCCGCCGTTCCGCTCGCATTCGACTTCGTAGGCGAGAGCGATAACTTCCAGATCGGTTCGACTGAGCACAGCCCGGTCACCAGTCTTGCGAGCGAACTCGCTGATCACCGCGACACTCTTGGGACTCGGGGTGCGTTGCTTCAGAAAAGGCAAGTAAAGAGTCTCAACACGCTGACGGGCAGCAGGATCCCGAATTTCGCTCACAACGGAGGGGGTGATGACAAGTTCTTCGCTTTGGGCGAGTAGCGTAGAAAGCGGCGGGGTATTCTTGAGGATTGGGCCGGCATCGAGCACGATCGTGTGAACAGGTTTGGGAGGGGTGGTCATAGTGGCGCTTACGTCCGCCATGATGACGGCAGATATAGTCAGGGACTTGTGTCTATATCTTGAGGGGTAAGAATAGAGTCTTGTCAATAGATCGTTACCAATTGCGCGGGCTCTCTTTGGCTGTCACCGTAAAAAAATAAAAAATAGGTGTTGTTGTCGGAGATAGAAAATGAATGCGAGGGGATTTTCCCGCCGGGGTCTGTGCGCCGCTTATCCTTATCTTATCGTCGTTCTTCCTTGGCTTCTCCAAGTCAACTACGGAGTACGGAGTACTCTATACGAAGTATACGAAGTACGAAGTACTGCCTCTCGCTATTCTTTGCTCCTCAAACACTTCAGAGGAGCATTCTACTCACTCGGAATTACCCATACGTATCTTATTTAGAGCTCAACCCCTGTCATTTGTCTGAGGTATATTGGCACACTGGGATATAGACGCATCATATCCGCCACCGAAACCTCCCCAGTTCCCAGTTATGCAGCTGGATCGATTCCAAATCACATGGCCATGACAGGTCAATTTGTTCAGATGCTCGACTTGTCACTAAGACAGCTCCGAGGAATTGTCACCTGGTGGCCTGGTCGCATGAAGCAGGAAAACTCATTTTCGCAACACGCTACGGAGTACATAAAAATAAAAAGAGGTTTCTTGCCTCGGAGCCAGAACCCACACGAGGTCCTAAGTTCAGGATCACGACAATTGCACACCGAACGTAGCTCGCTTTCGCGCGGAGTTCTCCGATCGAGTAAGGGACTGGATGGCTCGTAACTTGAACGTTCTGGTTAATGGAAATCGACATGGTCCGAACAAATCTGCATGACGCGTTGATATCAAAAGTACCCTTCCTGCGACCGCCGCGGTCATGATCTGGACCAAGGTGCAGATGAGTGTTACAGTGGGTAGCGAGCTGGAAGGGCGGACGGAGTTCCTGCAACGGGGGCCCTGTTTGTCTGCTATTGAGTATGCTGTGCTAATGCAGGTTTCCATGATAGACTGCAGGGTGACTGAGACAACATGGCAACTGGTGCGCTGACAGCTACGAGAACATTGGTATTTGGTCGGGACTACTGAGAATCTAGACACATTATGCAAGCCTTCCTTATAGTTCCCACTTCTAGTCGGCCTGAGGTAATGCGCAGTCGGTCTAAAGCCCAACGGCCTCATGCAGAACAAGATGCGAATGCCCCAGGAGAGGGATCTTCTAACTCGCCTTGGAAGGCCGAGCTGCTGGGCCGGGCTTGATCGCAATACGGTGAGGAAATTGACCAGCACGACCTTATCACATGGCAATGGAGTCTTCACGTGTCCGCCTGGGTTTTCACTTCTCGATGCCTGAATCATGCCGATTTACCTGGAATTTCCAGAACGAGGCGACGCCTACCACCATCAACCCCACGACGATTGTTGCATGGTGCTGCTTCACGTCAACTCGAACACGAATCGGCTTGAGTACGGAGTAGATATGCAACCCAGTCAGAATGATTACTTGGTGTAAGAAGTAGTCGTCGAATTCAAGGGCAAGCTTGGTCCCTGTGCCTTGCTATATTCTTTCGAGCACCTCAATGTGCTTAGAGCCCATCGTATCGCCCAAATGCAAACATTGATATCCCATCGATCTGACTATCGACGGACAGAGTTTGAATGCTCCAATACCAACAGGCGTGGCGTTCGATGTCGGCTAAGATCACCTTTCTGGCCAATCCAGGAGAAGGAGGCACCGATCAGTGAATTGGCGCGGTTTGATTGAGACTATGGCTGCAGGTCCAGCTGTGATGGCCCCTGCGAAAAGGAAAACATAGCAACATGCTTGTTCTCCTTAAACAAGTATGTTTATGGCCAATCGAGTTGTCTCTCCAGCAATCAGCTAGTGTCGAAGCCCAACAATGGCGATGGAAGGAAGTGAGTTATTCGAAGCCACCTGAAGGTGAGTGGTATTATTATCATTAGCGTTGTTTGGCTCTTTCCCTGACTAAAAGGCTTGCGCTGCATTAGCGGATGTGATCTATCACTGTTCTTTATTTACCATCGGCGTTTCAGGCCAATGATACCCCCATCAGTCGACGCAATTAATCAATCAATCAACCACAGTCTCTTAACATGCATACTTTTCACGTCAAGTCAAGAGGGGTTGCACTTGACCTACACGGCAACCAGACCTGGGCACCCATTGCTCGGTACTTTGTTCCCCTTCCCTGCAGGTCCGTTATTCCATGTCTCCTGTCTCCGTGCAGACCCAGAGAAGAGGGAAATGACAGATCGCCGTCCCCCCAAAAGGAAGTGTCGAGGTATAATGGGATTATGAAGTTACTCCACTTTACCCGCTTCTCCTCTTCCAAGGGAAAATTCGAGGTCACTCGTACCGTATCCCTTACTCTCTGGCTCCTATGCTGAACAGAGATCTGGTCCCTGAATTGTACGACAAAAGCCAGAATTGGCCTTGCTAGGGTGAAAAGATGGAGGCTCCCAATCCTAGGGGAAAGTGTTGGACGTTGGGAAGGTGACCGAAGATAATCCCTGCTGCAGCCCTCCTGGGCTCTGCGCCGGGGGGAAAGGGGACTGACAGCTCCGCTCCAGTGTCAGGAAGGTAGACACGCATTTTAGACCCACGATCAGCCTGCATCTGTCATCCCTTTACCAATCCTGGGTGCACTGATGAAACCGAGTACTGCACAAATGGTACCAGGAGCTCTTCAGGCTGGGTCAAAGGTCCTTACGAGACCTGTTCAAAGTACGCATACTGTATCTCATACGCCCTGTGCGTATGGATTATGCAAACATCAAACCATATGCATAGACCAATCCCCATTTGCGCCCAACCACAGGGAGGAGAGTTTTGGGATATATCGTCGATCTATCGCGCTGCTCCACTTCTTGTCTTCATTGACTGGCTCGGGGGTTTTGGTATCCATAAGACAGTGGATACTGTCATTATTAGTGACACCAGAAGGCTGGAACTGGTGCTTGGTCCTCTGCTGTGCATCCACCCTCAGTGCGGACTGCGTCGCACTCAAACTGGCCGATATCACACAGAAGGGCAAACATATATTCCGCTCCTAGCACTCAAGAGGAGCATGCCTAGGAAGTCAAGGGCCTCGCCACTGAGCACTACTCCGTATATATCGAACTAAAAGTTTAGTGTGGCTTTTCTCCAACATTTGCTTGATTGCCCTCTCCCTTGCTTGCTTTTTCTGCCTTCCCCTTCTCTAAGATTCTCAGGATGTCCTAGCGTTTGACGCACATCCGGAGAAAGCTTGAGTCTAGCGATAGTCCTCACGGGTATAATGCTGTCGGTCTGTGTTGCATCTCGACACTCTGACCGTTAATGGGTCCGCCGGACCAGAATCGCTTATAACCTTACCATCTCCTCCTTCCCCTGTGAGCACTTGCCCTCACTGTGAGATGCCATACTGTGCTTCACCACTAATCGGGGTCAGTTAGGCCCCAGGCTTTATATGTATGAATTCCTCAGACCAACGACACCGAGACTGTTGTTTCCTTGAGCCATCGTTCACCCTGGAAAGGCCGCCACCGACAGATTGATGGAACGGCAGTTCCGAACGCAACAATGATGGAAACCTATCTTTCCCTTGTCAGTCGCTCCGAGCATGAAGCCGATGGATCGTATATGTCCTCTCGAGGAGCTCAAGCACTATCTGTCAGTGTTGTCTTCACCACGCTGGCAACGATATTTGTCAGCGCTCGCATCTATACTCGAAAAACTCTGATGAATCGCATGGAGCCCAATGACTGGATGATTCTGATTGCGTTGGTACTTATATTCCTGTGGCCCTCATGTATGTCTGAATGTGGCAAGCGTCGACTGACAATCATTCAGGTATTATCATTTGTCTTCATGGCTTTGTTCATCGTGGAGGCTCTGAATGGAATGGGAATGCGTCAGGCAGACATTCCGCCGCTTATCCTCGAGAGACAAATGAAGGTATGAAAATTGTTCAGGATCACCCTATCGACCTATAGTACTAACTATCGACTTATGATTCTAGGCCTTCTGGCTTACCATTCCATTCTACAACGCCGCCTTACTCTGCGCCAAGGCCTCGATTCTCATGCAGTACTTCCGTGTATTCCCCACAAGACGTATGCGCCGCATCTGTTGGCTCATGATTAGTGTGCTGGCTACTTATGGAACCTGGGCTGTTTTGAGTGCTTTTCTGAACTGTGTCCCCGTTGCCAAATTCTGGGATCCATCTATCGCTGGATTCTGTCTGAGCTCGGAAGGTCTCTGGTTCTCGAACGCATCGATGCATATTAGCACCGACCTGGTCATTTTGATCATTCCTGTCCCAGCGCTGATAGCTCTTGAGCTGCCTAAGAAACAGAAGATCGCGCTGATCTCGATCTTCGCAATAGGTGGATTGTAAGCCAGATATCTTCAAAGAGCCTGGCCATGAATTTACACTAACAACCGGAACCTAGTGTATGTGTCACCAGCATTTGCCGCTTGGTAGCGTTGAAGAAGATCGCGGATTCCTCCGATCCCACCTGTAAGTCAATCATACATCGTCCCTGCAGAGAGAGTTCCATCCCTAACCACACGCCACAAACAACTATCAGACGACAACGTCGGCGCAGCCTCCTGGTCTGCCATCGAATGCAACACAGGAATCATCTGCGCCTGTCTGCCAACTCTCCGCCCTCTTATCTCACGGATCCTGCCCCACCTACTCTCCACCCTAAGCGGCGGTCGCCAGGCCTACGGCACGTCGCCCTTGTCCGGCGAACAAGCGCCAACCTACTGGAACGGCACCGGCGCCACGGTGACAACCACCATCACCACCCACCTCGACGACCTTGAGTACGCCCACTGCGCCGGCGACGCTGATCGATACCTGACCCTGGTTCCTGGCAACGACGTCAACGGCCAGGGTAAACTCATGGTCCGCGAAACCCACCCGGCCGGTGACCTGAAAGAGGCTTTTACTCGAGAGGAGCAACGAGGAGATAGGTCGTCGTCGTTGTCACCGCCCAGGGCGGGCAATCTCTTGGCTTAGTAGTAGGAGATTGTGTGCTTCTTCATGGAGGACGAAAGGGGAAGACAACAACAGATCTAGCACTTCGTCATGATGTTTCAAAATATATAGAAAGGGAATGCTACACCACCCCCGCTAAGCCCTCAGCTCTCTTCAAGCGCCTTATTAAATCCTTGTTTTGCCACACCCCTGATATCTGGCATTCTTTGGCGCAACTTCTTTCCTTCATCTATTTCCTAACATATAGTATATTCTTTTCTTTCTCTAATATATGTTCTTACCCAGTACTTATGACTTTCACAAATCATGACGATAATGAACACGAGACCCATCCATCCATGCCTGTGACTTCAGTTCTGAAAGAACGACCATATGCTGCCATTGACTACGAGTACTCCGTCTCGGCCTACCGACCCGATGGCAGTGCAGTGGGTCGAGTCGCGCGTCACATGGCTAGTAGAGTAAGTGCGAAAGTTTCGCATCACTTCAGTTCGTGATCATACCCCAAGTCGTCCTGTTGTAATCCAAGTCCCACTCCTGATCCAGTTCAACTTCCGGGGTTTACTGTAGATATCAATTTCTGCACCGAGCCGCTGGTTGAGCTTTCCAATCCTCCTAACCGTGTCTAGCAGCGCACATCCATCTTTAGGGAGATTGGTGGTACTAGTGGCAGACGAGTGGAGTTTTTGTCTGCTCAGCTTCACTCGAGCCACACGCATTATGAGGTTGATTGTTGACACAAGTGACCGCGACCAGATCTATGCTATTCATCCCTTTTCTTGTGACTAGTGAAGCAAGCAATGTTTGCTTACTGTGTTATGCTTTACACCTCTTCACCCTGCAACTCTCTGACAAGATTCTCTAATTTGGACAAGCTGAGACGAATGCTCTTCTAACCAAAACTGGCAAATTTCACCACACACATCTAAGAACCATCTCGACCCATCTCCTCATCTAAATCTAAAAGGCCGCAAACTCCGCATCCACTTCCTCGAAGTAATCAAAGAAACCCTTGAATAATTTGACCCCCAGACCAGGGTCCAGACTGCCCGTGGTAGCCCGGATACTGTGCATACTGAGCTGGGGTATTCCCATGTCGATCGCGCGCATACCGATGCGGGCACTGGTCATGGGGCCGATTGTCCCGCCGCTGCGGGAATCATTACGGATCTGGAAGACCTGGAGAGTGGAGCCGCACTTGTCGGCAACACGCTTCATGAAGCCGTGACTGACGCTGTCGGTAGTCATGTGGCCATTGGAGTCGGCGGACACGGCGACACCCACATTGAGACGCGGGGCATGGTTCTCAAGGTAGACGTTCAAAAAGTTGGGGTTGACGGCGTGAATGACGTCGGAGGAGACGAGGAAGCTGTTGGCGACGGTCTGCGAAAGGAGGTTGGGACCAAAAGAAGACGGGGAGCCGGCGAAAGCTTCGGTGATGCGCTCGATAATGCTGGACATGAAGTTGGACCGCGCACCCTGGCGCAGAAGACTGCCAATTTCCTCATCATCGAACATACCAACCATCTTGATTGAAGCCGGTGAGGTGGTGTCTGGCGAAGCGAGAAGGGCCTCCTGCGCCGCGTAGCAGCAGAGTTTGTCATCGATGCGACCCGCAAAGATTAGGTCTTTCTCCAAGCCGCCAAGCTGGGCCGGTTGACTGTCGTAGAGCTCCAGTTCCCAGGAGACGATCGTGTTGGGGTCTTTGATCTGAAGTTCGCGCGAGATGACCTGGACGAGTTTCTCAGGCTGCGTCGCCGCGAAGCTACCGGGTTGGAAGGCGGAAGGGGTATTGGAGGAGGTAGAGAAGAGATCCGAGTTATCGACGCCGATAATAGGGACCATTTGAGTCTCTTTGTTGAAGGGGCCCTGGCTCGGGGCGCCGAAGTGCGGTGCCAAAGTAGGAATGCGCGCGATGGGCCAGTCGAGCTTCACGAGCTTGGACTCGATCTTGCCACTACTGGGGCTGCGTACAAGAACTCGCCCGCCGATCGATAGATCTCGATCCCACCACGTTTCGTTTAGGGCTCCTGCGTACGGCGCCACGCCGAGCTGCACGAACCCAGCTTTCGTAGGCAGCTTCGACACCGGCTTCAGCTTGGCGGTGAGGGCGTCGATGTGTCCAGCCACAATCGCAACGCCATTTCCGCTCTTGTACTCCTTGCCAACAGAGAAGGAGATGAAGGCGCTCGAATTCCGAGTGCAGTAGTATTTCCCGCCACGCACGAGCTTGTTCGTCCAGGATTCGCGCTCGTGCAGGCGCTTGTACCCTTTGCTTTCGAGCTGGGCGGTGAAGGCGTCAACGGCATGGAAGATGGTCGGATTGGCGGTCATGAAATCACAGTAGGGCTTGGAATATACGGCTGGATCAAAAGAAGCGGAAGAAGAGGCTGATACCGTGGTTGCTTGCGTGGAATAGACATGGTCGGGGAGCGGCCCGGTCTGGGAGGCTGGACGATGGGCCAAGGCGGCTTCTCGAAGCTCAATGAAGCTCTTCTTGGCCATTGTGTGCCGAGTAATTCTTCAAAAGACAGGAAAGACGTAAGGAAAATGAACAAGGGCTGAGCTGAAGGGAAAGAACACTTGCAAGTAGGGGATGGAATTGTGAGAGCGATGGATATGAAGAGAGAGGGAGAGGAAGAGACACAGACAGAGGGAGGGAGAGACGGAGGGAAGGCGGAGGGAAGGCGGAGCTCCGGTGGTCAGCTGGGGAAGTCAGTCTGCCCGATTGCGGAGATCTTCTTTCTTCTCCAACTTCGTCGATATCTACTCTACACGATCAGAATGAAACCTTACCCCCATACCTCAAGAGACAGGATACACCTTTCGCACGAATCACCCAACATTTTTAGTCTAAAGCCCCTCATATTGAGGATAGTCGATTCACGCCATTATCCTGTCTATATCTATCATCCTCTCTCCACTGCACTAAGAGCTTCTTATCTGAAAACAGCTCTTACGATAAGCGATATCGTCAGATCCACCCATCTAATCGCTTGAGCCCACATAACAATTCCAATTTACGTTGCCATCCTGGCATTGTTCTGTGATGGCCGGTCCAGTCGCCGACGCCATCACCTGCTGCTCGCGTACAATCCAGATCTTCACTGTTCCTGTTTCTCCGTCGAATGGAACCGACCAGTGATGGACGCCAGCCCCCCCGGCTTGTACGACATGAGGCGTTCCACCCCCAATCTGGATACGGATCTCGCTTGGGGTCCCCACAATCACACTGACAAACACTTTATCCTGCGATACAACCCCCGGCGGCAATTCCTCTTGACCCACGCCCAGGTTGTTGCCCGTAGTCCCATTGGCACTACCGGCATGACTGGGGTTCGTCCGATACCAGTACACAATCTTATCTGCAAAGGACAAGTGATGTCGAGGTTGGTTGGAGTCAACTACCCCACCATTCCGGTAGGCGTCAATGTAATAGGGGAGGAGCACTCTCCATGCGTCGTGAGGATGGCCGAAACAATAGCGGCCTGCCCCTTCGGGTACCCCGGCCTCATGAACAGGCCCTATGTAGTGTGACTCGCCGTAATCGTTCCAACTGATGATCTGTGATGAATGCAATTAGTCGCCGAACAATGAGAGAGTTCCGATGAGTTTCGCTTGCCTGAATGAAGGCTGGCTGCAGTTTCACGACTTGCTCCCAGCGATAGTGCCAGAGATCGTCGCCGCGCCACAACCAATTCTTATTCCACTGAGGCAAATTCGTATAGAACCACGGGGAAACAGGCATCATGTACGGTCTCCCGGCCAGGGACTGCATCCAATGTTCGTCACTAGCAGTGTTCTTCTGCTCGGCACCCACGGGCCAGGCATCCCAACTGAAAGCACCATCGATGATGTCGAGATGGCTGGTGATCGCGGCAGGGCCACAGTCGGGCCAGCTGGGAATAAAGAAGCAGTTGGTAGCACGCTTGATGTCGACCCAATCTGCTGCGTTCGAGACACCTACAAAGGTGGAAACTAACGGCCTTCCTTGGTAAAAATACTGGGCGCTACGGTCTCGGAAGGTGTTGATGTAGTGGATCACACGGTCTACTGGCCATGGGCCTCCTGAGCCATAATCGAAGGACAGGAGTAGAGTGAAGCCTCCCACCCTTTCAGCAGCATTATAAGCATTCTCCAGTACGTGATCGGTGTAAGAATCCTGGGGGGCGATGTTGAGTGCGAAGCCATCGATATGACACCGCCTTGCTTCGATTATGTCCGACTCCCATTGTTCCGGAGTCATGGCCGCGGCACATCCCACCTGGAGTACAGTTAAAGCTGTGAGGAGATTTATGTATAGTACATCACTATTCTCTCACAATGAAATGGGCGAAGACCGTCTGTGGTCCATTCCTGGCGACCAAAGGCCTTGTTACTAGTAGCAGCGGAATTGAGTAACCAGTCAGTACGCATTTTTTATTCCTTTGTGATGGGAGCACCTCATCTGTACCACCCCAGTAGCACACATACTAGTAGACAACTAACCTGAAGAATAAGCAGGAACGAGCTCTTGGGCGAGCCACGGGCTCATTTGCTGACCGGAAGGATGGCTGTAGGATTGAGGAGAAGCATGGTGGCTATATTTCTCTTTGACATGCTGCTGAACGCGGTCCAAAAAACTGCCAAATCGTCCCATGGTTGGTGTGTATTGTGGATATTCGAATAATGTTGTGGTTGATTTGTTCCGAGGTCAGACAATGTGGGGGGAGAACCCAGGACCAAGACAACCAACCGCTTTCCCATTTGTGTGTGTGTGCGTGTGTGTGTCTCCAGATAATGCAGACAATCAGGACAATCCAGACAATACATCTTCTGCATGCATTGCTAGATGTGTCATTTCGGGTCAGTCCATTTCTTTATTGAGGAATTGTGCGGAGAAGATGGTGAGTCATGACGTCACGGCAGTTTCTTTCTTTCACCTTCGCGGATTCTCAATGGATTTGACGTGACAGTCTTTGACTACTCCGTAGTTGACTGACTAATGTGTACGGGGAAGACCCTGGATTACCCCCAAGTGGACTCGAGATATGACGGATAGAGAGAATACTAACGTTTAACTTACTAGGTAATCCTTACTTCATTGACTATAGTTACTCTCTGGCATTAATCCCATGGAACCGGGTTCAAAGGAAATGGAAATAGAAAACGACCTCACTGTGATGTCAGCCATATGGCGGCAAGGCATCCTCGGCTTGTACAACGTATTAAAAGGCTCAACATGATGTCGCACCATGACGCCCGGGACTCCTGTAGTTACTGTCTACACATACTCACCCCCAGGATTTTTACTTGTATCACCTACATTGTATACAGATTCGAACTCACTACAGCTCATCAACAACAATGGCAGCAACCCAGGCTGCTAACATCGTCGAGAAGGTGGTCGGGCACAGTGGCAATGCTACCATCACCACCGATGTGAGCAATTATGCCAAGGGAGAGAGCGGGCAGGAGACTGGCGAAAAGATCAAGGCCACTACCTGGCAGGGCAAGAACAACGTCGAAGTTGGTAGGTCATAGGCTCCCCCAGAGCGGAAAGCCTGTAAATGTTCCGTTCTCTGACGCGCGGCCTTAAAGTGGAAATGCCCAAGCCAAGAGTGATTGATGAAGGTGATGTGATTGTCAAGGTTACTGGCAGCACAATCTGTGGAAGCGATCTTCACCTCTATCACGGTATATCCTAGTCGCCGGTCTGCTGGCTAGTCAGTTCTGACAAGATGTACTGCAGGTGTCATTCCTCAGCTTGAGAAAGGCGATGTGCTTGGACACGAGTTCTGTGGAGTGGTTGAGAGCGTTGGACCAGGAGCAAAGAATGTCAAGGTCGGCGATCGCGTCGTCGCATCTTTCCCCATCTCGTGCGGCGAATGCAGAAACTGCAAGAAAGAGCTGACCTCGGTTTGTGAACGAACGAACGAAAACACCATCGCCAATGCCATGTACGGGAAGCGAACTGCAGGTAAGTACTATTCAGATCAGTTCAACAGTTTCTCCGCGTAACTGAAGAAGAACAGCGTGCTGACCAAGCTTCTTATAGGCATGTTCGGTTATAGCCACTTTACAGGTGGCTTTGCGGGAGGGCAAGCCGAGTATGTTCGTGTGCCCTATGGCGACCAGAACCTGCTCGCACTTCCCGATGATGTCCCTGATGAGAAGGGCTTGTACCTTTCTGACGTCCTCGCCACATCCTATCACTGTGTGGTGGACACAGGCGTCGACAAGGGCGACGTAGTCGCCATTTGGGGTGCAGGACCGATTGGCCAGATGGTGGCCACCTTCAGTTTCCAGCAGGGGGCCAGTCGAGTGATCGTCATTGATGGAGGCGACGCGGCATGGCGCTTGGATTTCATCAAGAGTAAATTGCCCAAGGTGGAAACGCTCGACTTCACTAAGCTGCCTCGTGGCGAATCCGTTACCTCTCAACTGAAGAAGATGGTTCCTGGTGGGCCGGATGTGGCCCTAGAGTGTGCTTCGGGAGAATTCGCCAAGGGATGGGCGCACTACTTTGAGGTTCTCCTGGGAATGGAGACTGACACCTCGGAGATGCTTAACGAGATGATCACCTCAGTACGACCCTTTGGACGCATTGGCGTTACCGGAGTGTATACTGGCTTTGTGAGTCTCGCCACAAAAGAACCTTCCAAGGACACACGTTGCTGATTAATGGGTTAGACCAACCATTTCAATATCGGTGCTTTGATGCAGACCGGTGTCCGTTTGATCGGCAACGGTCAAGCTCCCGTGCACCGATACTGGAAACATCTCCTGGAGCTCATCCGCAAAGGAGAGATCAACCCCTTGGACATGGTCACGCATCGGGTGCGGCTAGAGGACATGTCTAAAGTGTATGAGTTGTTTAATAGTCGCGAAGGGGGAATCCAGAAAGCGTTTGTCGCGACCAAGTATTCATCCCCCCCGGCCGAAGGAGCCCCTACTCTGGTTGAGCTGTAGTGCTCCGAGGGACAGGATAAAGACATCTTGATGGGCTTTGATTTTCTCTTGTACTAAGAATGATGATGTGTGACTTACTAGTACTGTATACTGTAATGTGCAAATGAAATCAATTCCACACGCAAGCGACGATCAACCTCCAGTAGGAGCATTCTCGGACCAGGGACATGATTGCAACGACTTGAGCAAGCGAGAATCGGGGATCTTAAATGACTCACAATACTTCTTGAATCGGGCTTTGAAGAGAGAGAGCTTGCGTATTCCGTAGTTACACCGTACTCCGTAGTAAATGGAAGCCGATCAGAGATCGGCCCGCGGTCGCCTTCGTCCTTCCGTTCTTCGGCATTACACGCACGCGAGGGCTTTTAAATTCGATTGATAAGAAGAATTTTTCTGTCGACCCTCAGTTCCTTCTCTCGGCTGACCCTTTTACGGAGTACATCCAAGAGAAAGCATCTCGCAAGAGCGATCTTCACATTACGACATGGATTGCTTGGGCCTCGCGAAAGAGGAAAGGTGGGATCAGATAAGATCAGGCGACGGAGGGAAAAGTCCTGCCGACACGTTTCAATCTTATTTTTTTTGCTTTCCTTTTACTCCTCAAGGGAGACCTTGCGAGCTCTATTACTAACAGAATCATCAGTCCCTCGTCTCTGTGCCACTTGTGGATAATCAATCCGCCCATCATGAATGGAGTAACCTGGGCTCCAACTGCTTGCGGCCACCAGCTCGGGTGCTACGCCGTAGTCTAGCGTTCTTATGTGTCAGAGCTCGTGCCCCAAATGGCAAGCATGGGTTTTGATTTTGCTCCTTCCCTGATGCTAAATACTTGGGGAGGCAGAAGGATCAGTCATGTCTCTGCATCCATGCCGAGTGTCCGCGCTGACCGCGGATTGAACTCTAGTGCAACCATTGACCAACAAGACTTACAGCCAAGGCGAAAAAGGCTCAAGTATCCACATGGGTAGTGCTAGGCAGGAGCAGAAGGTGGAGAATCTTTTTCTACCATGGATAATCCACGAGCCATGATGGTCATGACTCTTGCAAAGGAGCGTGCATCGAAGGGGGGAACTAGGTTGTAGAGACGGCGACATGTCATATATGTATGATACAGTACAAATAACCTCGCAATGATGATGATTCTGTGTCTACTCCGTAGTAGAGGACATCTGGATCAGCCCTACTGAGAAATCCGAGGCCAGAGGTATTTCCTAGTAATCATCATACCCTAAACCCCAAGGCGGGTGGGAGTTATTGATTGATAACCCGCAGACTACCACGGGACGGACGAATGAGGATCCACTCACCACTCCGAAGTCGGTGAAACCGCACGATAATCTAATCTGATCCGATCATTCATTTTTCTTCGGTCCTTTCCTTCATTCTTCTTCTTCCTCGGTCGCTCTTCTCTCTCTACGTTGACCTGCTTTTCTTCCCTTCCCTTCCCTTCCCTTCTCTCCCCTCTCCTCTCCTCTCCTCTCCTCTCTTTCTCCTTTAATCCTTCCCTAACCCAGTTCCCTTCCTTCTACCTATCTATTCGAGGCCGATCCCCAAAATCCTGGAATTCTTCGGGTTGCAGCCCAGCAAATCAATCCCGTTGTCTCGCTTACCGGCTGAAGGGGCGCACTTCCGCTCTTCCGGCCGATGCGATCCAGTGACACCACCACTCATCAACTTCTTAAGTACTTCCACCACCGCCTTCCCTTTTGTTAGTCCGTTGTGTCCCTCCCCGCCTAACTCACCTACTCTTCCCTTTCCTTCTCCGAAAACACCGACTCTTTTCCTCTCCTCTCCTTCAATACTACCCACTCCTCCCATTTTCAATTTCCATGATATGCCAACTAATCATCCCACAGGCTTTCTCCTCTAACATAATCGAGGATTATTTTCTACTATCATGGCCAGTCCAAACGTTGTGCCCTCGATAGCCCCGGGTCCGGGTCCAGCGCCGCTGGCTCCCGCACTGGCTGCCAAGCCAGCCATTTCACCGTCTCCTGGTCCCGGCACCCCCGGCTCCGTCACGTCTAAGGAATGGGTAATTCCTCCTCGCCCCAAGCCTGGTCGCAAACCCGCTACAGATACACCACCTACCAAACGCAAGGCTCAGAATCGAGCCGCTCAGAGAGCCTTCCGCGAACGTCGAGCCGCCCGCGTCAATGAGCTTGAGGATCACATCAAAAAGATAGAGGATGAGCACGAAATTCACATTGCCGCCTTCAAGGATCAGATCACGAGCCTCTCCAGCGAAGTAGAGCAATGCCGAAGTGAGATGGCTTGGTGGCGCGACCGATGCCATGCCTTGGAAAAAGAAGTTTCTGTTGAACGGAGCGCCAAGGAGACACTGGTGCGAGAGTTCCGTACGACACTCACCACCGATAAGAGCTCTGACAAAGCTCCTCTGACCCGGATTGCTGCAAGGAATCCTGCTGAAGATCGGATTGCAAGTGATCGCGGGTTGCCCACTGGCGGATCTACCACTGTAGTAGAGGAGCCGCGGGAGGAGGTCCCGCTGGGTTGCGGAGACTGTTCCTCTGTGCACTGTCAGTGCATTGAAGATGCTTTCTCCATTCCCGGTGTTGAGACTCGGTCTTCATTGGGCAAGCGGCCGGGCAGCCCAAGCTTGACGCGACCCGATCCCGAAATCAAACCGGAGCCGGAAGAGATGGAGATTGACTTTACAAAGCGATTTGCTGCACCTCATACTATTCAGGACGACCCTAGTACCTCCGTCTCCTCCCCCGCCGTAGACCCCTGCGGATTCTGCCAGGATGGAACCCCTTGCATCTGCGCAGAGATGGCAGCTCAAGAGGAAGAGCGTCGAAGAAACTCATTTGAGAACAATCGGCTGGCACCCATCCAAAACCTCTCTCAGTTCACACCACCTCCGTCAGATGGCGACGTGAGGTCCGAGGTCACCTTGCCTCCAATCAGTCAGGCCACAAATCCGTGTGCCAACGGACCGGGAACATGCGCACAATGTCAGTCCGATCCACGGCGGACCCTTTTTTGCAAGACGCTGGCGGCCTCCCGCTCCGCCAGCGCTGCCTCCTCCGGTTGCTGCGGCGGTAAGGGTGCCGACGGCGGATGCTGCATGTCCCGCGGTGGCAACCCTCCCCAACCCACTGCCAGTTCGCGTCGCTCCAACACGCCCTCCCTAACCCTGTCCTGTGCCGATGCCTTCACCACCCTCTCCCGGCATCCGAACTTCTCGCGAGCGAGTGACGACATTTCCGCTTGGCTCCCCAAACTTCACACCCTACCAAAACCCCAAGAGGTTGCGCCCCCGGGCTCTCGAGCGGCCCTTGAAGTCGAGGCTGCCAGCGTCATGGGCGTCTTGCGATATTTTGATCGACGATTCGCTGATAAATAATGACGGATGGACAGCTTCTTTCTCTTCAATTGTCTGCACTTTTCTTTGCTTCTATGTGATACCCCGAGCCCGATGCATGAATGTCTGAGTTTGTATTATACAAGACTATCCCCCACCTGAACCTCGTTCTTCCATGCCGCCCTCCATTCTTCACCCGCCTCCGGGGGCTATCCATCCTACCTAGCCACCTCTCTCATCCTCCGCCAGTTTACACCTTTGATGCTCCAGAACTCATTCAACCCATGACTCCGCACCAATAATGAACGGGTACACTTGTTTGTCCCTCCCCTTTCTGCCTCCGACCATCTCTGTAGCTCTGCCTGAGAAGCCGAGCCTACTCCTCCCGGTCCTTCCAGTTCCCCAATACTGGAAAATTACTTCCAAAAGAAAAGTCCAGATTCCTGCAACCACAACCCCGTGGAATTCACGATATACTATATTTTGCCATGTTATGCTATGATCCTATCACGAACTGCCATATCAATAAACCGCACTTCATAGAGGGCGTGGTTGAGGCACTCAAGCCAAGCCAAGTGTTTAATGATTCTACAAGGCGTGAATTAAACGAACGTTTCTGTTACCTTCTACAAATCATTGCTCTTTGTGTGTATGTCTGTAGCTAGAGCACGTCTCTCTGTGTTCAAGGATCTCCCGGCTTGAGATTGCCCCGCTTTAGTTCGAGATGGCCGGAAGTAATGTAGGTCGAATGGTGTTTCTTTTGAGCAATGGGAAGGTTCATCAACGTAATCACCAGCCTTGGCCATTATCTACCCCCAGATCAGGCCGCCGACCCAAAGAAACTCAACGCTGCCCATCCTTGCGCCCAGCCCAATTCGCTACATTCCAAACAGGAAACAGTGTGAAGTGTAAAGTTGTGCGGGATAGAAGCTAAACAAGCGGTGGCAATTAAAAAATACATTCCGTAGCGGCGTTAGATGAGACTGATATTAGATAGCACACGAGACATCATTCCACAGGTAGAAGGAGAGGAGGTTTGAGCTGAGAGCGGGTAAGAAGTTGAGGTGAGATAAGGCGTGGTAAGACTTGGTGTGCGGGGAGGAAGGAAATATCGTCAAAAGTGTTGTTACAAATCGTCGTGCATACACGAACAAAGAGGTGAAAGTCATCATCGTCATCTTTGACCCGGGTTGGTGTCAAGATGAAGTTGGAGAAAGCTCGTCAAGACGACAGCTAATCTAGCACTGGAGGCCGTCCTGATTGAATCTCGTCATCCCTCTGTCCTGCAGTGGTTTGGAGGGTTTGGGTCGATAGTCAAAATCATCAGACTTTGCAAGGGCAGGTACCTCTCAAAGAGAGGGGGCGCGGGGGGGGAGGGCGGGTTAGCCTCTCTAAACATCCGGCAATGCCAGCTTAGTCTTGCATGAGGTCTAGAATCGGCCTCCGCTAATCCTGGCATCATCGTCGCCGGCCACACCAACTGTGCCCAGTAAGTTGGCGCCCCAGATACCGGCTATACCCCACATACCGATGCGCCAGCCTCGGTAAAGCCCTTGAATTCCCTGGCCCTGACGTTTTCGGAGGGTGACAGGCTTCTTGAGGAGCTGGCGCGCCCGATCAGCCTCCGGTGTGGCTTGTGAGCCCTCCTCGTAAACAATTCCCCACATGGTGCCCACAATACCCCGGTAGGTCTGGGGAGTCGGCACAATGGTCTCAACCTGCGGGGTCTGGTCCTCGTTTGCGGAAGAATCAGCATGTCCTGGTCTACGTGATTGCTGGCGAATGCTGGGGGAGGTGAAGGTTGCAATCTGAGCGCGGCGCAGCACAGTCTCAAGCGGGAAACGGACCGCCAGTTCCAGACCAGAGCTAAGGAAGGTGCAAAGACTCCAGATGGATGGATTGAGCACTGGATCGAGTGACAGATAGGACTTGAGGATTAACGGGGTCATATTAGTGATGAAGTTGGGCAGACTGGAGTGGAGGATGGTGATGGGCACTAGGTGGGACGGAATGGTGCAATTGGGAGTCGGAATCTGGCGGATAGCTCGTAACAGGGAGCGTGGGCCGTGCGTGGCTGGGGTCAAGATCAAGAAGGTGCGTGCGGTATCGATGGGGGAAAGAAGCATTGCCGACAGGGAGGAGGAAATGAAGGACAGGAGCAGGGTCGTCACGGGAGAAGTCGACGTTAGAATGTCGGCTGTCATCGATGAGGTCACATCCTCTTCCGTCAAGCCGACGATAGCGGAGAGCAAGCTGCGAATGAATGTATTCAGGGTGGGCAGTAGAAGGGAGTAGATGAAAGTGGCATTGGTCGCCTTCCAGGGCGAAGTCGGCCCACTGGTGGACCAGAGTTGAGAGAGGACGTCCATCAGCGAGCTCGGGTTCTTAATATTGAGGGCGTGTCTCGATGGGGTCGTCGAGGGAATGTAACCGCTCCGGTCGGTGATATGGCGACGGTGAGACTTGCGAGATCGGGGTGATGAGGGAGAGGGCGCTGCAGGTGCTGCTGAAGTGAAGTAACTGCTTTCGTCATCCGACGACAATGAGTCCTATAGCTTGTGAGTGAGCCTCCAACCAGTCTGCGGAGCACCCTTAAACATACATCTTCATCATAAGAGTCGAGATGGCTGCCAGAGCCCGATGTGTGGCGATCGTGCAAGGCCCATTGGCCATCTGTCGCATCATCGGGTGCGACGTAGGCCTGCAGGATAGTTTTGGCGACATCAAAAGGCTGTGAGGTCAAGACACCGGTATAGCGCCGGAGGGCTTGGTCAAGAGCTTCGTGAATCCAACTGGAGACCGAGGGAGAGCTGTCAAGATAGTCTGAGTAGTCGATGTCGGGCAGCAGATCTCGTGCCGAACCACCAAAGACTTGGGTGGCCGACGATGACGCATCTGGAGGTGAGGCAACATGACCGGTGTCCAGCCCCAGGGAGGGGGGGAAATAATAGGGGCGGAGGGGATTAGGCCCGTCCAGAGGAGTGGACATGATAGGGAGGGAAGAAGGGAAAAAAGGAAAGAAAAGCAGTGAAGGTGGTGAAAGAACAGAGGAAGAAGAGAGGGTGAAAAGACACAGAGTGTTGTGTGTGTTGTAGAGAATTGAAGAAGTGAAATGAAGCCGAAGATTGGATGCGGGAAAAGCAAAGCTGCAGCGAAAAGAGGCAAAGCCGGGCGAATAACGAGCGGCGGATTTCCCGCTGGTGATTTTGGGGTTTCCACTTTTCCTTCCAACTCGTTGCTAAATTAAAGTCCTCCACCCCCAATTCCAGTTCATTCATTTTCTAAAAATTACTGCATTTCGTACATTCTATATATCCTCCCCACTCACTCCTCTCATTCTCTTCTCAATCCTGCCATGTCCTTCTGGAGAGAAGCCGGACTTAACCTGCGCCATGTGCTGCCCCGGGCTGGCGAGAGCCTTGGTCGTGCTCCCTCCTCACTATCGCTTGCCAGCCGGTTCCCCGTCAAGTCGTCGCGGTCCATGAGCTCCGGTCGTGCTTCTCTATCAGTCCGGCGGTCTTGGGGGACTCCGCGCATTCAGTACCAAGGGGTGTTTGGACGCAGGAGCTTTTCCGTCAGTGCCGGAGCACAGCACGGTCACATCACGCCTCCCAAACCTGGCGAGGAGTGAGTCACTCTACCATAAGACGCAAGATTTGACACGATGTATCTGGGAATACTGATGGATGTGCAAAGGATCAATATCTCTTTCATCGACAAGGACGGCGCAAAGTACGATTTTCAAGTCTCCGAGGGCGACAACTTGCTGGATATTGCACAGGCCAATGACCTGGAAATGGAAGGTTCGGATAATATGGCATGCTTTGATCACGACTCGGCAGACTGACTGGAATGGATTTTGACAGGTGCCTGTGGTGGTTCGTGCGCGTGCTCGACCTGCCATGTCATCGTCGAGGATTCCGACATGTTCGACAAGATGGAAGAGCCATCGGACGACGAGAATGACATGCTGGATCTGGCTTTTGGCTTGACGGAAACTTCTCGCCTGGGATGTCAGGTGGTCATGACTAAGGAGCTTGATGGCCTTGTGGTTCGCTTGCCCTCAATGACTCGTAATTTGCAAGCAAGCGACTTCGAGCCGAAGCACTGATCCGGTCAGCGCTGCGGAAGTTATTCGACAGGTTAAGTGATGTATGATATGTCTTGCGTCTATAGGGCAGGCGGCTTTTGTCACGGGTGACAAGGGAATATGTTTTTATTGGATAATTCCGATTTCTCATTCATCGTTTCAGGACATGAGAGTTTTTGTAAATAGAACATATCAAGTTTAATGAAAAGAGTTGGTAAACATTGAGAGAATAGGATCATAGAGTAGCCCCCCAAAACGCCATGAATATGCCAGGTATACACACACACACACACACACACGTTACAGCGACTTCCTTCACCAGCACTCAAGCCTCTTCGATATGCAACGGCTTACCCTTCTTCCCGCTGATCAGATCCAAGAATCCCTGCTTGCTGACCTCATTTACGGCTTTCTCGCGCTCGCCGATACCAATTGTACCCTTCTTCCGCTCCGCCTTGGCTGCTTCTTCTCCGCGAACCTGGGCTGCGCGGACGGCATTGAATAATTTCACCACACCGCGCTGGGCAATCTTGCGCAGACGCTTCTCCTCTTCCGCCACTGCACCAGCCTGACCACGCTCCAGGCCCATTACGTCGCGGATACGGCCGCGGTCTAATTCCTCCTTCTTCTCCGCACGCATCTTAGCTCGCGCCTGGCGATCTAATTTCTCTTCGGCCACTTGAGTACTCTTTTGGGCAGCAGCTTTGCTGCGGGACAGCACAGGGTCTTCGCGCATCGAGGTGGGGAGCTTGGTTGCCAAAATCTTGGCCATCGAGTTGGAGAACGCAGTTGGGTCATGACGTTTAGGAATAGTACGACCCCCGGCCGTCGAGGCGGTATTCGAAGCATCTGACTCTGCGCCAACATCAAACTCATCGTCCTCTAAGTCTTCCGAGTCGTCTGCGGCCGAATCGGACGCCATATCTTCCTCGTCGGAGCTGTCTTCTTGCTTCTTCTGCAGTTTAGATGCGACTTTCTTAGTCGATTCACCAATAGAACAGGTCTTTTTCTGAGATTGCTTCGCTTCTCCTTCGGCGTCGGAATCCGCTAGACTGACGGCTTGGAAATCGGTAGGTTGGTCGTCCTCATCTTCGGAGCTGCTGTGGTATGCGCGCTGCTTGCGGAACTTTTTCTGGGGTCGCGATGCGATCGAGTCGAGGACTTTGCGCTTCTTGACGTAAGGAGCCATGACGAGGGTATTTATGCCGACAATATCGGTCCCTCTTGTGTTTGAGGATCGAGTGTATCTGATGATGAGAATTGCGAAACTCCGCCGGTTCCCTTTTTTTGGGGGGGGGGACGGTTTTCTGGGAAATTTTTGGGTGGTCTGCGGGCGGTGAGATGGAGAAAGGCGGTGGATCGCGTTGGCCTCAAATCAACCCCATCCACTCGAGCGTCCGGAGTACAGCCAACTACCTCACTTCCCTCCCTCCTTGTCATCTCTATTGTCTCTTCCAGGTGTTCTGTTTGCTTGCTTAGATTGAAAGATATTTCACTGCGTCAGCTAAAACTTTCATTTCTTCTTCTTCAGAGAAATCTCTCCAGTATGGTCCTTCAGGATCTTGGGCGGCGAATTAATGCCGCCGTCAATGACCTGACTCGGTCCAGCAATTTGGACGAAAAGGCATGTGGCCTTCCTCTCATTTGGTCTTCAAATAGGTGCTAACTGAGCAGCAACAGGCTTTCGACGATATGCTCAAAGAGATTTGTGCAGCTCTGCTGTCCGCCGACGTCAACGTCCGCCTCGTTCAATCACTCCGGAAATCCATCAAAGCTAGCGTCAACTTCGCATCTCTGCCCCCTGCAGTGAATAAGAAGCGCCTGATTCAAAAAGCCGTCTTTGATGAGCTAGTAGCCTTGGTTGATCCGCATGCTGAGCCCTTCCGTCCCAAGAAGGGCCGATCCAATGTGATTATGTTCGTTGGTTTGCAGGGTGCTGGTAAAACGACTACCTGTACCAAGCTGGCCCGCCACTATCAGATGCGCGGTTTCAAGACCGCCCTTGTCTGTGCCGATACCTTTCGTGCGGGTGCTTTCGACCAGCTGAAGCAGAATGCCACCAAGGCGAAGATCCCATACTACGGTAGTTTGACACAGACCGACCCCGCTGTTGTAGCCGCGGAGGGTGTCGCCAAGTTCAAGAAGGAGCGCTTTGAAATCATTATCGTGGATACCAGCGGTCGCCACAAGCAGGAGGAGGAACTTTTCACCGAAATGACACAGATTCAGACTGCTGTCACTCCGGACCAAACCATTCTCGTCCTCGATAGCACCATTGGTCAAGCTGCTGAGGCTCAGTCATCCGCCTTCAAGGCCACCGCAGATTTCGGCGCCATCATCATCACGAAGACGGACGGTCACGCAGCTGGTGGTGGTGCAATCTCTGCTGTCGCCGCCACACACACGCCCATCATTTACCTTGGTACTGGTGAACATTTGATGGACCTGGAGCGGTTCGAGCCCAAGGCCTTCATTCAGAAGCTGCTGGGAATGGGTGACATGGCTGGCCTGGTCGAGCATGTTCAAGCCGTAACCAAGGACTCTGCTTCGGCGAAGGAGACCTACAAGCATATTGCAGAGGGTATTTACACGCTGCGCGACTTCCGGGAGAACATCACGTCAATCATGAAAATGGGTCCATTGTCCAAGCTCTCCGGCATGATCCCGGGTCTGTCCAACCTGACTGCTGGTTTGGATGACGAAGACGGCTCGTTGAAGCTGCGCCGCATGATCTACATCTTTGACAGCATGACTGCTGCTGAGCTGGATGGCGACCCCAAGGTCTTCGTCGAACAGCCCAGCCGCATGGTTCGTGTTGCCTGCGGTAGCGGTACCACGGTCCGCGAGGTGGAGGACCTCCTCTCCCAACATCGCATGATGGCTGGGATGGCCAAGCGAGTCGGTGGGCAGAAGAAACAGATGCAGCGCGCCCAGAACATGCTCAAGGGTGGAAATAAGGATCAGCAGCTGGCTGCGATGCAGAAACGCATGGCCGCCATGGGTGGTGCCGGCGGCGGTGGCTTCCCTGGTATGCCCGGCATGGGCGACATGGCAAAGATGATGCAAATGCTGCAGGGTCAGGGCGGTGGTGGCGGTGGCCTGCCGGGCCTCGGTGGTATGGACTTGCAGAGCATGATGAGCCAAATGGGTGGGTTGATGGGTGGTATGGGCGGTGGTGGTGGTGGCGGCGGACGAGGCCGTGGCCGGTGATCCTGCTGCATCCATTGCCATTCTTTGTTCTTTTGGGTTTCCATATTTCCGAGCTCTTTCTCCTATCTCCTCCTACCTTCTCCCGCACCTTCTTGTCTATATCTGTTTCTTTCCCCCCCTTAGTTATACCTCTCATGATTCCGGTTTCCCGCCGGTATTCGCAGCTCGTTGCTGATGTCGATGTCGATTGTATTAGCATAGTCTGGTGTTGGGCGTGTTCTTTTTCTTGGTTTTGCCGGGTCATTGAATCATTCCATCCCATCCATACCAAAATAATTCGATGCGAGATGGCGTGGGTTGCATGTATTGGCCAAATTGGCTCGTAAATAAGTCATTATCAAAATACCTCACATCATTCCTCTAGGGAGTTTGTTGCTCAGTACAAATGCTTCCAACCTCCGAATTTCAGTCCCAGTCCTCGGGTGATTGCTGAGTGATGAACTTATTTTCCAAACGATCGTAGCATAGATGCTGGTTGCCTGATGAATTTATCCCACATATAGCTATATGAAACATGAAGTTTTCTCAACTCGCAAGCGAAGCACAAAAATCAATCCACTCTCTCCTTCTTCTGGAGCACATCCAAAACATTGTACACCGCTCTTAACAAACCATCCCAACCTGCACCAGCAGTCGCCTCGATTCTCTCAACCCAACTCTTAGCCCACGCATCCCAGCTCTGCTCCTCCCTCGTATCCAGCAACAGCTTTCCAGGCGGCAGTCTCGGGTGTCTCCAGGCCGCTACGCCTGCGATAACGCTCTCATACCCTGGTAGGGGAACACTGAGCTCATATTGCCAGACTAGCTGCGTATTTACGTACATCGAATACGTGAACACCGAGCTAGGCACGGTAACGGGATGTCCAGTCTTGGTGGTATCGATGACCGCATCCCGAACATCGATGTCGATCAGCCCATACTTCGTGTTGCCGTCAGGGATATATTTGATCGTGACGTCCTCATTGTCTGTCTGGCGGTAGGTGCGCACAGGGAGATAGAACATATTGAGCGGACCGACGCAGAATTCGTGCAGGCCTTCCCCGGCGGTGTTCGCGGTCAGTTCACTGGCGGGGAGCTCGAGAGAGGGGTCGGGAAAGCGCGTGGCGCCAAACTCATGGCGATCGCCACTGAGGAGAACGATGCGGATGCCGAGCTCGCGTTCGGCGCGCCAGATGGCTTCGAAAACGAGACGACGCTCGTTCAGGAACCCACCCCAGGTATCGGTCGTGCCCACACGCCAGTTCTTGGTGAAAGGTACGCTAGAGGCGATGAGTTTCCAGCGAACTTCACTAGGCTCAGGGCGGGCGATGTAGGCTAGGAGGGACTGCAGCTGGGCTGAGCCGAGGATGGTAGAGTTGAACTGCGACGGGGCCGAACGGTAGGTGCGGGTGTCGAGCATAAAGAAAGAGGCGGGTCCGTGAATAAAGGAGAAGTAAGTCGTATTTTCAGGTGTCGCAAATGGTACGGGTGGGATGGGCGGATTGGGCCGCACATGGTAATGGATGTAGGGCTCAAATGCCGCGGGATAGGGTGCAGTAGTATTGCCTTTCGACCAATCATTCTCAATCTCGTGATCATCAAGGGTGTGAATCCAAGGCAAGTCGATGGCAGGCGCGTGGTCCTCGGGTCTTTTCCAAGAAGGAGAGGAGTATACACGGTGGTACTCGCTGCGATAGTGCGAGACGGACGAACCGAAGCGCTGGGGGACATCGACATAAATGAAGTCGCCCAGGAACAACATGAAGGCGGGTCGCAATAATGATGGCAAGCGGTTGATTGTTTCCGTCATCATCTCAATGCCTGGGATGCGTAGGGGATGCGACAGCGGGCTGTATGGGAAGTTTGCCTTCATGCAGCTGGAGGTTAGGAAGCTGAGGCGGTTCGCCTGTTTGGAGCCAGGCATCGGAGCAGTGACGAATGAGCCTGTAAGGTTGTTGGAGAGGGAGTAGCGGTACGGTGATGACGGCTTCAAGCCCTTGATCGTCACAGTGGCCGTGTAGTCTGTTGAATCATCTAGAGCATAGATCATGCCTTCTTCCGTCCATTGTGTCGAGTCTTCTGTATTCAATGACTGGTAGAAGACGACCAGGGGCAACTGTGCGGGGTCCGGCTCGCGAACCAGGAGGTTTGCGGTCGTTGGTGAGACATAGCCGATCCGAGAGAAGGTGACATCTGCGCTGGGGTAAGCGACAAGACCACGCAGCATGAAGTCGAGAGTGAGCAGAGCAAGTCCGATATTGATGAGGACGGTCAAGCGCGTCGATCGTGGTAAGCTGGCGGACGGCAGGCCAATAAATAATGTCTTAAGCACATGATCTAGACTTTCCGGTCTTATGCGCTCTAGATTTGTGGGTTAGAGGATGCCGGGTCACACTAACAGTCGAATCACTCAACTTGTGGCTCTCGGAGATTCTTCGCGCTTGTTGTCGCGGCGGTGGTCGGTGGTGCTCAACTCGGCCGGTCGAAGGAGCGATACAACAGCAGTGAGATAGACAGCCAAAGCTGTGAAGATTAGAGGCGGAAAGTGATGTCCGGGAATCTAGAAAGGCCACCCATCAATTAAGCCGACGTCAGATTCACAGCTAAACAACCTTTTGAAGATACATCAACGAACCCAGCGGAGGAAGAAAAAGGCGGCAGCCCGGAGCGTTGCGGAGCTCGAAGCAGCGGCAATCCGCGCCACAGACACCATGGTGAGAAGGGTGGTGTCAACTGATAGTAATCTCAGCAGAAAGTAACCATAAGCGGTATCAGGGAGGGTATTCTCCCAAGAGTTGTTGGAAACTCTCAAATGGAGGAAACCAGAGATCGTCGATGAACGAGAAGGAGAAGAAGCCGGCGACGGGCGGAGCAGCAATTCGGCGATGACGACATACCGGACCACCTTCATTCAATTTTCGAATGACCTTCATTGCTTTCTCACATGCGACTAACTACTCCCTATACACAGTAGTTACGCAGTATACCTGACGCCATATATTAATTACCAACCCATTTTCTCCTTAACCTTTATTCTACAGCCCTCTTTCTTTCTACCGCGGCTGCATCATATCCCGAAGCACATTCATTAGGCTGCCGGTCATTGGTCCAGAGAGAAGCTGGCGCGCAGCATCCACGAGATCCTTCATGTGCATACTCAGGGACATTTGCGCGGCCCAGTACCATGGATTCTCCTGTTCCCCGGGTTTGGAATTGAAGTATTCCCAGCCCATGACACCCCCGAAATCGGGATATTGCTCGATCAGCATGGCCAAGATAGGCCCGATTTTCTCGGGGGGCACGTAGCCCTGTGATCCGTTGCCTGGGTTGGTCAAGAGTCCAAGCACCACCCGGCTTGGGGACCAGCCCTGTGCTACGATGGCGGCATACATCCGGGGATCATCGGCGGGCCCCCACCCGTTGTAGAACTGTGTGTTATACCAGCCGATCTTTGCGCCTCTCTGTTGTTCCAGCTCCCGATAGTCAAACCCAGATAGATTTCCCATGCCCAGCATGGCGGCTGCAACGGGGGCCAGCGTCACAATAAATCCGTCGCCCAGGTCCAGCTTGAGTCGGTCGATAAGTCGGACAATGCCCGACAGCGACATATCCTCCTCCACATCAAGATCCAGTCCGTTCAAGCCATGGCGCCGAATCATGGCTAGCAGGGGCCGGTAATACAGTTCAAATTTCTCTGCATCCCCGTCTAAGGAACGAAAGGAGCCCTGCGCAGCTCCTCCGAGCATTCCCATGATGCGCACTCCGTGTTCTTTCATGAGGGGCACCTCGGCCCATAGAGCGTCGTACATGCTGTGTTGTGGGGGATCATTGTTCAGCGTGATGTGTTCTGGGTCTGCGTTCAGGTGAAATGCAGCGAGGATGATATGTGTAACACCTGTGTTGTTCTGAACTAGTGGCAGCATAGAGACATATTGGCCTCCATTCGGGCAGAGAGTCTGATGATACAAGATTATCCGACGCCGGTCGGGCGAGGAGGGTACGGGAGGCATTGCGAGAAATGGGCAAGGGGAGCAAGACAAATCAGCGTAGAGGATTAATCTAGCAAGGACCTGGAGTCGCGAGCAGCCCGAGAGAAGTGGCAGAAGGAGGGGAACGCGTGGGGGTATGAACAAGGGCAGAGCACATTGTACAGCGGTTGGGTCGCGGGGGTTTTGGAGAGAGAAGCGAGGACGTTAACTTCTTAGTGCTTGGATCCGGCCGGCGGCCAGCCCCGCTGGTGCAGGTTAGTGGCAGAGCATTTAATTATACCCTAGAAGAGTTGCTGTACAGAAGTAGGAAATTTAGAATAGAGTCTCATAAGAATTGCACGGGACACATCCATCTCACCTATTGTTGTCAAGACCATGTACTTTTGATCTGTTCACCTGTCACGCGCGCCCATCTTTCCAAGCATGACTAGGGGATTAAATCATGCTGACTTGCTACCACAAAGCACAATAGTATTCCGTGGTCAGCTGCGACAATCTCTGGGTAGACGTGATCCTCACGATGGTGCAGATATGTTGCTTACTTAGTTAGAATGAATCATAAACGGGGCTACATAGTGTCTGCCTAACTTTACAGGCATCATCATGTGTATGCCTGACAATCGGTGTTTACGTTGGCCCACCAGTTGGTGTTTCTCTGTTATCGCACCGATTCGATAACTCCTCCCGAGTCCCTCTCAATTAATGAATCAATCAATCAACCCCAGATCTTCTTATGTTTATCGCATAATCCTCCATTAAGCCATGACACCTCGGTGATCTAGTCATTGATCGTATCGTATTTTGGTTCCAATATCCTTGGAGCCATTCCACACCCAGCATGGCCGATACGACTACCCACGACACTGTGGGCGCGTCAACCCTCGCGACGACGCCTCTCTTCATGCCCTCATCTCCTCCCTCCCATCGCCAAAACGCGCAGAGCTACTCTCCTCTAAGCGCGAAGAGTCCTCGGACTGTCGATCGCACTGCGACTATAACTCACCACCCCGATGATGCCAACTCGCCGCTGAAACAGAGTTATTCGCCGCGATCCTCCCGAGCGTCGTCGCTTGAGCGCGCCGCGAACGACATCGACGCCCGTTTGGCCAGGTATAGCGTTGACTTCAGCCAATTTCCAAGTATCCAGGCGCTCGATGAGGATGTGGATCCTCTCGCGGAATTCAAGTTTCCGCATGAAGACAACTTGTCAGACGTCGGAGGTCCGGAGGATTTCACGGCGAATCTGGAGAAGTATTTGATGAGCGACGGGGATACTATGGACGATAAACATTTTATGGACTTTCGGGAAGATATCCATGATTTATCAGAGCTCGAGCCTCTATTCGACGACCTGGAAGAGCGGGAACGCGATCTGCATCGCGCAGAAAATAAGGAAGACGGAAAACCCCGCCCTCCGCCACCTGAATCTCCTGTCCAGCCGCAAGGCCATCACAGGCAGAATAGCCAAGGAATGCAAAAGCAGCAAGACATCCACCAGCCGCAGCGCGAGCAGAGTGCGCAATCGCATCAACCCGCCGTTGAGGATGAGCCTGAGCCCGAACCCGAGCTAGGTGAATACAGTGAATTTGGCCCGCCGATCGACATGTCTACACCCTCACAATTTCTGCGCCGTGCCGGCGGTCTCAATAGGGATATTACGCATCTGGAGGATATTGAGGAGGATCCCGATGACGAGCCGGCAGTGAGTACAGCCACGCCGTCGGTGCGGAGACACAAGACTCCTTCGTCGCGGAAAGAGGAACCGAGTACAGCCAGAGATCTACGGAAACAAGTTGTTGAACTCCAGGACAAGCTTCAGAAACGTGATGAGCAGCTGGAGAAAAACCGCCGGCGCGTTTTGGAGGCAGCGTCGGCTGGTGAACAGATCAAGCATCTCCAGGGCGAGTTGCAAAGAAAGTCGGCTCTACTAGACGAGCTTTACGCCAATCGTACTGACGAAACAATCCTACGTGAACAAGTTCACTTGCTGCAGAAACAGAGCGAAGAGAGAGAGACCTTCTTGCACAAGTCCACAATCAATGCCTCGGAGCTGAGTGCTCTTCAGAAGCAGATAGGCGATATGCAGAAGGATATGCAGGCGCGGGGATCATCGCACCCGGATCTCGATGCGGAGCGGCTCGACACCATCGCATACCTACGACAGCAACTCGATCTTGCTCAGGAGCAGCTACGTAAGCGCGATGCAACCCTGGATGGGACAACCACGAAGCTCAAAGAAGTCACTAGCGACAAAGATCAGCAGCTCCGTGAGAAGAACGCTATAATTGACGAATTGAGAGCCCAAGTTAGCAATCACCTGCTCGAAGTGGGCAGGTTAGAGACAGAGCTTCAAAAGGTCAATCGAGCTCACGATACTCTCCATGAACGAATTGTCACTCTCGAAACTAGGAATCGCCCTTTGGAGGAGAAGAACAGCACTCTCGAGGCCGACCTCACCCGCGCGCAGACTCAAGTCACTGCGCAGGAGAATGCTCTCATGGCCATGGCCGCCGATCTTCCCCTTGAATCCGGCGGCAACACCTATACAGAAATACTCGAGTTGATTAAGGACTTGGGCCAACCCAGCCAGGGGGCCCGCGACTTTGTGTCATTGGTCAAGGATCAAGGACAACAGGGTCAAAACCCAGCTCACGACCAAGATCAATCCATGTCAGAAGAGCTCAAACGCGTTCAGGACGAACTCTCCAAACTTCGAACCGAACTCATCGAGGCCAATTCCGCCAAGAAAACCCTTGAAATGCAACTCTCGCGGTCCGAAGACCAAGCCGTCGAAGCTCAAACCCTCATCCACTCCATTGAGACCGAAAGCACCCGTCTCAGCAAACGTGCTGATGATCTCCGCTCAAATCTCTCCAAAGCCCAGCAGGAACTGACCCAAATGAAAGAGGAGCGCAGCAAAGCCATGGAAACCATTGACCGCTTGCAAAAGGAGCAACAACATGAAACCGAGAAGAAACAGACCCGGCAGCAACAGCTGCAAAAACAACAACTCAGCCCCCCTCCGTCCCCTCCCGTCCCACGTCAGCAACAAGATTTAAATCCACAGCGTCAAAAGGAGAAGGAGATCCTTGAACAAACTCAGTCTCTCCAAGCCACCCATGCCGCCGAGGTGGCAAAGCTCCGGGAGCTTTTGACTGAATATGAGCACCGAGAACCCCGGTACAAGATGCGGGTGACCTCGTTGCTCTCACAGCGCGAGCGACAACAGAGTGAGAATCGCACCCTCCGCGCTAAGGTTGAGCAACTCGAGTCCGTGCTCGCAGCGAAGGAGGAGACCGCGGCAGCGGTGGACGAGCGAATCGCGCGGTCGGTCGAGAAACGCGAGAAGGAGTGGCAGCGAAGAATAGAGCTCTTGCTCAAGGAGCGGGAACGCATGGGTCGGGCACTAATGTGGTCGTGGGGAGAAAAGGAAGTCGGTGGCGAGAAGGAAAATCTGGCGGTCACAGAGGACGAGAAGAGAAGGAGTAAACAAGGCTATCGGTACAAGTATGCCGTCTCGGGTCCAAAGCCAGTGTCAACCCCAGTCACCTTGTCATCAGGAAAGAAAGCTTGAATGACCAATAGATGGGTTGGAGTAGATCGCATGGGACTGGAATAGGGTAATAATCGGTTGTGTCTGGGCTTGTCATTCTATTTTACTATCAAAGGTCCGAAAGCGTGTGATTTCTTCACAAGGTGTTCTGGTCCCTCTTTACGGCGTTGTGTTATTCTTCTCCCGGAGGTTCCCTTTGACCATTCCTGATTCTCGGCTTGCGTTATGCTTAGGATACTAGTCACTACGGTGTCATGAAATGGAAAACTCACGATCGGAAAGTATGGGGGACCGTCGTTTCTTGCGTCGCCATCGGATGCCAGCGCTTGGTGGGTGCTCAGCTATAGCAGGATCATATGTGAACGCATTTGTTGCCATTCGTGCGAATAAGAACATTAGGTATACGATTAGTTTTCTTCCCGTCTCATGTCATCAATGCCACAGAAAATAGATCAACAGCAAATATGGGAAGAGAACGTGGGAAAGGAGAGATCTGGAAAGCCTGCTTGGATGCAACATGTATATTAAGAACTGAAAACCGCAGAGACAGTGATTCTACGACAGAAATGACAACCCGACCAGCAGGTTTCTGGACGCATCGCTATTGTTCATTCAAGTGGTTTCACGGTATGCATTCGCTCCGGAGAGATAGCTCTCTGTGGCTTCGTCAACAGATGTGCCTGTTTCACGGATACTATCGAGCCTGCTGGGCGCAGAGGCGAGGCCACCATATGTGTTGCTGCGAGGGCGACGTAAGTTTGAGTAGACCAATTCGACATCGTTTCCGCGAGTTGATGAGGACATGCGCCGGTTGTGCTCTTGATACCAGCGATGGCCGTTACTATGCTGATGGGGCCGGTGTTGACTCTGGGTATGGCGTGGGATTTGTGCTGGATTGATTTGGTACAGCTGGCTCTGCCGTTTATTACTCTGCCGGGCATTCTGCCGACTGGCCCCCTCACAATCAATTGGTAAACCTCTGTAGCTGGAGGCCTGGGCAAGGCATGGACGCGCTGCTGGTTGCGGGAGGGTTGAAACGGAAGCTCCCTGATATGGCGTGTGTTTACTTCTGGAGACCGGAGCCGTGTGCGCTGTGTTAGACCGGCGTACATTCAACGGTTCTGGCACAAGGACTTCGGGAGCATCAGCTGAGTTCAGGGTCACAGATCGTGGGAGTGTTCTTCCTTTCGCTTCAGGTTTGTAAGACCCGGCTATTATGGCGGGCAAAGGTTTCTCTACAGGAGCTGAAGCTAATGGATGTCCAGGCGCGTACTCTTTTTTGGGAGTTGGAGGGCGCTCAACCACCAGTGCTTCTTTCTCGACATCTACGCCCGCTGACGATTCGGCGAGAGCACGTATTTGTGGGTCTGCTGACAGTGGTTGCGAGAACAATTTTGGCAGCAGCCGGCGCAAAGACGACGCGGAAGACTTCTGCCTCTGGTGTCCGATCCTAGAAGGGGATCCCCCAGGTAGCTCCACGGGAACACCTTGCTTATAGTGGTCACCATAAGGACTCAAGGTTGCGGTAGTGGCCGTGCGCGAAACGCATGAAAGAATATCTGAGCTCGTCATCACGCCGGGTAGCTTCCTTGTCAGGGTTTCCTGCGGCGACAGTGTGGTACCCGATAGCAGATCTGTTGTGTCAGAGTCATACTCTGCCTCGAACCCCGGGTGAGATTTATGATAGACGACGGTCGGATACTCCATGCTTGTGGAATTCGGGATGGTATTGTCAGTTGACGACATATAAAGCCCTCGGCCGTATGTGATATCAGGTCGCCGGCAAACATAGTAGATATCATTCTTCAGGCTATTGTCACTTTCTGTGCTCCAGCTGCTGAGGATGCTGTTGTCGCAAATCGAAAACGAAGGTTGGCGTCTATATATGCCCAGCAACGAGACATCATATGGGCGACAGCAAAATTGTCGCAGGCCGAAGAATAGGCACAATGTTATGCTGCATCGCTATCAGCAAGACCTTTTCAGTGACCTCCAGGCATAACTTACAACGACACAACAGAGTCTATGATCGACGCACGATAGAGTGCACAGCTTACACCCAGCTTCCAGAAGTTGCCATCATCCTCGTCAGCAAGACACAGTAGATGTCGAGATATAACCACCAGGCCTGTAGCAATAGCAGCAACCCAGATCAGAATCGCAAGCCCCGAGACCCAGATACAAACAATCCGTAGCATGGCCTTTTGGCTTGTAAATCTTGCAACCCTGCTGTACTGCCACGCAAGAAAGCTGTGTAACCCAACAAGAGGAACAGTCAAGAAAGACTAAGTTATATTGTCAGTGAAGGGCAGCAGAATTAGTACGTTCGAACTCACTGCTACTAGAGCGAGAATCAGACTGGGGGTCATTTCCGCGTCCACCGATCGCTCAACATAGAGGTAAATCACAATTCCCCACTCAATGAGAGACTCGAGCAGCAGGACATACAGACAGATGAGGATCGCTCGTTTCATCCACGCGCCTTCTGCGCTGGCTGAACCATAGCTATTAGACATGACTGATCCCTCGGAAAGAGCAGCAGCAGGCTGCAATGCACAGCTTGAACACCTTGACGCAAACAATGCTGTACATCCACGCGTTAGATGGTCCCCAAAGAGTCAATGCGACCAGAACAGTCCCAGCAACGCATCAGGCGGCTTCCTTGAGGAAAAAAAAAGGGCAGAGCGACCAATGTCAGCAGGTGCAAATAAGTAGCACAGTACAAACACTAGACAAAATCTCAGTTGAGGTAGGATCACGGCCAGCTAAATGGAGAAGAAGGTGGTAAATATCTGGCGCGTCGACGCGATGCGCGGAGGGGTTCGGAATGGATGTGCACAGGTATGTCCATGTTCGTCTGAGCATATGGAGGGGAAGAGTTTAGGTTGCATGAGAGCTGCCTATTGTCTGCTCCTCTGTGGGCAAAAACGATAATAGTTCTCATATTGTGGAATGCAGGCTAAGAAGAGTCCGGCCAAGAAAGGGCGACTTCGAACGGACTGTGGACCTGATCAATAGTTGACCTAGTTAAAGCTCCAAGTTGAGTGTGTCATAAGTTATGATCTACTAGGTTTGAATATACTTAGTTATCCTCAACCCTGTGTATGTGCATAAGTAATTAGAACTCCTGTCTCTGCTCACACCCCTGCGAAGTGATCCCATTGATACCGTCGCTTGTAAGTGATTGCCAGCCAGAAGTTATCAAAGTAGGGGTCATGAGACAGTTTCATATGCCTGAATGAAGGATGAAGTGTTGAATCCAGGACCCTTTACCTGTATGTTCTAGGGATGGGAAGGATTGTTAGTAGTACGGAGTCCGGTAACCACAGTGGATTGGCGAGGCAGAAAGACGGCACGTGACAAGGAAAGAAAGGGATTGTATCTATTTGGATTTGGATCCATTGTAGGAGGGCTGCTGCTGCTCAGGCACCCAGGCCTCTTACCTAGATTTTCCTTGACTTTTCAACCAATCATCCATCCGAGAAGTCCCACGAAGGGGTTGGGGGGATGCATGCAAGGGTGAACAGAATGCCATGCCACTGGCAGCTTTGTGAAGATTGAAGGTTAATCTCAAATGAGTCCGAAGAACCTACCACGTATCGTTCTATTTGTCTCGTTGGCACTGTGGATTTCATCTCCTCATCAGCCATTGCCGGGTGGAGTAGTTCGATAAGATAATGAGGTTCTTGGCTAAAATCCACCATTCCAAGAGATAGAGCAAGTCTTGATCGTTCAATCATACTCGTGCATAGACCGAGTTCAAATCGGCTAAATCGTCCAAGTTACAGTAGCAAGTTAGACCTTGACCTCAAGGATCTTCATGAGATCAAACTGCCCGCAGCCTCGAGGATATGGCTATATGGCCCAGGTTCTTGTTGTCGCCATTGATGAGCTTATCCGTCTCCGCGTCCATTCACATTAGGTGCGTGTTTCAATGGGCATGGATATCTTATCGGCATACTTATCAGCGTGAACCGATCGTATCAGTGAGGAGGAAGTCCCCGATAAACCGGCTTGTTTTCCATCTCCCCCGCTCTCTCTTTCTTGAATCTCTCTCTCTCTCTCCTTTCTCTCTTTTCTCTCTTTTCTCTCTTTTCTCTCTTTTTCTCCCTTGCATTGGACAATGCAACATTTATGTAATCACGAGCTTGTTGGCAGTGCATAAGACTAGATGGAAGGAAGGGTTGGGCACTAACAGATCTCATCTTTTCTCCTCATCTTCGGGTCTCTAAGTCTACTAGGGTGCTCCCTCCCATTCCACGCCCACACCTCTCCAAAGAACACAAAGCATCCATCCTAACATACTCATAATGTCCATCAGTCATAGTCCGGCTGATCAACCGCCCTACCCTCTTCATCCCTCTGTGATACATAGGCTCGATCCGGAATATGTCGATTTTTACAATACACATATCATCGATAAGCAACAAGTTCATCTCCAGCCGGTAGAGGCTTCACGCACAAGCGGTGTTTTGATTCCAGGCGGAGGCCCTTTGCTCCCGGTTGGTAGAACAGTCGACTTGCGCATCTCCCGGCGTGTCACAGAAGGCCCTGAGATTCCTGTACGCGCATTCATTCCAGAAGGTGCCGTTCCGGCGAATGGATGGCCATTGCTATTGTATTTCCACGGGGGCGGATGGGTGCTGGGCAACATCAATACAGAGAACCCGGTGTGTACAAATCTCTGTAACAGAGGTCGCTGCGTAGTCGTGACTGTGGACTATCGGTAAGCATCTGCGCAGAGCGAGTCACACAGCTACTAATTCTCCAGTCTCGCTCCCGAGCACCGCTGGCCCGCCGCCGTCCACGACTGCTGGGAAGCTCTTCTCTGGCTGCTAGCCGACGGTCCGACGCATCTCCCTATTGACACGAAGTCTCTCGCCACCGGAGGCTCTTCCGCAGGTGGAAACCTAGCCTGCATCATCACTCAGAAGGCTCTTGCCCTCTCCCCGCCCGTACACTTCAAAGCCCAGTTGCTCTCCGTGCCCGTCACCGATAACACCGCCTCAGTATCCACCAACGACGCCTACCGCGCGTACGAGCACACGCCAGCTCTACCAGCAGCCAAAATGCTGTGGTACCGTGCGCACTATCTCCCTAATGAAAGCGATTGGGTGAATCCTGAGGCTAGTCCTCTTTTTTACACTGGGGATTGGTCTGCTCTACCGAGGGCCTTGGTTATGGTGGGTGAGTTGGATGTTCTCCGAACGGAAGGAGAGCAGTATGCGCAGAAGCTACAGAAAGCAGGTGTTCCAGTGGACTTGCAGATAATGAAGGGTATGCCTCATCCATTTTTGGCCATGGATGCTGTTCTGAAGGAGGGGAAGAGGTCCATTACATTGATGTGCGACCTACTGAAGGAGGTGTTCTGGAATGAGCGCGAGTAAGTGCTTGCTAGAATTGTACTGGGCTCTGTTCATGGCCATAAAACATTCAGATTGAATGATCCCAGCTGAGCACAGATATCAACAATTGAGAATGGACATGTCGAGAATCACTGGTATCGAATTGAGGCGGCTGTGCAAGACACAACATTATCCAATATACCAGGCACAGCAAAAGATGTTTCGCACATTTGACTGCAGCATTACAAGTACTGTACTCCGAACCTAGAAAGACTCCCGTATTTGCGTATCTCAAAGACCAAGTAACTCCCTCCCACAGCCCAGTCTCCTACCTAACAGCGTTCTTATCCTACAAAGTCTAGCTTCGCCCCCCAGAGCATTTTCTAGGGAAGGTGACCGGAGTGAATTCACGCCCAACATACTGAATCTTGCTCGTGTATCTCTTGCCTTAGCATTGGAACATGGGGGGCCCCTGATGAGCAAGTGTGTAGGTCATGTCCCGCCACCGAGGAACAGAAATCAACACGGAACTATGACCCTTAACTGCCCGACTTGTTAGATCACCTTGGTTTCATGTCACACCCACAAAGTCTGTTCAAGCCGGATTGATCAACTGCTATGGGCAAGGAATTTTGAGTGTATCCGTTTGTTGCTGCCATGCGTGGCTACATGGAAAAGCAATTCCTGGAATCAACATGAACAACGAGCGGCAGAGTCCGAGCTTGTTTCTCGAAAAGCATGCATTGAGAGGACTGTCGAGCATGCTCCCATCCCGCTACTCCCTCAAGCCGAAAAGAAGCTCGAGACTATGGTCTTACCTGCACCTCTTCACTAGCAACACAGCACAGCAGCACGAATGCCCCTTGCATACGGGCATGAAGGATACTTGCATCTCCGTCAATCTGCGGTCGTACATGGGAAACCTGCAGTTTACATTGCATCGTTGGATGCTTGATTGATGTTTTGTTCCTGCGATTTCTAAGTAGGGTGTACCACAAACTACCTTGTAAGGTGGACAAGGACATTTCGTCGCGTTCTTTGGTAGTGACCCGGCACATCGGCAACAAGAAACACGCCATGGATCCAACTAGTAGCATTTACCCCTAATCGTCAAGCTTTTCTCTATTTGCGAGTGGTACGAGGCAGGCATCATTGGGTGCGAGTGTCTGGTATACCCACTCGCCGAAAATGATTTAGGAGTTGGCAGCGGAAACTGTTCCCCGGTAGCCACAGTGGCTTCGGATGTTGCACCCGAATCCAAGTTCGACCCAGCGCAGACTAGTATCCCTCTGGGACAGCGCGTAGTTTTCTGGTCCCTTTTGTGGATGTTGTGCCTAAGGAAATAATTCGAGACTGCGGCTCCGATGCTGAGCAAGAAGCTTTAGTTGCGGAGATACCTAGCACGCAGCAGCGCATGGTTAGAGAGTGAGCAGGAGACTTCTCCCATATCTCGCAGAAATGCGAAACCCCTTCGAAGTCTGTGCTGGTATGACAGGTATTTCGTTTAGGTAAAAGTACTGTAGATAGCTCAGGACTGGTGCTACGAGATTCCAGGCAGACGCTCGGTGTACTTACTATGCAGATCCATCAGAGGTAGCAGTCACCTTGGCAGTGTCGGTCTATGTCGGTCTAGCGCAGCTGGAAAGTGGCACTCCAGGCTGTTGGCGAACGTCTCGGTTAGGGGCATTGCTTGAGTGGTATTCTGGTCTGTAAATGGTCGATGCAGGTGTAATCTCCTCATTCATGCGGTAGTCGCATCGGTTGCGGCTACTAATGGGAGTATCACGGCGCAGGGTCGGATATATCCCATTCAGGATAGGCTATAGTTAGCGTCGGGGCCCTGGAACTGCACTCCTTATCGCGCTATCCACCGTTTGATCCAGTAGGGCTGGGCAAGGAGGACCCTCCTTTATCTTTCGGGAATGGAGGTCTGTGTGAAATTATGAATCACTGAATTGGCGATTGTTTGTAGGTCTGTGACCTCTGTCCGGTTCGGTGCCCACTTCGGATCTAGGACTAGCGCCGCTGATTCTGGGTAAGCTAATATAGCCGAAGTATAACTAGTAAAGTTAGACGAAAAGTAGTCAGTTTTGCTCGTGTCTTTCTTGAGGTGCAGTGCAAAGACTCCAAGCCATAAGTCCGGGTTTGACCGGGGGCGGTGGCGGACCTGGTAGGGTGAGTTATCTTTATTGTTTCCCTGGAATAAGCATTTCGCAGATTATCTTTTGACAGCGAATATCAACGGCCTTGGCAGTTGTAGATCCGATGATCCGGTGATCTCCAGAAACCCGGGCAGCGTCTGCCAGTGCCATCTGACTCAGGGGCAGATCGTCAGGACCGAGCTTGAATTTTCAATTTAGGCAAAATGCTGATTGAAAGTTCTTCGTATTAGTTAGTTATTGGTGTGCCTGAGTCAGAATTGGCCGACCTCTGACGACCCCTCACTAAACCTATTGTAGTGACTGCCACATGGAGGAGGCTAGTCCTGTTTGGAATCTTACCTCGAAAGTCAAGGCTTCTTGCTCCATCTTCCGTCCACACATACACCACGCTAAAGACTGCCACTTTCCACAGGGTCCCAAACCTTCCAATCCTCCTCGTTGTCTGTTATCATCTCCAGAAAAATTACTCCCATCGTCTTCCTACCTCATGCTCGCGTCATGCTTCACCCGGAATACAGTCTATCCGTCCATTTCATAGGAGCCACTCTCCATCCGTGGGCAGCTATGGTTAAGTGACCAAATGTGGGATGATCTAACCACAATCCCAGGGATACTTGTACTATTGTGGCGCTAGATACCATGGGCCCCTTCGCCTCCTACATACCTATTTGCCCCTCTCTGGGGCCCTCACGAGGGGACTAGCTTGAAGAAAACTCTCCGTTTGAGGCTTGGGAAGTTGTAAGTCGGCGTTGCTTGGCTCTTCTTGCCCACTTTCGCAGAGACTAAGCTGGGAAAAGTTACACTCCAGTGCGGCTCTACACACAGGGACCGCGAAAGAGCTGCCTGCTGCTGCCTGCTGCTGCCTTGCCCGTATGTCCGGTCTATATTTTGGCTGCACTACACGGCTCTCCTCCCAATTCCCCGACGGGGCTCTCCTGGGTCAAAATCTATCCTGAGAGAACCTAGGGATCAAATGTCACCGCTAGTCTCCTAATCAGGGTCAAGATGGCATATTTCACAAGCACCGGATTCCGGACTAGGGTCATCCAAGTCCGTAATCCAGGCTTGTGGTTGCACCCGCCAAGGCGTCGACTCCGCATGGTAATCTCGGCTGTGTTCGTGCGGTGCGATGAATGGTCTTCAGGTATTGTAGCCAATGACAAGCCGGACATGACATGGAAACTGTCCAAATAGACTTAAGCCCCAGAGCAGGCTGGCTCATATAACTCTACTACGCCTTGCTCCCTCCTATACTTGAGAGGTCCTCGTGTCATCCCTCTCGATTTCCATTTGCAGGGACCATCAACGCAGCGGACTTTTGTCTGTGTCCTTTCTTTGAACCAATCCGATATTCGCTTTCACTGGTCTGAGTGGCTGTCTTGCCTCCTCCAGTCGACGCTCTTTCACCATGGTGTCTCAACTTATCACCATTCTCGCTGCTATGTCAGCTGTCACTCCTTTTGTCTCTGCCTTTGACCCGCAGTCGAAATCAAATGTTGCTGTTTACTATGTATGCTCCCTTCACTAATTCAGTTCAAAAAAAGCCGCTTACCATTAAGAACAGGGACAAGGATATGGGCAGCAACGGTTAAGTCACTTTTGTCAAGAGACGTCTTTGGATATTATCAATATTGGGTTCATTAATGTGTTCCCGGATCAGGGTGTTGCCGGTTGGCCTGGAAGTAATTTTGGCAATCAGTGCGATGGCACCTACTACACGGTTGGCAATAAAACGACGGAGCTGCTCAAAGGCTGTCACCAGCTAGTGGAAGACATCCCGATTTGCCAGGCTGCGGGCAAGAAAGTCTTCCTGTCTTTGGGGGGCGCTTCACCCGACACTCAGCAGATCTTGTCCGATGACTCTGCAAATCGTTTTGCCGACTTCCTTTGGGGTGCTTTTGGTCCCAAGACCGACCGTTGGATGTCCAAAAATGGCCCTCGCCCCTTTGGTGACGTTGTAGTTGATGGCTTCGACTTCGACATTGAACACAATGGCGATTACGGTAAGTTACATCATGCTTCACCCCCTCCAAGGTTCCTGCTAACATGAAAAGGCTACGCAACAATGATCGATCGACTAAGATATCACTATTCCTTACATAAAGGTCGTACCTTCTATATCTCGGGTGCGCCTCAATGTGCGATACCTGACACACATCTCGACAGCGCGATTGCCAACGCTTACTTCGACTTCATCTGGGTACAGTTCTATAATACTGAGGGTTGCTCTGCCCGTGACTATGTCGAAGGTACGGCAGATGGGTTCAACTTCGACAAATGGGTCGATGTCATCCGAGCAGGGGGAAATCCGAATGCTAAGCTTTATGTTGGATTGGGCGCCAGTCCGAGTGCCGTCAATTCGGGGTACTATGTCTCCCCCGTACAGGTCTTTCCGCTGATTGCAGAGTCCATGGCGCGCTTCCCCGACCACTTCGGTGGTATCATGCTTTGGGAAGCGACGGCTTCGGATGAGAATAAGTTCGGCGACGAAACCTTCGCCGATGTGATGAAGCAGATCCTCGTGACCATTGACCCTACTCCTGAGACAAGCACTGTTGTGCCTTCCAGCAGCACGCTCGTACCGTCATACACTGCCACGAGTACTCCTGCGGTGTCCAGTTCTTCTGCAGAGGCAATTTCCTCCGCGGCGTTCACCTCATCTGCGAGGACACCTTCTGTCTCGTCTATTGCTTCTCCAGTGTTTACTGCTTCTACGGTGTCTAGTCCTCCCATTGTGTCTATCCCTCTAGTGGTATCCAGCTCCTCTACGGGACCTAGCTCCTCTGCCGGGTCCGGTTCTCCTGTTGTGTCGTCTCCTGCTGGGGGTTCTACTGCTCCCGTGGTGTCTACTACTGCTGGCGTGGGATCCTCTGCCGTGCCAAGCGTCCCATCTATTGCTTTGACCTCACCTGCGGTATCCAGCAGCCCTTCCATTTCCGGCGCATCTGTTCTCACGAGCAGCTCTGTCGTTACTAGCACGACTGTGAGCGTTTTCGCGGTTTCCTCCGGCCCTGTTGCTCCTAGCTCTTCCCCTGTCTTCAGTGCACCTGCAGTATCAGGTATTTCCAGTGCTTCCAGCTCGCCTACTGTGCCCACCACCCCGGCAGCGTTCAGCTCGTCGGCGTTCTTCAGCTCGCCAGTGCTTTCTGGCTCCACGGCCACGTCCATCGCACCCGTGGTTACAACGAAGTCTGTGCTGGCCAGCTCGCCTAGGGCTTCCAGTCCTCTGATGGAGACAAGCCGTCCTGTCCTCACTCACTCGTCCAGCGTTTCTAGCACGCCCTCCAGCTCTCTTGTGATCTCTGGTTCTGTCGGCGCTACTTCTTCCTCAGCCACCAGCTCTCACATAATCCACAGCTCGTCTGTGCTGAGTCTCCCTGCAGTGTCTAGCTCCTCCGTGGTCACAAGCAAACCCGTCATTCCAAGGCCGATCTCTTCGACTGTCGCTACTCCAGGTGTTTCTGGGGCATTGAGCTCTTCTGCCAATCCTGATGTCTCTGGCCAGGTCCCGCCCAGTGCCTCACAATTTCCTGCTACAGTACTCGCCTCGAGCTCTGTGCTGTCTTCTTCGGGCTTACCTTTAACCTTTTCTGCGCCTTCGGGCTCAATCAGCGGGGTCTCTAGTAATGTAGATCCTTCTTCTGTCGCCGAGACTTCTTCTGGCCTGCCTTCTACTTCAGGCTCTGGTGTGGGCTCCGCCACGTCGACCGTCTCGGGCAATGTTTCTGCAATCGCCTCCTCTACAGGCTCTTCTATCAAGTCAAGCACGGCGACTTCAGTTCCATCAACGGTGCAGCCCGGAGGCTCGGGTTCATCGGTTTCAGGAACAATGCCGGTGTCCCCTCCCTCTGACACTCAAGTGGTGTCTTCGGTGGCTTCGCACACTAGCATAATATCAGGCTTGGAGCCATCTTCAGGCTCGAGTGCATTCAGCATTCTAGTTTCTTCTAGCGGTGCGTCTACTACTGCAACTGCAGGACCCTCTCGTGCATCTGGTGCCACAGGGCCCATGTCGAGCTCAAACACGTCAACAGTTTCGAGCACGGCCGACCAGGGAAGTACGACTGATCTGTCGGGCGCGACCTATAGTGCCAGTATGGCGTCTGACCAGACAAGCCGGTCAACAGCTGTTCCCACGGATGCCACAGCCACCGACAGCGCTGCTTCTGCTGTTATCACCTCGAGTATTGCATCTAATTATGGGGAAACCTCTGTGTCTCCGATGAGCTCTGTTTCAGAGCCCGTGACCATGACTACGGTCATTGTAACCTCCTATATCGACATCTGTCCAGAGGGCTTCACGACCATTACTACAACTTACAAGACCACGTACTGTCCTGTCACGGCTGCAGCCACTGCCACTGCCACTATTCGTGACACGGTCACTGGCGCTCAGGGTTCACCAACTGCTGAGACTGCGGCTGGGCCCGCCGCTAATACGGGTATCCCAGCTTCCCAGGCTTCTGCAGCTACTGCTGTTATTCCCGACGGCTGGACGACGACGGTCACGGTCTGCACACACTGTGCTGCGACACCGACTACAGTCACCTTGACTCGGCCGGCTACTACCGATTCGTCGGTACCTGTGTCGTTGGCTACGGTCTCGCCCCCCTTGTCTGGCTGGACAACCACTATTTCTGTTTGCGCTGATTGCGGGCCAACGCCTGTCACAGTGACCGTCACTGTACCCATCAGCACGAATGTAGCGGCCACAGGCATCCACGTCGACAATCCATCCGGTGTTGATGCTGTTCGTGAGGGGTCAACGGGTCTCGGTGCATCTTCGACCTCTATTAAGCCGAGCTCTCACTTCACTTCCACTGCTATTGCATCTTCTGGTCAGGCAACTCCTATTCAGGCTGGAAGCACAAGAGCCGACGGTGTTCGTCCTTCTTCGACACTCCTCCTCCAGCCATCTGCCAGTGGTTCCCTAGGATCAGGGGTGCCTAGCAACACAGGGGGGAGTGTGTCGCCGTTGTTCACAGGCGCAGCTCCTCGATTGGCTGCCTTCGAACATGGGACCGGGGCCATTGTTACCATTGCCCTACTTCTGCTCACTGCCTTGTAAAGAACCCTTCTCTTCCACTTTCTCCTATTTTTCTCTTCTCATGGCCTGTATTGTCTATCTTTCGCCCGGCGATGGGGCATACAGTTGCATTTTCCCTCTTACCGTTTTGAAACGAATGACCAATGATGTCCGATGGATTAACTCTAATCTTGTCTCTATAATGCGAAAATCATCTACCATGTATTCTGTCCTTTCTTGTCCCATTATCGCAGTATAGCTGATGACCATGCTCTTGTAATCAATATCAATCAAGATTTGCAAAGCAAGCCGATCCTCTCCTCGATTGGCTGAATGGCTTCGCTGATAGCCAAGACGGATCTCGAGCCGGTAGCACAGGCTGGCTCAGCGACTTGGGATTTCCGATCGACTGATGAACAGTTTGTAAGGCTGCTGTAGCATTTCGGATACCATCACTATTGGGTCTCACTCTCTGTGGTTTATGGAGCGGATGACTGAAAGCAATCCTAGGAGTTTCCCGTGTTGGGATCCGCAGTACTGCTCTGCCTTGGCCGGTGGTGCACTGCTTACTTGCATTAGCGCAATACCGAGGTACTTTTGGCCCCTCGAGCATGCTCGAATGATAGGCCAGAGGAGACCGCCCGGGTCGTTTTGATGCACCAACTAGTGGCTTAGGTTCTCGTACAGTGGTCTTGATGACTCGTATTACCGAGATTGTGGGCGTATTATCAATACGTGGTTGAAAGTGGTTGGGTTTTAGGGGAGGGAGACAGAAGTGTGGCTGGAGAGTAGAATATAGACGGATCTGGCATGATATATACAGCACTGAGCAGTCCATGGTGCAAACAGGAAAGAATGTGGTACTAAGCCTCTGCATGATTGACGATCGAAAAGCCAAGGAAAGTTTCTCGATTGATGGAATTTAGGAGAAAAAAAAAATAAAAAAAAAAAAGAGAAAAACTCAAAAGACCGAAACGAGAAACACAGACAAGCTCGAGGGACAACACTCCAGTACGAAGAACATGAAAGAAGCAAAAAGAAAATCAGATCATATAGCATGTCCTGGTTTCGATCCAGGGTCCTCCGGGTTATGAGCCCGGCGCTCTTCCCCTGAGCTAACATGCTTAGTGAATGATGATAGGAAGACTTTCAATAGACATATTCAAAGTTTTGCCCTGACTTGCTTCTCTCGCGCTCCTTTCTCCCCACCTCGGCCCTCGGCTGCGGAGTAACTCGAAGATGTGACAGATGACACTCAACGCCCAGCTGAGGATCATATGTCTTCTACACTTCTGGTTCAATTCTGTCGAGCCCGATTTAGGGCCCCCGTCGTCCTCTCATCATTCTCTCAGTTCAAGTCATAGTTCCAAGAGCTGCCGCCGCCTTACCATGTCCTCCTCCTCATCTCCGCCGCTGGCGGGAATCCGGGTGGTCGAGCTGGCGGGCTTAGCTCCTGGTTCGTCCGACGTCTCTGCTTTGGATCCTCTAGCTGCAATGCTTCATTCTGCCTACTGACATCCCAGAACCAGGTCCCTTCGCTGGGTTGCTCCTCGCTGATTTTGGCGCGTCGGTCCTAAGGATTGATCGACCCAAGGTCTCGAGCGCGGATCATCTGACCCGCCATAAGAGCTCCATACCCCTGGATCTTCGCGATGCTGCTTCACACCAGGTTCTTCTCTCTATTTTGACAACAGCCGATGTCCTAATTGACCCTTACCGTCCGGGCGTTTTGGAGCGTCTCGGCCTGGACCCCTCGGGCGTCCTGCTGAAACACAACCCGAGGTTGATCGTGGCCCGATTGACAGGGTTCCGCCGCGACGGAAGATATAAGGACATGGCTGGACATGACATTAATTACATTGCCGTATCCGGAGTGCTGTCCATGCTCGGCCGATCTCATGAGCGACCCTATGCTCCCGGCAACTTGGTAGGTGACTTTGCCGGCGGCGGGGCCACATGTTTCCAGGGTATTCTTCTCGCGTTGTTGTCGCGGGAACGAACCGGTCGTGGCCAGGTTGTTGAGGCCAACATGGTCGATGGCTCCGCGTACCTAGCCTCGTTCCCCCGCTTGGCCCGACAAACGCCTATCTGGGATGCCCCGCGCGGCCAGAATACCCTAGATGGAGGTAGTCCCTTCTACGACACCTACGAGACCAAGGATGCGGGCCAGTATTTTGCGGTGGGGGCTCTCGAGCCGCAATTTTATGAAGCCCTCCTTAAGGGACTCGGCTTCAATCCGAAGGAGCTACCCTCGCGCGACAAGAGGGACAATTGGCCGGCGCTCCGTGCTGCGTTTGCCAAGCGATTCCAGGAAAAGACACGAGCTGAGTGGGAGGCCGTGTTCGATGGGATAGATGCCTGCGCCACGCCCGTGTTGGACCCAGATGAGCTGCAGGCGGGTGGCTATGAGCTACGCCCGGTGGTGCACCTGGCTGATACCCCGGGACTGCCTATCGCGACCGACGATGGAGGGTGGACGGGCGGTGGTCTGATACCCGGGACTGGGGGACAGGAGACCTTGAAAACGTGGCTGGGTTGGGAAAAAGGCCGAGATTATGATGTCAGACCCGATGGTGCTTTTGTGCGACTTGGGAGAGAAACAAAGTTGTGAGAAATTTTGAGATTTTCTGATTCGATTGTTGATAGGATGCAAATGGGATCGAACATTGCTATTGCTAATCCATGATCCGTTGATGGAGACCCCTGAGTTTTTTTTTTTTGGAACACTATTTATGATCACTAGTCCACTTAGTACTCCTTTTGATTGGTTTAGTGGGGGGAGAGGGGAATGAATTTGGTAGGTACTTAGGCAGATAGCAAAGTAAAATTGACCGAGTCGAGGTAGGGCTGACTGACTGACCTCTGACTATCGGCTTCCCCGACGATAATTGCATTGTTGCAACAGCTTCTGTTGTGCAGTACACGGTGCACAACACACACTAACTACCTACTACACACTCCCAGTAGTGACCCTGGGGGCATCAGTCAATGCGTTAAATTAGTCGGTCGGCCAGCCAGTCAGTCAGTCAATTAATCAATCGAGTAGTAGCGTAGTATAGCGGGTATCTTCGACTGAAATTGCATCAAATTCAATGCTGAGGTGATTACGCAGTATGGAGTAAGTTACTGTAGCAGTTCAATGGATGGGTGGCTCCATTGCCGGATGCAGCGATGGCTGGCTGAATGTGACTTCAAGTTACTTAAGACTTAGACTTGGTGAGATGTAACGCTAGACAATTTCCGTTTCCATCAGCGTTCCTTGGTCTTGAATGGAGTAGTAAGTAACTACACCATGTACGGCTGTGTATGCAATATACATGGACCAGTTCATGTAAAGAATCACTCAGATAAACATGGCTGACAAGTGCTGATCAGGACGATCCAAATCTATCATCCATAACTACCGATTTTCCCCCACTTGTGCAACCGACCCCCGATCGTGGTCATAGTCACGTCACCATTCATCCGTAGTTAAGTTACTCGGTACTTACGCGGCGGAACTCGTCTCCGGTCAAGGCTCGTTCGTACCTTTTATCGTAAGGTCACAGCAGTGGTGAGTAGGAATGACTAACCAACGAGAGCGGGGAAGAAAAGGCAGGCATGAAAGCTTGACACACTCAATGATTCATGACTGATGCTGCACATGAATGTTTGTAAACTGATCGATGATTGGTCTGTTCTATTTGTCGAAGTTGTCTTATGGAGGTTGTAAGTGTACCCGAAAACAAAAAAAAGAAAAGAGAAAGAGAAGACAAAAAGACAAATAAAAAATAAACAAGAAGAAAAAGAGGCATTCTATTCATCCATAACTTATGATGATCTTGCATATGTAAGACTGACTCTCTCAGTGCAACCCTTTCCCATCTCCAGTCAACCATGCGGAAGAAATCTTCATTCCCGGCCTTCCGAGTGTTTCAGTAGTGGAGTCAGGGACGTCATTCAATTGCCCCAAATCTGGGTAGTAGACTAGTAGTAGTTGTACTCGAAGTACATTTGAAGTCTGGGTCGAAACCCGGTTCCTAGCGTTCGACTCAGTAACTGTTAAGGTACAGGTACTTTACACCCCTCAAAGCACCCCAAAGCACCCCAAAGCGACGGTATCTTCCGTAGATTGCCAGGTCAGGTATTCGGTACGGTATGTTTCGTATCGTATAGATACCTTCTGTACTGTGTACTCCGGACTCCGTACCACAAGACGAAATCCCGCTTGCGTCCCCCACGTGCGGGTTGTGGCGCAGTCGAAGTTCCTCTTTCTAATTGCTCTTGCTTCACCCTCCGTTGTTTTCCATCTGAAACAATAGACTGAAAGAGGATCCATTATTCCATTTTTCCCATTCGAAAAGTCAATGAAAGATTCAACAACAAGTCCTGCAAGGATGAACGAAACAGTATCTCCATCCACAAAGACATAAGGATAGCCCTGGTTGAGCTGTGGCTGTGTGTGACTCTGTGACCCTCGGTAATTGACATCAGTACTTTACAGAGAAGAGGTACGAGGCTCAGGTATGCAGTCGTATTCGGTACCGCCGTCACACTGGGGCTTTTCTCTCTCTCTCTCTTTCTCTCTCTCTTTTCCTCTGGGCTCTGTTTCTCTCAACTTCCCGATCGATCATCGCCTCCCCCCCTCAAAGTCCTCCAGCTTCTTGTTATTCACTCTCTTTTACTCTCGTCGTTCCCCATCCAATCTTTCCAGAGCCTTTTCTTTTTCTTTCCTAGCTGCTCACTAGCTGTCTTTTACTCCCACTCTTCGGGTTCTTTATATCTTCCCATTCGACTCTTCCCCCCTGGCCCCTGGCTGATCCTCGCCTACTTCGATACATTGAGGACCACCCCCCCCCTTCGCTTCTCTACTCTCTCTCTCTCTCTTCTGCTCTCTCTGTGTGCGCGCGTGTGTGGTGCAATTGCTTGTATCAAAACGGTTGCTCCGTTTTTGCTTCCACTCTTATCCAAGACATCAAACAGTGCTGAACAAGGGTTTATCAATGTCCCCTGCAGGTGTGACTTGCTGAAATTGGGTACCCGCCTGGCCTCGTGTGCACGAAGTGGCGGAAGGAAAGCCAGCTTGTCTGTCTGGTCTGTCGTCTAGCTGTTTGCTTCAGCACCGCTTTTTCTTATCTTTTCTTCCTTCTCCATCCTTGGTACACACGCTCTCACCACCTCCCCCTCCTGTTGACATCTTGAGATTTTCGACCTCGTCTGTCCCAAGCGCCCCTCGAATCCAGGTAGATTTCCCCAAGATCGCGCCCTACCGTATCGGGTCAGCCGCCCTGCCTCTCTTTTGCGCCCCCTCCCGGATTCCGTTGCCTGTCCGGTACAGGTCGCCTACTCTTGAATCTCCGCCAGGATAACGATTTGTGTCGGCTGCCTCAGTTTCCGCTCGAAACTCCCTTGCGGGATTTCGGTTTATTGTGACTGACTCTCCCTCGTCTATTGACGGTCAATCGACCCTCCATATCACCTACCTAAGTTGTATCAAATCACGACCATCTCTACGCTTCGCTCCCGCGACTACTGCCTGATAGGGATCACCAAATGGCTGGCGTGCAGCTACAACAACCAAGCATGACTGACTACCGCTTGCCGATCCATCAACCTCCGCCGCCTCGAAAGCCGGTCGCGGGGATGCACTCCGGATACCCCTACCAGTCTTATGAAGGGGCCCACCACCATCAATATGCCCCTCACCCGTCTGCCGCCGCCATTGCGCATAACCGCCGACGAACATCTTCCTCTCATGTCATACCCTACATGGGTCAACAACAACAACAACAACACCACTCTGCTGGTCCCTCTCCGCATCATTCCATGACGGCTGCGGCCCCTTACCCACCCTCTAGACGCCTGTCCAGTGCAACCACCTCCACCAGCTCCACCGGCAACACCCCGAACATGTACTATAGTGGTAATGTCTCGGATATCCGGCGAAGCACGTCCTCGCGCTCGGCCAACGCTCAACTGGGATATGTCGCCTTAATGCGGAGACAGAAGGCGACTGTTTGGTGTGATCGGGCTCAGCCAGAGGATCCGCGATTGCGGGCCCAGAAATTGGTGGATAAAAAGCGGGCATATCTGGAAGTCCATGGCGCAGGCGCCGGACGTACGGGCACCCTGGGAAGCGGCAAAAACAAGCACGGCACCAAAGGAGGCACCGACTTCTCACCCTCAGCCCTTGTGGGTGCGACGGTTCCGGTCCGCCTCAGCGCTAATGAAGTGGGCGATGCCGACGAAGATGCTCATAGCGACCGTGGCTTTCCGTACCGGCGAACTGGTAGTGGTCGCAGCTCTCTTGGAAGCAACTCGCGCTATCCCAGTGGATATCAGCGAAGCACTGTGGGTAGCAGTGGCTCGCCATCAAACGAGATGAGTGATTTGCCCGATGTGTCCGAGCATCCTCGCGCAGAAACGGCCGAAGCCGAGGCGAACAATGCCTCCATTAAGGACAACGCCTCCTTGAATAGCTTAGGCAGCGAACCGGAAGACAAATTCGGTACCCTGGCGGATATGGCCGCCCCTAGTGCTGCACGTGTTGCCATCGAGAAGGCCAAAAAGGCAGACGAGCTGAGACGTCGGGGCAGCGTGGATGATAGGACGACATCAATGACCAATGTCCGACTCTTCGTCGCCAATCCGGATTTAAGTGACTGAGGCACACCAGCTGCGCGTTCGGCATTTTCTTGGATAAGCCGTGTCACGTCTCAACCTATCTCTAAACGCAACTGTTGCTCGCTCACTTCCTCATGACAGCTTTCCTACTGCAATTTCGCCTCAAATCTGACCGCTCAGTTCAGGATTAGTCCAGTGGAATTGGCCCTAACATTACGAGGGCCGCTTCATAATTCAGGTTGTTCGTGTCTATTTTTGTATTGCAATTTTTGTTCTATTCCCCTAACCGCATGTTATTGGCGCATCCTTCGTTTTGTGTGTCGTATGATTTGTGTACGGCAAAAGGGTGCAATGTCGTTGCACACAGGTGCCTAATGGATTTATGAGTAATCATATTAATAATAATACTCATGTAAATATGGCAGCCGCTATTCTTGCAGTGGTAGAGCAGTAGGCAACGAGGGTAATTAGAGCGGTCTATCTGTTACCATGAAGACACGACCTTAGTATTCTTCGTAATGTGCAATAGAATGATAAAATATCTCAATCCCATGGATAGCATCAAGGGTTCCGAAACTGTGGTAGTTATGATGCAACTACTAAGTTAATGGATTCCAAGTTGATGATAAGATACTTACATAATCAACCACACGTTGCCGAACGCGAACTCCCGTCGCGCAACATCAATTAACGCGTTTCGGGCAACCTGGTCAGGATAGTCGCCAAGCATCACTCCCCTCTTACAGCCCTCAATCACGAGCTGACAAGAAAGAGCGAGAGTGACTGATTCTTCTTGTGAGAAAGGGAGAGCTTTTTTTCTAGTTCATTCTGTGGAAAGCATCCCCGCATGTGGGTGACGACCCCATCTTCTTCCTCTCCCTAACTCACCTGTCACACCGACTGCATCCCCATGAGCCCCGGCTTTGGCTCGGCTGGCTTATTGCAGCTGTAATTCACCTGTTGAGTTGAGTTGGTAAGTCAAGTTATCAGTTGATTAATGACGACCACATTCCCTTCATTGATTGAATCCGGCACACCGATCCGACGACACAATCCTTCATTCGCATATCAACGAAGTACTTCCCGCCGCATGCTATAAAAGAATTATCAAGGACCTTGACTACTGCGCAACATTGGTCAAGACCAGCAAGATTGTTACTATAAAGCCGCGAAGAAGAGGTGTCGACCACCGCAATGGATGCTTCCAGTCCTGTACCGTCAGGCCCAATGCCAACTTCGCCTCCGCCCTCCGCACATTCCTCGACCTCTGCCACTGGCAGTACTATTGCTACAAATAACCATGGTTGCCTCTCGCCAGCACCCACGAATGCCGACACCTCAATCATGTCCACCTCTCCCACCAGCACACGCAAGCGCTCGATACAAGATTTCGAGACAGTCGGAATGGGCTTAGAGGACCGAATGGCAGGGAGTAACTTAAAGGGTATAGATATTGAATCAACCGGTGAGACTATAGATGCTAGTGCCGTCTCCACGCAACGGGCTACGATGACGGGTACCACGACTAAATCCTCCCCTGACGATGACAAAGAAAATCAAGATGCCCTTCGGACCAATGCCCAAAAGGCTGCTAGTTCTGACAATGGCTGTGATACTGCTTGGTCTGTAGGAGAGGGAGAGGGCAACCAAACTACCCCCACTGCAGGCACCGTTGTTACTCCTTCCATTTCCTCATCGGACAATGATCATAGGAGTATTGCTGCTTCGGGGGATGGGGCCGGGTCTTTTGTGCTACCAGCGACCAAGAGGAGAAAGCTTTCCCCCCCGAGTAAGGAGGCTAAGCAACAGGAGAGGGAGGCCAAGGAGCGACAAAAGCAACAGGAGAAGGCGCGGAAAGAGGAGGAGAAGGAATTGAAGGAGAAGCAGAAAGTAGAAGAAAAGGCAAAGAAGGAGGAGGAAAAGCGCAGACGCGAGGCCGAACGGGAAGAGGAGAGACGTGTCAAAGAGGAAGAGCGGAAGAAGCGAGACGCTGAGAAGGAGGAGGAACGAAAGCGGAAGGAGGAAAAGCGAAAGGTGAAGGAAGAGGAAAAGGCCGCCAAGGAGGAAGAAAAACGAAAGAAAGAGGAGGAAAAGTCCAAGAAAGAGAGGGTGAGTAATTCAAAACCGCTCTTCGAGACAAGTCTCTGAGTCAAGTCCTCACTTCTAACTACGTCGACAGGCTCAAACGAAGCTGAATTCTTTTTTCGTCAGACCCAAATCCGACATCGCCTCCTCCGTGCCCTCCTCGACCACCAGCACCATCGCCCCAATTTCCACCAAGAAAACAATCAGCACCGGAGCTGGATTGGAATTCCCCTATGACCCGGCCCCTCCCGCCGTATCTGACTACCAGCGCGAGTTTCCTGAATTCTTCCGGCAGTCGCACACCAAAGTTGCACCGCCACATCAATTTCAACGTGACGCGGAAGCCCTCCATCGTACCCAAGAGAAGGTCGACGCCTATCTAAAAACGACCGCGACCGAAGAGCCTCCTGTGTTTCGTCCTCAGGAGTTGTTCAACCTCATCCCGTACAGGCGCAGGTGTGGGAGATTGCCCGCTCCGGTGAAGGAGATCCTACTTCAAATGCAAAGTCTGGCTGACGAGGCCGAAACGTCAGAAGATGCCCAGAGAAAGCCACGGGATTTGCTGCGCCAAATAACGATGAAGTCTTTCAGGTTTGGGGAAGATGTACGTCCTCCCTATCAGGGCACATTTACGAAGCGCCTTCCCGAGTCCACCGCTCGTCGATTGATGCGCAACCCTTTTCACCGAGTAATACCGAACATCAACTACGACTATGACTCCGAGGCCGAATGGGAGGAGCCCGAGGAAGGCGAAGAGCTCGACTCGGAGGAAGATGATGAGATGAGTGAGGACGGCGAGGACGATATGGATGGGTTTCTGGACGACGAGGATGACCAGCTTGTCGACGGCAAGCGACGCCTCATTGTGGGCGACCTAGAACCTGTCAGCACCGGCATACAATGGCAGGAACACGGTGTGAATTCCGAGCTGCAAATGTACAAATTGGAGACCATTTGCGACTCGGTGCCTTTCCCTATCGATCCGTTTTCCACCGCGTATTGGCAAAAGCCCAAGCCTGCAGAATCTGCGCCAGGCGCTGCGGGTCTGGGGCGGTCGACGCTACATGCATTTATGGGCCAGGCTGTCTCCGGCTCACACAAGGGCTCGGCTGGGGGAGGATCGACGGCGAGTGGGGGCGCTCTAGCGGTGGTTACAGCCGGACGAACTAAGCAGCGGACATTCCCAGCTGAGCAGTTGGACGAATTCAAGCAGGTGGTAGATGGCAGCAACCTGACCAAGGTGGGATTGCTTGAAACCTTGAAGAAACGGTAAGACGTTGGTCCACATGGTGACTTGTCTTGAAACAATGGGAGGCTAATCTCTGAGGTTGTGACGTGATAGGTTCCCCAGGGTCTCGAAGGATGTCCTGAAAGACACGCTCAACAGCGTGGCCACGCGAGTAGGACAAAAGGAGGTTGACAAGAAATGGGTCTGTAAATAGGCTCAGACAAAGGACAGCAGCGAGGGGATACAACGCATTCAAGGGGTGGCATCACCACCCTTGTTCCTAATCAATGGGCCCAGTCAATTGAGCTGATCGACAGGCCGTTCGGCAAGAATCCGTGCCCTTTCTTTTACATATCCATACTTATCTCTATTCCCCCTATTCTCTATTCTTGTCGTGTCATTTGTAGTATGCATCCTCTGCAGTTGCGTCTTGTGTCTTGAACATGACTGTGTTCATCCTAAGGCTGCTGTGGTGTGGTGAGAGGGGAAGAGAGACGGCTGATATTGATCTTAATTGATACCTCATTGACTGGATTGAGGAAGACTCTTGAAGCAATCTGACTGGTTTCCAAATTCGCTGTTACTCAATGCTTCTATACATCGTCTCTATTTTGAGGATCTACTTGTGAGTGAGATAAATTGCTTTGATGGATGGATGTATTGCACATGTTGTACTTTCAGCTTCGGTATGCTAACGGAATAGACTTTCTGTACTCCGTACTTGTATGTAGATTAATGTACAACCAGTCAACCACAGTAAATTACTACTGTACCACCGTTCCCAAGGCCCTGGGAAACCAGTGGGGCCATTTTTACTACTTGCGACTGCTGTGGTCTGCCAGCAAAGCGACTAGCGGCATAACCTAATTTTGTCTGACAGCCAGCCTCCGACACCTACATTAGTACATAGTACATAATACATACCTACTAGTACATACTGCATACTACCTAAATAGTACATTGTACTCCTTCTGCTTGCTTGCGCATGCTGGGGATGAGAGGGAATGTAGGAGCCACCCATCATATGATATCGATCTAGTAACTCCGTAAACAGCGAGTAACTACCTAGATATTTGGAGGTACTCCGTCACAACAAGTTTCCACGAATCCACCGGACTGTCCGGTGAATGCACTACTAACCCATTCAGGATTAAATTTGAAGACTCCAGGCAGTGGCAGATGAACACGTGCAGCAAGTGGGGGGAATGGAGTTGAGGGGACTCGTTTTAACTGGATCAGGATAAGCGCCGTAGTGTGCCAGCTGAACAGATCTTGTTCCAGTTCGTTTTCTTCAGTGACCCTCTTCTGAGTCCAGTGTCTGAGTGTCTAACCTGCAACCCCCCCTTCCCGGGCAAAACAACCAACCACCTATTAAGGTCAAGAGAATCGGTCGGTTTCAGCTCCAGACATCCCTAAATCTGCGATATTTGCCAACGCAGTAAGGGAAGACAGAGGCCGGGGGTGGAAAGGGCCAGTCAACTGATCAGAACAAGGAAGATGAGTGAGGAGGGGGATTTTTAGGCCCCTCCATCCATGCATACATGCATGCACTGCCAACACATCAAGAAATGGATCTCTTCTCTCTTCTCTCTCTCCCTTTCCCCCCACGTCCACTGCCCGTTCTTGGAACCTTCAATGTTTCTTATGTTGGTTTCTGAGTTGGACTTAGGTGACCAGTGGAGAGGAAGCAATCTTGCTTGGTTATAGGAGGGGGATTGTGTAAGGTCGAACTTTCCAACAGCCATAGCAGAGTAACGAGGATTATGGATCAGATGAACAGCTATGCGCGAGTCTACTTCTTACTTCTGTACTGTTACTTCAAGTACTCGGGAGGTACCGCTTGCCCGCCTGGAACCCCGGCAAGGTACCGTGTCTGGACTACCACCGGACCGCATCATCACTGCATGTGTCCGATTCGAGTCACCGTTTGAAGGTTCAATCACTAGTAGGTACCCAGAGGGACTCTAGGCTGACAGGCTGTACAATGTAACTACTACTACTACTGTACCTGAGAGGAGAGAAAGAAATACTATTCTTTGTAATTCGTAGTCTTCCTTTTCCAATGAACTAGACTAATCCGATTTTATTCGATTCGTTGGCATCCACTAACTAACTACTCCGTACTGCTGTCTCGCTAATCCTACTTCTTCTTCCATTTCTTCTCTTTCTTCTCCGCTCCTCTCCTGCTGGTCATCATCCTGGCTGCAAGTCATCTCATCATACCGCCCACAGGGCCCCCCGGTCGGCCAGTTGTCCTTCTTCCCCCTCCCCTCCTGTCGACAACCACTTTTCCACCTTGACAATCAATCCACTGAGTATAACTAACTTACAAGAACCACGGGTCGGATTGATCTATCTTCATTCTGGACTCCGCTTTTGTTGTTGTCATTCTTGGTGGATCCCTCCGCCCTCCCCCCACGAACCGATCTCTATTGGATGACCTTACCTTAACACAGGGTCACTTTAGTACCTCCTAGAGTCACACTGTACTAAGTACTTAAGTAACTAACCACCTAATTAACTACCTTAGGTACTTAGTTACTACTGACTAAAGTGACCACAACCATCTCCAGCTCTCTACCCCAGCTATAATTACAATTGACCTACCTACCCTTCTGCCTCTTATCAACTACCTTCTCCACATCCTTCCCCTTCCCATCCCCATCTTCTCTCTCATCGCCCCTCCGATCGCCTCAGCTCAACCTGGAGCGCGTCATCGCGTCCACCATTCATCAGCTTCGGCCTCGGGACTCGACTTATGAGGACAACTGTCCACCTCCCATCACAAGTCTAGGTGAATCATGCGATAGGAAGAAAGACTATCTCGCCAGGGGCACCTTGCGACCTCGACCATCTTCCTCGTGGCTGCTTGGCTGGGGAACCGTCCATGGCAACACCACCATGTCCGATGCCCAATCCGATGGTCGTTCTTCGTCACCCTTGGCTTATGTGACCTGTAAGTGCGCTGCTTGCTCTTCTCCTTTCGCCCTTTTTCCTTAAAAATCTATTCCTCTTCGTGTTATCACGTCGCAAATCCAACTCAATGCGCCTACTCTTCTCTTCAGACCGTTGGGTTACTCGTCAGTGCCTAGTATTGATCATTAGCTGACCTGTGCTGTGCTCACTTATCATTTATGCCTTAGCCTCGACCCCTTCGTCCATTCAGCAAGCCACCTCGCCATGTGAGGCTGCGCATCCATCTTTGATCTCCACTGCGTTTGCTACTATGCTTCCTTCAAGGACTTCTCCTGACTCAATGACGAACTGCATTGTAGGTAAGTCTGGCAACCCGAGCTGCTGCGGCTCGCAGCGCCCAGCCTCTGCCAATTGCACCCTAGATGGACCTCAGGACACCCCGCGCTCTAACAGAGCCGTGGAGCAACCCAAGATTTCCTTTGAGGATTTGGCCAGTCAATACCGTCAGAACCAGCACAAACAAGCCGGCCGAAAACGACTAGAAGCTCGCCTACATGCCACCAAAGTCTTTATGGGCGTTTCCGCCCGCTTGATCCGTGTGGGAGCTGCTGCCCAAAGAGCCCTGGTGGACCGGCTCCGCCACGACGACAAGCCAAATTTCATTACTCTTTACCACACTCTCGTTGATCTTCAAGAGTCGTGCGATGCGACCTTTTGGCGCCAGTCCCAGCGGCAGGATCCACTGGAAGAGCTGTCGCCTATCCGGGAGTCGGTTGTCGACCGTCCTCCGGACTTTTTCCTGCAGCTTAGCCCCCAATCCCGAACTGATTTGCTTGACATTTTACATCTGGTCCGCACAGATCCACAATTCGTGTTTGAAAGACTGCGTGCTTTGACTCCTACCCAACGAGCGGCCTTTGTTTCCTCCACTGGTGCCCCTTGGGAATCTGGCAGTGATCTCTCGTCCTCGGCAGCATCTCGGTCCCGGTCCCATGGGATAAAGCGCAGCTTGGCCGCTTCTCTATCGTACAAGGACCGCATCCTGGCACTTGAACGCAAAGATCCTCTATCGATATTGCTCTTTGATATTTTTGCATCCCCGCTGGATTCCGATGGTGCGGAAGCACGGTTACGTCTCAATGTCTGGTCCTCTGTCTGTGCCAAACTTCTAACCCAGGATGGCAATGGACACGGAGCTCTCATCCCCCATATTCTGACTGCCTGGGCCACAGCAAGTGAGTGGAAAGCGAAGCCGAAGTTTGAACTCTATCTCATGGATATGTTGCAATCGGGCGCATTCCTCCTGGAGCATGTGGAGACACCACCAGGCTTAAAGGTGGATATGGAGCCTCTCGATCCCTTACGGACAGATGTGGCCGAGGAGTTCTTTACTGCCGCCGTAGATGCGCTGTTCCAACTTCTGGATGACCCAGATGGAGGGTTTCCCGAGGCTGTGATGCAACTTAGCTGCGCTATCTTACGGAAACTAGATCGTCCGGATGATCGTAACCGGTTTTTTGAGTTGCTATTCGTTCAATGGTTCTTCGCCAAATACTTGTACGGCGCACTTACTTTCCCCGAGGTATAAGATTGTCCTTTGTTAACATGATCTTTTCGGAATTTTTGCCGCTGATCTGCTTCTAGGCCCATGGTCTTCTGCTTGATTTTCACGTCCGTGATGATGCCCGTGAGAAACTTCTCGGGCAGGTGGGTCTTCGTGCGTATTCGCAAGTCTACGCCATACTACGTTCAATGTCAGCCTCCGTCCTACTTGGAAGTCATATTCAAAGCTTTTGAAAGCCATCTAATCAATTTCTTCTAAGCAGGCACCACTATTCGGTTCGCCTTACTGTGAGGCGTAGGGTAGAAAGCATGCTAAGTCGATTCCAGACTGGATGCGCTAGCCACGATCTGAGCCTGAAAGTACCGTCTCGCGAACACTCGAGTCGCCAGCAATCACCTGCTGGAACTATATTGCTTTCTGCTGCTGACGTTCTTACATTACTGAACACACTCTATTCTAGGTCATCTACCCCAACGTGCACTTCTCCAAAGTTATCTTCAGGAGCCTCTGCCGCTCCAAGTGTTCTCTCTAATCATCCCGAACGACCAATGACTGCCGTAGCGGAGCCTGGATTCTTCAAACCCGTCCATGGATCCTTTCCCAGGCATGCGAGCCAATGCCAGAATCTTTTTGCATCTGCAGTGAACTTCTCTCACGCTGAACAGAGCATTAGCCGCAATGCCGACAGAATCCGGTTCGAGCTCTCTGAAATGTGCGGCCTTGATGGTCGGGCTGTCCTCGAACCTCCGGCTGCCGAAGAATGGGCCGTCTTCTCGGTCTCCGAGTACGGTAAATTAGTCTGGGGATTGTTCACCGACGACTGCCGGCCTCCATTCCTGGAAAGTATCTTTGTTGAGGATACCCAGTCTGCCGCTTTAGAATTGGAGAACAACTTCGAAGCTCTTCAGACGGCCATCGTGAAGTTAATCCTGGAGAACCCCGCCGACGACGGTGGTGGTTGTGACCTTCGACAATTTGAGAACCTTCCCATGGTCGATAGTGCAACGCTCAAGCAGCGCTTCGACAAGGCCATGAACCGCTGCCATCACGAATCAGACTTCATTGGGGCTCATTATTGGTGGAATGCCGGCCGTCAGCTTCTTCGCAGTACTGCGAATTCCCCTGATAGGCTTGCAGACGATACATGGATCCTGGAGCCAATGCATAAATCCTGTATCCATTCCCTCCGGATTTCACGAGCAGTAATTGAACGATGTGAATCAGAACTCGTGGCGCTCCATAGACAGACTCAGCGACTGCAGAAAATGGGGAGAAATATGATGGCCACCGTTGCTAAACTCCGCGACAAGATGTGGTATATGACAGACGTGAAGAACTCGATGAGGTATGAAGATGCTAAGAACGTTGCCTTGGCGCTGAAGACGATGATCTATTCTGCTCGCATGCAGAGGCAGACGCCCAATGAAGTTCGATCCCGTGGCAATGCGAGAGCACCGGGGGGCTCATTCCTTCAGAAGCCGGAGCTTCAAGTCATGAATATCATGAAAGCGCCCAGCAGCCAAGGCGGCCCAAACAAGCTCTCAGATGAGCAGGTGGACCTGATTTCCAAGTGGCTATCCCATAACAACATAGACAATTTCTGCAAAGGTGAAGAGCGCATCCACAGGTTTTGTTATGAGGTCCAAGCCAGTATCAATCGCCTCGTTGGAGAGAGCATGGCAGAGACCCCAGTTCTATGGGCCAGCGAGCTATACCATAGGGAGCGAGTCAAGTACGAAGGCTCGTCCTATCGAAATTTCCTGGGCCTCTCTTCAATTCGATCATTTGTCGGTCCTGGCGAGGATTCCGCGCACCTCCCTCAGGGTTATGGCAACCAGTCACGTCCAGCCGACTCCGGCTCGCGGTATTCGTCGGGTGCGTCGTCCCTCGATCATAAAGCTTCCTATCAGAGTCTGCTGTCCGACAAGTGGAAGGGGCTCCGAGATCCCTCGGTCGCAGACACGTCCTCCATCGGGGGCTCCCCAGGAAGGGCGGCATCAACTGCTACGGGAGACTCATACAGCACCTTCTGGTCAACATCACACCAACCAGCACAGTACGCACCTAGCTCTTCGAGTATCTATTCTAGACCACCGTCAACGTTCAGTGATAATAGTGCACCACCTGCATGTCGAAACGACCGCAAGACGCAAGACAAAGCAGCCTTCATAGATGATCTCAAGCAGACGCTCACGAGCTTGCTCCTCAGCGACCTCGGCTCTCCTGTGTGGAGTTGTGGCAGTGAGACCGATGCTTGGTTTGGGAACGCACTAAATCAGCAACGCATACAGACGCAAATGAAGAAGCGCGCTCGCCTTCAACGATTCTACACCGAATGTGATGAGCATCTCGTCCGTAACATGTTGCACCGTGTACCTTCAGACCGTGCGCGGAGCAAGTCCCTTGGGCCGGCAGATCGCACTCCGCTTGGTGAGCGCGTAGCCTCGGCCTCGGGTCCTTCTTACGGAACTCGAAATGGTCTCGGACAAGACACATCGCAATTCTCCTATAGCGCCATTTTTCATCGCCTCATCGAGGTCTTCTCGCGTCATGGAAACCCTTTTGTCAAGCTCAAGGCGCTGCGCGATCTCCGAGCATTGGTTGTCGCCTTACTCAACACAACGAATGAGGAGCTGGTTCCGTTTTCTCCAGCCCAAGACCCTATGTGCCAGCGAGGACGCAGCTCCGGTGTACACGGAAAGAGAAATGCTCGACACAGCTTCTCAGAGTCCCAAGCAAAGCGCGTACACGAGAAAGACGCTTCACACGCGCCTACATCCGCCGTCGCTGAGTCTGTCATCTTCGACTGCCGCCCTTCAGACTACAGCGGCCCCACTGAGCATCAAATTGTAGATGCACTGCGGGGCTTACTCCTTGAGGTGAAGCCCAAGACTCTTTTTCGAGATTTACAGTTTATCTCGGCCTTTGTTCCAAGCGAGACGCTGAATCAAACTGACTCTGGAACCTCGTTCTTGCAGTTTGGCCTAGCAGCGCTCAGCCTCAAGGATGAAGTGTGTAACAGTATGGTTGAGATAGCCGATAGTATTGTATCCCAGGAGCTCAGTCGGCGTCATCCTACTGGATACGAATCCCATCCTGGGGCAGGACATGCCATCGAAGATGCTGCTGGTATGTGGATTATCACAGCCAAGGAGGGCAATCCAGTTGCCCAACGGGAGTTGGCGATTCTCTACCTCACCCATCCCGAGCTCCTGCCGCGGGTTACACTCCCGCTCACTCTGCTGCGGGATACATTCAAGGCGGAGATGATGTACCGCCGTGACAAGGACTCGAAATCTGACCCTCAGAGCATGTGCCTGGCCCTGCACTGGATGCAGCTGTCGGCCACTGGCGGAGATGAGCTTGCACGCAATTGGCTTCGTGAGCGCGAGGAGTTCGAATTGATTGTATAGCTATTCTGTTCTCTCTTTCCCTCCTGCGCTTGTGGTTTGGTACATATCTGAGTTTTCCTGGCTCCCTCGCATCTTTCTCTTTCTATGTGAATGGTCTTCCCTTGCTCTACCGCGTGTTCTTCGTTTTCTAATCCTTGACTTGCCTTTCTTCGCGTTTGACGACCTGATACCATTGATAACCTTCTGTTCTTGACTGGAGAATTCAGTCTACATACGGCGACTAATTCCTGTGCATATACAAGTACAGCTTTTTTTCTTTTCTCTTCTTTGTTTTCGCAGGCTTGGATGGACGGGCTTAGATGCCAGCGGCGTATAATACTTTCATTCTAGTTGTAAGTCTCCTTTCTTGGCAAGCACGCAAGGGTCATGAAGATTCCCCTATACACTTACCCAATGCTTTATGTCTGGGACGGCTCTCTGCTGATTTATTATTATTGTTATCATCATCATCATCATCACTATATTCGGCTATTTGACCAGGTATTTAACATATAGAAACACGTTCCTTTCTATTCCGAGAGTGCTTCAAGGGGGGAGCCGAAGTTGGCAAGTGCCAAATGTCAGGCGTAGAGTGACAGAACAAAACTGGAGTACAAGATCGGTGTTGGGCGATGACGGACAAGACTTCTTAAACTTGCCATCCCCTTTGAGCACAGTACATATATCATAGCCGCTGGAAAAGCTAGTGACCTTACTAGATTTTATGCATCAAGCGTTCAGAAAGATGATATGGATAGAATGTCTGCACCTTACTTGGATCATGAATTGCTCCGTAGGAGTCGCGGATCCCTCTCAGGCAGGAAACAAATGCCCCACGCGCCCTGGCAGTGGTGAGAAAGCGACCGACTGACAGGCGAAAGATCGCCTCTTTGGGTGCTCAGGTAGCAAAATACTGCAAGTTAACCAGTTGTTGTTGATGTTGTGTGTCGCTCTCGACGTCATCGGGAGAGGCACAGGAGGAGGAAGAAGAAGAAGAAGAAGAAGCCCCACGTGCTTCTGCTCCTCCTCCTGTTTCTCCCCCTCCCCTTCCATTCTCCCTGTCATTCATCCTTTTTCCTCCCTTCTCCCCTCGTCCCTCTTCTTTTCGACCTATATTCAGATAAATTCAGATCAGAACCTATCAAAGCGGCTTCAAAACTGGTCAGCTTTCCGCTTAGTGTAAGTAGACTACAGTATTGTGATGTACGCGTGTGACTTCCTGTCACCGCTTGGCCGGAGGCTGAGAATTTCGGTCAGCTCAGCCTCAGTCGCTGCTGGCCTTGCATCCGTGAACTTTGATAGCAGCTGACTCGTCTGATCCCTGTCAGGTCCAATCTTGAGACACACCTTCCCACCCTCATTCTCGTCGCTTTTGTCTCGTTATCCTTCGATCTCTGTTACATATAGTTGGACTCTCGCCCAAGTCTGTGCCCAGGCCCCTCAACTCAAACAATCTTCGTCCAAATACAATGACCTCTCTCGTGCACCACATCATGGAGGACGCCCAAAAAAGGCCCAAGGGTAAGTGATTTGGTACGTTGTCCTTGATGAAGTACGGCTCTTAATCAGCTGTGCGCCAGGTATCCTAAAGAACTCTAGTGGCTCGATTCCGCAGATCGCGCAAGTTCATGACAACTTGACCGTCCCGCAGCAGAACAACCCCGACGGGGTCGACACTAAAGAACTGACATTGCAAAATACTCTTCAAAATGCCGGTCGCCGTCGCTCTATCTCGAACACGCGCCCTGGATCCTCGTCTCGGCGACAATCAGTGGCGCAAATCCACGGTCAACCGGAAGACAACTCGCCGCGCTTGAAATGGGATGAGGCCAATTTGTACTTGACCGAACAGGAGAAGACGGCCAAGATGAAGATTGATGAACCCAAAACACCGTTTGCACCTCATTACGACCCCGCTGAGGATGAGGAGGAGGAGCTTGAAGCAGAGACTACTTTAATTGACGCGCAGGGAGTGGTGGTAGATGAACTGGACAAGACAATGAAGGCACCTAAGAGAGCAGTGACCGAAGACGACATTCCTGAGTTGGAGTTGGGCGAGCCGGAAGAGTCATTCGCTGGAGATGCGCACGCTGGGGGAAATGACCGGATCGTGCGCGAACGGAGCCTGAGTAATGAGTCGCACCGAAGCAACAAGCATGTGGTCATGGGTGCGGGCGACGCAAATGGCGATTTAAAATCCGGGCCTGATGGGCTGATCACGTCGCAAGAGGCCGCGGAGAAGCATCGTCAGTTTGAGCAGCACCGGAAGCAGCATTACGAGATGCGTAACATCAAAGAACTCCTGGCGTAAGGCCCCGTCTGCCCCTATCTTTGGGACTGTTTGACTAACTGATTGGGACTTGCAGCCATCCCGAATTGGATGAAATGGACGAGGACGATGACGAAGTTGAAGAGGGATCCACAACCGCGGCAGTACCACCACCTATGCCCCAGATTCCAGGGCCATTTCTCAACGGCAGCAGATCCGATTAGCGGAAAAACAACTGGCTTTGATCTTGTCTGTTGCGCTCTGATTACTTTGACCTCCATTACTTGCTGCATACATCTCCTAGCTGTATATTCCCAAGCGTTGGCTTTGGGTCCGAACGACCCTGTATGTGCTCTACGAAGTGTAACTCTTTCATTGCACTTTTTTTTTCACTTCCGTATTGCCCTCCTTCTTGCTTCCTCTTCCTTTTACATTTCTTCTATCACCGGACGTTATTTGATTTCTCCTTTTCAGGATGGGTCTAGTCGGCGAGTCCGACGGATGAGATGGGCGTCGCTGTCTGCCTGCAGGAATGCGATTGAACTTGTTTCATTGCCGAATATTGCTCACATAGTTCCAAGCAGAGACAAATCCCAGCAAGGGGACTCGTCCTTTGCTTCAACGTTTAGATAGCAGGACTGCATTAAGAAGGGGAGTCCAACGAAGAGGATAAAAATAACTAACATACGGTAGTAGTAGGGCACGCAACAGTGCCGGAGCTGGAGCCGAGAATAGCAGCAACACCGATCGATGTATCAGACGGTCGGACCATGCATGACTCAGTGGATACAGTGTAACTACTAGTTAGCGGTACGTACTGTACTGTGTACCTATGGGCCTATAGTATGACCGATAAGACAGGGACAGCTGGATGCGAGCTGCACTGAGTAACTTTTCTCTGCCAGGGGAGGAAGCATACGTTGTGTTCTTCTCTCTCTCTTTCTCTCACTCTCACTTTTCGTTCCTGATTACCCTTCCAAACATCTTCCCTTCCTTCTTGCTCCCTTCTTCTCATTTTTCATCGTCATTTTCAGCTTTGTTTCATTCTGAAACACCCTCGCAGCAAGAATCAAATTAGTACATACTGCGGAAGATATTACTTAGTCTCCGAGACGGTTGTCAATCGTCCCAGGCGGGACCCATTGGCAGCTCCACAATCTAGACCCTCCCGGTCCCAGAGATAGTTTCAGGTTAAATGACCCAGTGAAATTAGAGGTGGTATTTCGTAGTGTACTCCGTACTTACTTCGTGGCTCGTACAGAGTAGCTCTTTGGTAGCCTAAACAATTGGTGTGCGTGATCTGTTGTGTTTGTTATTGCCTGGTTGTTCTCTCCGCCTTCGCATTCCCTATTCTTCCCTCACACTCTCTCGGACTTCCTTTCTCCATCCCTCAATTCATCCATTGATTATCTCTGCCATCCCCGTGGTCAGTCACTCGACCACTATCCAGAAAACCTCCGTTCTTGGGGAAAGCTCACTCTTCATCGTCCCTGTTCACCATGACCGACCAACAGGAGAAGATGGCGACGTCGGTCGTTCCTAAGTCACAGCCTGCCACCACCACTACCACCGCCGTTTCTACAGATCCCCCCCAGCCCGCTACAGCTGTCGCTGCTTCCGCTGATGCTGACACTGTCGCTGAACCTCAGCCAGAGCAGACAGCCTCAGAATCTTCTCTCACACCCGCTACTACTACTGCTGCTGCTGCTGTTGATCCTCCGCTCCCTGCCATTACCGAAGCTCCCCTTGCCGAGACTGTCCCCGTCCCAGAAGAGAAGAAGGAGAGCGAGGAGGACAAACCAGTGATTGAGGAATCCAAGAAGGATGAGGCCCAGGAGGAAGAACTGAGGAAGCAGAGCAACGAAGAGCAGCCCGCTCAACCGGAATACCTGGCTAAGAACCCCGCTCTCAGTCAGTTCTTTGACCGCCTGCCTGCCATTCTCTCTGCGACCGGCCACTTTGAAATGTGGGGTGTGACCTTGAAGGACTCCCAAGATATCCCCACGATCAACGTGCTCATCAAGTTTCTGCGTGCCAATGAAGGCAACCTTAAATTGGCCGAAGAGCAGCTAACCAAGGCTCTGCAATGGCGTAAGGAGATGAACCCTATTGCGCTGACTGAAGGCCGATATAATGCTGAAAAGTTCGGCGGTCTCGGCTATGTGACCAAGTACACCGAGACGGATGGTCAGGAGGTGATAGTTACGTGGAATATCTATGGAAGTGTTAAGAATGTAGAGGCCACGTTTGGTGATTCGGATGAGTTAGTCACCTCCCCCGTGCGAATGTTGTCAACCCCGAGCTAACCTTGGATCAAGGTTCATTAAGTGGCGGGTGGCACTGATGGAGCTGGCAGTCAAGGATATGAAGCTGAGCGAGGCAACGACCGTGATCGAATATGATGGAGAGGATCCATACCAGATGCTTCAAGTCCACGACTACTTAAATGTCAGCTTCCTCCGTTTGAATCCCAGCATCCGTGCAGCGACCAGAAAGACCATTGAGGTGTTCGCCACCGCGTACCCGGAGCTGCTGCGCGAGAAGTTCTTCGTCAACGTCCCTGCTATTATGGGCTGGATGTTCGCCGCGATGAAGGTCTTTCTCAGCAAGAACACCACGCGCAAGTTCCACCCCATTTCGAACGGCGCCAACCTGGCCCGCGAATTTCCGGCTTTGAAGGACCAGTTCCCTAAGACCTACGGTGGAAACGGTCCTTCCTTGCAGGAAAGTGCCTACACCGTCAAATTGGAACAGAGTGCTCCCGTTCTCGCTGCCGCCACTGATCCCAAACTGGTTGCAGAGGCTTTGGAAGATAATAAGACTCCGGCTGAACCTGAGGCCCCTAAGGAGGAGTCTCAGACGGCGGGAACCACCAAGGCCGACCCTACGGTAACGGCCGAGGAGACAATGGCTGTGGGGGTCGCCAAATGAGTGTGGTTATGCGGCTTGTGTCTGGTGCTACAATGCTCACGGCAGGATGGGGGGGTTGGTTGGGCGGGGGGAATGGTTGCCCAGGATTAATTGAGTGATACCCGGAGGAATTGGTAGATTGATTGCGTGTTGTTTTTGTATACTTGTCATCTCAGAACCATTGTGCTTGCGAGCCTTGGCTTGGAGCATGTTGTTCCTCCAGATATTAATTTCTAATGATGCATGACTACTTCATGACACCAGTTTCAGTAAATAACATATTTGACATGTGGTAACTACATGGCTAAAATTAATTAGTTGACTGAGGCTGTTGGCTTAAGTGCCTATGATGACTAAGCGGGCATATTCGCCGATCGACATGTTGGACAATTGAAACTCTTCTTGGACTCCAAAGCAAGGCGGAAAACTGGGCACACAGGAATTGAAGCTTTCAGCTATCTTGTCAATGCTTGCTTAGTCGGTATTCGCTGTGTCGTTATCACTGACTTGTCTCGCTTGATCTGAATTGCTCCCGTGTTTCTCTCCCTCCAATAGCAGCTGAAAGCAGCCATGTCGGAAACACATATCGCTCCGTGGAGGACGCCTGCCCAGGGTCATTTGACTCCTGATAGTCATGGTGATGCCAGAACGGACTACACCCGGTGGCGACTACGGGACGATCGTGGTCGACAGACGTGGCACTATCTCGAGTCTGATGAGGAGTGCGAAAAGTGGCCGCAGACGGTGGCAGATAAATACTTTCTGGGTTTGCCTACGGTATGTCCTGCCTGGTGCGCGCTCCGCTCTGCGACTACACTGTACCTGACCAGAGTATCTCCAGGGCCTACCCGAGCTTCCAACGCCCCAGACCCCACTTCAATGTGCAGAGAACGGCTTGGAATTTTTCTCCAAACTGCAGCTTGAGCCGGGCAACTGGGCCTGCGAGTATGGTGGACCTATGTTCCTGCTACCGGGGCTTATGATCACCTACTATGTTACGCATACTCCAATCCCCCCGGAGTACGCGACCGAGATTAAGAGATATCTCTTTGCCCGGCAGCATCCGGAAGACGGTGGCTGGGGTCTTCACATTGAGGCCCATAGCTCGGTTTTTGGGACGTGCATGAACTACGTTGCGCTGCGATTGATTGGTGTTAGTGAGGATGATCCCCGCATGGTCAAGGCCCGCGGCCTACTTCATAAGTTCGGGGGTGCGCTCTATGGCCCTCATTGGGCGAAGTTCTTTCTCAGCGTGCTGGGCGTCATGGAATGGGATTGCGTGAATCCCGTTCCGCCAGAAATCTGGTATGTCGGGTTGTGGTCCTTATCCGATTGAGATGGGAGATGTTCATGATCATAGGTTACTTCCGGACTGGGTGCCATTTGCCCCTTGGCGGTGGTGGATTCACATTCGACAGGTCTTCCTGCCCATGTCTTATCTGTGGTCGAGGAAATTCGCCCATCCACTAGACCCCCTCACCAAACAGCTCAGGCAAGAACTCTACACGGAACCGTATGATTCGATCGACTTTGCTGGCCACCGCAACTCGATACACGCCGCAGACAATTACTACCCAAAGACATGGCTTCTAAACACGTTGAACTCGGTTCTTGTCAATTTCTGGAGCCCCTACTTCCGTGTCTCTTCGGTGACCCGTCGTGCGGAAGAGTGGACTTGGGAGCTGATTCGGATGGAAGATGAGAATACGGACTACGCTGGATTGGGCCCGGTAAGCAATCCTATGAACATGATTGCGTGTTACGAGCATGACGGCCCCGATAGCTACTCTGTTCGCCGGCATCGTGAGCGCTTGAATGATTACATGTGGATGAAGGATGAGGGCATGTTGATGAACGGCACCAATGGTGTCCAGGTCTGGGACACCACATTCATTATCCAGGCTGTTGTTGTGGCTGGCTTTGCAGCAGACCCGAAGTGGAGACCTATGTTGACCAAAGCACTGGAGTTTGTGGAAGACCATCAAATGCGCGAGAACGTGCCCGACCAGGAGAAATGTTATCGCCAGCATCGGAAGGGTGCGTGGCCATTCAGTACTAAGACGCAGGGATACACAGTCAGCGATTGCACTGCCGAGGGTCTACGAGCTACGATTCAGCTACAGGAGATGCACGACTTTCCAAAATTAATCTCGACGGAGCGATTGAAAGACAGTGTCGATTGTTTGCTGCTGATGCAAAACCCATCCGGAGGGTTTACCGAATATGAGACCACGCGTGGATCGACCAAGCTGGAGTGGCTCAATGCCGCGGAAGTATTCGGAGGCATCATGATCGGCTACGATTATCCCGAGTGCACAACGGCCTCTGTGACTGCACTTTCACTCTTCAGCAAGTATTTCCCTGACTACCGCGCCGATGAGATTCGAGCCGCCAAGGAGCGAGCCGTGAAGTATATCAAGCGGGTGCAACGGGCTGATGGTAGTTGGTACGGATCGTGGGGAATCTGTTTCACTTATGCGGCTATGTTCGCCTTGGAAAGTCTGGCAAGCATCGGCGAGACATATGAGACCAGCGAAGATTCCCGCCGCGGCTGCGAGTTCTTGTTGTCGAAACAAAAGGAAGACGGTGGCTGGGGCGAGTCATATCTCAGCAGCGAAAAGCATGTGTACGTGCAACACGAGACGTCACAGGTGGTGCAGACAGCGTGGGCCTGTCTAGCCTTGATGGAAGCGGGCTATCCTCACAAGGAACCTTTGAAACGGGCGATGAAGCTTCTGATGTCACGACAACAGGCAAACGGCGAATGGCTGCAGGAATCTATCGAAGGAGTATTTAATCAGTCGTGGTAAGTGTCTTTCTAAGATTCATTGGTTGCCTGCCTAGTTGCTAATGTGATTGGCAGTATGATCTCCTATCCGAATTACAAGCTCTACTGGCCGATTCGGGCTTTAGGATTGTATGCACGCAAATTCGGCAATGAACCCTTGTGAAGTGTAGCGACTGGGTCATAGTTATCTGTACAATAGAATAAACTTGAATAATAGGGCAATGCTAACAGAGTCCTCATGGTCAATCAGATTGTTAGTTGATCCTTGGCTTCATTTCTGAGGATCGATTTCGAGGAGAGAAAGTATGGATCACGTGGCTGTGCTATTGTTTGCTTTCCCGCAGTCGATTTCTCCAACTTTCGAACTACTTCTTTCTTCTGCTTCCTAATGTCCGAGAACTTGCTTGGTTATACTCATTATCCTATACTATTATCTCTCCCGTGCTCCCAGCTGTAGAAGACAAGATTCAGCAAGACTCTCACATTCACATGTGACTCTCGGACTTTACACACCAAACAGACGCAATCCCAACCTCCGCGCACAAGAGTATCTGATTCCGGCTTGTCCTTCACCCCCCGCCCCCACCCCCCCCAACCCCCAAACCCCACAAAACGGAGAGAACAAAAGACGAACGGAACTCAAGGAGACCGGGAAAATAAAACCAGAAAACCAGAAAAATAGGATGGACGCAGCATCCCAAGGCGATACCGCCTGCAGTCAATCCGACTACCCCCGCGCCCTCGTTCACTACACTACCGCCCTCCTCGCTTCGCCTCGTGCTCCAGCCTACTACATCAAACGCTCTACCGCTTTCTCGCGCTTGAAACCTGCCGACTCGCTGGCCGCGCTACGTGATGCTGAAATCGCAGTGATCCTGGCTCGGGAGCGCGGCAAGCGGGAGCTGATACTTGCGGCGCAGATGAGGCGCGGGGTGGCTCTTTTTCAGCTCGGACGGTTCGGGGATGCAGACTTTGTCTTTAGGCTGATTGAAGAGAAGCTGAACGGTCAATATAAGGGAAGCGCTTCTATGGGGGCGAAGCCGACGGAAATGGAGGAGAAGGTAATGAGCGCCATGGCGGTGGGTAATAAGTCGGGTGGTGCGAAGCATGGCTTCGAGCAGGAATTACCGATCTGGTTGCTCAAGGTGAGGGGTCGATTGGAGAAGCTGGCTCGGGAGGGTTCGGTGGATGAAACAGTTGTCGGGGTGAATGTGGGAGAGGTGCCGGAGGGAGTGCTTGTACCCGGCGAAGGGGATCTGAGACGGCAGTTGGAGAGGTTGAAAGGAGGGAAGGGCGTGGAGCAGCAAGGTGTCGCTGCTGGCAATGATAGAAAGAGTGCCGGCTCGGAGGAGACGGCCGCAAAAAAGACGCTCGCTGCTGCTCATTCTTCGCCTGCTGCTGCGGTTACGACCACTGCACCCGGAAAGGTCCGCCATGAGTGGTATCAATCGCAGGATCAGGTGGTAGTCACCCTCTATATCAAAGGCATCCCCAAGGATCAACTTGACGTGGACCTGAAAAGCGAATCGGTATGTTCTTGCACTTTTTGTTGGTGCGACGATCTATGTCTCTAATCCCATGTTAGGCCTCTTTGCAGTTCCCTCTTCCCTCCGGTGCTCACTATGACTTTACTCTCGACCCTCTCTTCGCTCCTATTGAACCTTTTAACTCCAAGGCGACCGTAATGTCCACGAAGATTGAACTTACCCTCCGCAAACGAATTCCCGGCCAGAAATGGAGTGCTCTCGAGTCCACCTCATGTACTGTCAAGCTTGCTGATCGTCATGCTGCGACAGCTGCCCCCACCCCCTCAAAACTCGGCGCCAATACTACAATTGCACCTGGCCCTGTATACCCAACTTCCTCCCGCCACGGTGCCAAAGACTGGGATAAGCTCGCCTCCACCTTGACCGCCAAGACTTCCCAAAAGTCCGATGCTAAGAACAAATTGGCGGAGGATGATGGCGACGACGAAGGGAATGATTCCGATGGCGCCGACGCTGTGGACTCGTTTTTCAAGAAATTGTACGCTAATGCTGACCCCGATACCCGGCGCGCTATGATGAAGAGTTACGTCGAGAGTCAAGGAACATCGCTGAGTACAAATTGGGAGGAAGTTCGTCGGGGACCAGTGAATGTGAGGCCGCCTAGCGAGTAGTTGGAGGGGGCGATGATCTCTTGACTAGTCCCCCCTCGATTGATCCTCCTCAGAGCCATTTAAGGGAATCTAGAAATTAATTTGATGTCAAACAATGTTATGTGATCCCATATCCAAAAGGTTATGATATCTATTATCTTCTCTAACTTCTGGAAGAGTGTAACTATATAGATACAGTGAAGAGATCAAAATTGTCGTTGACTGGTAAGACTGGGCGATTTGGCACAAAACCCAGTCTACCAAGGATATGCGACAAATCCCGAGGGTTCACCAAACGAATAAATAAGAAACTTCGACTTTTCAACTCCACCAACTCCGTGGGCCTTGTGGGGAAGGGCATCCCTCGCGAGACAGGAAAATAAACGGCATCGTCATCAGCATCGTCATCGTCATCGTCATTATCATTATCATCAGCCACGAACAGTCTCATCTTCGTCTGCACTTGTCTCTGTCAAGACTTCCTCACCAGTGTTCTCTTGGTACAGGAAAAATTGCACGAAGATACACATATCCAGCAACAAGGTGCCAAAGCTCCCGATTAGCCAAGACAGATTGACAAGGATGTATCGGCCGTATCGGCTGGAGAGCTCGGTGGGGGAACACCGTCTATGGTGGTGAGCCGGGCTTAAGGGACTCGAGCCTGCGCTAGCATCTGCGCATACAGGGGAATACGCCAGAATAGACAGCACGTAGGTCAGGTTACCAATGCAGGCAAATAGAAAGAACAGGAGGGAGACGCCGTCTGTCGATTTGCGACGGTAGTTGAGAAGAATCTGCGGTACGCGCGAGCCGAGATACAACGCGGCGCAGAGGTAGCCGAAGACTTGACCGAGAGGATCCATTTCAAGCGCCGCATCGGCGGTGGAGGAGGTGTCATGGTGGTCGGAGGGCTGGACAGTGCGTTGGCTGATAAACCAGCCTAAGACGCCGGCGGCGCAGACGAGGATAATGGCCGAGGCATGGAAGAGGGTGGTTTGGAGGGCGGACAAAGTGCGTGGGGGTCGGGTTTCTTTAGCGGGTTCGATGAAGGGAGTCACTGGAGACAGATGAGTGCCATCGATGGAGGGATGGAGGAACGATGCGGAGGAAGAGTAACGACGGGTTGTCAGCGGAGCTGGTCGTTGGTCCTGGTGATGGGGGGTAATGGTGAGGGAGGAGGCGGAGCTGTTGTTATTGCTGCTGGTCTGGTAGGAAGGGCCACCACACTGCTTGGATGAAAGAAGAGCGGTCCTTTCCGTGGGCTTGCGGGCCACCACAGGAGAAGGCACCTCTGTCTCCTCAGCATCTTCCTCGTCGTGGATTGGGGAAGCTGCCGAGCCACGGTGCAGTGGGGATGGCTCGTCTCGGAGGGTGAAACCGCGGTAATAGAAGCATTGGGCAAGAAGGACGACATCAGCAAGGGTATAGTAAACGGCAAGGATAATCATCGTCGGGAGAACGCCTTGTAGAACGGCGCCGAGAATGTTGAAGACATCACCGGCAAGCCAGACGATGAGGAAGAGCAGTGACAGGCCATCGGCAGATCCACGACGGAAATTCTCAATGATTTGAGGTGAGAAGACAACCACCCAGCAGGCAATTGATATCGACCTGGTCTCTAAAGTTAATCCTCAGCATTAAGAGAGAGCTATAGAAATGTACATACCCACAAATTCCACTGAGGGCTTCTAGATCGATATTGCCGGTCTGTGCGGGAAACATGCTTTGGGCCGGGGGGTGGGGGACAAAATTGTTATAGAATAATGTTTGCTTGCTGTGAATAATATAGAAGAGAATGGAGCTCAGAGTAGTTGAAATCTACTCCCCCGTCAATACCCAATTTCTCTACTTTTGTGGTGCCAGCAGGAGAACCGGAAGATAATAGAAAAGGTAAATGACGTCCGCAGACTCTGTCGGGAAAAGAATATCACGTGAGACAATCTGGGGTAAATCCAACCCCCATCTAGACCATCCGTAGTGATGTAAGCTATAAAGTACTGCCGGGAAATTTCCCTCCGCAAATCCCTCCCAATACTTCCCCCTCCCCCATCCCAAGATGAAGCATTTCAATGACTAGCTCTTCGATTCGAATTCCCTTTACTGGGCCTTTACCTCCTCCGATTATTGTCCCCCCCTCTGCTCGCACACTTGCGGGGGCCGTTGACGCCCTTCGTTTTTTTCTCACTGCACCGCCTTCTCCCTACCTGCGTGGCGTGGATGTTGGCAGACATGCCCAGACTGTGCTTTTGACTGGTGCGGGCATTTCAGTGGCATCAGGCTTGTCCGATTACCGAGGGGAGAATGGCACATATAGAACCAATAAAGCGTATAGACCTATCTATTATCACGAATTCGTCACTCGCCATGAGTCTCGCAAACGTTATTGGGCTCGCAGTTTTATCGGGTGGCCGGGCCTTTTGAAGTCAAAGCCCAACTCTACGCATCTATCGATTCGGGATATAGGCGCCAAGGGCTATATCAGTTCAGTGATCACGCAAAATGTGGACTCCTTCCATTCCTTCGCTCATCCCGAGTTACCAACCCTGGAGCTGCATGGCTACCTCCGATCAGTCATTTGCGTCAACTGTCGGAACCAGGTGCCCCGGGAAATATTTCAAAAGTCGCTTGAAAGGCTCAACCCGGCCTGGGCTGAATTCCTGGCGAAAATGACTGATATTGGCGCTTTGGATACCAGTAACCGAGAGGAGCAACGGCGGAGGGGACTCAAGATCAACCCCGATGGGGATGTCGATCTGCCGGAGGCACCATATTCGACATTTCGATATCCCTCTTGCCCTACCTGTCTGGATAAGCCTCCACGCCTTCAAGATGGCACACTAGCCAGAGTAGACGTTGAACAGGATGGAGCCTGGCTTCCCACATCAACCGCCGGGATTCTTAAACCTGGCGTCATCATGTTTGGCGAGAATATTGACCCTGTTGTGAAAGAAGCGGCCGAAGAGGCAATTGATGATGCCGGAAGACTGCTGGTCTTGGGAAGTAGTCTTGCAACGTATTCGGCCTGGCGATTAGTGGAACGAGCTCACAAACGAGGCATGCCCATCGGAATCATCAATATTGGAGGGGTCAGGAATGAAGCGGCTTTATTTGGAGGAGATCACGATACTGTGTCTCGGTTCATTCGAGTGAATTTGCCTTCGGAATCTGTGCTAGGCCCGGTGTCTGACCAACTCCCTATTCACATTCACTAACTAAGCATAGGTTGTTAATGGACCGATTCACGTTGTAGAATTTTATGTATGCATGCTTGTCCATGTAGAAATAAATTCAAGTGCTATATTTATGCATGCTTGTATTAAGATTGAAGGCAAAAAGAGCCTATTATTCTCTCCAGTCACATGGTGGAGGACTAAGTCACTGAGTAACCTATTTACATAAGTTGGGTGTTTCTCCTCCGCCTTTCCATCTCCGACCCAGGCGCGGGGCTCAGTTGGTCAACCATTGTGAGTTTGAACGACTACTGCGCCCAACCCCCCTCAGATTCAGTTCCATGGACTGTCGCGACCCTTCACAATCTGCTTCTAATTCCTCCTTGCAGCGCACAGCCTATCTAGACCTCATCTCAACTCTTGTTTCCCCCAAGTCATATCTCACTCACGGGCAACAGCCTAAAGCGCCACCGTCTCAACCCCATTCCTCGGTCGCACAGCAGGCCTTCAACACCACCACCTCGCCAACAATGGACAAGCAACAGCCTAGCTCTTTCCAGCAGCTGGAGAAGGTGATTCTTAGCCGTTGGATTCTCCATGTATTATTGATACGCCTGCTGACTCTTTTTTGGTCGTTCCTCAGCTCGGAGAGGGTACCTATGCTACGGTAAGCCTCTTCCCCAACCCCCCTTTACAACTGCGTTTGCTGCTGCTGCTGCACGTTGGGCCAAAAGAAAATTATATGTCATTCGACTTACTCCAAATTCTCGCTATTCTAGGTCTTCAAGGGGCGGAACCGCCAAACAGGCGAGCTAGTTGCACTGAAAGAGATCCATCTAGACTCCGAAGAAGGAACGCCATCGACCGCGATTCGAGAAATCTCTCTCATGAAAGAGCTCAAACATGAAAGCATTGTCTCGCTATATGATGTGATTCACACAGAGAACAAGCTGATGCTTGTCTTTGAGTACATGGACAAAGATCTTAAGAAGTACATGGATACACGAGGCGATCGAGGTCAACTGGACCAGGCAACCATTAAGTCATTCATGCATCAACTCCTGAAAGGCATTGCGTTCTGCCATGAGAACCGAGTCCTCCATCGTGATTTGAAACCTCAAAACCTTCTTATCAATAAGAAAGGACAGCTAAAACTTGGGGATTTTGGCCTGGCCCGCGCCTTCGGTATTCCCGTCAACACCTTCTCCAATGAGGTTGTGACGCTTTGGTATCGTGCTCCAGACGTCCTGCTAGGCAGCAGAACTTATAACACGAGCATTGACATCTGGTCAGCCGGCTGTATCATGGCGGAATTGTACACCGGTCGTCCCCTATTTCCTGGCACCACTAACGAAGATCAACTCCAAAAGATCTTCCGTCTCATGGGAACGCCTTCAGAACGGTCATGGCCCGGCATCTCTCAACTGCCGGAGTACAAATCGAACTTTCACGTCTATGCGACCCAGGATCTTGGCCTGATCCTACCTCAGATCGATCCGCTGGGCCTCGATCTGTTGAACCGCATGCTTCAACTTCGGCCCGAGATGCGCATCAGTGCTCACGACGCCTTGCAGCATCCATGGTTCCACGATCTTCCTCAGCTACAGGCGCAGCTGCAGCAGCAGCAGCAGCAGCAGCAACAACAACAGCAGCAGCAGCAAATGTCTGGAGCTTATGGAGGGATGGTGCCTCCCCAACAAGCGTATTAGCCCCTTGCATGTCGGAAGCGATTGGTCTTCAACTCCCGTATCTCAATATTGATTCTGTTCTCTGCTGGTATGTCTTACCGTCGCCCTTTGTTGGCGTATATTCATCAGACGAAGGACGTGGTAGTGGTCTTGGGTTAGAACGAGGAGCGTGGCGTTATACTTGAAGAAGGGCTTGACGTGGTGTTCTCGCGGGTTCTCGTCTTTTTCTCAGCTTATAATTAGCGTATGCAAGGCAACTATCGTCAGTGGGTCAATAATATCTACATCTTGTTTACCGAAAGGGGACTCGACCATCCGCTAGGTTTCCCTTTCGTACAAGTACCCCGTAGTTTGGTTGGCCAATGGTCATATGCCAGCTACTTGCTTGAGCGCACAGCATCAGCTCTGTCGCACGTTCTGAGGTTCATCAAATTCGCCCAGACAAATGATGGCCTTCCTAAGCAAGGGTCAGGGGGGAGACACGACAAGTGGGCGTGAGACGTGTAATATGCTAAATACACAATCGGAACATGTATGGCAGTCTCTAAGTTTGTCTTCCTTGCTTCCTATCCACTCGGAATCGATAATCGACATCGGATCCTCAGATCCTCAGATCCTCAGATAGGGCTTTTGTGGTCGCTTTCATGTACGGTACACAGCCTCCATCCTCCAAAACTCCTATGCTAACCATTTCGCTTCCAAATCCCCACACTCCTTTTTCTTCTCGTCCGAACGTAAGTAGCGGACAAGTTTAGTTTTACTCTCGAATGTCAACGCTTACCAAGGCTATCTCCCTTTGCTGTAAGGCTTGTCATACATGACCAGCAATAGACAAACCACATGGGGATAGAGAGGAACTCTGACTGATTCGATGAAGACTAGATCGGCCTGGCCATTGCGCGGGAACGAATTCTTAGGCCACCGAGACCAATTTCGCTCTCAACTCTTTGAACAGGGGTTCTGCCTCTTGCCACATTTTCATTGCTAGCAACAAGAATGGTGTGCTCGGTGATTCTTTGGCGTTCTGTGTCCTTATAGTTATACAGCGGCGTATGACTATCGATTACCACATCCTTTGTAGCTCGCTTAAATTCTCGGTTTGCGTCGAGAGAAAGTTGGCGCTGGTGACTTCTGGAGTTGGCACCCTGACACTACTGGCAATGCCGAGACTATAGGGGCTTGATTATACATTTGGGTGGATGAAAGTTGGTATTTTTACCTTGTCGACTTGTATAAAAACCTTAGAAGCTCCCTAATATATCTGATCTGGCCCGCTGCAGGTTGCATGGTGTGATAGCAACTTGTTGCGTGGCTGCATGCATTGGCTCTTCATGGTTCGGAGACAATGGCACTATCTGAATCACAATTACGAGCCATCTCTGCCACAGAGCGGGTCTGTTCGGCTATCTCTCTTATTGGAACCTTTATCATAGTCATCTCTTTTATCTCATCTTCCTCTTTCCGCAAGCCTATCAACCGCTTAGTGTTCTATGCATCATGGGGCAACATGATGGCAAACGTCGCAACCCTGATGTCTCAGTCAGGAGTCCGGTTGGGAACCACAAGTATCCTTTGCCAGTTCCAGGGCTTCCTTATTCAATGGTTTGTCTCCTGTGCGATTCCCATGGCTCTTCACTGACTCGGACTGCTAGGTTCATGCCCGCTGACGCTTTGTGGACGTTTGCAATGGCCTGCAACGTGTATCTCACTTTCTTTCACAAGTATGATTCTAAACAGCTGGAGCGATTGGAATCGAGATATGTACTGGCTTGTTACGGGCTACCTTTTACTCCTGCTTTCGTCTACTTTTTCATAGAGACCGAAACTCGGGGCAAGATTTACGGGGCAGCAACAGTAAGCGTACCTCTAAGACCCAGATTTATCCCTCTCAGTCCCCTTGTACTTTAGTAACATCATAGCTTTGGTGCTGGGTCTCGAATTCGTGGGACTTTCTTCGCATTGGTCTATTTTATGGGCCAGTGTGGATGATTATGTGCCTGACCATCTTCATCTATGTGCGCACAGGGAGTGTTATCTACAACAAGCGGCAGCTGCTGAACCGTGCCGGAAATACGGACACTACCAATATGCCCGCAGGTTCGACTAGTATTCAATTCTCCAAAGTGACTGAGTTTTCAATAACCCGCGAGGTTGTACAAACCATGCCATTACCGATTGGAGAAGACGATGACCCAATATCGACGAAGAGTCTCCACGCCTTTTACTGTCCATACTCAGTCACCATACAAGCCGGCAACGAGCACGAGCCTCGTGAGAGCCCTGCAGAAGAATCACTGAGAGATGATCATATCAGCGGCAACCGACGCCCAGCGACTATGACGGAAACAAATTCGGCAGCATGGGCTTACAGCAAATATGCGATTCTGTTCTTTATTGCTCTCCTGATTACATGGGTGAGTATCTACTCCTTCGACTCTGTAGACGCGAGCTGCGTTGACCACATATGATCCGAAATGCACAGGTGCCATCCACTGCTAACCGGGTATATTCATTGGTTCTCCCTAACAAGTCCAACTTTGCATTGAACTTTGTCTCGGGCCTGGTGCTACCGCTACAAGGGTTCTGGAATAGTCTTATCTATGTGTCAATCTCATGGCCAGCCTTTAAAGAGCTGCTGTTTGCTCAAAGGCGGGTCGATGTCCAGGGCCAGGGTCAATTGAATCGCAGCGAGAGTGCCGAGAGCGAGAGCACGCTTAGGACCAGGGAGGTACCCAAATCTAAAGAACCAGAGTTTGCCCCCAGCCGCCCATGATCTGAAGGTAGTGTCGAGTGTCGGTACCTCAATGTTTGTGTTCGTGCTTGTATTCATAGGTCATTCGTTCCCTTCTCTATTGTCTCCAGGTTCAGCATCGATTGCGTTGGTGTCGCCCCTGAAGGCTTCCTGTGTCCCTAAGCTGTTGTCGATTAACAAGAAAGTATCATAATACTTGGCATCCGGTGCTTTCTTGGTCACTTCTATCAGCTTCGTGATATGTACGGTACAGTACAGACTATGTGCATGATACGTACTGTAGATTTCATGGATATATCACGTGATGGAACGCGTTCTTCCGCGCGTGTCGCTCGGTCATGTATCATCTCCATTCCAGAGTACATATTTACGCTCACACCTCAAGCTATCTGCATATCTGCCAGAGATTCAATCACAACTTAAGAGAGGGAAAGGATACAGAACAAATAACCAGAAATATAGAGACGGAAGAAGAAGAAAAGAAAAAGAGAAGCAGAGAACATACAGTCGCCTACCTATTGCATTCATTCTATTCCAAGATGGCCGAAAACACCAATTCCGCCCACAGAATTAATCGAGCCCCTGCCTCTCCCTCTCCTCCGCCTCCTGCCCCTGTCGCTTTTACCCCCGGACCACGCGTCGCCAAATTGCAAGAGATCTTTGACAAAGCACTCGCGCGTACTCTACGTGCGAACTCATATGCGAATTTCTCAAGCTGCTTTCCTACCCCCGCTAAGCAAGTCCCTGCCAGTCTGGAGTCCGTCTGGCGACAGTTGAATGCGAAGCTAGAGGAGAGTGCCAAAGCAGAATTTGAAGACATATTGACGGAGCGAGATGCTATCCGGCAGTTGAATGAGTTGGATCGATTGGTTGGGGAGGCGAGGTACAGAAAAGATCACGGGGTTGGGCATGAGAGTGTTGCGTAAGTCCCCTTTCTCCCGATTTCTCCGTCTTCTTCCTTCTTACCTCCACCCTTCCCTTCTTCTCCTGCGTTATTTTGCGCTTGCTTGCTACGGACGGTTAACCGGATAATCATATACTCTTGTGAACAGTCCGCATACGTTGCCACCTGATGAGCTATTTCGAGCCCATCTCCTGCCATTTATGCAGGAAACACGTTTGACGCTGAAGACTAAGATCGAGTCGGTTCAGAATGAGAACTCGAAACTGGCACAACGCGTGCAAGCGCAAAGAGAAAATATTCAGAACTTGCTGTCAAGCTTGGAGTCTGTTGTTGCAGATTTGGAGGGTGCTGCTGCTGCTGCGACACAGTTTAGTTGCGATAATAACCTTCGCCAAGAAGCCGCCAAAATGGATGTTGAAGTCAGGGCTCAATCTGAAATATGATTGGACTTTCATACACGACGCGATTTCATACTAGAGACCATTTGTGGAATCCGGAAGAGGCAGGCTATCCACTTCGCTCAGGAATATAGCGCTACGATTGTGATATGAGAACCTCCATATCACCGGGGCTCATCCATCCGTCACCGACAACGTCTTCAGCTACCATCATCAATTCCTTTGGCGCAGCTCTCCTAAGCTGCTCCAGCTTCTCCTTCTGCCCTTCCAATGCCGCTGCAATGGCTTCTTTACACGACCCGTCCCGCAATTCTTCTGCGACCCCGTCTCTCCTAGCCAGCGCTGCAGCTCCTCGGTAGTAGGTTTGCGCATTGCGTAGCAGTGTGACCGCATATTGCTGAGCCATGGCATGATTCCAGGGAGGCATGCCCAGTCTCCACCTAGCTATCTCCACATCCCCCCTGGCCAGGTGGATTTTTGGCAAGTCATCTGCTTCGGGATGCTTGGATGCTTTTGTGAGAGCATCGAGGGCTGCAGATAGTGCCTGCCAACGCAATGACAACGCTTTTGTGAAAAGCTCAGGCTCGTAAGGAGGAAGATCGATGAGAGCGGTATTGAAGGACGTCAACGCATCTGCTTTGCTGCAGAGACCACCCGGATCGGCTGAGACATCTAATCCTGCACCGAAAGCTTGCGAAACCTGATTAAAATATGTTTCGGGTTCTATCTGACCGCTCCGGTAGAGCAATTCATTCAGCCCGCAGGTGAACTTGGCACGGGCCAACGCTGCTTCATGTTGTCTGCTTGATCCTTCAACGTAGGTGGCAATACGCTTTTGCAGAAGATCAGAAGAGTATTCCTCCACCCATCCTAAGCCAACGCCTGGGTTGAAAGTGAGCAGGTTGCAGAGGGTTGTCAATGTGTCGAGTTGTGCTATCGCCGTGTCGACCAACGTATCCTTGGTCACCGGTTCTATAATGGCAGCCCATTGTTCTTGCTCGTCTGACTTGGTTTCCGGTGATAGCTCAGAATGGATCGTACTTTGCGTCATCACCTCCGATTGTCCGGCATCACCAGATTCCAATTGCTTGATTTGTTCCTGCAGTTCTGTGTACTTCATTTCCTGAAGAAGCAAGCAGCGCTGAAAGAGCTCGATTGCTTCCTGCAGAAGCTTCACGGCTCGCGAAAGGCGCTCGTCGGATGGGTGCTTAGAATCGGTTAAGATCTCAGCGATGCTTGTAAGCACCTGGCCTGTGTTGAAGAGTGCGTCTGAGCTATCCTGCTCTAGAGCTAGCGCCAACCTATGGGACTCTAGTGCCTCATGCAGGACATCACCCAATGGGGCGGACAATTGAGCTTTTAATTTTGGATGTTGTGTGACTTCATACTGAACTCGAGCTCTATTCTTTTGTCAGGCACGTATTCAAATGGCGAATCAACATGCCTTGTGAAAGACCTGTAACTCACTTGTTGTAGGCCAAGTCAAATGCACCTGGATGCTTACTCAAGCCTTCGTCATAGGTACTGATGGCGCGCTTGAAGAAGCGTAGCGATTTGGCAGCATCCCCAGCCCGCCATTTCTCTCCAGCTTCCTCCTGTTCCACACCGACTGGAAAGGGTCAATTAGTCTCATGGTACCCGACCCACGCAATGCTACAGGTAGAAACAGCCTCCGACATACCTGCAAGGTATTCATCGGCGGATTCGGGGGCCTGAAGTACGGTTAACGCTGCGAGAGACAATGGGGGAGTTTTGGATCCATACTCGCTGTGCCGTTTTCTTCTTGGTCTTTGCTTCCTTGAGGAAGGCTTTGGTTTTTGGCATACCTCTCGGTCTTGATGATGACAATTAAGTGTCAGGACGTGTGTATGTGTGTGATGCTGAACGTGTAGTATTTACTCTACAACAAACAAAAGAGGATCGGGCATAAAACTATAGTAGCAGTCAACAACTATTTAAGACCTTTTGCAGCACCGGACTTTTCCGCCGCCCAAATTCCTTCCCCGCATCAGGTGACTGAGTCATGCCGGAGACACCGCCTTCTTTGTTTATATAACGCCGCGGAGTCTCAACAGGGATCGCCGAATTAGGCCCTGATCTTGGCCACTTGGAAGTTGTCATGGACTCATGAAGCTGATTCGAATAGATGGCTATCAGGCAAAATTGGAGTGCTGATGACTTCACAAATTCACTTCAAGGTGCATAATACAGATACAACCACTGTCCGGGGTGCTGGTCAATAGTTATGCTTAGGCACTTGCAATGCACGGACTCTGTGACGTATGGGGGCACGATTGCTCTAAACTAGGTAGCAGTACTAGTCTATTGGTACTAGTAGTATACCACGCCATGTCATGTCACTTGAAAGGAGATAAGAGAAGAAAGTCTGGATCGTCCTGCTTTCCAAGTCTCCTCGGGTAAGACCGATTGAGTTCCAGTCATGCAGGTACTTTTCCTTCCCTTGCTTTGTCACAAGTTGCGAGATCCCAACTTCCAACTCGCGTGGCAGCTGCGGCATGCCCCGGCACGTGGCAAGCAACGGGCTGGCTCTGGGTTTCATCTATTACGGTGCTGATGGAGGGTCGCCTCATGCCCTGATTCCCTCGGTCATTGCTCATTTTGATACTATCTCTGTCGGATCTCGATTACCTACAATCCACCGGACAAAGAATAGCTAGCACTTCTTTGTCCCGGGGTAGGCGGGCTAGTGGTTGCATGTGGGCTGATTTCTGTTCAACCTGGTACTCCAGGGACTAGAACCCGGTGACATCGTTCAGCAGCAGAAATGATCTTCCCCTCCCCCTGTTTGATGACCAAGCTGCGATCCGCTGGGTGTCGCATACTCGGTCATTTCTTTGACCATCTTGGAGATTCTGATGAGGTGTGGCGTACTGCGCAGTCAGGTCCGTTTTCAGCCAGAATATGTGGTGTATATACGGATTACTCCGTACTACTGGGCTAGAACGCAAGAATTGGCGTGTCACGGACTGCGTACTTTTACCCCGACTTTAGGGAAAATACTCCGTGGGAACTCAGTCACATACTAGGAACGCGGAATACTGTATAGCTAAATGCTACTTCCAAATATGGAGAGGGAAAGAAAATCAAAGATAACATAGTTACTCCGAATCGAAGAAATTGAGGTAAATATCTCAGGTTCTTGTATTCTAATCATTTATTGATTTCACCAGATCCTGTCATTTTTATTCGGAAAACAAAAGAAATGAAAAGAGAGACAAGAAAAAGGGGGCCGGGGGGTGGGGAAGAAACAAAAGAAAAAGAATCCTCTTATAAGGTAGTAAAAAAAATACTGTACCTAGTACATATTATACAGTACACATAACTAGGTGGTCTCTTACCGCGGGCGACCCACTAACATGGCTCCTAATCCCGTCTCCATCCCTGAGCAAACGCTCAACGCATGTGCGCACGTATGCTCCTCACCTCACCTACGCTTACCTCTCCTGTGGTTTCCTGCTCACTACCATTACTATTCTTTGGCTTTCATTTTTTCCCCCTGCCCTCCCTTTCTCTTATACCACCCCCGTCTCCTCCTTCGTCTTCCTCTGCTCCTTGGATCAATCCATCCCCAATTTCATCGTTCCTCTGAGTGTAGGACATACAGCATCTTTCGCGTGGCCCCTTTCTGAATTTGACTCTTCAAGAGGTATGCACCCTCGCGCCGACCCTATTAAGTTTTGTCCAATTCTTCCTAAGCATGGATGCCCATGCTCGAAATATTGCCAATGTCTTCATGCCTTCAACCTGAAAGGAGGGATCGCATTGGCCACCCTGGTATCATCAGATGCTGTTCTACATGCCCTGACTCACTGTCGCACTGGGTCCAACATTCGCTAATCAAGCTTGATCGATTAAATCTAGGTTATAATAGTTTTATTACGCAGCTGTGAGCGGCGTATTTCAGCATATCCTGAACACCGGAATCCACCTATCAAGCCATGGCCAGGCACACCTCGCTTGACTCCGAAAGACCAATCATGACGCAATCCGTCAGTTATGGCATCCCGAATATGGTGCCCGATTTCTGATCTAGTTTTATAGAACCGAACATCGAAGAGATTTTCGACAGTCAGCGGAAGCCACTCAGTTGCGTCATCGGATCTCTCAAGCCTGCCTAGCGGTGATCCCCGACTGGCTGACTTTCATCATTTGCGGGACGGCTTAGAGCGCTTGGAGAACAAGCCCCTTCTCAAGCAGCGCTTTGTGCCCACTCCTGAGAAGAGCGATAACCTCAGCAAATTGGCGCTGGGAGCGAAGGTTGAGCGCGCTCTGGATCGAAGAATGACAGGCCAGGATGCCATCATGCGCGAGCCCACCATGAATGAGAAGGCCGTTGTCGACTCGTCTGCATCACCTTGATATGACCCTCCTCCTATTGCCTTCTTTTAGATGTCAACTGGTTGCCACGCGTAATTATCATGAGCCTTTCTTGATCGACCTCTTCAGACTATTGTCTGTGACCGGAGGTCACACTTTCCTCGGCTTTTCAATATTCGCTGCCACGAAGTACTATGGACCGCATCCGATTCTTTTTAGACTCCGGATAAGAAGCCTGTCTAATATATGTTTTCATACCCCCTGTCTTGAGCCAGCTGTTCTGTTTCTACCAGTCCGATGCCCCCCTTGTGGCCGTTACTGCAATTTCAATCAATATTCCTGTTCGGTCTATCTCGTCGATGTGCATGTCTTTTGAAAGAATCTGTGTTGTGTTTGGAAGGCCGTTCTTGTTCTCTCCGGATCGAGTATATTTCAAGTAGGGCGCTGGTATACGGGAACTTGGCTCGTGAATTTCGAAAGGATCGAGGTGATGATTGTCCATACCCTTGATTTGCTCCAGATTCCAAGGACCAAATCAGAAGGCTTCGATGCGCCTGTAGATCACAGCCTCTTGATGGAACTACTTTCGCTTCTGCCTCGCAAGGCAGTTTGATGTCACCTGTCAATGACTACCAGAACCATCGGTTGAAGGACCCAAATCGCTGGGTGGGTAGTATGGTTCCCGGATAATTCCTGCTTGTACTCAAGACGAGCCTTAAGAACCTTTGGTAGAGCTCATAGCTAGGATCGTATAGCTCTCGAAGCAAACTCTTCATGGCTATCAGGCTGAAGATACGAAGTTGTCTTTCACTATGTAGACCAGCCAAGATCGTTTCTCGCCTCAGGTGTCTACTACTACGGGTGAGGCAAGCGGTGAGGATACTGCCGAGCGGCCATTTCTGGGTTCGACGCTCCCAGCAGGCCTTTCCACTACCTACCTACCAACCTCTTATATTCAACACTTCCTCTAAATCAGCTCTGTCAACCGCTAACGGCTTACTCCTCACCCAAAATTCTTCTGTTCTTCGGGTTTTTCAGCCTTTCAACACATACGATCTCATTTTGCTTTTCTCCCTTAACTGCTTCTCCTCTAAGATTCCGCACATTGCTCAATTCCGTATTGCACAAGACTTCCTCCACTATCTCACACCTTGACGACTTCAACGCGCCCACAACTTGAACATAATTGATTCTTATCTGTACCCTTTGTCCAAGTCGCTACACTTCTAGTGAGCTTTCATCCCGCTTCTCAGCCGATGCCCTTCCATGTCATCTTCTTTTATGATCCCGCCTCTTGGCTATTGTCGCTCTCATCTACTGCCATTCTTTGAAGCCCATCAGTCGCTAACAAAGAGGTTACATAGACAGGTGAAAAAGTCTCCTCAATAGAGCTTCGCTGTCACTGCCATCAATTGCCGCATTGAGCTCAAATTTCCTTGCTACTATACCTTGAGCTCTCGTGATACTTGCCTCGTCTCTCGCCTTCATCTCTTCTCAATCTTCTAGTCATACTCATCACACAATGGCCGACACGACCCAGGCTCCTCTGAACGGCACCTACCCTGCGCAACATGCCTACCCCGACTCTTTTAACCACGCTCACTCCAATGCGAATAACGTTGCCAGTTTCCAGCCTGCACAGTCTACTACTCCCTCGAACGCGCCTTCGACTGAGCAAAAGAATGGCATCTCTAAGGACGAAGTGGGTTGGTACTTTGTCGAGCAGTATTATACCAACATGAGCCGCAGTCCGGAGAAACTCCAATTTTTTTACTCTAAACGCTCTCAGTTTGTTTTTGGAACGGAAGCGGAGAGCGTTCCAGTTGCAGTGGGTCAGAAGGTGGGTACATCTCAATTAAGCGCGTCAGCGCATCTACGCTACTCGCCAAGAGCGTCGCTAACGACAAATGATTTGCCAGGCCATCAACGAAAAGATCAAGCAACTGGATTTTCACGACTGCAAAGTTCGCGTTCTCAACGTTGATTCGCAGGCCTCGTTTGATAACATTCTTGTTTCCGTAATTGGTGAAATCTCCAACAAATCGGAGCCTTCTCGCAAGTTCGTGCAGAGTTTCGTCTTGGCTGAGCAGCCCAATGGTTACTATGTTCTCAATGATATCTTCCGGTACTTGGTTGATATCGAGGAAGAACTAGAGACTGAAGAAACTGCCCCCGCTGCCGCTCCCACCGCGCCAGCTGAAGAGCCTAGTGTTGATAAGCCCGTCCAACCTGAGGTTAAGGCCGAGGTTGCCCCCGTTACCGAGGAGCCTCAAGTTGAGGAGTCCCCGGTTGATAACGAGGTTGCTGCTGCTCAAGTTGACGAGAAGCTTGAGCAGACCGAGAATATCGTCGAGGAAGTTTCCGGGGATGACTCGGTTCCCAAGGCTAATGGTGCCGGGGTCGAGGAGGTCCCAGTCGAGACTGCTTCCGTGGAAGTCGAGCCCGCCGTCGCTGAAGAGCCTAAGATCGAAGAATCCGCGACTCCCGAGCCCACCCCTGCCCCTGAGCCGAAGGAAGCTCCTGCACCCGTCAAGGAAAGCGCCCCCCCGACCAAGGCTCTTCCTAAGACTTGGGCCAACATCGCGTCTAAGTCCGGCGCTATCGCTACGGTGGTTCCTGCTATTCCTGTCGCTCCGGTTAAGCCTGCGGCTGCCCCTGCTCCTGCGTCAGCAGCTGCTTCTGCCAGCTCGTCCCAAGCCGCAGCTCCCGCTCCTACACCAGCTCCCGCTGCAGCTGAGCCCGCTCCCAGCCAACCCTCATCCAGCGATGGAGCCGGCTGGCAGACCGCTGGTCACGACCACAAGAAGTCCCAGTCTCGCACGACTGAGGAGCAGAACGTTCTTGCCTATATCAAGAACGTCACGGAGAAAGTTGACGCTAGCTTGCTCAAGCAGACCCTGTCTCGCTTTGGAAAGCTCAAGCACTTCGACGTGAGCCGTCAGAAGGTATGCACTTTCCTTTAGTTCGGACTCAGATTTTGTATGATGTCATGACGCTAACGTGGTCCCGCTGTCCAGAACTGCGCTTTCGTCGAGTTCGCCGATGCGAGCGGCTACAATGCTGCTGTTGCTGCTAATCCCCATCAGATCGGAACCGAGCAGATTCACGTCGAAGAGCGTCGTGCTCGTACCAACGCTTACGGTAACAATGGTAACTATGCTGGCCGCGGCGGCGCTAGCCGTGGTCGTGGAGACCGTGCCGGCAGCCAAGGCCGCGGCGGCTTCCAGCGCGATGGGCGCGGTGGCTTTGCTCCTCGCGGCCGTGGCGGCAACGCCAATGCCAAAGGCCGCAACCAGACCCAGGCTGCTTAAAGCTACAGCAACGTTATAACGAACAAACAACCAAGCACCAAAAAAATATTATTTTCACTCCAAAATAGCAATCACCTCCCCGAAGCCCGATACTCTGTTTGAGGCAGCTGGAAGTATCTCAGTGAGATGTACAGACGATAATCTTTCTCCTTTCCCTTCTGTATCTCTTTCCACTGGTCATCATTGAATTTCTCCTTAGCCCTTCATCCTGGTTTTCCAACGTTTCTATAGGGATTAGATGCTCACGGCGATCCAGGACATGTATTACTTTCCTTTCCCCCCCGGATTTACTGAATAATGACATGTGTTATGTGGTCCTGCTCTAGGCACGATGCATATTAGCGGTTGGAAAAGTTGTGTTTATTCTTTCCTAGCTGGACTGTTCTTGGGTCATCTTTCTGCCTCGGATTTTCTACATCTTGTGTTGTTATGAAATGACCTTTGTGAATGTGTTCTACCTTTTGAGCATAGCGAGCTTAGTGCCCGTTTGGTTATGGTTGATTATATCCTCAACTTCGAGAGCTAGACAACCTACTCTCGGAGTACATGCCCAGGGGAATATAATGTGCGCCATGCAGTGATGCAGCCAGAGTAGTAGTGTGTCGTGTGTAGAGTGTTACGGAGTGTTGTCAAGGGAAGGGTGATTGGCTTCAGAGGAGGGTGAAGGTGGGGGAGGAGGGGTGGAGCGGAACGTTCTAGATTGATTGCCTGGTTTTTCAGGCATAAGCTGTAATGATGTTCTGAGTCAGAGTTTACAGTAGGGAGTAGTTACAGTGAGTACACAGTCACTACACTACTACACAGTACTTTGTCAAGCTGTGAGTGGATTATTGTATGTTTCTATGATCAAATGAAGATAGAACCAACTAGATCCATCAGTTAGAAACACAATTTGAATACATTGGAATAAACTGGAAGTTCCTGGGGAAGCCAGCGATCATCAAAGACCGCCAGAGACCGCTGTAGAACCCCGTAGAAGTGAATCGAGCCAAATTTTTGTGTCCCGCCGCCGCAAGCATAAGGTCCCCGCTGTCCGCCTCCCTCCCCTCTCCCAGATTTCAACCCTACCATCTTTCCCCCTTCTTCTATCTCTCTCTTATTTCTCTAACTTCCTACCCTCCAACCTCAAATCTCTATCTCCCATCATCCCATCCTCCATCGCCTTTTTCCTTCCCTCTATCTATTATCTCTTCCTCATCTCTCTACTCAAGTCTGCTTCATCCTCCAGCAGTCCTGCATCTCTTTCCCTTGACCTTGTAATACCTCTCCTATCTTTCTCCTACATTTTTCTGTGAGTATATCATCTCTCTCTCCCACTCTTAGCCCCGTTAGATGCCTGGAAATTCTTGGGAATCCTGTTCGAAGTCTGTAGCATGCCAATTTGAGGCAGACAACTTGTGTGCTCGCTCCCCCTTCAGTCCGTCGTCTGGGTTCATCTTCAGTCGCGCCGAACCAGAAGTTACTAACAGATTTTCATCAGAATTCTATCCGCTTTTTCTATTCTACCTTCATCATGTCTGCTGAAACCTTTGAGTTCCAGGCTGAGATCTCTCAGCTCCTCTCGCTGATTATCAACACTGTTTACTCTAACAAGGAGATTTTCCTTCGTGAATTGATCTCTAACGCCTCCGATGCTCTGGACAAGATCCGCTATGAGTCTCTGTCGGACCCGTCTAAGCTCGACTCGGGCAAGGACCTCCGCATCGACATCATCCCCAACAAGGAGGCCAAGACCCTTACCATCCGTGATACTGGTATCGGTATGACCAAGGCTGTAAGTTACGTCCCAAGACACCAGTATCATAGAAGTGTCACATCTGCTAACTATGTCATGCTAGGACTTGATTAACAACCTCGGTACCATTGCTCGCTCCGGTACCAAGCAGTTCATGGAGGCTCTCTCCGCTGGTGCTGACATCTCCATGATTGGCCAGTTTGGTGTCGGTTTCTACTCTGCTTACCTGGTTGCCGACCGCGTCACTGTCATCTCCAAGAACAATGATGATGAGCAGTACATCTGGGAATCCGCTGCCGGTGGCACCTTTACTCTTACCCAGGACACTGAGGGTGAGCAGCTTGGCCGTGGTACCAAGATCATCCTTCACTTGAAGGATGAACAGACCGATTACCTTAACGAGAGCCGCATCAAGGAGGTTGTCCGTAAGCACTCCGAATTCATCTCCTACCCCATCTACCTTCACGTTCTGAAGGAGACCGAGAAGGAGGTCCCCGATGAGGAGGCCGAGTCTAAGGAGGAAGAAAGCGACGAGAAGAAGCCCAAGATTGAAGAGGTTGATGATGAGGAGGAAGAAAAGAAGGAGAAGAAGACGAAGACTATCAAGGAGAGCAAGATCGAGGAGGAGGAGCTTAACAAGACTAAGCCCATCTGGACTCGCAACCCCGCCGACATCACCCAGGAGGAGTACGCTGCCTTTTACAAGTCCCTCTCCAACGACTGGGAGGATCACCTTGCTGTCAAGCACTTCTCTGTGGAGGGTCAGCTTGAGTTCCGTGCCATCCTCTATGTTCCCAAGCGTGCTCCCTTCGACCTGTTCGAGACTAAGAAGACCAAGAACAACATCAAGCTCTACGTCCGCCGTGTCTTCATCACTGATGATGCTACTGACATTATCCCTGAGTGGCTCAGCTTCGTCAAGGGTGTTGTCGACTCTGAGGACCTTCCCCTCAATCTGTCCCGTGAAACACTCCAGCAGAACAAGATCATGAAGGTCATCAAGAAGAACATTGTCAAGAAGACTCTTGAGCTTTTCACTGAGATTGCTGAGGACCGTGAGCAGTTCGACAAGTTCTACTCTGCTTTCAGCAAGAACATCAAGCTTGGTATCCACGAGGATGCCCAGAACCGTCAGACCCTCGCCAAGCTCCTCCGTTACCAGTCCACCAAGTCTGGCGACGAGTCCACTTCCCTTGCGGACTATGTTACTCGCATGCCCGAGCACCAGAAGCAGATCTACTACATCACTGGCGAGTCCATCAAGGCTGTTGCCAGGTCTCCCTTCCTGGACAGCCTCAAGCAGAAGAACTTCGAGGTTCTCTTCCTGGTTGATCCCATTGATGAGTATGCCTTCACTCAGCTGAAAGAATTTGACGGTAAAAAGCTCGTCGACATTACTAAGGATTTCGAGCTCGAGGAGACCGAGGAGGAGAAGGCTGAGCGCGAGAAAGAGGAGAAGGAGTACGAGTCTCTTGCTAAGAGCCTCAAGAACATTCTCGGTGACAAGGTCGAGAAGGTTGTTGTCTCTCACAAGCTTGTTGGCGCCCCCTGTGCCATTCGTACTGGTCAGTTTGGTTGGTCCGCCAATATGGAGCGTATCATGAAGGCTCAGGCTCTCCGTGACACCTCCATGAGTTCTTACATGTCCTCCAAGAAGACTTTCGAGATTTCCCCCAAGTCTTCTATCGTCAAGGAGCTTAAGAAGAAGGTCGAGGCTGATGGTGAGAGTGACCGCACCGTCAAGTCCATCACTCAGCTGCTCTTCGAGACCTCCCTGCTTGTTTCTGGTTTCACCATTGAGGAGCCTGCCAGCTTCGCTGAGCGCATTCACAAGCTTGTCTCTCTTGGTCTGAACATCGACGAGGATGCCGAGACCACTGAGGAGAAGGCTACCGAGGAAGCTGCTCCTGCTGCTGCCGCTGCCGGCGAGTCCTCCATGGAGGAGGTCGACTAAATGTCGAACGTCAGGATGATCCCAATCACGAAGTCACTTGGGTATGAAGACCTTCTCTAGTTTCAGCGGTATCAACCTTAGATGCAGTTGTTTATCACTGAATCGACAGTACGTCTCGACACGGACGACGCGGAAGATCATCCTTTGTTTATTCTCTTCGTTTATCACCCTAACTACCTGATTCACCCTGTGAACAACTTCGGCGTTTTGAGCGTTTCTTTTTCTGCTTTCTGTCTCAACAACTTAACTACTATGTCTCGCCTGATTGATATACACTTCTACCGTGTGTTCATTCAGATAGTTTTGAGAGTGTTTCTCTCAGATCGGTAGATTCCATTATGGAGAAATAAGAACTACTCTTCTGCGTTGATATGCTTAGTAACTATAACTATTGCAGTATGTAAACCTCAGTGTAATTGCACCATTATAACCGGTCATAGCAACATGGCTCTCAATCTTAGGTTGAGGGGCTTGGCAGGACATCAAACACAGCGCATCATAGTTTCTCTTATTTTCAGGGGAAACCTCATGCTTCACCGCCACTGCTTTGGGGGTCATAGGTTTTATGCTTCCATGATCCATTGTCTCCGCAAAAGTACTCTTCGGAAGTAAAATTTATCCGACAACGAGGAGCCAACTCCAGTGGCGTTGGCTAACATAGCCGCGTCATTGCATGAATTCGTTGGTCTGAAAAAGGGTCCATGTGACGCCAACGTCTGAGATATGTTGTGCGGAGATCAAAAGATAAGAATCATACAATTGTGCCGTCCACGCCGACATAATAAGTAATCTTATATTTTATATAGGCACATCAATTGATAATCCGGTCGTCAAGGGGTATATATGGAGATGGATATCGCGCGAGGGAAGAATGATGCAGGGAACGAACGTACGAGTTATCAAGTTGAGAACACTGTCTGAACACTAGCACGGCGGGGGAAAAGCAAGACGTAAGGTAATTGGGTGATCTGGACGTGGAGGTGCCATCTTCATAAGATATGTGCTTCGACAACGGGTTTGACAACTCGTAGCACGCTTCCTGGAGATTATGGCACGAAGAGAGGCCCAGAGAGACACTGAACATGGGTCGCCGGTGGAGGAAGATGGATTCTGGAGATGTGATTCGAAATCAGCCATTAGGCGGCATTGAGCAAGAAGAGGCAGGGAAACACTGACGCGATTGCACTGTACAGCTTCCCTAGTTGCTGGTATTATACCACTCCAGATGCCATTCGCACAGGTTGCGCGAAGGGAACCCCCAAATCTTAGCTAGACAAAGTGCAAGTCCGCCGACTACGCCGAAACTTCCCATGATCTGGATGACAGTCCAGCCGCGTCGCCTAAAGCACTCCGACCAGCGGACGAGGCCGAGCGGGTCCTGGGGGCAGAGGTGAGCAACCTGATGCACCACGCCATGTCCGTTGGCTGTGCGCAGGACAACACCGCTGCCACTAGTTTTCTCAGGAGACCTACGGAAGCCGCAGAAGACTGGGATTTGTGTCATTGGGATCAATGAACCCTCGACGACACACTCCTCAATACGCTCTGTGAGCCAGATGGCACGTTCGCCTTGGGCCATCGCGGCATATCGCTCTCGTTCGTTCTGCAGGCTTTGCTGTAGATCTGAGGCCCACTTGGCCAGCTGCACATGAGCCAAGCGCTCCTCCTGGCGAGTGTGGTCGACGAGCCGAGCCATAGTATAACTGGGTGAGCCGTGGGGAGCACTGTGAGCGAGCGCATGGGCGTTCAGAGAGAGGTAATCCTGGTGTTGTTGTTGTGGTTGTTGTTGTTGTTGTTGTTGTTGTTGTTGCTGCTGCTGCTGCTGCAAAGATTGTTCCTGCTGTTGAAGAGCCAACTTCTTTGCAGCTGAATGTCGCATCCAGGCAACATTCTCCCCGTCAAACATTCGGTTAACAAGCAACATGAGTTCCGAGGATACCAGGGGTTGGACGTAGTCTGGGCTCATAAGAATGCTGGCATCCATCACCTCGTCGTTACTGGCCTTCGCAGAAGAGATTGCAAAGGGTAGGTTATCACTGAAATTTTCCGTGTCCGTGCTGGGGTTGCTGAGAAGAAAAGGTTTGACGGACAGCTCCTGAGCATGCTCATGAAATGAGCACTTTAAAGCATGGATTTTCTCGTCACTTAATAGATCCGCTTTGGCGATGAGAGGAATGACATTGGTCCAATCACAGAGCCTCCGAATGCACTCCATGTCCGCGAGAAGCGTTGCTAAGAAGTTGTTATTTGATGCAAAGTCAAGAATCCGCTAAGGCCCAAGCTAACCCACCTTCGGAGATAAGGTAAAGTACAGCGTCCACTTGAGTTCCACCGTTGCCAGCGAGTAAGTTCTGGAAATCATGATTCATGGCATCAACGGCGGTGGTTGCTCGAGAAAGTTGCTGACGAACATAGTGTATGATCGAGTCCGTCTGTTCCAAGCGACCCATACACGTAGCTGGCGTGTCCACAAAGCAGATGTTGCGCTCCAGAATGAGATCACCTGTGCTTTTTCTCCGTCGTAATACACGTGAATCTTCCAGGTCCGACCACCAGGACGGATAGGGTTTGGTACTAGCGTATATCTCCACAAGGGCCACTTGTGGTGATTTGCAGGCATATATTGTTTGCAAAGATGTAAGAGAAGGCCGCAATAATCCGGCAGGAGAGGCAGAGGGATAATCGTCCATATGGACGATATCGTCACAGGCTTGAACTATAGACCGAATAAGGGACGACTTTCCCGAGCCTTTAACGATTAGTATCAGCAATATTCTCTCCAGAAAGAAGTCTGAGAAGTCATTAATTTACCCGGTGCACCGGCGACCAAAACCTTCAATCGACCTAGAGCTTTCCCGCGATCTGTGAAGGGTTTCCGACTAGGCATCCTGATGCTTGGCATGATTAGTTGAGAAGTGTTGTCGGAAACAGGGTTATGCGTGGAGCGATAGTCATCCTCCTCACCACCTGAAGCCACAGCCTGACTGCTTAGGTCATCAGTGATAGAGATGTCATCAAGTTGGCGCATAGAATTGATAGAAACAGATCGGGGACTACTTGGTAGGGAGGGATGGTCATCCGAGTTCTCGAAAGTCGAAGGAGTCAGGGGTCGCGAGGATAGTTCTTCAAGAGAGGGTCGAGGAGGGTTCATTGAGCTAGTAGAAAGCATATCTGAAGGCTTCAAGGTTGACCTGCGACGGATTGTCTTGCGGGCCTCACAATCCTCTTCTTCATCTTGGAACAAAGGTTGAAGGCGGGCGACGGATTCCTCCAAGTCAACTTGGCGATTTGAAGACAGATCCGAAGGGAAAAAGCCCGGATCAACGACTTCCTCGAGACTTCGTACCCCATACAAACTCTCCGTGGGGCCTTCACTCTTGTCCGGGAATATCCCTACATCAGTATCGGTATCGGTATGGTGATTGCTGCGGGCCAGGAAGAAGGTAGCGGGGGCGGCACTGCGGGGATCGGTCCACTGCTGTTCAAGCGAGGCTTTGCGCGATCGCGGTACTGTGAGGTCAGGCACGGGTGGCCTCATAATGGACAGGTCAACGATAGTTGGGGAAATTTACTCGTACGAAAAATCAGATTTTCTCGAAAAGAACATGCTGTGGTGGGGGAAGGTAGGAATCGTTTTTCTCAGGCACCAGCGAGTAAGTAGTTTTGTCAGGTTGTGTCCTGTCTTTGAGGGAGGGGATCAGATGATTTGGGGGGGTGGGGGGTTGTTTTGGGGGTCCAGTGTTTATGTCATCATCATTAACAAACTAGTCTAGTTTAGTTAACTTAGGTTAGTTAGTTAACTAGTTAGTCAACTTAGTTATCATCACCATCATCAATCAATCTATCATCTCTCTCCCCGCCCGCACGCACATGACATGACAAGGGTTGATGGATGACTAAGTTAAATTATGTTGGCAGATGGGTCGGTCGGTCGGTCCTCTTGTTGGGCCGTGCTCTTATCACTTCAGCGGATTTTCATTACACAGTAGTACTACTAAAGTACTCCGTACGGAGTGCTTCTTGAGGAAGAGTGGTTCGCCCATAAACATCTACTCTTTCTCCATTTCAATGGATTATTCAAACAATAACCAATCTGTGCATTCATCTAGTGCGATGGTACTACGAAGATTGAGTATTTTGGGACAAAGAGTTAACTACACATTACTGTGTAGTATGTAAATATACCGTAATGGACCTCGCACATGTTCCATACCCCTAACCCCACATAACTAGCTTGATTCTCCGTAGTCATAATGCCCAATCCAAACGACTAAGTAATCTCTCGTCTCGGGGTCTTTTACCGTTCCTTTGCTTCCCATTCCTCTCTTACTGCTCTTCTTGATACTCCGTACCTTGCACAGAAGGCGAGCCCCGGACTGCGAACTTTATCCATCCTGCAGCTCAGCAAGCGATATAATGATGCTCCGCCTGCAGGCTAATCATGCCCTACGCCTTCCCGCGCCAGCGTTCCGAGCCAGGCACCGGACTATACCAGTAGTACGGAGTACTACCGGTGGACAGAAGTTTGCTAAATGGAGACAGACTAATGTAAGTTCTCGCTGCCGACCTGCATCCACTAAGACGGCGAAGGATTGTACTGTTTTGGCAGGTCACTAGTGCTATGCTACTCGAGAGAACCGCGAAGACCGTTCAAGCCTGAGGAGAAACATCACTTCAGGAGCATCAAATGATCCCATGGTCTGAGATAGTTTGCTCGATAGGACATGCCAAATTTACTTAAGCCTTGGATAAGTCAATCGAGCCATCCAAGGCTATAGGGGCGTTAATCGCTAAGGGATCTAAGTCAAAGTCAGTACTAGTAGAAACATATGTACTCCGTACTCCGTACTCCGTAAGGTAGAGTTAAGTTTACTTAACAAGTACTCAAGGGTCCCACATTTTTAACCCGCCCGGGATTTCCCTCCTTTCCCCCTCTCTTGCTCCGATTCCACTGAGCCGGGGGAGCCCTTTTCCCCGATAGTGCATTGGAGGACGGTAGTCTGTACTGAACTGAACCGACCATCTCTAGCCCGTAGCCACTAAACTCATACAGTGATACATACTAACTACAAGTGCACCGTACCGGCGTACACAATAGTCGACTACTCGAGTAGACTCAACTAGTTAGTCGCATCGCTCATTCGTCCAATTCCAGAAGCAGTGAAGGTTGGCCACGGAAATTGCCCATGGGAATTCAGTGCCGCGGATGTAGGGTAACTAACTACTAGGTACTAGTAGATAGTAGGTTGTAGGTACTGTTAACTTATAACGTCCACTGCTTCTTTTCCTTCCTTAACCCCCTCCCTCTCCCCCTCCTCCGCCTCCGCCTCCGCCTCCAACTCCTTTCTCTTTTTTCTTTCCTTTCCCTTTTGTCTTTTTTTTTTTTTCCTTATAAAACCCTTTTTACTTATTTCTCTTGTTTTTCTTCTGGAAATCCTTGAAAAGGCAAAAACATCTCACCGTCGAGTCTTCTTCCCTTTTGGTTCTTCTCTCGCGTGATCATTTCCACACTCTCTTTTGTGGTTGTGAAGGTGACCGTCCTTATCGGTCTGGAACTTGACTCTTCCGCTGCCCTGTGCGCTTGACCATTTCTTTGCCTGTTAACCTTCGTCTTCCGCCATGCGCCCGAAATCTTTCTCCTGAGTGAGATAGTGCGTGTATGTGTGTGTCCTGCGCCCTCTTCCTCCCAGTAATATTCTCCCCTAGATTGACCCTCTTTTGTCTGTCTGACACTGATCGCAACGTACAGTTCGTCAGGGCCTCCGGATCGCCCTGTTGGCAATCATCATTATCATCATCATTATCATCATCATCATCATCATCATCATCATCATCAACAACTCAATTCAAGCGTCTAGCACTAGCTATCCTCACTGCTCCACTTTCTTATCGACAAGAGGCGGGTGTTCATCATGGACCAAGGGCACTCCCTGTCCTGGTCGGACATTCCTCCGTCCAATGACGATGAATTCACCAATTTTCTTGAGTTTGGAATGCAGTTTCCCGACGTGGATGGTCATCCTCAACCCGACCATCACGCTCCTCGTCCGTTGACTCATGCTGTCACCATGTCTATGCCTGTCTCGGCCGCCCCTGCGCAAGAGCAATTGACTAACTTGGATACTAACTCCATAAGTGCGCCTGCATCGTCGTACAGCCCCATGATAGATAATGGATTTGCTTTGGATCTTGTCCATCACGGACAGGAAGGCCAGCCACATGGCTCGTCCTACTCTACCGCTCCAGTCACCCCGGCCTTCTATGCACCCAAACCACCCATTTACCATCATCAACAACACCCCCCAGTAGCGGATCAGTCGCACTCATTATCTCAACCCACACAATCCGTGCCCCAATCTTTTGTGCCCCAGGGCAGACCTGTCATTCCCCCCACCCCGGACAGCATCGAGTTTCATGGAACTGCTGCTACATACCCTCAGCGGGTTGACGGGACCCGTGAAGTCTACGAGCCGTTTGGCCGCGCGAATGATGAACAGGTAAGCTCATCGATGAGGGTGATCTGGAAACATTTTGCAGAGCTAATGTATGCATTTGCTTCATTTTAGGCTCTTTACACTCCGCTTGTCTCGCCGGCTATGACACCGCTGGAATCGCAGTTTCGTCTTCCTGAATACACTATACCTGGAGAGTACTTCACCCCTCTCACATCCCCGGCTCTCGAGGCACAGCATACGAACTCAACCAATTATCCTTTCCATTCCAGCCAGGTGTCGGAGATGGGGTTTGTGCCTTCACCTGCCGAGCATTCCCTCACCATGTCGACTAACGTTTCCTCGCCGGGGGTGATGCGGAAACATCGCCGACAGCCGTCCAGCACAAAATCCTTTTCGGCTCGTGCGAAAAAGCAACAGTCGCCTTCAGTTCGGCCGCAAACACGCAAAAAGTCCTTGATGAGCCTTAATCCAGATGAGGTTTTCAGTAGTCTCAGTCAGGACCAGGCTGTGCATTTACCACAAACACCCGGTGGAAGCGGACTTCGTTATGCCAGCAATGAGAGCTCTGGTCAAGATTCTGTGTCACCGGAGCCCCTCTCCGAGCCCTTGATGCCCCCGCCCGCTTTGCCTCCCTCGCGGAGGTCGCCCGCCATCCGCCCTCAACCGGCCCGACCCCCTGAACCAAGTGAACCTGCGACGCCGGCGATGCTGATGCGCATTCAACGGTCACCGCTCTCAATCAGTCAAACTGTGCCTCCGTCCAACCTCACTGTGTCGGAAACCCAGGATGACGTGATGGAGGATGTGATTCTTCCCGAGGCCGCAACATCGCTGGCTCCTTTCGCAAGACCCCAACTGACCCGCATCGAAACCACGGTGCAGGCAAATACGGTGTCATCGGCGACCTCGGGAAATATAAACCCAGCTCTGGAGCCAAAATCTGCCAAACGAAACACTTCTCTAGCTCCCAGCCCTCGCTCAATTGCTATGCCATCACCCAGCGGCCCGCTGCCCAAGAAATCGGACACGCCCAAGTTAGGTCCGTTAGGACGAAAGCGACAGAGCATGAGTTCCTCGCAAGCTAGTCCCAGTCTGCGTCCAAAAATCAGTCCCAGCATTCAGCCATTAGTTCGTGGGGATGGTAAGTTTCTTCCGGCTCCAACCATTTAGACTAGGGTGATAACTGATCAATTTCGATACGCAGCAATGTCAAGTGAAACTTCAGCTCTGTACCTGGCATCCAAGTCTAACTACCAGCACATCTTAGACGGCACGCTTCTGCCCGGCGTCTCCTATCCTGAGACTTTAGCTGAGAACCTCAGCTCAAAACGGACCAACCACAAGCTAGCCGAACAGGGACGAAGAAATCGTATTAACAATGCACTTAAGGAAATCGAGACACTCATTCCTGCATCCTTTATCCAGATGAAGCATCCTAAAGAGGTGGCTGTTTGTCCCATGAAAGGGGCGGATAAAGAGAAAGAAAAAGCGAATAGCCAGCCAATCAGCAAGGCCAGCACAGTGGAGATGGCCATTGACTACATCAAAAGCCTTCAGCAGGAACTCGAAGAGACTAAAGGTAGACTGGCTGCCGCGGAGAGCCTCCTAGGGAATTCAAAGCCCGAATCAAATCAGGACAACGCCCTTGCGGGTGCTGAAAATGGACCGAAAGTGCAGTCGGCAGTCGAAAGCTGACGATTGCGCCCAATAACCCGGAGAGCGGATTTTTGCTTCGGGTAGGTTTTGAAATTGTGAGCTCGTATCCCAGATGGCGGTTTTCGCTTCCCCATATCATGATATCCACGAAGTTGCATTCTCTTGAACAGGAAAGGCATAGACGGAAAGGGAAGGATCGTGTTTGCGCCTAGATATAGCCGAAAAGATGAATCACGGTTTGCGCAGATCCTATCACAAATATCTCCCTCGAGTATTTCTAATAAATGGTGTGGCGATTGTCTAAATTCGGCGTCCCTGAATGCCTTTATCATACCGCACAAGGTGTGAATCAGCTTCAGCCTTGTTGTACTTCTTAGCATATGCAACATATCCAACGGCTTTCCATTGAGATTCCAGTATACGACACTGCTGCACGGCTCATGCTCTACTTTGCAATCGACAATCAGGGTTCAGGCACAAGTCCCGAGTGAGGTTTCCATAGTTCCTACATGGCTAGTATTCAATGTAATTGAGATGAGGTAGCTTGAGGATAAAGGAAAGTACTATCTGGACAGAGGATGTGGTATCGGTGGGTATTTATAAATGTATACATATATATGTAAATAGTCCTATAGAACAGGTTGTTTTCGGTCCTGGTTTTTTAATAGTCCCGCATGACTGCCACCATCTCATCCAACCGGCTGATCTCGTCCAGCAATAGGGCCTCCTTGCTTCTCCATTGCCCTAGGAGAGTAAGTTCCGCCGGAGAAAGATACCGCTCTTCATTCCCCTTGACGTCACTGCGCTCGGTCTTCTCCAAGAATTCTTTGAGTCGACCCCGCTCGAATCGTAAGCGCTGTAGGCACCGAGACATAGCCTTGTATGTGTCTTCCAGAATGCTGTTACGGATCCGATCTGGATCATAGAACCAGAGGTAAATCGTGCGCGATGGCTGTCGCTGTGCATCTCGGGGTACTTCCTGCAGGTCGACAAATCCGCCGGATTGCATGCTGGCTAATACCTGCCGGAGATCTTTGAATGGAAGGAGGCTAATTTCCTGGAGGCGCTTCTCATCAAGTTTACCCTTGGCGTGAAGGACCCGAATCACTCTTAGGGCGACGTCACCGTAGCGAGCTTCAATGATACGCTCGAGTTCCAAATGACGGAGCTTACGCGCCAGGTGTCGAAACTCCACGGTCCAGGTGATAAGGCCAGATACTACACGCTTTGAGGTCAAATTGTAGGGGGGCTGTGAGAGGAGACTGAGATGCTGGTCAATCTCATAAGTCCGGCTGGGTGCGTCGGAGTCTTGATGACTGGTCCCGTTGACCCCATCTTCATCTAATAACCTTTTCCCACGCCTGCTGACAGGCGGAAGAACTTCCATGGGACCGATAGAGCCCGCAAGGTCTAATTGCGGGTCGACTTCTTCTGCTACCGCACTCAATGCGATCGCAACGGAATATTGCTCGCCTTCTTCACCTTCACGCGGAATTTCAACAATGTCCCGACATTGCTTAGTCTGGTATTCAATGCGTCGCAGGAGACATTCGTAAACTTGAACGGTAGCCGACGATGAGTGCATCTCCGCAAGATCAAGGAATCGTCGATTGCGTAGTGCAACATCCATTTTCTCGTAGTTGACTCGAACAACCATTCCAGACTATATTGAAACAAGACCGTTAGTCTCAGTAAGAAGCATATTTAAAAAGAGGAGAGTTGTACCTCCATGGGAGTGGTGTCTCCTGTCTCGTCATCGGACCATTCATCCTCCTTATTCTCATCCCCCATGTCGAAATCCACCCGAGCACTTTTATCTGCAGGACCGTTACCGAGCCTTTTGTTGGCACCGCGCGGTACTCCATTATGCAAGAATCCACGGGTTAGATCTCCATCTAACTTTTCCCTCAACATGGTAAGTGTGCCATCTAAAACCGTTTCCTCAAGCCGCTTGCCTTTCATCTGTTTGACGTCAGGCCTTGACTTGATCGCACGTTCGGCATCTAGCGCATTGTCCGCATAACTTTGGAATTGTGCATCTCGGACGCGAATTAAATAGCCATGAGACGCCAATGCCCTCAACGTCGGATGGAGCAAGGCTGGCTGTTCGGCTGTTTCTTCCCCGTTGTGTCCATTCACCCGTCCCTCCGACTTCTCTCCTCCAATATCATCATCAATACCGTTTAATTCCCGTGGTCCATGCCTTAACTCGGACAAGGTTTCAAGATGGCTTATTTGGGCATGCCCGAGGAACATTATGGTAGACATCACGGTGGCCGCATACTTGCCTAGCCGATCTTGAACGAATTCAAGAATCTTACCAGAGCGAACGAGATAATACGCGGCCTGTGGATTAGGCTCGTAGTAGGTGATCCCCTCATCATAAGAGGTGTAATGATATATGAGGTGATGCTGTATCATTGCGGCAAGGCCATGACGAAGCTGGCGGTCAGACAGGCGCGAGTAGAACTTAAGGCGAGGAAAGGACAATCGATCATAACGCTGCAGGGTCGAGAAGATGCGCTATTGATTGTGAAGACAAAGTCAGTCTATATTCACCTTTAACTTCCCCGGCACCGCCAATGGTAAGTGTTCCAGATTTGTTAGAAGTCATCGAGGTAAGGAATTAGGACCATGAGCATACCGAAAACAGGTCTCCGAAATGATCTTCAACTAAGAGCGCGCAGAGCTCAGCTGCATACTGCGCAAAAAGGCTTTTAGCACGGGGAAAGCTAATATAAGTGGAGAGTTGTCGCATACTTGAGAAGTCATGATCGAGGGGCTGTCTAGCGAACCACCGCCGTCAATCCTCTAGGGAAAAGATTAGGATCACCGGAATAAGAGCATGGGGCAGTTGCAGGATGTTAAAGAGCCCTTTGACCTTGTCGTTTTTGGAGGAGAGCTTTGATGTTTTTGTCTTTCCTCTCAGTTTTTTTTTTTTTCCTAGTCAATCGATTGACCTTACTTCTTATCGCGCATTAGAAGCGGGAGAAACTCACGTGCACCTACCGGGAAACATCAAGTCACATGATCTCTGCTGACTCGGAGAAGGGGGAAAAGCCGGTTCCGCCCGCTCTCGCAATTTGGACCAATCAGAGTGCGAGTAATCATCAACGCCGGCATCTTGAAGCTTTTCAGACATCATTTCTAACCCGTTCAACGACCGCCAGCAGCTCTCTTCTGCTCCCCCACCTCCCCATCCCCCTTCAGTCGCTGTTGAGCCTCGTGGCCTCCTCTTCTTTTTCTAAATTGTCTTGCCTACACATGCGATAATGCTCTCGCGATCCACCATTAGCCGGAATGCGCCCCGTGCGCTCCAGAAGCAGTACTCTGCTGCCGGTGCCAGCAGCCGTCGAGGCATGGCTTCTGCCGCTACTCCTGGTCTTCAATACGATGTCACCGAGTCTGCTGGTGTGAAGGTCGCCAACAGAGAGGTTGCCGGCCCTACCGGCACCCTAGCTCTCGTTGCTAAGGCTGGTACTCGCTACCAGCCCTTCCCTGGCTTCTCTGATGCCCTCGAACAATTCGCTTTCAAGGTTGGCGCTCCCGGCTCAATTGCACTTCCTGCACCTTGCAAGTACACTATATTGGGCATCGTTCAAGCTGACTTTTTGTTTGCAACACACAGTCCACACTTAAGCGTTCAGCACTGCGGATCAATCGGGAGGTCGAACTGCTGGGCGGTGAAGTCTCCTCTACACACTCGCGTGAGAATGTTGTCCTCAAGGCGAAGTTCCTCGCCAACGACCTCCCTTATTTCGCGGAACTTTTGGCGGAGGTCGCCTCTCAAACCAAGTTCTCTGGTATGTCATTTTACCAGGCACTAACCTCTTATCGGATCAGTCTGACATATGGTTTCTTTTCTGCCAGCCCACGAATTGAGCGAGGTAATTCTTAAGACCCTCAAATACAGACAACAAGCACTCGCCGCCAACCCTGAAGCTGTTGCTATCGATGCTGCTCACGCCGTGGCTTTTCATCGCGGTTTGGGTGAGAGCATCACCCCCTCGATCACCACTGCTTTTGAGAAGTATCTCTCTGCTGAGGCCGTTGCGGAATTCGCCCAGCATGCGTTTGCCAAGCCCAACATTGCCATCGTCGGCAGTGGCCCCAACTCTGCGGAACTTTCCAAGTGGGTTGGCCAGTTCTTCAAGGCAGCCCCCAGCACTGGCAGCACTTCCAAGTATCAGCCTCAGCCAAGCGCCGCCTCCCAGTACTACGGTGGCGAGCAGCGCATCTCCTCCAAGGCCGGCAACGCCGTTGTGATTGCCTTCCCCGGCTCCAGTACCTTCGGTACTTCCGATTATAAGCCTGAGGCTTCTGTTCTCGCTGCCCTCCTTGGGGGTGAGTCCACTATCAAGTGGACCCCTGGTTTTTCTCTCCTCGGCCAGGCCACCCAGGGGTTCTCCCAGGTCCGTGCCTCGACCAAGAACCTCGCCTACTCTGACGGCGGTCTCTTCACCATCTCCCTCTCGGGCAAGGCTGAGCAGATTGCCTCCGCCGGTAAGAGCGCCGTCGATGTCCTAAAGAAGGCCGCCGCTGGTGAGTTCGCCAGTGAAGACATCAAGAAGGCTGTTGCTCTGGCCAAATTCCATGCCCTTGAGTCCGCTCAGAACCTTGAAACTGGTCTTGAGGCTACTGGCTCTGCCCTCATCAACGGTAGCAAGCCATACCAGATCGCCGAGGTTGCTCAGAGTATTGATGCTGTCACCGAGACCCAGGTCAAGGAGGTATGTTTTCGCTCTTTAACTCCTTGCTAAAGAAGCAAATAATTAACTGCGTTCCCTTCAGGTTGCCAAGTCTTTCTTGTCCGGCAAGGCTTCTGTCATCGCCGTCGGAGACCTCTTCCAGCTTCCCTACGGCCAGGACGTTGGCTTGACCGTTTAAACGTGTATACAACAACTACATCTTAGACTGGCTTTACTTCCGGAGAAAAAGCGCGTCTTCCGTTTCTATTCATCTTGTGTCTAGATCAACCTTTCGCAGATATCTCCTGTCTCCTTTCTTATTACGTGGCTGTAGTTGTGTGTTTTTGTAATACAATTGTATTTTCTTCCTAATTATATGCCTTGTATACGTTCTGGGTAGTTGTATAGTTACAGATGAAAGCCAAAACGGTATCGCTAATCTGAATGTAGGCCCCGCATTGTGTCATACAACGTATACTTGCAAGATTTCCAGAGCCTGCCTATCGAAGCTAAGTATAAAGCTAGAAATGTGGTGGTTTAGAGGAAACGCAGGTGATATGAATCTCTCTGTTGTCCAGGAGTCTTGAGTCATCACCATCACTCAGATTTGTTGCTTAACCGAATCAAGCTTGACTGCAGGTACTACTAAGATAACTTCGATCTCAAGATGTCAGTTACTCAGTATGTCCTCTCTCATTCAAACTCTGCTTTCCATTCCTCTGTCAACTATCCTAAGCGTGCGCCAAAGTAAGAACAGACAAACGCCTCGTATCTTGGCATTGATAGATTGTGTTGAGCATGTATGATGTTGTCGGCAATGTGGTGTCAGCCCGCTCAGAAGAGTGCTCGAGGAAAAAAAACCTCCTAAGGGGACACTCTGACCTAAGTGAGACCTAAGCAATTGCGACATGCATGGGAGGGCTAATGATCCAGAGCATAGACTCGGTTGAACATCGCTGATTACGGCTATATAATATGCAAAGTACTGCACGGCACCCTTTGGTTAAGGCAGCTGGCGTTGGCAGAAATGGAGCAGGAAGAGTCAAGGAGCCACACGCCATTGGTATTCGGCGACTTCCCCAGACGATACATGAGGATTTGCGGGTCTATTAACACTAATGTAATAAATGGAAGGCTTGCATCATGTGTCGTGCGGTATGCTCAGCACCTCGCACCACCTTGCTTGTATCAACGATTCAGTCTGAGACAACAGAGACGAAGTAACCAAGCCAGCATAAAGCCCTGTCATCTCCGACCATGCGCATGGCGGAAGGGTATTTCAAACCTTCCCTAGTGCTTTGCGGTGACAGTCTCGCCCGTCAGTTTTTCGACTGCCTCCTTGGCCCTGTTCGGTGCAACGGAGACCCATCATGTTAGCCTTAAGTCTTCCCTCGGCAGAATCACAAATTTCACATGGGGGACCCCGGGGGTACGCCGAACCGGCCGGGGTAGTCCACTCGATGATATTGGTCATTCGAGAGGTGGGTCTAGATAGCCCGCAATTACAAGGATAAAATTGTTGGGGGAGGGGTTCTCAACTCACATGTCACCCAGAGCCACCATGCAGACGGTCTGCCAGATCCCCAGTCCCACTCGAGGAGCCACACCACGGTAGAGGCCTCGAATGCCGTTGTTCTCATAGATGTACTTGGCAGCCTTGCCGACCGTCAAATTCTTAGGACGGTTGGGGTCATCGGTCTTGCTCTGCATTTCGACGCGAATCACCTCAATGGGCTGGTTCCAAGCCGACAAACCACCACCCAGACCTGAAGCCAAAATCTTCTCAAAAGCGTTCAGCTTTTGACTGTCATCCTTGTTGGTCACCTTGCGGATTGCCTGCTCCGCCAAGCGGGAGAAACCGAAACGAGATCCCCAGTTAGTAGTTTGACGGATAGCGACCGCATTGACACCACGGTTGATACCACGGATACCCTCCTTGCGGTAGATGTCCATGAAAGTCGCGAAGGTACTGGGGGGCTTGACACCTTGCGCAGCCATCTTGTGCTTGGTGATTTCGACCGTCTTCATGCAGGTGCAGAATCCCATAGTGGCATAGGCCTGGGCAATACCACCGACCATACCACCAGCGATACCGGCCACGAAGTCGGGAGCACCGAGCACCTTGGCGCGAAATTCGGCTTCCGATGCGACGAAAAGCAGGACAGCACCTTTAGTAGAGGCCTCAATCCAGGCCCACGGAATGAGGCCTTGATAATCTATCATGTAACCACGTCAGACGCGGTATCCCGCAAGCTAGTCAGGTGAAATATTGAGCAGAATAGCACTTACAACCGAGCATCCCGCCACGACCCCAAATCCGACCCATAGCACCGGCGAAGCTGTCGCCTCGATTTGCGGCCATGGTTGTCTTGATCACCTCCAGCGGCTATGATTATCAGATTGTGTCAGCTTGTACGACAGGCGCCGCCGGCCCCTAGATTCCACGATGATAGGAAAATCATACCTGTCCCAAGGTTGTGACCCTATTGAAATCCTTTAGTCAACCGGGGTCGAGCTAATGTCGGGGAGAATGGGCAGGATACATACTCGAACAAGTTCAAACCAGCACCGACTGTAGATGAGCCATCAGATCATGGACAGTGGCTATTTGAAAGAGTTGGAATTGGATACGCACGCAACAGATTGCTAAACTTGACAGGCTTCTTCTCGAGCGTTTGGCCGGCAGGGGCCGCGGAAACCGGGGTGGGAGACATCTCTGAACTTGGGGAGCGCTGAAAGGGGCCCTGACCAAGGGATATAAGGGGCTTCGTCGCCTAGAGGATCGCAAGAAATGGCAGTAGAACTGCGAAGGGGATGTCCAGTCACAAAGAGATGGACTTGATGAATCGACTGCAATTGGTCACCACGGAAGCTTTGGAAGGTTAGCTCGCTGGACGAAGTGACCGAGAAGAAAAGGATGAGAAGCAGGGTGACTGCAAGCAAGCTAGGAGGGAAGGAGAGTAGAGCGGGTCACGGGCGAGAAGCACGCAGCGAGGGCGTAAGGCAGGGGGGAAAGACATGTGTAAGCAAGCATAATGTTGGTTGGGCTTATCATTGTCCAGACAGGTGGCTTATGAGGGATGGGGAAGATGGCGCAGTGGAATATTACACATACTGGGAATTAGGTAAGTGCTGTTTGTTTTGCCTTAAGGAGGAAAACGAAAGAGAGAGAGAGAGATGAGAGGTGGGAGGGAAGAAAGAGAGAGAGAGAGAGAGAGTTGTTGTTGTTATGTATTTTTCCTTTTAGTAGTTCCAGGAAGGCAGCCCAGCCGTGGAGAGCGATCCGTACCAAGGAGTACCCCGTAGTAATGAGCACACTGCCTTAGTAACTAAGGTACGGAGTACTGTACAGCAACAGCAGGCTGACTGGCTAAGAGCTCGGAGTTCGACTCGTTCCTCCCGAAGGCTGAGGATAGCTGAGCAGCGGGCTGGAAGACCCTCCAGTCACGAGATGTTCATTGGATGATCATCAGTCCTGCTAGCCTGATCAAGGTAATATCAGGCGCTAACCCTGAATGGATGCTCCAGCAGTTGAGTATCCGGAGTAAATCGGGTCAATGAGTGGCTCAACCGTTGGGAGGGGGAAACTCAACTCTGCAATGTGCACTGATCACTGTAGTCAGTCAGTCGAGTTCGAATTCGGCTCACGGAGTAAAATTCTCGAACCCCTTCCCCTCCCTCCCCCGACCTCACTCTGTCCCTCGTTCCGAGTCCGATTTGTATTACTCTATTCCCGGAGTACTCCGTCTGGAGTAAGTGAGCTCTGCAGCTCTTATACAACCCCAATCGCCCACCCTAGCCTTAGCAGATAGTAGTCTACCTTATCTCTCCCTCAAGATCACAAGTCACCTTAAAATCAATGAGGGCAGAAATCATGAGATGCAATTCCCTTGTGTCCAAGGCGTCGCGGACGGTAGCTTTACGAGAGAAAGACAGGAGCAGGAATGTTCAAATGCGGTCACAAGGCCCGCGCGGACTGTGTCCTAATCATACATTCATCGAGCCAGCCCAACACATGGCCAATCCCACTTTTGCAAAACAAAGAGGAAGAAGAAGACGCACAAGAGGGATAGTACAAGACTGAGATAGGCATAATACAAGATATACTATATTTATTCGTAACAAAAACTCCTCATCTCCCATGAGGGTTCATACCAGGGAGAATTTACAGCTTAGCACCAACAAGCTTGGCGTAGGCCTCAGTGCTGAAACTCTTGGGACGCTCGATGGGGGCACCAAGGGCACGGTCGATAATCAGCTGGGGCAAGACACCCAGAGCACGAGAAACACCGAAGAGAACGGTGTAGTAGTTAGCCTCAGTCAGGCCATAGTACTGAAGGAGAACACCGGAGTGCTAGAGAGTAGTTAGCAATTCAATTCTGCAGAACAGAACTCAGAATAGTGAACTTACGGCATCAACGTTGGGGTAGGGGTTCTTGGTCTTGCCGTGCTCAGTCAAGACACCAGGAGCAATCTTGTAGACCTGGCTGACCAACTTGAACATAGGGTCATCAGGCAGCTTACGGAGAGCGAACTCGCGCTGAGACACGTAGCGAGGGTCAGTCTTGCGGAGAACGGCGTGGCCGTAACCGGGAACGACCTGACCGGCGTTCAGGGTAGACCAGAGGTAGTCCTTGATAGCCTGGTCGCTGAGGTCGTTGCCAATGGCAGCCTTCATCTTAGTGAGCCAGTTGAGCACCTCCTGATTAGCCCTGGATAGCGTCATCTTGTTAGCAATACTACTCACGGTTCAAATTGTGATGGTACCTTACAATCCGTGGAGGGGACCAGCCAGACCGTTCAGGCCAGCGGCCAAGGAGAGCATGGGGGAGCTGAGAGCACTACCCACGAGGTGGGTGGTGTGGGCGCTAACGTTACCACCCTCGTGGTCGGAGTGGATGGTCAAGTAGAGGCGCATCAGTTCGACGAAATCCTTGTTGTCGCCGTAGCCGAGCTGGTTGGCCAAGTTGAAGGAATAGTCCTTGTCCTTCTGAATAGCAGCAACCTTGCCATCCTTGAAGACGTTGCGGTAGATCTTGGCGGCAATGGTGGGAAGCTTAGCAATGAGATCCATAGAATCCTCGAACGTGTAGTTCCAGTAGTCCTTCTTGTTGAGACCCTTGGCGTAAGCCTTAGCGAAAGCAGACTCGTGCTCGAGAGCGGTAACGGCCAAAGAGAACTGAGCCATCGGGTGCAGGGTGCTGGGGCAGCGGTCAATCAGCTCCTCGATAAATTTAGGGAGGTCAGAGCGAGCAGCCCACTCAGCGGACAAATCGCGGACCTGCTGCTCAGTGGGGATCTCGCCGGTGAGGAGGAGCCAGAAGAGACCTTATCAATTAACTATTAGGATGATTCATCGCGGTGAGCCCCGGCCGGAGAGTGCTTACCTTCAGGCAAAGGCTCCTGGCCGCCGGGGGCCTTAGGAAGCAGTTCCTGGCACTCCGGGATCTACCCATATTGTGAGTCCCTGCAGGAAAATGCGATGAAAGCCAACTTATACTCACTGTGCGACCACGGAAACGGATACCCTCCTCGGAATCAAGAACAGATCCCTAGATGGGCATATTAGCCAACTACTTCAAGAACCAATTAGTGTGAAGTACAAACCTCCCAAACAAGGGACTTCACACCACGAGCACCACCGTAAACTTGATCAAGGGTGACCTCGCCGATAACCTTGTTGCCGTGCTCCCTAGTGAGACGGTTGGAGAGTGATTAGCGATAGTTGCGAGCACAGGGGAGTTGAGTTAGGCGTACTTGCGAAGCTTCTTAACCTTCTCGATCTCAGCGGGGAGCTTCTCGGCAAAAGTCTCCTTCAGGGACTACAAAGCATGGTTGCTGAATCAGTACAGCTGAGCATTGCAGCAATGGCTCCCGGAATCGCGAACGAACCTTGGCCTTGCCGGTAGAGTAGCAGCGCAGGCCGTTGAAGGCAGCAGACTGAACGGCAGGCTTAGCAGCCATGCCGCTGGAGCGAAGAGCAGAGGTACCGAGTCTCAAGGTGGAAGCCATTGCGAATGGGGCAACTTGATCAGAGGTTGTGGTTGTGAAAGAAGAGAGGAGAGGAAAGAGGAAGGGGTATAATGCACACAGCGGTAGAAAAGAGAAAAGGAAAGAAGAGAAGGAGATAGAGAGGACAGAGTCGGTAGAAGAAGCTCTTCTGCGGGCCTTTTTTTCCATCTGGCCGTAACGCTCCTACAGCCGGTACACGGATTGTACGGTAACACCCGGCAACAGAGCAGGGTAAAGAGAGAAGTGGACCGTATCATACGGTCACACTAGTTTCGAGGTGGCCGGTGTCCCGAGTTTGGGAGTTGGAACTTGAAGGGTAGGACACGGTTTGCTGCGGTAAGCTTACAAAACACTATTCCGTTGTCCGGGACAGATTACGGCGAAATTCGATCCATCCCAGTCTGTTTATAGGTCACTATACGCACATAGAGAGAGGAATTCAGGTCCAAAGGTGCTCGAAAGCTGTCAGTATCAGGGCCTACTTCCTCGAATCCCTGAAATTGTCCTTTCGACTGGCTCTCATCGTGTTTGGAGTGTTTCTAATCCTCTTCTGGCTTTTTTTCTTCTTGTTCTTTTCCGACGATCTTCGGCACCCGATCCATCCGTAAACGGAGTGGCTGCCAATGGACTCAGTCGGTAGTACTAGTATGGTGGCCCTGCCTCGTTGCGCCCCCTTGTTGTGACGTCGGCAGTCGCCATCCGCTGAGTACGGAGTAGACTAGTTGGCCGCCCAAGCTTCAGGTAAAACGAGTTTCCCCATAATTTTCTCCTACAAGCGTGGAAGAGAAAGGGTAATCTTACTTGTATCTACCTTACCTTGTAGATACTTCCCCCTGGTTCAACATGATGGCATGTGGACGTGAGACCGAGGCAAGAGATAGAGAACCAATGGATCTTATGCATCTACTGGGTACATTATGTACGGTATACTACCGGGCTTGCACACCGCAGCACGAATCCACATATGTTCTTGCTATGATCACCCATAAAGGAGATGGTGGGAGAGGATTTTACCTACTCCGTAGATTCGATTCACCGAGTCTCCAACCAAAGCGCAGAGGCAGTTTTAGCTGCCAAGGTACCATGTAAGTCAACTACTCCGTACTCCGTAACCGACTAGTAGTTACACTCCAAGAGAAAAAGCATGATCACGTGGTCAAAGACTGACTCAATCTCATTGACACCTGAAGAGTCAGGCAAATATCAGGCAAATATGACACACCGTACCTATCCAGCCTAGTTATGTATAAATTGCCAAACAGAGACTAGCGTAAGCGGTCTGAGTTTTCTCCTCACCTGGCTGTCCACCCTGTAATGAATCTCTTCCCGTCCTCATTCTCATTTCAAGTTTTTACACAACTATCTCCTTTACATTCATCCTGTGTCGCACCTTCTTTCATCGCTGGTTCATCCTCGCTTCACAGTATCGCGAACTGTAATCCCCGCCAACATTCTCAATAACGGCTTTTCAGTCAACCTAGCACCCTAGGTATACTGAATACACATTCGTGCGCGAGTGGCAAAGCCCTGGACAGCATCGCTTGGCCTTGTTTCAGCTGTAGGCGGAAGACCTCACTTGGTCGCCTGAGTACGCTCTTGAAAAGTCCGTAGTGACACGACCAGAAGTCCGCTTAGGATCCCACTTATTGCTCAGAATTCGGTTATATCACCAGGTTCACTGGTATATCTTTCTAAACAACGCAAGGTTTTTTAACTGCAGCTGGATTTTTCAGTAGAACGATCGGCTGGAAGCACAGTGCGAATATCGTCTCCCTGTACGAACGTGACCGCTCCATCTTGAAGAAGCGATAGTTTTCCCAAAAAATATCTTCTGGCTGTATCCTGTTCTCCACGCGCTAGTCTCGGGATTTCAGCACACTATATCCACCAGTTATGTCGTCTGCTGTAGCAGAACTGGATAACTATCTCCAGTCGATGCTGGCACTCAAGCCACCGGGTGTATCGGGATCCAAAATCAACAGTATCACATCGCTGTGCACGGCCAATGTCCAGGTGATCCTCTCTGCATACTTTTTATATTGCTTGGATCGGATGCTAACATATGCCACTTGTACTTGCCCATAGAACGAATCCGTGCTCATCCAAAAGATCTACACTCACTTCAAGAAAGCACCAGGAACACACAAGCTGGGCGTACTCTATGTCGTAGACTCTGTAACTCGACAGTGGGTAGAACAAGCGCGCAAGGCAGGGCAAGCATCTGGTAATGCTGCCCCTGATGGGAGCTTCGCCGCTGGTGTCAACAGAGTGACCGAGCTGCTCCCTATCCTGATGACTGATATCATAAACAACGCTCCCGAAGATCAAAAGGTACGCTCTAGATGCAAGATGCAAACCATAATCGAAATCCTCACAGGGCCGCGGGCAAGCATAGGGCCGATAGGATCCGGTGGTCTGCTATGGAGACTGCTTGCAGACTTGCTTGAGGTTCGATCAATGTATCTCCTGTATATCTCTCGACCACCATGGCTTAAATCTCAGGCCGCTATGCTTGCCCGGTCTCAGTCTCTCGGTTTCCCTCTCCTTCCGCATGAACGCCTAGTGAAGAATGTCCAACTTACGTATTTACTCTCCTCAATATAGGAAAAGATAAAGAAATTGGTGGACATCTGGGAACGCGGATATACCTTTCCTGCCCCCATGCTTGCCTCATTTAAGGAAAAACTAAATGCGCCCCCGTCGCAAAGTAAGAATACCCCAATCCTTCATGTCGCGATCCCATCTAAGCCTGTTTCGGAGTCCTGGGTCGTTTGACCAAGATCTATGTTGAGTCCATCGGCTGACTTTTGCCCACGGTTGCGGCACTTTCCAGATATCGAATCCACCACTCCCGAAGGCTCCCCAGCCCCCAATAACCTCTCTCTTGGTGGTGCTGCTCAGCCGACCAATGGCACGACTTCGTCCAGTATGGGACAACAAGCGCCCGACACGTCCAGTATCCTGAAAGCCCTGGCGGATATGGCTAAACAGAACACTGCCGCACCAGCTACACCCGCTGTCGCGGCGCCTGCCAATCCTCTTAATGCCCTAAGCCAGCCAGGTACGGTTTTGCAGACCATGCCGTCTTCTGTAGACCAGGCATCACAACCCCCGAACGGGCAGGCTGGTGTAAATCCTTACGCTCCTGGTACTATGGTTACCCCCTTCGCAGCTCTCGGTAACGTTGCCCAAAACCCAGCCTTAGTGCCCCAGAGTTCAAGTCAGAGCCATACTCCTAATCCCCTGGCGACGGCCCAAAACCCCTTGGCCGCGCTATTGCCGCACGCGACTGCAGCACCAGCTCAACCAAATTCGGTAGGACCAGATGCACTGCAACAGCAACTTCAGCTCTTACAGCTGTTGTACGCTCAAGGTATTCCCCAAGAACAGTGGGGCACTGCTCTGCAGATACTCAGTCTTTCAAACGCCTCCAATATGGGCGCGATGAATCCTGGCCAAGCTCCTCCGCCATTCAATCTTGCGGCAGGTCAGAATATCGGCGCCTGGGGCGGCCGCCCGGACTCTCAACCACGTGACTACGACCGAGATCGGGAGCGCGATTACATGAGGTCACCGCCAGGTCAGTATGGTCGTCGTCGCTCGCATTCTCCAGGCTATGATCGCCGTCGGGAAGTTTCCCCTCCCCGTCGTCGTGACAGTCCCGTTTATGGGGAGTATCACGGAGACTCTCCTGGTCGCAGGGGCGGCGACCCTCGTGGTCGACGCAGCAATGAATATCGCCAACGCAGTCCTCCCGGCCGCAGACGCCGGTCTCCCTCTCCTGCTCGCAAGGATTCTGCATTGCCTCCTCCTGGGCCCAAATTCATGGAATGGGATTATTCTATTGGTCAGGGCAACATCAAAGGTTTGTCTTCAGCCCACTGCTTCTGCCTCCAATTGGACCGTCCTAACGCCCGTGCAGTTTTAAGCCGCACCTTGTTCGTGGGTGGCGTCACGTAAGTTGTCTTCAAAATGGTTTGGCAAAATATGGTGTGGAAAGCTAAAGCTTATCGGTCAACAGGTCGTCTGAGGCTCACCTTCGCTCCCTATTTAGCAAATTTGGAGTGGTTCAAACTTGCATTGTCAACATTGACAAGCGGCATGCTTTCATCAAAATGATCAGCCGTCAAGATGCTGTAAATGCTAGGGACGGAATGGAATCATACAAATCTGGCGACATGCAGCTCAGAGTAAGTCTTCTGGCGTTCTCGGTTTAGTGGTTCTTGGTATGGCCGCTAACTACTCTCTCTTAGACTCGATGGGGTGTTGGATTCGGGCCTCGTGACTGCAGTGACTATCAGACCGGAATAAGTGTAATTCCCATCGAACGACTGACTGAGGCGGATCGCAAATGGATGCTTACCGCAGAATACGGTGGCACGGGTGGGAGGCCCATTGAGTCTGGCATGGTTGTGGAGGAGCCAGACATTGAGATTGGTGCTGGTGTTTCTTCGAAGGGTATGTCCTCCTTCGCTGCATCTGTCTTCGACGATACCATTTCGTCTAACCCCCGTCACAGCGATTAGCAGAAGAATTGCTACCGATACTGGCGGCAAACGCGGACCAGTCTCCTCCCGCGGGCAGCAGGATCGGTTCCGCCGTCCAGAACGTGAAGGACCCCCAGCTGCAATGGGTGGTGGTCCTGGTTCAGACCGTGATGTCACGAATGCCAACAACGTCGGCGTGCCTCCTGCAGTGCCTGGTTTTGGTTTCTCTTTCCCAACGATGGGAATGTTTCCCCCTGGTTTCATGATGGGAGGACCACAGGCCGGACCGCCCGGCGGTGGCTCAGCACAACCACCACCTCCAAGTCAATGAGGCAACCACTTCTCAACGCTCTCGACAAGAATCGTAGTGACTGTAGCGACGATTATCTATCTCCTGCTACGGTTCAATTCTCCTTCAGTTCTGATACCGGTGCTGTTTCTATCTGTTTCCCTCAGTCTATCACTACTTGGCTTTTCCCTGTACAATCAAAGTGCGGCGTGGGAGTTATCTTCAATGCGCCATCCAGAAAACGGTGTCGAAGTCAATCCACACTTTCCAAGAAGAAAGTCTCATAACCGGCCACACCCAACGTCAGATATCGCACTCGATTCATACCTGCAGCTTGAAGCAAGGCCTCATCTACCACTGCAGGTGTTCCACTTAGAAAGCTCCTGACCCAAATTGAAAATTTGGTTTTACGATGACTTTTAACCTCTTTTCATCGTGGCTCTGTGTTCACAACTGTTTTCCACAACTGTTTTCTTTAATATCATGATTTGTATCTATGTCTCATTCATTCGGATCATACGGCTAGGGTTGGGTGGTTATTCTGTGTTTCACACTATTCTTTGCCTTCTTGAACTATTACGCTTCCCCTTAATATGTTCTTCTCATGACACTATCTCTTCTTCTGAATGAGGCGTGCTTCACGGCAAATCAATGAAAACTTTACCAAGTTTTCTTCTTACGGTTCATGTATTTGGATTTAGTATCGCGGATGAGCAGGTTTCGAGGGAATTTGACTCATTAGCAGCAAGCACCAATGGCCAGAATTCGAAGTCACTTATATACATGCATGGATCTAAACCCTTTTATGCATGGCCTCGTTCATTTTGAGTAAATATCATAGAAATGCCCCTCCCATAAGCCTATATCCCGTGCTTGAGAGCAACAAAAGGCTGGATACTACTGGCGTGGTACCATAAGGGCCCATTCAGATCCAGTATGTTAATATTACTACGAATAGTCATCTCATCACGGATTTTTCAGGGCAACGAGTCCAAGCCGAGCGATCTACTTCACTCACAATGGACTTGCAGCCTCAAAGGACTGTGCGAAATCGGCGATGATGTCGTCAATATGCTCCGTGCCAACAGAAATTCGGATGGCATCTTCAGTGACTCCCGAGTCAATCCGTTCCTGTTCGGTAAGTTGTTCGTGAGTTGTCGACCAAGGATGGATAGCGAGGGTCTTTGAGTCTCCGACACTATAAGAGTTCAATCAGTTTAGCCCTTCTAGATCGTCCAGGAACACGAGATAATTACTTTGCAAGATTTGAGATCAATTTGAGGCCATCAACTAGCCGAATGCCAGCCGCAGCGCCACCCTTCACACCGAATGATAAAACACCACCGAATCCTCGGGGGAGGTAGCGCTTGGCAGTTTCATGGCTAGGGTGGTCTCTGAGACCTGGATATGAGACCCAGCTTACGCTTTCGTTCTTTTGGAGCCATTCCGCAAGCGCTATAGCATTGCTTGCATGCCTTTCGCAACGCAAACTGAGGGTCTCGATGCCAAGGAGAAGCTGCTGCGCAGCAAAAGGATTCAAGGCCGGGCCAAGATCACGGAGTATTTCCACTCGCACACGAATGGCGAAAGCAACGTTGCCAAAGGTCTCCCAGAATCGCAGGCCATGGTAGCCTTCGGAAGGCTCCACAAATTGAGGGAACCGCGCTGCATGCTTGCCCCAGTTGAATTTGCCGCTGTCAACGACAACACCAGCAATAGTAGTGCCGTGGCCACCAATCCACTTGGTAGCACTGTGCACAACAATGTCTGCACCATGATCAATGGGGCGACAATAGTAGCCACCGGCTCCGAAGGTATTATCCACCTACATTTTCTCTGTTATCGTCGTGGATTTGATATCTTGGTCTCGGAATGGCACCTACCACAAGCGGCACGGCTTTCTCATGGGCGACCTTTGCAATAGCTTCGAAGTCCGGAACATTGTAGCGAGGGTTTCCGATGGTCTCAACGTAGACAGCCTTGGTCCGATCATCAATCGCTGCAGCAATGACCGCTGGGGAGTCTCCTTGGACAAATCTGGTTTGGATGCCCAACCGTGGAAAGAGAACCTTTAACTGATTGTACGTGCCACCGTACAAGTTGCTGGTTGCTACGATGTTATCACCTGCATGGGCAAGGGCTGAAATGGTCATGAATTGTGCTGCTTGTCCAGATGCGGCGGCCACAGCTGCAACACCACCTTCAAGAGCCGCAATTCGCTTCTCGAAAACATCAACCGTTGGCTGAAATTGCCCGCTTGGCTGTCAGTAACTCCCTCTGTCTTCCCTTCTCTCTTTCCCAACAGCTTAGCGGGAGATCAACTACTTACGTTCATTATGCGACTGTAGATGTTGCCGAATTCTTGAAGACCAAATAGCCGAGCTCCATGTGCGCAATCATTAAAGGAGTAAGACTAATGATGCTTCGTCAGGGTGAGATTCAACCGAAATAAAAATGGTACGCGGGCATGAAGCAGCTTGGCTCACCGTAGTTGCGTAGATTGGCACTGCACGAGCCTTGGTGGCAGGGTCTGGCTCTTGACTGGCATATCGACCATCAGTCTTCCTTCAAACTCCCGTATCTCGTTTATTCTAGGTGGGAAGAGAGGCTTGCATAGTACCCTGCATGAAGTTGGAGGGTCTCGAAGTGCGGCTGCTTTGACTCGGACATGGTGGCCGCAACTTGATTGACCTATTGTGAGTTCAATGGGTTTGTGAGAGAAACCATAAGCGACTTTGCTGGTGCTTTGAATGACAGGCATTGGAAGGATTCTTGATGTGTTTTCCAAGGTCAGATGAATATCTTATTGTGAAGTTGGAGATGTCGATGGCGTGATCGAAACCCCAGGTGCGCCTTGGGCGGGGAAGTTGCGATCGAGATACTCCGTACAATGATGCTACTAGTCGAAGAAATGGCCATGTTCGACATATGGAATATTCAACGTTGACTTAAGTTCACGGTGATCATTGATTTTAATTATCAATGCACCACAAGATTTTCTCTGTATCTTTGCGATGGTGTCATTGAACCACAATTGAGGCAGTGTACCTTACAATACACACAATATGGAATTACAGCCTTATCCTACGGACCACTACTCCGCATATACACGGTAGTACCTCACTGCATGATGACTGGGTAGAAAGCTAAATCAACTTTGAATATGAAGACACGCGATATGTAACAGTATATGCAGTCTACGTATTAAATGTAGGCAAGTGATTAATTGACTGATGTGTACTGTACGGAGCCTCGCATTAAATTGAACAATTGGGGGACAATGATCGTGTGACTGTTTGGTCATGCGCCCGGCGCAGTTATTAGGATAGCAATGAGGTCATTGATAGATATTCTCTTCCCTGTCCAACTGCCGTCATTGGAAGCCAGTTCACCTTGCAGGCTCCAACTTCCAACTACTCATACTGATTTATGTTACGGAAACCCTTTGTACCAATCATACTTGCGAATGACGCTGATACTGTAGGCATACATCTTTTGCATCTCCACTATTTTCCAATAATGACACGTCGGGCGCATGCTCCAGGGCGCTAGGTAGATAGACAGTAGCCTGGCATATACACAGTAGCTATGCTCAGAATAACTTCAGATAATTAGTATCACCACACCAATCCAACCCAAGACCTTCTTGGCCACCTTGGCTGGTGATATACTTTATATTCGGTCGTCAAGCCACTTGCGCATGCGCGCTTCCAAACACTAGGTAATTTTGTATATATAATTACTCGACTGAGCTGGCCATGCTGGTGCAACCACCCTGATTTCGATCAAAATTTCTCGAGCCTCCCGTTCACAAGCACAATTGCACACAAAGCTCATCATCTGTCTATCCTACCATTCCCCACACTCTGTCAGCGAAGATAATTGATTTCATAACAATACACGGTATATTCATAGCGACTGCATATATCGTCTCGAACGAGTTCAATCATGGCGACGAGAATTCCGTGGATTTTCCCCGTTCGGGTCGCTCAAATCATTTTCGCTATCATCGTCCTCGCCTTGACGGCATACTGTTCGTTTAGCTTTTTCCAGAGAATAGCATTTCGGACTGGCTAACTGGTAACAGACATCAGCTGGTATAGCTACAGTGACACCGTGAATTTTATGCTTTTCAATGGGATATGGACGGCCTTTGTCGCGACGCCGTATCTGCTTCTCGCACCTATGTACTTCCCTCGAGTCGCTCATATACTTATCATGGTAGCCATTGAAGCAATTACCATGGTATTCTGGTTCGCCGGCTTCATCGCCCTGGGTGTCTTCCTACCGCCATCAGGGTTCTGTCAATGGGGCAGATGCCGGGCGCTACAAGCTGCAACTGTATTCGGAGCATTTGAATGGTAGGTCAACACCACCCTCAACGGCTGTGGCATGAGAGGTTTGAGCTGAAGAATTGATCGGAATGTGCTCACAACCATTCTGCAGGGCACTCTTTGTTGCTACCACTGTTGTAGCCACCCTCGAGGCAATGCGGACTCGATCCAATAGTGCGGGTACAAAGCCCGGTCCGTATGCTTCTGGCCATGCCAGTGTGTAAGCCAAGGAAGAGATGATAGCCACAGATTTATACAAGAGATGATCAATCAGATAACGTCATATCCAGGGCTTCATCTGCGCTCACAATACCACGCGAATCCATTGAACGCAACGAGAATGACGAGATCATTATCGACACTGATGGTTAAAAGACGAGGACGGATTGATGTATTGGCCGCAGGGTTAAGGCGGTCTTGTAAGGAAGTATCTTTCACCTATGGAGCAGGATACCCTTGATTTGATTTTAGTGAACATTATCAGTTCGAGCTCAATCTGTGTTTGAACTTTGTAACGACAGATACCCCGCTTTGCTTTATTCTTATCAATCAGAGAAATACTTAGTCTGACAAGTACACCTTCGACTGTTCAGAATTTCGGTCATGGCTTGGGTAAGGTAGGGCGTAGTTTTTTGACCAATGCTGTGCTAAGTGCTCTAATGGCGGAGGCCGATCTAGGGTCCTTTAAACACTACACTAGCCTACGGAGCACTGTCTATTACATTGATGTAGACAATCTGTTCGAACTTGTTGACCCACTTGAGGGAAGGAAGAAAGTTAAACTGTCTCTAACTTTCAGCATATACTGTGTATATATTATATACTCATAGCAGGGATTGTCAGTGTGTAAGAAGCCTCTACTGAAAGTGAGGGACGCTACTCAGGCCAGTGTACAGCATAGACGCAAGATGAGGGATAGATGCAATGAGCAGCAGGTAGTCCAAAGTGTGAGAATCTATACTGAGTTAATCCTCGCAACGGCGAAGCAGATGGCGGAGATATCAGCAAGGGGAATCAATAGAGTATAACTACCATCAACTGGGCCTTTATCGGATGCCGCAGGATCTATGGTAAAGGCAAATGAATGTAGCAGAAATACCTGACCGCAATCGAATCAAGCTCGAAAATATATGCTGCTAGTTAATTTGAGGCTCGTACACTGTTTTTTCTTTTCTTCTTTTTGTTTTTGCCCTATGGGGCATCAGATCAACTTTCTGGGAATAGCACATACGTACACACTACACAGTAGTACGAGACAACCATTTCGAGACTGAGAAGAAGCACGGAGTAAGAATACTACTACTAACTTACTGCATGTATTGTACGTAAAAAGATCTCCCTACAGGGCTGGTTGGGATAAGAGTCGCCACTCGCCGATAAGTACTAGTACACAGCAAAGGAAACGCCAAAAGCCTGCCGCTATCCCTCCGCCCTCCATCCCTTTCCGTCCGCGGGGACTCAATTCTGAATACATCATGCAACAACTGCGTCCTCTGACCTGGTCTGGGATTTGCATTTCGTCAATGGCAAGCCGACTAAAATGCTTCTCGGGAAGAAGCATCCGGCATGCATTTCTAAAAAAGTCGGGCAAATTCTCGCCTGGGTATTTTCCGCCATCCAACATCCAGCTAAACCATTCTCCTTCGTTTCAGCCATCGTTATTCCAATGAGTATTTGCGTACCTCGTGTATGTACTGTACGCCTTTCCCGCCCACTTCGGCCCGATGACGGGAAACCGCCAGTGGCCACGCTGCAACCACCAAACAATAGCCGGTAAGCTTTACGAAGGGATAAAAAGAAATCTCTTTCTCCGCTGATGATTGTCTTTCTCAGGGCCCACCGCAGTGGAGCGGCATGGTGGCCGAGACAGAGTCTTTATTCGTTGTATGGGTACAACCGGGCGGTGCTTTACAGGACTGTAAACCATGGATAGGGAAGCTGGAGGAGACTAGTGCGGTTGAGTGGCACCTCTTTTCCACGCTTGTGCCTCTTTCTTTTGGGCTTCTTCCAGTCCCGAGTCGACTACGGACTATTCCTGCATTCCACCACGCTCTAGTTCCAGCCAGACGCGAAAACAAAAAAGCTTCCCCGGGTACTACTGGTGGTGGCCAAGGACTGCCCCAAGATCTCTAAGATGGAACTTTTCTCTAGATAGCCCAGGTCGATGCAACGAACCGAACACTACTTTGCTGGATAGCATTTTGATTAGTGATAGGAGTCTGTCATCGCTCCCTCCCATCGTGCAGGCAGCAGGTGGTTGATAAAAGCGGCAGACTCCTCTTTTGCCTCCGGGGTTGGATCCGCTACTGGACAACCCTAACCCAATCCTTTTACATAACATCTTCTGATTTCGCGAAACACAATTCGATTATTTTCGCTATCTCGGCCAAAGTCGTCACTGCTTGGTCCCTTATCTGGTCGATTGGAGCGCTGAGGGGTCGTTTTGATTTCATCTTAGCGTCTGTGGATTTCCTTCGGTGGTCCGACAACTGAGGAGTCCACTGTTAAAAACTGCTGGCACGACCCAACCTTGAGGTGACTCAATAAAATCAAACCTGTCTTTCTGGTGGGGTCTGTCCTGGAGGCCGCCAGCTCATTTTTCTCTTCCCCTGCCAACTCCGATTCTAGTCTCAATTTTGCCTTCTGCTTGGTTTTCTCGACCCCCTTGTCTGACTGCCAATTTCGCCGGCCTGCACACGTCCTAGCAAGGCACGAGACACACTCCAGCACCTGGACCGTCGAGCGGTCGAACATGGCCCTCGGGAACGAGGCCGTCAACACGTCCAAGTCTGTTGAAGGAGGAAAGGGAAAAATGATGCCTGGCGAGGAAACGGTGCAAGTCCATACATCAAATCCTTCGCCGGACCTGAATGACTTCGATTGCGAGAAGCATGGCGCCAACATCGAGTCGGACCCGCTGCCCCAGCTCAAGCGTAAGCTGAGAAGTCGGCATTTGCAGATGATCGCTATCGGTTAGTGAGCTCTATCCGTTACTTCGTCGAGCCATCCACCCTCTTTTCCTACTTGCTCAGCAACCGTGCCGTTCATCAAAAAGTTGCAAAGAGCAGCAGAAACTGACCTAACCTCTAGGAGGTACTATTGGCACTGGCCTCTTTATCGGTAGTGGTACTGCTGTCGCCAACGGCGGACCAGTGGGAGCTCTCATTGCTTATGCCTTCGTTGGTACAATCGTATATTCGGTCATGACCTCTCTGGGAGAAATGGCAACATATATTCCGATCCCGGGAGCTTTCACGGCTTATGCTGCTCGCCTCGTTGATCCCAGTCTCGGCTTTGCTATGGGTTGGATCTATTGGTTTTCTTGGGCCTCGACTTATGCGCTCGAGCTGACAGCAACGGGGCTTATCATTCAATTCTGGGACGATAGCATCAATATAGCCATCTTTATCGCCATCTTCTGGGTTGTCATAACGCTTCTCAACTTCCTGCCGGTCAGCTTTTATGGCGAATTAGAATTCTGGCTTTCAAGTGTCAAGATCATTACCGTCATTGGATTTATGATCTTCGCGATTTGCATTGATGCAGGCGCTGGCAAAGAAGGATACCTTGGCTTTCATTATTGGGTTCATCCCGGGCCGTTTTCTCCTTACAGTGGAGTTTCGCCCGATTCCACTGCCAAATTTGTTGGCTTCTGGTCCGTCCTCATCCAGGCCGGGTTTGCCTACCAAGGAACTGAATTGGTCGGTATTGCAGCCGCGGAAACCGAGAACCCCCGCGAAACCGTGCCGGCCGCTATCCGCAAGACCTTCTATCGCATCTTATTCTTTTTCGTTCTTACAATCTTCTTCATCGGTATTCTTGTGCCATACACGAACGATGACCTTCTCACCGATGGTAGCGACGCCAATTCTTCGCCATTTGTCATTGCTGCCAAACTTGCAGGCGTTCGTGTACTGCCACACATCATCAACGGTGTATTACTCACTGTGGTTCTTTCGGCTGCCAACTCGAACGTTTATAGCGGCAGCCGTATCTTGATTGGACTGGCACAAGAAGGATTTGCTCCCCGTTGGTTCAAAATGACTTCGAAGAAAGGTGTGCCTTTTTTCAGCGTGGCGTTCACCTCAGCTTTTGGTTTTCTTGGATTCCTGAATGTATCAAATTCCGGCAGCACTGTCTTCAACTGGCTGGTCAATATCGCCGGTGTTGCAGGTTTCATTACCTGGGCCTCATTGAATGGCTGCCATCTCGCCTTCATGCGTGCTTTGAAGGCCCGGAATATTTCTCGCGACACTCTTCCATATAAGGCTTTGTGGCAGCCATATTATTCCTGGTATGGACTGTTCTTCAACGTTCTAATCATCATCACCCAGGGCTTCACCGCGTGGATTCCTTCCTTCGATGTTACGAGCTTTTTCACTGCCTACATCAGCTTGATCCTCTTCGTTGTACTTTACCTCGGTCACAAGATTGTCTATCGGACTTCTTTCGTTCACCCCTTGGAAGCTGATATCGACACGGGCCGGTTAGAAGTTGAGAATGAGACATGGGAGACATCTGCACCGAGATCCAGCAAGTGGTACAAAAAGGCTTTCCACGCCGTCCTCGGGTGATATGGACTTGGACTAGTTCATTGACTTGAAGTGTTCTGTTTCGAGCACAGGCGACCTTATTCCGTTCTTGCCGGTCAAGGTGTCTCAAGACCGATTTCTTTGCCTATCATTAACTCATGGCCCATACATATTGAAAGTTTCATGCACATATATATTCATCAGGAGTTTCGCTTGCATTGGGAAGACAAGCAGGGTCACACGTGCTATTCAATGAAGGTTGAAAATCGATAGGGGGAAAAGCCCTTAGAGCTCGCCGTCGGCTTATGCTGCAAAGCTTATTTGTACATTACATCGTCTTTTTTGGTTCTTTCTCCTCCTCCGGGGACGTCAGCATTGGCATGGCGTTGGGTGCAATACCATGTATGCTCATTAATGTATCATTTCCCCCCCCTAATGTATGACTATTTCCTTATTTTCTGATTCTTGGCTATGCATTTGAGATCAGCTCGGGCAAGTGCTCCACTATCGTGACATCCCTGTACAGTATGCCCGTGACAGTCTGCATACCCTCACTACATTTGAGAGATTTATACCCGTGTTGTATACTTGACATCATCAAGAAATTTAATGGTTCACATGAAAGTTAATGTGCTGGGCAGTGAGTAAGAAAACAGGTTCATACAGTATCAAGCTTATGACTGGGGTTTGGTAAGATTAAGTTCCACCTGACATTTTCGCTTTTCTCTAGCGCGGTCCCTCAAAGCATGTGAGAGAACGGACGCATACTCCCCCGACTCATCACAAGGTGATTTGCCCAATCTGAATACCAGTTCATAAGGTTTCGAGGAACCAATGGGTTGTCCTGAAGATGCGTTACTCCATCTCAACAGGTTCGAGAACCTCCAATCTCAGTCCACAGTCAGAAGGGATACCAACCGTCCTACAGTACATATGTAGTCTCCCGAATCTCTAGGATGAGTCTTGATTTCGACCATGGCATATATGCCATGATTCGAGTATCACAAAAGAACTAGTCTACTCCATTGGGCGAGTGCTGTGAACGGAGTCCGGAGTAGTCTTCAACCCCGAAAGCAATGGAAGAAATATTTAGTCACGAAGTCAGTCACTTATGGGAGGAGCAGATCATTTTTACGCAGTGTTTAAGTATAAAATGTGAGAGCACGCGCCCTTGGGCATCATGAACGCTTTCTGAACCAAGGTAGTCAAGACCGAATCAGCCGAAATATGGCCATTGATACACCTAACCTACTACTACATACATAGCAGTAAAGTATGAACAGCTCCGTGAATGAACGATGCAAACGCAAGTCCAAATGGAGAAGGCCGACGCAATGGCTGGCCGAAACAAGTAAGTGCCGAGGCTCGATTTGAACCTTGTGTGGGGGAATTGGTAGGAGCCGGACCGACCAGTTAGAACTCGTGCTTATGGGCTGGAATCCGGAGAAAGCGTCAAAGGGGGGAAACTGACTCAACCAAACCCTCCCGTCTCCTATCATGGACCCGAAGAGATGGAGGCAACTCTTCAATCTGTCTTTCTCCAATTACCTTTCTTTCCGTTTCCTTGAAGGCTTCTCATCCTCCCCCCTTCACTCTTCTCTCCTCCTACCCCTGTTCGCCTTTTCAAACCCCGTTCCGCGCCTCGCTTTGACACTACACTTCTCGAGGACGAGCACTCGCCCTGACACATGCATATATACCCACACGCACACACATATATACATAGACAGATAGCCACACATGCGACTTCCCTAGAGACTGACAGCTACTGAGACCAAATCACCTGATTGAGCTTGAGGTACTGTTTTGTGACACTCCGAAGAAAAATTAGTGCCTTATCAGGTTTGCCTACCTTATGGAACCGTTGCTAATCTAGTCACAATTCAAATAGTTACGCTCATCGTCGCAATGTTCTTCTCTCAGCTACCCATTCATCTCCAACGTGCAGCCGAGTTACAACAAGAGCCCCCCAAAGGCAAGCCTTACAGCATTGCCTTACCGGGCTCAGACAAGCCTGAGCGCTCTCCGATCTACCGGAGCTGGAACTCAGCTAAAGAACTAGTGCAGACTTTGGATCCTAATGTATACTTGCTCCCAGCCTCGATGAGCGGCAACCCACATTGGGACTGTCATTTGACTGACCTCATTTCCCAGGTTGCCACCGCGCATGATATTTTCGAGTCGACCGCCAACAGAGTGCCCAAGAGCCACTGCTTGGGATGGCGCCCTTATGATCCGATAGCAAAGGCCTATGGTCCGTACCAATGGATGGACTACGAGACGGTACAGCAGCGCCGTACTGCTTTTGGTGCAGGTCTCGTCGAAGTACATAAAAAACATGGCTGCCATCGCCCCGGCCAGTACGGCATTGGATTATGGTCCCAAAACCGTCCGGAGTGGCAACTGACCGGTATGGCACTATCCTCAAATATAAGTAGACAAAACATGCTGATGTCTTTGGCTGCAGATCTTGCCTGCATGTCGCAGAGTCTGTATTCGGTCTCTATCTATGATGTGCTCGCGGCAGACGCAACAGAGTACATCATTAATCATGCTGAACTGAACTGTGTTGTGACTTCTCTACCTCATATCCCCACTTTGCTCAAATTGAAACCAATGTTGCCCGGTCTGAAGATCATTGTCAGCATGGATCCTTTGGATGCTGGGGAACCCACCGGTCTCTCTAAGCGCTCCCTCCTCGAATCGGTTGCGGCTGGGCTAGAAGTGTCTATTTATACGATCGACGATGTGGAAGAGCTCGGAGCTTCACCGAAACGCCCGTGTAACCCCCCAAGTCCATCTGACATCGTTACAATCAATTATACGTCCGGTACTACGGGTAATCCTAAAGGAGTGGTCTTGACACATGCAAATACTGTTGCCGCAACCTCAAGTGGCCTTGTAGTCACTTTGCAGGCTCCTGGTGATACTCTGGCTTCCTATCTCCCACTGGCACATATCTATGCGCGGTTGTCGGAGCATGCAGCATTTTGGGCGGGGGCACGAATTGGCTACTTTCATGGAAATATGTTGGAGCTTGTTGATGACCTAAAAGTCCTCAAGCCCACTGGATTCATGTCGGTCCCAAGACTATACAGTCGCTTTGGGAATGTCATTCGCTCGGCCACTGTGGATCAGCCCGGTTTTAAGGGAACGTTGTCGAGGCATGTTGTCGCGGCAAAAACCGCAAACCTGGAACATCCTGATCCCAGCAAAGCTACAACAAAACACGCGTTGTATGACCGTATCTGGTCGAAAAAGGTGTCCGCAGCGCTTGGCTTGGAGCGCACAAGGGTGATGGTGTCTGGCTCTGCGCCTCTGGACCCGACCCTTCACCAGTTTTTGAGAATCGTCACTGGTACTGACATCATTCAAGGCTACGGATTGACTGAAACTTACGCGATTGCATGCGCTCAGTCCCCACGAGACTTGACTGCCGGAAATTGCGGGCGCCTTGCTCCATGCAATGAAGCCTGCTTAGTCTCTCTCCCGGACATGGAGTACTCAGTCGATGATAAGCCCTTTCCGCGGGGTGAACTGCTTCTACGTGGAGGAAATGTTTTCCGCGAGTATTACAAAAATCCAGAGGAAACGGCTAATGCGATGACAGAAGATGGATGGTTCCGGACCGGTGATGTTTGTACGATTGATGAAATGGGCAGGATCATAATTATTGATCGCCGCAAGAACGTCCTGAAGCTGGCGCAAGGAGAATACATCTCTCCTGAGCGTCTGGAGGGTGTTTACCTTTCTGAGCTGGGCTATTTGGCCCAGGGGTATGTCCATGGTGATAGTGTTCAGACTTTCTTGGTGGGTATTTTCGGCGTGCAGCCTGAATCATATGCTCCCTGGGCCAGCAAAGTGCTCCGCCGCACTATAGAGATCACAGACATGGAAAACATCAAGGGCACGTTGAACGAGCCCCAAATACGTCATGCAGTGCTGCGCGACCTTGACCGCGTTGCAAAGAAACACAAACTTGCCGGATATGAGAAGATCAAGAATTGCGCACTAATGCTAGACCCATTCACCGTCGAGAACAACTTATTGACCCCAACGTCAGTGGATTATCTTCCCTCTCCATGCTGAAAAATTGAACTAAATACCTTTCTGCTTTAGTCTGAAGCTTAAACGTCCCCCGGTTGTGAAGAAGTACCGCCAGCTCCTGGATGATCTATATACGAAGGCCATAGCTGAAGAGGCCACTCCGAAGGCTAAGCTCTAGGTAAGATTGACCTCGGAGTTATACGAATGTCGAGATTTAGTGATGGCATGCGGGCTCATCACTCTCCTGGAGCAGCTCTGTACATATGCTATCCTGTGCTTCTATTTGCTTTGTAATTTAGCATTTGAGTGATCTTGGATTTAGATCCTGGTTAATTCTTCGTTCTCATGCTTGCTGGGTACACAAATAATTGGTTTCATCTTAATGAGTTGGAGTAAAGCTCAAAATCCGTAAAATATCTCAGTCTGCTATGAATGTGGAGCAGATAGTAAATGGTTGGGGTAGATGACCACGGCACCAGGTGGTTTTTCCCGAATGCTTGGCGCCGGAGTTCATCGATAGTCGATACGCCGTTCATCACCTACATCTACCAAGTTAGACCTCACCCCTCTCCTTGACTTAATCTTTTCCCAGGTCTATCACTGCCCACCCAGTATGCACCTATTCGACGGCTCCTTTGCCAGACTAATATTTGTCTTGCTATCTGCACCGGCACTGGTGCTGTCAGCCCTCACGATTATCATTCCCTCGTCTAGCCTGCTCCCCAATCCCCACGCTCTCCCGGCTGGAACACATGCGACACTGACCACGCTTCCCTCCTCGCCCTCCTCGCCTTCTCAGCTTGCTGCATCACTCACTCGCTTCGCAACCTTTGTCTTCGCCAAAATTCCCGCCCAATCGAAGCCCCAATCCTACCTTCTGGATATTCGCTCTCCGGACTTCATCTTTGCGCCTTACCGCGTTGACGTCGCCGCCGACGGAAGCGTTCTCGGCATCTGGGAGACCTTCCGTGCCAACCCATGGGATAATCGAGGTCCGGAAAAGCACGTCTTCGATACCGCTACTGTTGCTGGGCACAATGAGAGGATCTCTGCTGCGATCAAATCCAACGTGACCGTCGAGGCTCGAGTCCTTGCCCGGAGAACTTTCTACGAGGAACGCCCCCGGTGTATGCTCCACCCAAATTTATAAACATTGGCTGGTCTCAAGCTTATCGTTTGTCATGATCGACTAGTCTCGCCCCTCGCCTTGTTTAAGAATCCTATGATTCTGCTAGCTTTGGTGGCATTAGGATTCACGTTCGGCATGCCCAAATTAATGGAAAACAGTAAGTAGCCCCTTTTCTTTTTATAGTGGCGAAAATGCGGCAGTAAGAAAGACCAATAGCGTTCCTCAGATTGGTATTACGCCATCTTGAGTCACCGCGAGTCTGCTGGTTGTTATGTCATCTTTCCCAACCTTTAACTCATATCGCATCTGGTATTAACTCCATTGTGCTCCCTCGCGCTTTAGTGGACCCTGAGATGCGTGCCGAGTTTGAGAAACAATCTCGCTCGTCTCCGATCACGGGCGCTACACGCAATGCGATAACCGGTGGCGGGGCGCCCGGCAATTTCGATTTGGCGGGATGGATGGCTGGGGCTACTCCCAGATCCGCGCCTGGTATTGAAAGAGTAACGCCTGGTATTGAAAGAGTAACGCCTGGTATTGAAAGAGTAACTGCATCAGGCAAGGATAGTGGAGATGCTTCCCGGAGAAGAGGGCAGGCGTGAGGGCTTTTCAGGGTTATATCGCTGATGATACAGCCTGGGAAGTGATTTGCTGCCCGCCCTTTATCTTACGCTCAAATGGGGGGTAGAAACCTGGGTGTATAGCATGGGAGTGAAACAGATCATGCAAAGCTTGTTTGTCGATTGCTCCTCGTCACGTCTGCTGGCCCATGGAAGATATTAACCTGGTTTGGAGACAATCAGAATGCCCAAACATGCAGTTGTTCCTGCCGATTCCTTGGTCTAGCTAGAAACATTAAACAGTCTTTGACAAGTGGGCCACTTGACAAAATTAAAATTGTAGATTTCTCCCAGAGTACAAGCCAATCAAACTATGTCGAGGTAAGTGTGACAGGGCCAAAATAGGAGGTGGAATTACAAGTCAGCTGCAAACAATCTGCACTAACAGAAGAGGATCGTTTTGATGGACTTCTAGAATGAGACATAGGCAATATATATGCATCATTATCGTCGATGTGTGATCCTTCATAACGACATTTCACATAAGGGAGAGGTCTAACCCGCTCGCAAAGAGAGTGTTACAGCAGAAATGTGACAAGCGAAGGTAGAATGCTCTAGAAATCACCGAAATCATCACCACCACCATAATCGCCCCCGTAATCATCCCCATAATCACCTGGAGGTGGTCCGTAATCGTGCGACATGTCTTCCACAGCATCCGCGAGCAGCATACCACCTAGAAGTCCACCACCAACACCTAAGGCCGCAGCTCCCGCGGTGCCCATTCCATGCCGTCGCTGTTGTGGCTGTTGTTGGGCTGAATAATAGCCACCCTGCGGAGGATATGATGGGTACCCATACGCTGCCTGTTGCGGAGGGTAGCCGCCGCCGCCTCCATAGTTATACTCGCCTTGAGAGTAGCTATAGGAATGTTGCGGTGCAGGTTGTTGCGGCCGAGAATAAGAAGCGCCGCCATTACCGGCGACCTTATCCTTCAATTTGCCTAAGAACCCTCTGCTACGTTGCTGAGCTGGTCCTAGAGAAGAGTTTTGCGACTGAGGATCCGATGATTGGTATCCAGCATCCTGCCTCCGAGTACCGCCAATATAGTAATCGGATGCAGTACCGCCAGGTGCCGGGCTTCTGCGAAAAGCTCGCGCATCCTCCTCTGCCTGTAACCGTGCAGCGAGCCGAGCATCGTCATCTAGAGTTTGATGCCCAGGTCCTGGCGATTTGTACGGGTTCATCGAATCAAGGGGTTTCTTCTCATGCGCAGCAGCTGATGCAGATGACTTGGCAAGACCCGAGGCATCGTAGGACGGTGGTGGCTCGCTTGGTGGGCCATGTATTTCTGTACCTGCTTGAGGCGGCGCCTCGGGACATTCCCACTGCGATCGGCCCGTTCGTAGATCTACAAAGAACCTGGGTTCGACATCAGTCTTCGTGCAAAGCCATCTGAATAGTGGAGAGACTAGACGTACCATTGCTTATAATGGTCATCGAACTGAGCCTTCCATCCCTCAGGAACAGAGGGAGTTGGAGGGCCCGGTGGCGGGGCAAACGACATGACTGATGAGCTGGATAGTATAATGACGATATCTCTTTCCAGCTTTGGCGGGTAAATGTTTAGATACCAAGTACTTCTAAGATGACTGCCGATATAAGCGGGAAAGACTATTGTGGTTCAAGGACGAACAAGACAACATAAGACTGTCCTACCAAGGGCAAAACATTCTGTGAACAAGAGGAGGGAGCTGTTCTATATAGTCGAACAGTCTTTGGCTTGGACTGGCATTGCCATGTGGGTGGCGCAGCATTACCACGTGACGTCACTCTACTTGATCAGGAGTCTGGTACCGTCTGGTCCAAATCTACTCCGTACTCGTTTACTCGTTATTGATGCTTAAGTAGTTATGCTAAGCAAGTCCTACTCATAAATTGCACAAATAAATTCAACCCTCTATTTCGTTCCATGGACCATGATAAGTTTACTCATCAAGGATGACGTCCAAAGCCAGGTCAAGGTTCCACATATATACAAGCTGGCAGGGTAATAAGAGAAACTACAGGGATCATCAAATACTCAATAGCCGTAGTGATTGTACAACGCGCCTACAGACGCTCCTAAGGACCAATGCTTCCGAAAAGCAACACACCATCTCTATTTTGAAATCCCGCGACCCCTCTTCCGGATGGAAACCATAGCTTCGTATAAGACGTCCTTAAATCCAAATAAGAATGCTGCAGTAATTGCACTCTGCGTTACCTTGGGCCCAATACCTATTTGGGTCATGTGAGCTATCTTCCACTAAACATTTTACCGGTTCGGATTCACTTGCCTTTATATAAGCCAACGTAACCTTCTTCCTGAACGATCCTCTTCAAGCTACCATTCAAGCTCTCTTTGGGGCCTTCATTACTTGCAACATGCATGCGGCTCTTGACTGTGATATAAGGATAAGTTATCGAAGTAGCGAGTATCTTACCGAGCGCGCCCAAGTAGAACGCATCTCTTGGTGTCATACGCCTGCGATGCTCAACAATGTTTTTCAATTGCTCAAAAATCGTGTATTGTAAGATAGGGTTGATAACCAGTACGAGAGCTGGCAGAACGCCGGCAAAAAGAGCTTTGGGGCCCTCGCGGCGCAGTAAGTCCATCAGAGTAGCTATCGTTGACGCACGCCTCTTTCTGAAAGGAGCACCGGGCAATGACTCCTGGTCTGAATCAGACTTGTGGGCCGTCATTCTAGTGTTTACCACCCAGATCGGATTGGTGATCATGACTGTGGCAATTCCTGCGATAGCACCAGCAATCATGGACTCGACGGTCGTGAGTTTTTTAGATGCGCTTCCTGCCTTTCTGGCCGCTTTTTCGAAAGCCGAACGAGTCCATTCATACCAGTAATAGTAGACGAAATTGGTAACACTGATGCCGAAAAGTGCAGACTCAAGGCCCGAGTATAGACCGGCAAATCCTTCCCTCTGAACGATGCGACGAATCGCATCATAAATGGTCGAATGAGCCCGCTTGGATTCAACCTGGGCTCTTGTTGAAAGAGTGATGAGCGGATAGCTATGGGGTAAAAGACATATCAACGCAGGCCCAGTTGAGCAAGAAGAAATACGTACGTCAACACCATTGAGAGGATGCCACCTCCCGCGCCAGCCAATGCATGCGCTATGTTATCACTCTGCTGTATGGCAGCGGAGACTGCCACTTCCTTCTTTTCCTCAAGGTTGCTAGAGTGAGGCATTTTGCAATGAAGTCTTCACACTGTGCCTGACTGACGTATAATTGGTACGATGCAAGGGGATTCAGTTCCGAGTCGACGCGTTGTGATGATGTCCACAAAGATAGGGAGACGAGGGTAAAGGAGCGAAACCTTGTTGTTTGACACAGTAATCGAGAAAAGGAGGGGCGGTGTTGCGACAAAGTACGAAGCCTCGAATTTTATATAGGAGACACGAGATCCGACTATGGGAAGGGCAGAAGAGGTCTAGGTTTAGAGTCGATTTCTGAGACATCGATATATGTAGGGCGGCCGCGAGAATGACTCGGCTTGGGAAGGGCAAATAATTATGCTCATGACGTTTGCCGGAAATTGGGCCTCGGCTGCAGACCACTTCCCCCTCCCTCATCATGAATCGATAGCGTGTTTACCGTCAAATCAATTAATCCACCATCAGTAGAGTGTCGACCCTAAGCTAGCGGCGATTCCTAAAATTACTGGGGCTGGTCAAGCTCAAGTCAAAGGCCCTACTTGAATTGGTGTGAAAAGCATGTCCGAGTCACGCTCACGTGTTATCATTAGCTTAGCTGATCAAGTATGAGGTAATTATGTATGTATACGTTACACTCGAAGTACACATCGCGCAAATAACTTTAGACACGACCAGGTCGTCCACTTGGAAGTCAAATATGCTAAGCAAATCACAACTAGGGAAGTTGAGCCCCGATCGAACTTAGCCTCCTCTCCCACTGTTTTTAGTACCTAGGCAAGATCAACTTGGTGCGGCGGTGATTCGGAAGCAGCGCCTTAGTAATCCGATGCGGAGTCTCTTAGGTTTCGCATGTGACATTCCCTCCCTGCACCCCTCAATCAAGCACTGATTGACCTTCCTCCCTCCTACAGTAGGTAGATGTGGGCTAACTAGTAAGTCCTTTTACCTGACCAGCCAACCTGCTATGTCAAGGTGGCGATCCAGTAGTCGTGATTGAATAGAGCTAGGATTTCATGGAGGGAAGGACTGGGATGGAGAACGAGACTGGCGATGACAAGTCCACCGATTGCACGCTTACAACCAAAAGATTTCATGGTCATAGGCATTGAGTAATTGACCCCCGAATGACGAAACAGGGTTATAAATCCAACTTACTAGAAGAGGCTGGCCGAGAAAAGGCCTATGGGAGAGAAACTAGTAAAGAAGAGATAGCAACTTGAAAAGATTATGGGTGGACAGCAGAAGATAAAGGCAAGAAACAAAGAGAGGAAGCAAATCCAGGGCCGAGCAGAGGAAGTAAATATAAAGATGGCGGGAAGCGGGCGAGGACGAACAAAAGCGCATCTGTGATGTGACAGTGTATAAAGACGAAACGCGAGCCCTCTAAAGCATGAAGAATGAAACTAGTCCTATGATCATCACCGCATGAAGGATCCGTAACCACCCCAGCATGGAGAAGACAGCCAGCGATACGCAGCCGGTACATCTTCCCCTCAGCTTGTCTTCTTGGATCCTAAAATTTCCACTCTGCCGCCCACGAGGCTGAAGGACAGCACCTGGAACCTGAAGCACAGGCGCCTAGCAACAACCGCCAGAAGAGCTAGACTGAACTCCCTGGCCTTGACCGACTTGCACGGTAGGTTTGTTGTTGACAGTGGCGGTTCCCATACGCTCTTTGATCTGTCTGGCCATCGTCAAGAAAGCTTGTTCGACATTCGAGGCATTCTTAGCCGAAGTCTCTAGGAAAGGAATTCCAAGACTATCCGCAAACTCCTGTAACAGTGGCCAGACCCGTCAGCTGCTGACCGCACATTCGAGGAACTGAGACTTGTAGTTCCGTACCTTGGCGACTGTGTATTCCACTACTTTCTTGTCTTCCATATCACTCTTGTTACCCACGAGCAACTTATTAACACCCTCGGTGGCATACCGGTCGATTTCTTGGAGCCACTGCTTGACGTTGTTGAATGAATCCATATCAGTCACATCATAGACAACGCAGATACCATGGGCGCCGCGGTAATAAGACGAGGTGATAGTCCTGAAGCGCTCCTGGCCCGCAGTGTCCCACTGGAAGACATTAGTGCCCCCTAGTCAACAAACCGCGAGCGAGACTTTACTTACGATTTGGAGCTTCACTGTCTTGCCGTCGAGTTCGATAGTACGAATTTTCTGAAACACTGTTAACAGGCCGGCCGACGGAGGTGTGCACCAGAAGATTTTGCGTGCGGCAGGACGCTTACAAAATCCACACCAATAGTAGAGATGTAGCTTTCCGTGTAGGTATCATCAGCAAATCGAAGAAGCAAGCAGGACTTTCCAACACCAGAATCTCCGATAAGGAGTAGCTTGAAGAGGTAATCGTATCTAGTTGAGTCGTCAGCCAAGCTGTGAGGGTGGAGTTGAACAACCCATCTCCGTTCTCGCCATCAGGAAGGGAGTATGGAGGCGGGAGAAGGCCGGGGCAACTCTAAGATAGCACACGAATTAGCAAGATGTCGGCCAGTCAATGAAGTAGACCTTGATGATTTGCTCCGTAAATGAAAGAAAATGCAAATGTGTATGATGACTTATTCTGACAACACACACCCTGATGAAGTGTATGAGGACTGTTACAATCGGATCAAGGCACTTACGACTCAGGGTTCATGGTGGAAGATGTGTATTTTGAGTCGATGATCACAGGTATTCAAGGATCCGGAAGGATTATTTGAAGACTATATCTGATTGAACTGGATACGTTGACTGGCGTTAAGGTAAGCGAGAGCGGCAGCAAGCTGTGGTTGTCACCGATGCTCGAAGTGTCTGTCTATTTAGCTAAGGGTGACCCGGCGGTCTCTTGGAGTTGGCGGCTGTTGCGTTGCTGACTGCAGGAGAGCAAGGGAGCCCAACGTGCAGGTCTTCAGCGGGTTCTGGGTGACCGTTTCACATTGACCCACCTACCTCAAGCCTATGAATGAATCGGGCTTAGTGTACTGGTACGGGCAGATCTGTTCAACGTCAGGTTGAACACGGGCATTACCTACCAAGTAAGCAGTTATTAAACTGAATTGGAAAGCTAAACTTAGTTACCTGCCTGCGAGTAATTACGATTCACAGATCAGCAGGCACTTGAACCATCCCGTTATACTATCCAGTGATCTTGTCTGTATGATGTGTCACGGGTACAAATTGCTCTTGGAGACCACCACCAGGGCTCGTCAAGTCACTGAGATATAACTTAGCAAGGCATGCCGTGATAATTCTCAATCAAAGGTCTGCTAAGCATCCGTAGTCTTAGTCAAATAAGCATTTCATTTCAGTGTCACTAATTATAGTTTTCCTAGATATGAAAGTAACATGTAAAACAATAAATGTGTAAGGTAGCCTCCCCGGCGTGCGGCTTTGTCAGCCTTGCCTTGTTCACTGGCCATTTCTCTGATGATCCTCACAGCGACACCGGGAAATCACGGAGGGACTACATCGATTGAAGCATCCCCCTCTATAAAGCAGCAAGGGCTAGTTCTGTAATTTAAGCATATCCGTACGACTGAAGCCATTCAAGCACCAAACCCTCATCTCGCGCTTTGTAGTGCACGTTGGTCCGAATGCTGTCAGCAACAATGACCAAAGCACGATCATAGGCGCTGGTGTCCTTATTCTGGAAAAACGCAGAGATGTCGGCCTCAATAGCGTGGTCTGCAAACTTGGAAAGTCCCATACGCACGAAACGCTCAAAGACCACGTTGTTGGTCGATAGACGGGATTCAACCATGTCCCAATGCGCTTTCATGTATTCCCACAGCAAGTGGCGACTGCTCGAATTTGAAGCAAGCGAAACTGCACCATTGTGTATGTCCTGTATAGCGACCTTATCTGAGAAGACAAAATCAAGATAGTCTCTCACCAAATCAGCATTCTTCGTGCGTCCGAGAGCCCCTAGGCAGATCTCTTTTCCATCCACAGAGTCTGTTTTCAAGTATTCTTCCTTGACGAATTTATATTCTTGATCACTGCCCTCAGAAACTACCGCACCAAAGATGACAGAACGCAGGTTGGTATGCACAGCACTTTTGTCTTTAGCCGTAGCCCAAAGACTAAAACGTCGGCTAGCCTCAGCGATAATGCTAACGTCATTGTCAGTGAAGCTCTCAGTAAGCTGAATTGAGATCTAAAACGAACTTACTCTCTATGCCCTGCATGGCATGCCATTCCGATCAATAGTTTCCGAAGCTGCACAGTAAGATAGTCATCTTCGAGCATAAACTCCCAGCCGATTTTTTCAGCAGCCGGTGAGACTAGTTCGAGAGTGAACTTCCTCAGTCCTGAGGAGACCAAATCATTCTGGGCAAACACGGAGCGGAGATTTGCGATGGAGGTTGAAATTTGAGACCAAACCCTAGAGTGTAGGCCATGATTAGAATATGTCGCAAAGAGAATAAAACCTGGCTAACGATGTTCGTGGCACTAACAGATAGTTATTCTCTTCCTTGAAACTTCTCAATAAAGACAACAATGCAGTAGTACTACCATTGCCGGAGACAGCAAGAGCAGCTGCATCGCCGATCAGTCCAATCTTGTCCTCAGTGCTTAAAAGATTCAAGGACTGTCCAAGTTTAGTCAAACGGTGGGCAGGATAATTAGTACGATAGAAACCGGAGAGATTCATGTTTATCTTGTAGAAAGAATCCTGAGTAACACCAGAGACTATATCTGACCTAGATACCAAAGCACCAGTATGTGTATTGTCAGTGAAGTCAGGATTTGATTTGATACCGAGTGGAATCCACCATATTGTTTCGTCCTCCTCAGGCTTAGCATCGCCGGTGGAGAGAAAGCGATTTTGCCGAATGTTGATTTGACCCGGCTCCTCTGTGACAGTTAACACAGGGAAACCAATCTTGCGGATCCAAGGGTCCTTCATCCCTCTGTTAGTGAAGGAAATCTCGTATAGCTTTGGAGGGAGTTACCATAAAGCTAGTTACGTCCTGGTTGGATGCCTTGCTGAGAGCCGACCAGAGATCATTTGTGGTTGCATTTCCTAAACAAGTTCGACGTTAACAGCCCGAAATTCGCCAGTCCATTGCTGACTTACCGTATGCGTGAGCCTTGAGGTACGCAGCTACACCACGCAAGAATATTTCCCGACCAAGGTGATCACTCAGCATGCGAATGACCGAGCTTCCCTTTAGGTAGCTGATGTGGTCGAAAATCTGATCCACTTCGAGTGCGTTCCGAACGGGTACCTCGATCGGATGTGATGCCCGCAAAGAGTCGAGTTGGAAAGCTTGTTGGACACCCTCAGCCTGCATATTGATTAACATTAAACTGAGTAAATAAGATTACCTCGGGAATTGCGCACAACGAACTGAGACCAGATATTCCATTCTACACAGTCATCGAGATTAGTTCTCATTCACCATGGTTAATTCGGTAGGAGGTCTTACCAGGATAAAAGTGGTCGACAGCAAGCCAGCCGACCCAGGTTGCAAAGCCTTCGTTAAGCCATAGTTCGTTCCACCATTCCATTGTAACGAGATTTCCAAACCATTGGTGAGCCAATTCTAGCAGCATTACATTTCAGATCCGGGTCAAAATTGCCACGGGCTATAGACTTACCGTGTGCAACCACATAAGCAATGCGATTCTTGTAACGAGTATCGGACTTGCCCTCCTCAAACAGAACAGCAGTCGTTCGGTACGTTACAAGCCCCCAGTTCTCCATAGCACCCATAGCCTGTATGACTTTAGCGTGCTTGCTCAATGTCGCGAAGATAACAGAAGTAACCCACAAACTCATGGACAGCAAGAAGATCTGCCTTAGGCAATGGGTACTCTATCTCGAAGATCTCGGAGAAGTAGTCAACAGTGCGATGAGCACATTCTAAGGCAAACTGAGCTTGCTCTTTCAGACCTCTGGTCGTATAGACTCGGACTGGTATGCTCTTTCCTTGATATTTACGTTGGGTCATAGCCTCCACATATTCAAAGTCGCCAACCGCCCATGCTAGAAGCTGGGTGAGATGTCAGTAATTTTCGAACAGATGCACCGGAAAAGCTTACATAAGTGCTCATGACCGGTGTTCTCTCGAAAGAAACAACTTTAAGGCCCGGGTTACGTCCAGCTCTCTCATCTTTAATGGGCATGTTGCTGAGGGCAATTTGGCCGCTGGGTATCTCGATCTCAAAATCGAAAGTAGATTTTAAGTTAGGTTCGTCGAAGCATGGGAAAGCCCGACGAGCGTCACAAGACTCGAATTGAGTACTCAGCATATAGTGGAAATCCCCTTCTTTGGGTGTGTCTGCGGCCGGTTCTACGATGGGTTTGTATTTCGAGCGGTAGAATCCGGCCATGGCGTTGTTCATGATGCCGGTGAACTGGACCGAAAGAAGAATATCCGATGGCGCAATTTCAGCCGGAAATTGGAAAGCAACGCGCTCTGAAGTTCTGTCATAAGTAATGTTCGATGCTTCGAATAACTTGGTTCCTAAAGCAGAGTGTCAATTTGACGTCAAAGATAACCAAGCATGCAGAGAGTCATTTGCAGGAGCCGCAGTACAACGAACCATCTTCGCCATAGACCTCAACCTTTTTAACGTCAATCTCCTTTGAGTTGAGCACAATCTCCTTCGTAGGGCGGGTAACCCTGCCGTTGACCTTGACGATACCATTATAGCCCCAGGAACCACTGAGCTGTAGATCAAACAATGACACGTCGTAATGTACTGGGATGAATCTACCACTCTTGGTTAGAACAATGTCTGAAGAAAAGAAAACCTCCTTCCATGTCTGTGCCGGTCAGCAACTTACACGTCTGGAAGAATTTCCCTGTCTTTTGATGCCATTGTGCGGGTCCGAAACTCTGAGGAGCAACACCTTATAGCGAATTGATGGCCGGCGGACTTGAGGCTAGGAAACAAATGTGTACGCAGGGAGAGTGGAACAGCCGATGAACAGCGGGGATGTGAGAAAGCGACCGGGGGGGAGGAGGGGGATGGGGAGGAGCAGTTGAGGGGAACTGGTCGTACCAGCTGATACACCAGGAATCTTCCACGGATATTTCGAGCTTTGACGCCAGTACGCCAGGCTGGCGACGCTGTGGCGGCTGTGCCGCTAATAGGATACCTTCTTCCCCACATTGGTGTTATACTCGTAGTCTTGTGGTAGTATTTGTGCTTATGGGCCTGGAAATTGAACAAATAAGCCTAAATGGGCCAAATTTGTCTGCGATTGATTCTGGCGCACTGTGACCTCTTATCCTTGGGATTTGCCAGCGAACATCTATCACTAGATCCGAAAGGGAACGGCAAATACAGAAACTCGAGGCTTGGATTTCCTTAAGAGCTAGCAAGGAAAAAAGAGAAAGAGGAATGAAAAAGGGAGGGACCTGTACGGAGTACTCCGTAATACATAAACAAAGCCTTAATTTACAGAGTCGTGTCTTCATAGTAATTATAATACATGGGACCAACAAGAAAGATCGTTATTGCTCAATGCTAATTGTGCTGTCAATAGTCAAGACATGAACCGGAGCTCCGACGGAGCTTGGACCCTTTTCGGGAGGCGAACACTAACTCAGCTTAGTGAACTCACTTAACATCCCCGTTGGAACCCATTATCTAATCATGGAGGGTGAAACATGAAATACACAGTGAACTGACTACTGATCCGGAGCAAGTAATTATGCCGGTACAAAGGTCTTGCTCCGTCAACCTATGTCTATCCAGCGAGCAAGCAGCCAGCTAAAATAGAATACACTAAGTCGCCGCATGAAAGGTGCTTAGAGGCAGGTCGCAAGTCGGGAAGCAAACAGTTCAAGTCAATCTTCCAAGCATTGTCTTCTACCGGGTCCGTTCAGTGGTTTTTTGAATTCGTCCTCCGCAGCCTCCCACACGATTCCAAAAATGGCCGATTCCGATGAAGAATATGTTGGTGAGATCTCTGGCGACGACTTGAACGGACACCATGTTCTATCTCAAGGGGGAGCAGCTCAGCCCCCACGATCAAGAAGGAAGAAAAATCGCGGAGGTGCCGAGTGGGAGGTATCCAGGACTTGGGAAAGCTTGGTCGAAGGCGCAGATGGCACAATCAATTCCACAGTGGAGGGTTTACTCGAGGCTGGAAAAAGGAAAAGGTGAGTCGTTTCGTTCAAATGCATATTACAAGAAGCATGACGAAGAAGGGTGGTATACTCTGAAGCTGAAAATAATGGCATCTTCTTCACAGGCTTTTAAGGGACACCACACCACTACAACGAGGCATCATTCGCCATCTTATGCTGGTCCTTGACTTGTCGCAGTCAATGGCAGAAAAAGATTTACGACCAACTCGGTATCTTTTGTCTCTGCGCTATGCCCAAGAGTTTGTGAGAGAATTCTTTGAACAGAATCCGATTTCTCAGCTAGGCGTTCTAGGCCTGAGGGATGGTCTCGCAATACGGATCAGTGATATGAGTGGGAATCTTACTGAACATATCGGCGCAATCCAAGCTCTTCGCGATCACGATCCGAAAGGTCTTCCTAGTTTGCAGAACGGGCTCGAAATGGCCCGAGGTGCTCTTTTGTATGTTTTCATAACCCAGAGCATGGTCACTGCCGGCAATATATACAGACTAACACATTTTTAAGTCATACTCCAACTCATGGCACCCGCGAAGTACTGGTCATCTTCGGTTCCCTGCTTTCCTCTGACCCAGGTGACATTCACCAAACCATAGCTACTCTGGTTAACGAGAAAATCCGCGTCGGCATCGTGGGCCTCGCTGCCCAAGTGGCTATCTGCCGTGAGCTTTGCACCAGGACAAATCATGGCGATGATAGCACATATGGCGTGGCTCTAAACGAGCAGCACTTTCGCGAGTTGGTAATGGGTGTCACAACCCCCCCGGCCACATTTTCTCAACGGCCGTCTGCAAGTTCCCTTTTAATGATGGGATTTCCATCCCGGTCCGTCGAAGCTCATCCTTCTCTCTGCTCGTGTCACTCGGATGCTTCTTGCGGAGGCTATTCCTGCTCTCGGTGCAGTAGCAAAGTTTGCGGTCTTCCCGCCGAATGCCCTTCCTGCGGCCTGACACTAATCCTTTCCACACATCTCGCTCGTTCTTACCATCATCTTTTCCCATTGATGAACTGGGTCGAAGTTCCGTGGCAGTGCGCCTCGCGTAGCCCGGCGTGCTTTGCTTGTGGTATAAATTTTCCTTCAGTGCCCTCCAAGGATCAATGGCATGTTGCCGATATACAGTCGAAAGGAATGAGCATAAGCAGTCGCTATGAGTGTACTGTGTGCCGAAACCATTTCTGCATTGACTGTGATCTTTTTGCTCATGAAGTTGTGCATAATTGCCCTGGTTGCCAAAGCAGGACAACATTTTCAGGAACTTCTGGGCTTGTCCAGGGTGCTGATGTGACTGATAAGATGGATACATCGATATGATCCCGGTTGGTATAACCCAGTACGTACTATCACGAGACGCCGCCTTCCATAACATCGCGTATACAGGATTTACATGTTTCCGTAAGCCGTCCACTACTAATGCTAAGCCCTAATGAGGTTCGACGGTCGCCTCAGAGGACAATTTATTGGTGATCACTGCGTGTTCAGTCCGCACGCTATGCGATCATCAAAAAGGAGCTTAAAGGGTGATCTTGTAGCTCCGAGGTGACGCGGTAGCTATGTTCTTGAAAGCAGCCCACGTATGACAACTTGAAAGAGGTAGTACTTGAGTAATACCATTCGTGAAAGAAGCTAAAGAGATGTGCAAGGTGTATTGCAGACAATATTTAATCAGTTTCAGGGTCCTGCAGCATGTAGGAGTCTAGTTGATCATTGTGCATAAGTCGAAGATGGTCAACCTAATTAATGAGTATTTTGGCGGAATGTGAGGCAGGCCTCAGCTGGTCTTGGGCTCGACACAGTACATTTGCACACAGTACAGTGAACCTCTAATAAAAGGATACCCAGAACAACAATTCTCCTGCTTTGGACAATGAAACCACGCCTGGAATTTCTACTAATGTATAAATATCATGATTCTCATTATAAGAATTATTAAATATTGAAGTCTTTTTTCTATATAAATATTACTAGATGTATAAAGAAGGAAGTATATAATTTTGACTGAGAAGAAAAGATAAAATATGAGATAATAGTCCATATAAGTAAAGATTGTATGATAATAGTTAGATGATTAATTGGAAATTATAGACTCTAGCTGTCTAATAATAAGCTGGAAATTTACTGCCCCTATACTATAAGTTACTGGTTTCTTCTATTTAAAAATAGATATAGCATTCCGCTTTCAATCATTATGTCAGAGTTTTACTGTAACGTAATCGGACACCGAACCGCTGAGACACCGAACCGCGGCGGTCTGCCGCCGCCTCGCTTCCTACCTCGCTGGCTGCTTCATGAAGCTATTTAGAACCACTAAAAAAATGCTATATATATTAATTCTTAGTGTTTTCTTGACATTTCAACTGATTATGTTTCTTTCTTCTATATATACTGCAACGGGCCTGCCAGCGCGCCTTGGGTGGTCTTGATATTGAGGTCTTAATCTTATATATATTAAAATCTTCTTGGCCTGTCAAAGTGTCTCTATTCTATATAAAGTAATATACGATCTTCTTCTTCTCTTTTTTTAATTGAATTATATATACTGAAACTGTTTAACTCAATATTAAAGTAGAACTATATTTTATATAGACTATTCTATAGTTTTTATTATTTTCTTAATTACTTTATAGAAAACTATTAATACTAGATCTTAATCTATAAGTTCTTAGAGTTTTTATTACTATTTCTCTAGCTTATATAGATTTATAGATATTTTTTCAAGATAAAAAGACTAATTAGAATATAAGAAAATTAATAAAGGTAGTATTTTTAGCTAAATCTATAGTATTATAAGTCTCTTTAAAGAATTTAAAGAATAAGATCTATAGTACAGAATCTACTAAGAATATTAGTACTTATAAAGACTTTAATATATATATTATTATAGAACTATAGAAAATTTATCTTATTTATAGATTTATCTCTATATGAGATAGTTTTATAAATATACTAATTATATAACTTCTTTAATAGTCTAAAATAAATAATATTAAGTAGTTATAGTTTATAAGATAAGTAAATAGATATATATAAAGAAATAATCTTTTAAGATATATATAATCAATTAAACTACTATATTATATAGCTTCTATAATTATTAATAGATTTTAATACTATATATTAGTTGAATATATTCTAAAGTTAATTAAAATTAAGTTTATTAATAATTTAGCTATTTTTACTAATACTAAGATAATGTAATAGTGGAAGGTGGTGTTGAGGATTCTGCCCCGTTGTTCCGCCTTGGGCGAATCTTAGCTAGTTCGTCCCGTCGCGGGATCCTGAGAGAATCAACAACTTTATGATAATAATAATATTATAAGGATCTTTCCCTACCACCGACTTTAATATTTAGTAGCATATCCCGGGCTCCAGACACTGTGTATATTTCTGCGGTCCTGCCCGGTAACTTCTGATTACTTTTTATTACTTCTATCTTTTGTTTATTCGTCCCTTTATTATTACTATTAACTACAGACACCCCTAGTTAATACACCCCCCTCTTAGTTGGTCACACTGTGGTTCTGCCGGTTGCCCATCTTCCCGCCTTCCTTATTCATTCTCTGTAAGTCACAAGACATCATTGAGTTCTGCTCTTATTATATAACTAGTAAAGTAAGTAAATACCCTATATATATCTTACTAAATTTTATCTACAGCGAATTTACTCCCACACCTTATTATTAATTATTTATATTAATTATTATTTTTAACTAATTATTACTCTAATATCTTTCTCTCTACTTATTTCTATATTCTATATCTTGTCTTTCTATTATTATATCTAAATAAGTTATCTTAATACTTAATGTCTGTAACAGAACTAGTCTATTAAATTATGCAGTTTCTGATGAATTTAATCAGTCTATATATATACTAGTTTGATAGTAATATATTACTATAAGCTTATTATCTCTTATATCTTATATCAATCTCTGTCTCTGCCAAGAACCATCTATACCCTCTGTCTTAGGATATAGATTGATTAGTTCTTAATAAAGATATTTAATATTTTCTTAAATATACTGAATATCTTCTTACCTCTGAACTATTTCTTATCTAGATATAAGACTCTTATTTATAGAAGCCCCTCATCGACTTTATTAAATCTGAAACCTTACTTAGTTAGATATAGTTAAGATTAATAACTTATTTATTAATATTAATTCCCTCTTATACCTATACTCCGCCGGCTACTGCTGAAATTTATTATTTATAAGAAGATATTAATCCTAAGATACCTGAGGAGTATCTTATATAAGACCCGTCGCCTTAGATAGTTTATTAAGTATAATCTTTATCTTTTAGACTATCTAGTTAACTGTCTGTACTCACAGTATCTCTAACTAGCATATTCCCATCTCTTGGGCCTGTCAGTATTTCTGCTTTGAGATACGGCCGCAAGACGCAGACATATCAACATCAGGAATCTAGATATATTAAAATCCAGCCCAAAAGACCTAATCTAATTTTAGAATAAACAGATTCTGGGACAGCTAAGCCTGAACTTCGCTATCCTTATAGTACTAGTATCGATTTTAATACTGAATTCTGTACTGGCGAAGATCTATATACTAATACTATAAATATTAGTCCTAGCACTTCTAGTGTATCCAGTATTAGTAGTAGAAATTATAAAAGTAATCCTAAAGAAATCAATCCTACTGTTAAATATAATAATCCCAGACAGCAAGGACCCCCTCCTAATAATCAATTTGCAGCCCTTATAGCCTATCTTAATATAATATAAATACAGTTGAACCTAATTCAAAATACACAAGGACCAATCCCTGGAAACCCTATAAGCCCCTCTGTTACTAATCCTAATATTAATCTATATCCTAATATAGCTAATAACCAAGCTGCTTATATTAAGGATCTAAAGTCTAAAGAAATTGGTTTTTTCCATCCTAATATAATCTCGGATAAAGTGATAAAACAGATCAGTAGAGATATATTCTATAAGAATATATATATATTTATTAATCATATAAAAGATATTATTTAATATTATAGAGAACTTGTAGTAAAGTTAAACTTATAGATCTGTATATATAATACCGCTCTACAGTGGTATACATCAGGCCTTACAGAAAGGGAGAAGCATCTTATAGCTGAGATACCTCTGAAGAACAGCTGGCTTGAAGAGTTGACTAAGTGATTCAAATCAAGCCCCTATATAGCTATAACTAAGCTTAATAGTTTATATTATAGTCTTTTAGATATTCAAGCAGGCTGTCATATTAGGTAATTCGCTCAGAAAGTTATTTATTATACACAAGCCGCCCAGTTAAACAACCCATTCAATCAACTAGTCTATATTTAGGACTGTATTGACCCTAGACTTTGTATACAGCTTACTCACCCCACCAAAACCACTACTATTAGTGAATTCCTCAAGGCTCTTGATCAGCAGTAGTATAACTAGGAGGATCTAGTCTATATTACTCATAACAACCAGAGATGTAGTAATACTTTCCCTAGCTTTAAGAATAATCTCTACTTCTATAGCAAAGACAAGCATAAGAATACTAATACTAATACAGAATCAAGGCGGTCCAACCTGAACCAAGCCAACCAGCAGGGGAACTTCTACCCGTTCCAGCCGAGATGGAACAATAACTGGAACAGTAACTGGAATAGGTATAACCAAGTAGATTAGTTGTAATACGGCTAGACGCCCCCAAACCCGCAGGTGATTAATAATAATAGTAATAATCACCAGCCCTAGAATTATCCTTAGCAGCGAAACTATAATAGTAATACTAATAACAACCCAAACACCAGCTATAATCAGAATAACCAGAGAGGTGGTAGAAGATGGAATAATTAAGATCATCCCAAAGACAACAAGAATAAGACATATATTACTATAACTGATCCTACCTTGCCTCTAGATACTAATAAATAATACCCTCACTAACAACCCCAAGTGTTTCCTAAATAGATATAGTAATATATTCAGCCGCAATTCTCCTACTCTCTATATATATATACAGAACTGTCTTTTATTCTCTATACTTCTTATCCACCTCAATATAGACTATCTCCTATCTTTGATCCTTACTATCTCAGTCCACCCGAAAATATGTACTATACTAATCAGTAACTATAGATATATAAGGATTATAACAAGCAAGAGTCTAATACTAATAGTAATAAAGATACTTATACTGTAATTACTATTATTAAGAACAACTTATTCAAGAAAGCCAGTAAAATAGAAGTATCTAAGATAGATAATCTAAAAATTTTATACTATTAATACTCAGCTCTTTTTACTTCTAAGAACCAGTTATACAAGCATATAATATTATATCAAGCACAGCTGCCCTAAGTCATTCCAACCAAGCATGCCCCTAACGGATCTATTATAGAATCCGAATACTATAAGGATACTCAAGGGACACTGAATAGTAAACCACTGTGTACATGGCGATTAGTGACTGTAAAAATTAGGCTTAATTATACTGACTCTTATATTACTATATATCTTAATATAGAATACTCCACGACTCTTATTAATACAGAATTAGCTAAAAACATCTCTAATATAACTATATATACTACTAATCCTCCTCTTACTATAACTAGTATTAATTTATCTTACTATATCAACTCCTTTATTAAGTTTAAGATATATTTTTCTTATACTAAAAAGTCTCCTAAACTTATATC